CGACCTGTTGCAACCGGGGATAGTGGCTGCAGCAACGGGAGTAATTGCCGGGGCCCAGCCGCAATAGGTTCAACCCACAACATCAAGCCGGCACGTTCTCGGTGACCAGTCGCCACCTCAGCGGGCTTTGCCTTCAGGGCCGCCTTGAAGGCCCGCACTAAGGCCCGCCATCACGCGTCGCCAGTTGGGCGAAGCCCCGTTAATCGGAAAATGCGAAAACTCCGAGCAAACAGGGGGGGAGGAAGGAAACTCCAGAGGGCGGCCGCGCCACCCGGCAAGCGGACTTGGTACCTTGGTCATGAGATGTCATGGGATCCTTGGGTGACGGCCGACGGCTCCAACTCAGCCCCAGGAAAAGAGTCGAAACCCAGTTGAGCCTTCTTTATCCGCTCTAGGGATTGAAGAAGAACCACTCCACTGAAAACGAAGTAGGCAAATGCAGGAGCCTGCTCAAAAAATGGCACGGCCCGGGCCCTAAACCGAAGGCCCCTGACCGCAAACAACATGCAAAACCCCCTCCTAAATGACAAAACCCTGCTGAGACTGAAGCCCTACACGCCCTAAGCCCTAAGAACTGTAAACGCCTTTCATGTAGACTAACTTGTTTTCTGCACGGGGACTCAGAGAGCAAATGATTGTTCGTTTGGTCAAATGGTCCGCAGCCGAAGGCTCCAAGTCAGCCCCTAGAAAAACGCAACGTAAACTCCAGCCAGCCTTGCCCCCCCCCCCCCAAACAAATCTTCACTGAGTCTGTTCTTGCATGCAAACAAAACCATGTAGGCGCACCAAGGCGTATCCCTCTCCTGTGACTTTGCATGCTTTAAGGTGCGTTTGTTCGTTTGGAAGACTGCAAGCTTCGAGAGAGGCCCGACGCATGGAAAGTTGCGTGCATGGCGCTGCTTGAGCTGAGGACATGCTCTGAGGTTCAGTTCGGCAGCCTCTCGTCGTTTATGGTTCCAGGATGTTCCAGGCTAGTACTACTGGTGGAGCTATGGAAGCTCGTGAACATTCCACTTCGAACTTGCTTGACGCCATTCATCTACTTATCCTCTTCCAGCGACCTGCTTCACAGACTACTGCACTGTCCTGCATCAGAATCAGCATCAGACATCGTCAGACATCTACTCTCTTGATCATCTGATCTGGAATCAAACCTCAAACTCCAAAACCTCAAAATACGAAAATACCAATTCATGGAGCTCTAGGCTCTACGTTGTTATACAAGTGGTTTCTGACATTCACTTCCAATAATGCACGGGCAAGTGCGGGCCTCCCCTCTTACGGCGTTGAGTCGTTCAATCTCTTTCTTCTGGACCTCCAAGGGGCGCCCGAAGGCCGCTGACATGAACTCCAACGCGTCGTGTGCATTGGCATGCTCTCTCTCTCGAGCTGTCCTACTGTGAGAGAAAGTCCATGAATTGCTATGGAAAATGCCTCTGCTTCGGACTTGAACTTCGAAAGCTCAGCTTCGACCACCGCCAGTCGTTGCCATTGCTGCTCTCCCTGCTGCCTGGGATCCGGTGTTTGCTTTGTAGCTTGCCCTGAGTGACTTCGTGGTGAGAAATTGATGGACTACACATGTGACCTACAAGACAGGCCGAGCCTGAGCTGTTTTCTCTCCTCATCAAACTCTGCGCGTTCCTTTCGCAGCTCCTGCAAGTGACAGGCATTGTGCATTTTCGGTGACATCAAGCTCATGGAAAGAGAAGGCCTCCTGTCTTGAAGAAAGCATGCTAGCACGCTCTTCTGCTGTCGCCAGCTTCACCCTCAATGTTGATGCCTGCCAGCTGAAAGTTTGCTACATGAGGTCCTGCACCTGCATTCTGCATGCAAAGCCTCTTCTTCAGCAGCTCTCCGCGCTTGTTGAGCATCTTGAAGAGTAGCCTTGCCAGAGGCCGAGCCAGTAAAAATAACAACTCGTGGAAGACCAGAACGGATGTGGGTGTATCACAGTACAAAGTTGAGTCTTGCGGCACTCAAGGCCTAATTCAATTCCCAGTATTTGTTGCGCCCTGCTTATGGGCAGTCAATAACAACACCTGTTACAAAACATTTCCGGCCATCTATGTCTTTGAGCATTGGCGCGTTTTGTTACCTTCCTCCATTTCCCAATTGCCTGCAGCTTGACGACGGCTGCTTCATGGGCCTGTGTCCACAGCTGATAAGTCACAAAGGTCACAGAGACTGATCACAGCACTCGCTTTGAAGTTTCTGCTGGTGCTTTCGTGCCGGCCTCTGCTTCCTTCTTCCTAAGAGTGAGACAACATGCTCTCAGGCCAGACAGATTCTAGCCGCATACAGTCACTGTTGGCAGTAGCACTCAAAGGCCTTTTGAATGCTTATGAAACAGTATGGATATGTGTGGATTATATGTTTGCCCGGCGAGGGGCACGCGTTCGGATTCTTGTTGCGACTTCTCCACGGTCGCTCGCAAGCTTTCCAGCTCCACCTGGGATTGCTTCCTCAGCATGTCCATCTGATTGTTCATCGCCTCTGAGATCTCTGTTCCTGGGCCGAGGATGCGAGAAGAGTCTTAAGACTGCATCAAGATACCCCGCCCCCCCCCGGGCTTTTTTGAAAAGATGCAGGCGAGGAGCTCATGGCATCCATCTTGCTAAACTGCTGTTGTCGCATTTCCTGCCAGATGCCAAGCATGCAAGGCTTCAGACGTCGGCCCTGTCATCTCCGCACTCTGTTTTGCAACTTTCTTGGCAAGCACTTGCAGCCAGATTGTGTTAAAACTTTTAGGTTTGGTTTCCCATCCTCCAGTGTCTTCTCTGCCGAGTCTTTGGTCAGAAGTCGCTGATTGATCTCGTTCATCTCAGTCTGCAACCTTGTGCTAACCAGGCTTGGTGCTTAGGTGTAGCACTTAGAAATCGTGCATTTAGTACATGAATGTTATGTGAATCTTACCGTTATCAAACATGCATTCTGAAGGTTCTGCCTCCTTCTTTCCTCTTGCTCCTCCTCCCTGGAATCACTCACCTTGTCCTTGAGCATCCGGATGCACTCGTTGTGTCTGTCTCGCATCTGCATCAGAGAACTCTGATCCTGATCAATGCCTGACAGCAGCCCACATCCGGCAAGGCATGTGAAGACATACTACATTGTGCTGAGTATGTCTATGGTGCTCCGAGGAACGGTTCAGACCCACGTTTGAGGTTCGTACCGTCAGGCTCGTCATCATCTGCTGCGCATATGTCAGCGTTTTGATTGTTTCCTCCATGTCCTCCAGTTCTGGGCCAATGGTTGCAACCACCAGCGTTCGTGCACTTCCGCCCATGCAGTCTCTGAGAAACTGGGTCAAGCAGGAGCCCTTGACGGCCGAGGCTCCACTGGTGCTGTTTACGGCCATGCTTAAGGATGCCAGGGTACGATTGATACCCAGGGCCTGCCTTCTGGCAACATCTGAGCTTGAAGCTTTCAACATGCTCTCAGAGCCGGCTAGGTCCACAAGGACCAGCTTTCCCTTTGTGACTCCAGAATCGCCATTTGAAGACTGTTCTGACATACTCTCCACGGTCAGCATAAACAGGCAATGCGATCTAGCGGCGGCGATGCCCGCATTTTCTTTTGCCTGGCTGCGCTGCAGTCCTTTGTTGAGCACTTGCTGCATGTCATCCGGAGATCGAATGGGGATGCGTTGCAAGCCCGCACAAACAAAGGACAGCGGATTGCGTGGATCTTGCTTGATCTCGAGGTCAGTCTCAGTGTCGGCAAGCAAGTCGATCAGCTGCTCTGTGGAGCCATCGGCTGAGAATATCTGTACATACGAGGCCTCAACCATGTAGACTCGGCCAGAGGCAACTTGATCCCGGATGTGCTCGAACATGCGCCTCCCTACGCTTTGCACGATACCAGAGGTGCCAGAGGCATTCGAGGTCCCACACATCGTGTGAGTTTTACCACTTCCAGTGATGCCGTGACAAAGAATACTGCCGCTTCCGCCTTCCATTGCATGCTGGACAAGCGATGCTGCGGAGGATGCGACTTCTTCTTGGGAAGCCGAGGGGCCATAGTAGGTGTTGCAGCGGTACGCTCGTGCGGCCGCCTTATCATCCTCGCCCTCGTTTCCCGATTTAGGTGCCGTCAGTTTCAAGGCAACCTTGTCTCCTCCCAGAGGCTCGGAAGAAACATCAATGACCTGCTTGGAAGAAGTGGCCGGCCGACACCTCACGCTGACATGAACTGCTAGGCCTCCCACACTACTTTGCCGTGCGTTCACTGGTGTGGTCGGGGTTGAAGCTGGAGTTGCAGAAGCAGGGGCTGTCCCAACCAACGGCTTGCCGGTCCGTCTAGATGTCGGCTTGAACTTCAAGGCTTCCAGCTTGTCCTTCAAGGGACCTTCCGGGAGAGTCTAGGCTTACAGTGCAGATGCTTCCTTATGTGACTCACAAGCGCTTATTAGGCAACTCTGACCTTCGATCACCATCCTGCAATGTTTTGGGAGCAGAATGGAGCAGAGGTTCAAGGAACCATAATTCCGCGAAACTACACAAAATGCTCGAGCCAACGCCTGGCTGGGAAAGCAAACCCAACATTCGGGCTCTGACAGGCATGTATGAAGTCCCAGGCAGTTGGGGCACTGTCGGCCGACAGACTCGCATTGGCTTTGGGAAGTTGCTCATGGCCGACCAGGAGCGTCATCGGGAAAACCGGGCAATATTTACAGCTAGAGCAAGCAGACTGCACTGTCTGATGCGCTGGCAACAATGCTGCTGGCAGTCGAGCACGAGAAAACAATGAATGAGAATGAGGCTGAACACTTGACACTAACAACAAGCGCCCAAGTCTTGGAAGATCTGCAGATCAGACAGTGAGCCTCGAGCACCCTAGTTGAAACCAACTTGAAAACAGGGGCGAACATGGGCAAAAGCACGGAGTGGGGACATGTCAGGGGACATGGGGGGCTTGAATGCAGCCCACCATTGCTACGTGCTGCGCTGCACTCGCACTCGTCGCTTCACGAGGCCACTTTGCGGCTACGGTGCACGAGGTCACGTAGGTACTAAATCGGCACTGGCGACTTCACTGCAGTCAATCTCTGTTGATTGCAGTCCTTTGCCATTTCCGCGAAGGGTGAAACAAAACCGTAACAAGACCCCTAAATGACATTCATCGCGTCCTGTCAGCTGGGGAGCTTCAGCCTGATGTCCTCAACATTCGCTTCCGGTGTTTTGAGGGACTTCTTCAGGAGATCGATCTGTGCTATTCATTGCTATTCTGCACCAACAGCATGTTTAACCATGCCCGGGCTTATGTAACGCACCCCGTCACCTTCATCCAAGGCTTGAAGAAAGAGGGTGTGACTTCTTGTACAGGGGGTGTACATGTGAGCCGGAAGGTGCCGAGCTGACGTTGCACCGATGATCGCCGATCTTCGCTAGCCAAGTTAGTGACTGTTAGTCGTTCCCTTGGGGCAGCGGCTCCAAAACACTTTGCTCTGCGATGGCCAAAGTGCTCAGCAGCACCTCCATGCCAAAAAAGCTGCAAATCGTGAGGCACGCACAGACCTCGATTCTTATTGATCGGCAGCTATATGCAACAAAGAGGCCAGCACTCCTTTTGTTAGTTGCTGCTGCGGGGTTTCATGAACCTTCTGATGTGAGACCAGATACGCGTCACGCTGTGAGACGTCAAGATGCGTCGACATGCCATCAAAATGCGTTCAGCTGATGTGGCACCAAGAATGCCATTGAATGCCATTCCCGACCCTTTCGCTGAAAGTGGCATAATCCTGGGAGCTGTGAGTCACCTGCCACTCCCTGGTAGCCAGCCTTTCCAAAAAATGCTGTCTTGCTGCCGGTTGCAGCGCTTGAAAGCAGCTACCTGCAAAGTGTCTCATCTTCCTGACAGAGTATCATGGAGTAGGAACGATATGGAACGATGCAGAAGCCACTTGCGAAGTCGTGGCCGTCAGGATGACAAGGAAGATTGAAAAGCTCTGCTACATCAATTTGCCTGTCGTGCCAAGCTCGACCCATGGCCTCAACTAAAGTGACTGTGGTTGAATGCCGGCATCATGCTGGTCACGAAAGCAATGAAACGGATCTCATGTTGCGGGCTTAGCCCTGCGAATAGACACATTTTCGTGCGTTCTCTGCTTTTGAGAGAACCTTGACTTTTGGAGGTTTGGATTGAGTAGCCATTGCGCAACTCAAGCGCGACTGCAATGATACTGTGATTTATGAAGGTTCGGCCATCCGCCCTAACTCCACTCAGTCAGACGAACCTACACCACTCACACCACTGACACCGCTGAAACCACTGTAGCCTTTGGACTCACCAGTTGCTTGGCTGGCTTGGCTGGAAGTGTTGAAGCCGGAATCGCCTCCCTTCTTGGACTTCCGCAGATGATGGAGTGTCGTATGCAGGAGATGCTCCAGGGTTTCCAACTGCTCCTGGCAGGCATGATGCGGCATGATCTTGGAAGGCAGAAAAAAAGGCGTGGGCAAACTAGTGACGCTGCATCTTGCCACTGGTGCCCCCCCGCGTCGGATGTGAGCCGATGCGAGCCCTGAAGCCTCTCCGTTGTTGAATTACCTCACATTAAATTACATTCTCGGCCAGTGATCAACCTGCCCGGTCCTCGTCGGCATCCATACCAGTTTTGGATGTGTCTGCTGGCCATTCCAAGTCTGGTGAGCATGAGCCGCCGAAGCGCAGGATGCGGTCGGTCGCAACAATGCTTAAGCTCTGCGGCTCAAAGACCTAAGGCACATGAAAGGTACCCTGTACCCAGAGCAAAGAGACGTGATGGATTCTTTGCCGCTCAAAGGAAGTTTGAACTTATTTGAGCTAGTTGCAGGCCAGGGTGCGGAGATTCCTCCTGCCATACCCACGTCTCCCTCGTTGAACTCTAGCGGTACATCCAAACCCAGTGTAGCGACAAACCGGCTCCACCGTTCCATCTTGATGTATGCCAATGTCTGAACAGACACGGAAGAACGCTTGAGCTTGGCATAACCCAGCATGTTTTGGTAGATGTACACGTAGGAGCAGTTGAGCTGAGCAATCAGCAGGTTTAGCAACAGAATGGCAGAAGCTGTGACGAAGCAAAACACGGCCGTCAGCAGCAATGGATCATTCTGAAGGTCCCGATAATCATCCTCGTAAAGCCGCAATGTAATGCCAGTGAGGGCAATCAAGGAGTCACCCACCGTCTTCATGTCCTCGTAATGATGTTCCAGCACGGTGATTGCTGATGCGAACGCCGTGAGGAGAAACCTTGGTGGTTTGAGCCAGCAAGTTCAGTTGTGGAGTCTTTGGCTGGGTATACGGAGGCCTTCTGATAAACGTGGAATTCAGTAGAACCAACAGCACCAGGACCACACAAGGAGCTATCCGAAGTGCGACATCTGACCAGCCAAGCAGCATCAAGGCAAACATGAACCTTCCAATCTCAGAGCCCACATGCACGCAAACCAAGACGAACGCACTGAGACCTGCCAGCGGTGCGTACCCAGGTCTTTTTTTGGTCGGATCCTCGTGACTTGCAAAGTAAACTAGTCCATCCTACGTAGTACAGGTGGAGCCTAGTCTGAACCTCAAGGTTCCAAGCCTAAGACCATCTAAGGGAATCAGGGAAAGTTCCGCGACAGTGATTGGAATACATTGGAATATTCGGCGATTTTCATTGGAATGATGATTGGAATGATTGGCCTGTGGAGAACACCGCAAGGTCAGCCATGAGACCCCAGTGCAGTCCCACAGCGCACATGGCAAACCTCAGCTCAATCAAGCAGATCAACACTTCGTAAAGCAAAAGCGAAAGCTACTGAGTATGAAGACGCTCTTTTACCATTTCTGTTGTTTCTTGAAAGCAAGCGCACTACTCTCCGAGCCAAAGCAGCACGGAGTAGACGAAGCCACCTTCTTCGAAGGTCAAGCAGTACTCCGTTGGCCAGTCCTCAGAATGCAGCGAAACTTTTCTTTTCCTGCGCAGGTGCCATGAACGGGCCACGGGCCCAGGACAATCTCCCCAGGCCCCAGAACGAGCCAAACAAGAAGAAGGCTAATCGCTGAGCTTCTGGTGCAGCGTAGCACCAGATGAAAGGCTCGTTGGCCCACATCAGAATCAAACAGATCAGCAGCAAGAAGCTGGCCTTACACGGTGAGTCGACTTAGTCTTGCCTTTGAGAATGGAAATGAAGACCATGCTAGCTAGTTTTACTACTATGAAAACCTTGTGGCACCTTCTCTCTTCTTGCCGGCACGGCACAAGGTCGTAGGACTGTGTAAGGTACTTGGGAAAGGGTATTCTCAGTATCCGGACTGTTTGTTTGCGGTAGTAGGCCAGGAAGATGTCCCGCGAGTGCTGTACCAATAGCCGGAGCAAGGTCAAAAGGTAGGTCATTACTCTGAAGGCAAAAGTCACAACCCGAACTTCGAAGGATGTGCGGTACTCTGGCAGCAGTGTCTGGCTGACCATAAGAATGACAAGGCTGAAAATGAACCACATCTTTGAAGTAATAAACTCGTGCATTACAATGCCTGACCAAAGCAGGTTCGCCACAAGGTCAACTGCGACGTGAGAGATGATCTTCGGATCGCGAATTCCAACCAGTGCAGGCAATGCACCAGCAAAAACTCCATCAGATCCAACAATAAGATTCTTGACGTAGTAGTTGACCCGGCGCACTCCTTGGTTCACTGTTCGTGACCGCCAAATAAGGCCCTCAAGCAAGGTCGGCAGCAACATGGGTGCCTCCGTGCACAGGATCTTGACTATATCTGGGTGACGCTGAAACAGGTCATCGACACCGTAGTAGTACCTTTCTCGATCTGCCCGGATTGCCAGCAAATCCTCAATGATTGCCTTTGCTGCGCTCAAGCTACCACTGGCTATAGCCCATCGGAGTGGTGAGATATCCTGGGTGCCCACCTTGACAATCAAGACCCAATTGGAGCGCTCCCCTCTCGGGGCACAGCTCACTGCCTTGACCAACTGAGACACGGAGTTGTTGTTGATCGCTTTCATGACGATCGTGGATCCTTCTGTTACTGTGTGAACCAGCATCTGTGAGATGATCGACAGGGACCAATTGAAAGCCTCAAGGACCAAAGCGTCAGACACGTAGCCTCTTAGGGCCTCCACAGCCGCTTCTGTGAATGGCCCAAACATCTCTGTGGGTATGCCATAACCGACGTGACGGAGTCCAAGTGCAGAGACATCGTCGACCATTCGCCAGGGATCTTGCAAGAGTTTCAGAGACAAGTTCGTGGCGCTCTCAGCGATAAAGTGTAATCGTGTGTTGGACTGCTTGAAGTAGTCTTGCCCCGCCGGCACCGCTGCGAAGAATTTCTCATAGAGGTTAACGCGATAGTTGAAGAGCTGCTCATCACTCAAGGCAGCAAACATACCTTGAAGCGACTGCTCCCAAACCAGAGGCTTACCCATAGTCTTCTTCAGGATTGTCTCGATGTTGTCCCACAGCCAGTTCCAAGCTACTTCATGTGACGTGTCCCAGGCCGTCGGAAGCAGAGACCGCAACGCCGCCAGCATGCAGGACTTGAACTCGGAGAGGTTCACCCAGTTCACACCTGCAGCAGTCACCTTTGCAATGCGGATCGAGACAATGTTGCACTCCTGCTGCAGACGTCTCATATCCGCTATATGCTCGACCATTGCAGTGAAGCTTCCCAAGATCTCCTGCATCCACTTGCGCCCGGACAAGCCCATAACGGCACAGTTCCACTGGAACATCTCTGTAAAAGTCCTGGGGACATCTGTTGCCTGGAGCTGCGACTTTCCAGGCTTCGTGTCTTTTGGCTTGTTGTCCTTGCTGACCTTCCTGCCATCGTCTTGCTTCTCTTTGTTTGCCTCTTTCCCGAAGCTACAGCACTTGCAGCAGTTCAACAAAGTGCCAAGGCAATTGCCACAACGCCTTCGGTCGCCGACCACCTTTGTACTGTGAGCTGGGCCAAGGGCGGTGTGACCTGTGTTCCCTGAAAAGCTGCTCTCAGAACTATCTGGGCTGTCGGTGCTGGCAACTTCGGCATCGATGTCAACATCATTCTTCTTCTGGTTTTTACTAAGTTTCAGCATCTTTTGACGCTCTGCATCCGAGATCTGCGGATTGTCGCGGTTGTTGGCTGCCTTCCAGCTCTCCTGCAGCACCTTCAGCCGAGTAGAGAAATGAGTCCGAACCCATATCTGTGAGCCACCAACGTACGAAAGCAACCTGCCCCACCCGTCCCTCGCAGATGGAGTGAACGAGTCGGCGAGCTCAGTCTCAAAAAGATCGAGGATTGCATCACGGAACAACGCAATTCTTGGAATTGTGATGTCCACGCTCAAGTGAACAAACCCCAGAGTTTCCACCTCGGCGGAACATCCGACAGACTGGTCCCGACAAACTCTCGGAGTCACTGATTCTACTATGTATTGTGTTGCAGAATGCTGTGCGCGGGGCCCTGTGCAACACAGCAAGGCTTTCCCCTGCAAGCTCAGATGGCGACCTCTACTTTCAAGGCAGCTGGATGGTCGAGGTGGCTAATGATGTTGCCAACGCTCAGCACGAACCTCATCGTTGACATCAGGGCATGCTTCGAATTGCAGCATTTTTTTGTATTTTGTGCAGTCAGAAGATGCCTGGAGCCATGTCTGTGAGATTGCATAGCATCTACAGGCCTATACCATCGTGCAGAGGCAGAGCTGAATGCAACTTGAGAGCTTTTGTGCTTGAACTGCTCGTGGCCCGTGAAAAAGCGACTGCAGTGAAGGCGCAGCGTCAAAGATTGAGCTGAACACGGCTTCACCTCAGGCACCAAACGCGGCACGACATGGCTATGTTATGGAATGTTATGGATGGAGATTTTGACTTCGCAAGCAAGCTGAGCGCTGTGCCAGCCGCTTGTTCAGTGTCAAAGTTCTGGACGAACGCATGCCACATCTCTGTGATGTCACTCCTCAGGTTCGCACAGGGTCTGGGGCCCTGGAAGCCCGGTAGGGTTTAGCCGGTTTTAGCCGAGATGCACTACATCGGGCGAAAGTGTAAGCTCGTCGAACGTGTCCACATGAATCTCCCACTGGTCACCACCATCTGCCTGACCGGCAGGCAGATGAGGGCCGAAGACTTCAAACGCAAGAAAAACGACTACTGCAACACGCAGCGCCCAACATCGCCCAACGCAACACGCAACACCCAAGTGCAAGTGAGCCAGACGGCCCAATCGGCAAGCACCACAACCATAGGAATAGTTTTTCGGCCGAGGCACGGTGCCAGCTTCTGCACCTGTCAGAACGTGCCAGAACTAAAGTTATGGGTGTCAGGTTCTGGCAGGCAAACATTTCAACATGTACGGGGCGCAGCGAGCGCAACTGTTAACAGAGGTCAAGAACATCAGCGCCACACGAAGCTTTTATTACAGAGGCACTTATGCATCTCATGCATCTCTCGAATTGTTTTGGTTCCGTCCCCAGGCCTCGGGACACGTCATCTTCCATGACAGGCACCTCTTGTGCCTAGAGGCAATTCCTGCCCCTCACCCTGCATCTGGATGCATGCAGGGTCATGCATGGCGGGGCTTGAGCTTGCAAATTTCAATCAGCATACATATATCACTGTTCCGGAATTGCTGCAACTGCCAGATACTCCAGTACCCTTAGTGTGCTGGTGACAGCATGAACAAACTGCGTTCGCATGGGCTCTCCGGTTGTGCAGCGGGTGCTGAACCTGCGACTGCATATCGATGGGCATGCCTGTCAAAGCCACCTGCGCGAATTTCGTAGGCACATGCCTGAAGTGAATGTCAATGTGTATTATAATGAAACAGCTTGGGTTTCAAAGCTTTGCCCCATCCTACTGCGCGACAAGTGTATATGTGAGTTGCAATGCGATGATAGCGAATGCTTGCGGCTGTGAAGATGTTGACGCGACCTCGTGGTGATGCAGCAGCGCGTAGCCAACAGCTCGGGCCTGGGATCGAAATTGCTGCACAAAGATGGCACAAAACTAGGTCCTTGAGCGGAAACGAGGCTGTGCGAAGTGACGGGACGCAGCAGGAGGACGCAGCAGGGACGCACCGTTGGTCGCGTCCCTGCTGCGAGTGTCGAGGCGCGCCTCCTCGTTATCGAGACCGACCGTGACTCGAGCCTGTCAGCCCACTGCTTCAGCTATACTACATAATGTCCTCATGTAGTTAGAATATGTCAGTGTCTCAGAGCTTTATCTTGCAGAGGTTGCGGCTAGAGTCTAGTCTCTCAAAGCTTCTTCAAAAGGCGCGATTTGTGCACAACACATCAGAAATCATGAGGGCATGCACATAGAAGAGCAGCGACCCACTCACAGCCTCCAGCAACACCGGCAGCACCGATGCAAACCTGACTCGACCCGCGGGGGCTGTGTGATGCTCTCGAGCAGTTTTCGCATGTGCTCGCCTTTCTTGGGAGATCGTCATTAGCAACGCTGCCTTGGCGTACCTGCACAGGGCTGCTGAAGGACTGTAGCGTTGTGTGCTGCATCCTAATTCTCCGGGTGGACCTCCAGAGAGGTTTTGGCATATCGTACTCCACGCAGAAGCAAAGCAACTGCCACAGCAGGAAGCCATCCTGTCAGGCAGCCAAACCATGAGAGAGTGCACCACAGAATGGTCGTGCCTGGGATCAACCCCAAGAATGTGAGAGACACAAATTCGCATCACAGAACACTTCGGCGCATGGCACTGAGACATGTTCGATGCCTCCGTACGGTGGCAAGCAAGTGGCAAATTAGGGGATCTTGAGGGTCCTCTGAGAAGTCGCAGGAAACTTGGGAACGGTAGAGAAATGCCAGTGCCGCCAGCAGCACCTGCGCTGAGGAATAAGGCAAGAGTCAGGCAAGCCCGGCTTGGAATGCTGGGAGTATGCCTTCTTGTTGTGGCAGCACAGCGGATTTATCCGCAGCGGCCTACCCATCCAGCCAAGGCATAACGAAGAGATGAAGCGTTTCATTGGTGGAGTTTCGCCCCAGGAACTGAAGCATCGAGATTGCATGAAGGTCTGAAGCACTTCGCCAAAGGCTGAGGCCTTCCCGCAGCACAGTGGAGAAGTTGCTCATGCAGCACGCCTCGAGCAAGGCTGCACACCAATCATCAGTAGCTGTTCCATGGGCTGATGTACAGCAGCAACATCTCTTCAAAAGGGCAGAAATCACATTTTGGGCCGACGTGTCGGTGAGAGGGACTCTTGCCCTGGGCAGGTCATGGGAGCTGCAGTGACGTTAAAGGACTCTACGAGAGGCAACTCATGTATTCCGCACAATTTCATGCAGAAGTGCCTCTGCTACCAGAACGGAAGCCGTGTCGTGCCCTGGAGCACAGCCTAAACCTGGATCGTCCCGCGAAGTTGCTACTCAGTCAAGAGCCAGCGCCAGCACTTTGACCTGAGCACTGTAAAACAACATCCTTGCAAGAGACTTGCAGCCCTTCGACATGAAAATCGTGGGCCGAGCTGAGGGTACTGCACATCTGATAAACTCATCACGTTCTCGGATACAGGTCAGGCGAAAAGTGACACCTTCAAAGAAGGCGCCAGCTATTTTGCAAAACACAGAGCCTGTCTGAACTCATACATTCAGCGTGTCGCACGCTGAATGTATCCGAGATGCCGGCACTCATTGTTTCGTAAGACAAGGGTGGCGCAGTGATCATCCTTCAGATGCTAAATTTTGAACAGCTCCATTCAAGCTTGGGAAAAATCGGGTTCAACATATAGTACTTTCTTTTTAGAGTTGAGGGTGCTCTTGCATTGACGTGGAGGTTCGTTTGGCCAGCCCGTCCATTGCCAACGGTGGCATCTTAAGGTCACGGCTAAGTCGACGGGCGTGTGCTTGGTTTGAATTGTCCTTCCCGGGCCTTGGACACAGTCAGGGCATGTCAGAGCCAGGGAACGGCATTGGATGTCGGTGAAGCCTAAAAGCAGCACAGAAAAGCCTTCTTCGGCCCTCACAGATATCTTTGATGGACTTCAGTGGAACATCGTGAATCACACCTGGCCGGTCTTTCTGCATTGAGGGCAGCGCAGCCTTGGGGCTGTCACAGCACCCGTCACAGCTTTCGTAGTTAACTCCACTGGGCCACGTATAAAACAAGACAAAAGTGATACCCGTCGCGACGCAATGGTGACAAGGTCAAGCACAGGATAGAAATAAACATGCCACCATGGCCATCTGTCCTGGAGCAGAGTGGCAGTGGACGTTTCAGTCTGCACGATCTATGATGCTGCAGACTTGGATCTTTTGACACAACATCAAACCTACACATCACCAACATAGGACGTATCAAGCTTCTCTGTGAAACTTAGCACCTGGCACGAGTTGGAAGTATTGGAGATTGGGGGCCAAAAGCAACCTCAAGCACGAGAGCAGCTGGCATGGCCTTCGCGTGCACATGTCAACTAGATTGGAGACAGATGCCAACTTTGTAAGCTGCTAGCTTGCATGGCTCGGCGCTACCATCGGCAACCTGTCATTTCAAATGGCTACTGGCCCACCTTACCTGCGGGACTCCGGGCGGTGGCTGGGTGGCGCTGGCATTCTCAGTGCCGCACGAGAACTTGGTAGGACTGGCCCCTGACAAGGTATTGTGACTGTGGACTGCAATCGTAGAGGAACGTTGAGTTAGCGACAAGTCCTCAGCAAAGAGGTCTTTACAACAAGGGACACTTCACTTGCCGACTTGGTTCATTTCTGCATCATTGCGGTATTTGGGTGGAGTTTCCGGCGCTGCATCGTGCCGCATCGTGCTAGTGATAGTGCTCTTGTAAGAAGGCCATTGCTGGATGCCAGGTGAGGCCTCACGGTCTCCTGCACGAACCGTTTCAGCAGCAAACCTCAGCCATCTCAAGTGCGACATGCTTTCCGCCGGAAAGAGCAAGGCATGCCCCACTGTTCTTGAAACACTCTGACACATGACACCCGTGGTGACTGTCTTGATCTTGGTCCGTGGCGAAGCGTGGTGACCTCATGCAGCAGGCCATGCGATCCCTGTACGTTCTTCAGATCTCGCAGCCGTGCCTCTCGTTCCTCTTGACTTCTGGGGCTCTCCTCGGATAGTCAGGTGCAGCGGTCCATAGAGGCCAACTGCGGCTAACTGCCCGCCTCGAGCTCTCCATGCACCTAACATGTGGACTTGCAGGCGGGATATCTGGGTCATGACGATCACTCGACCAACTGAAGACTCTCAGTTCAGCGGTCGGAGCCTCTCGGTTCCTGCGGGATGCAGGGGACGGCGAGCCTCTCGGCGGCTGGAAGACGGAGCTGCCCAGAAAGACCTTGTTGCGTCCCAGGTCCCTAGGATTCGGCGCGTGCGCAGCCCAGCTTCTCAGGCGTCAGGATGTCTGTGATGAAAGCTCTGCAAATTTCAAGCGGGTGTGAGGTTCTGTTCTTTGCAGCTGAGCGGGAGCCAAGGTCCGGGGCACCGGGCATCGCTGTGTCCCGCGGGCGAAGTGGCCTCTGGCACCGGACAACGCTCCCCCATCTTTGCTACTCTTTCTCGGAGAAGCTCGGAGGCTCTCGGAAAAACGAAGCTGGGATCTTCGCAAGGCATTGTGCCAGCGTCTTCTCGTACTTTGGTTCCCTGGCATCGTGCAAAATGTTCAGCTGAAAATCTTGCGAGCAGATATTGCCAGCTAGCTGGGGTCATCACAGAGCTGAATGCTTCACTATTTGAGGCACGATCTCCTCCTTGAAGCCACAGTTGTGCCTGACCTAGCGCTTGTGTGCAGCAGCAGCTCACACTCAGCTGGGCCAGTTGGGACTGGACAAGCTGCACAAAACAATGCCACATGCCAGATCTATGTTCAACTCACCTCTGCAAAGGTCCCGAGGGGCTCTGATGCACAACACCTCAGTGTCGTTGAAACTCCTATGACTGCCCCATGCTCCCTCCTCCACAACAGCCCTCCCCCACAACCCGAGTTCCTGGCAGCTGCTCCCCTGCACAGGGTGCAACGCCGCCCATGACCTGTAAGCAAGCAACAAAGCAACATCGTCGGCTTTCATCCGAAGCCTTGCTGCTGGCATTGCTCATGTGCAGTCACGCATGAGTTGACTCGTGACTATTTCAAGCAAGCAGCCTCATCCACCTTGAACCATGCTCGTGCCCATCTTTGGCATCTTGTTGATATCTGCTTAAGAGAAGCTAACTGCAAGTACAGACTGCGTAGTTGTTGAGTTGGGTCTTGCAAGCGACTCCAACCTTTTTCCTGCAGCTCTTGATGCTAGTTGACTATTGAAACATCTGCGGCATCAGCATCGAGAAGCCACGAAGTGTCCAGAGCTCCACTATGATGAAATCTGAGCCATCATTCTGGAGAAGAGGAGTGGAGCCACAGTACAGTCCGCAACATGCAACATGTATCAGCATATTTGTAAACAAAGAATCCATTTGCGCGCAGCCCTGAGCTTCCGCACGTGAGGCAGCGCCGAGGATGGCTCGATGTGCCGGGACCCGGACAACTTCACCACTGTCCTCTTCCACCTTGCAAAGTTCCCTCCATGCCACGGTGCTCCCTACCCATGTGTAGGATAACCTGGCTTTGCTTGACGATGATCCCATCCACAAAAGCTGCAGATGCTCCGTTCGAAAGGCTACAATCATCAGGACAGTGTCGCAGTCACAGTCACAATGGATGTACAATAACTTCACGATTTGGGGACAAGCCTTCTCTGCGTGGCTACGATCTACAACTGCGAAGACGAAAGAAACTAAGGCATTCCTTACTGACTTAGTAAGTCTAGTGCCAGGATCGTCGGCTTCTCAACTCACTTCAGTGCGCCGCCTCCAGCTCCACGTCTGCAAAAGCAGGCTCCTTAGAGTCTTGACTTCCTTTTGCCTGGTACCTCGGCGACGCAAGATGGAGCATCCTCGCTACCAAGGGCAGATTGAAAACATACCCTGAGGATGAGAGGCAGGCTTCTCAAAGTCAAGCAGTGGCCGCTCAGACTCCTGACGCACTGGATTAGCCCATGACATCTGCTTGCTGCCGTCCACAGCACTCAACATACACAAGGAACAGGGACATCGAACCGGAATTCTACCCACTCTCCAGGAGGCGTAGCTAATCAAAGCCGGATACGCACTGTTAGGCGCTTTGAGGACAAGCGATGTCTGTGCAAGGTACTTCGTGTGTGCGTTCCGCTTCCCCGAAGTGACATCGAGCGAACTACTCCATTAACTTGTTCTTCATCTTCTGCGCGGTGCGGAGAAACGGCCGGGGATTCTCGCACACGCACCCTCGCTCTCTAGATACCCTTCGACGGCCGACCGCATGCATGTGCCTGAACAAAGTCAAAAGGGGGGAAGCCAGCATAAACCGACTGGCTGTCCAGGAGGACCTCCTCACGCCTCTCCGTAGTGAGGTCTGCGAAACCAACGCCATGGACCATGCCAGGGTGTTGCAGTTGTCTCAGGCAGTGGCGGCATACACGCCTGTAACTAATTTCATGTATCCTTCCCAATATATCAGAGACGTCAACATGCCATAGGCTCTGAAGGTGTCGTCTAAATGGCTTCGTACCTTCAGCCACTTCAGGCCACTTGAAGGCACCCCAATCCCCCGACAAACTGAGCGTTGGGCCACCTGTGGGGCTTGTGCTGGTGAGAGAGATGGTGGCCGACAGACCTCCAGTCTCGAGTCTCAAGAGCTCGCACCAATCAGGCTCCCAACGTTGACTGCAAATCTCTTCGCAGCACCTCCGAAAGCTTGTGCAACAGAACCTGAGCAACACCGGCGTAATAAGGTATATGCTGCAATGTCGATCAGTACTCAGTGAGCTACCTGAAATGCAGTGTGGCCATTGCCGTTCTTGTGCTGCAACAAGTAGACAGCATCTGCCGACCTTAATGACGAAATGCCTCTACACATCATGCCTCAATGTCATGTGCTTGAAGCAGTGTAAGTCGGCAGCGACAGTGTGTAGCGCAGAACCCAGAAGTTCAGTCTTGCCTGGGAGCAAAGCATTCCACATGCAACTTTAAAGCTCACACGCCATCTCAATATGACGCTGTGGGCCGCGGACTGCCGCGCAGTGTAGGAATGTGTCAGCGGTGGAAGAAGGCCTGCTCCTGTAGGCCTGGCATCATTGCCAGAAGCCATTGCAAATGCCAACCTTGCCTTCCCCAGTCAGGACACCCATTGCAATAGTTAGATGCTTTCCCCATGTGCGTACGATGCACACGCCAACACACAACCCACCTGCAGGGCAGCCTTGTTCCACACTGTGCCAATGCCTTGAAAGCTGCGTGGACAACTGATGATGCCTTCCTCTTCTTGTCCGCTATATGCGAGCATGGGCTTGTGCCCGACATCGACCCACGCGAAGTGTTGCCACCAGGCGTCCGGGGCGTGTTGCTTAAAAGCTAATTGATATCCGCCCTTCTAGCTAGATGCAGAAAGAGACAACAAATCTGTCGGAAAACGTCGGGCAGCGCCTTCCTCAGGCACACCCGCACAAACAGAATTAGCTAATTAGCCCTTGGCGATGCTCTTGGCTTTCAGACCCTCAAAAAGGAAGACCATGAGTTCCAGCCTACAGCGGAGGCGGGCCGCGTAGTGACAAAAACTCCAAAACGACTTGCAGCCGCTAGAGGTGAGCAGACAGATTTCGATTGGACTCCACTGTGACTTGCCACATGTTACAGCATGTTTGCCGTCTTGTCGCTTGTTTGCGCGGTTCATGGTTTTTTCCCCATTTGTCCGTTGACGCACATATAGGCACATGCCCGTTTTAGCCGTGGGCCACACGGATGCATCTGGTGAGAGACAGTGGGAGACTCTTCCATTTTCATTATTCTTTCTATCGTTCTTTATTGACCGTCCTGCCCCCCCCCCCCCCCCCAATCTTCTGAGCCGAGATCCAAACTAGTGCTGAAAGCACTCAGCTCAGAGGACCGGACCCAGGTAAAGCCGCTGGAAGAGCTCAGCTGCGGCAGCCTGGCTGGGAGAGGTTGCCAGTTGTCAGCAGCATGCTGTCCAGAGACACAAGCCAAGGTCAGCCAGCAGCACGGAAAACTCGTGAATGTACAAACCTCGCTCGTGGCAGAAGAAATCTCTTGATGCGACACTACAGATGCTGAGTGGCTTGCTACAGTTATGCTATGTACAGGCAATAGTAAGAACAGCGCACAAGTGCAGCAGTGTGTCTTGCCGTCTTGGATGGACCTTTGATCGAGTCCAGTCCCACTGTCATGCAGTACATGTGCACAACCATTCGCTGCACATCAACTGCATATACACTGTGCAGATTATGAAGCACCTATTCGTGACCATATGCACGTGCACGATCACGCACATACATGGTTGTGCCCCGGCGCCCCCCCCCCCCCCGCCGTCCGCCGTTGGTGTGGGTTTCGCGTTTAGGATTCTAGGGTAAGTTTAGGGTCTAAAGGGTATAGGCTTTAAGATTATACCGCTTAGGGATTAGGATTCTAGGGCTTAGGGTTTAGGTTTAGGGTTTCAGGTCTTCAGTCTTCAGCAGGGGCGGGGGAGGGGGGGAGAACTGACAGCTCACAACCATATTACATAATGCATGTGCTCCGCGAGTATCAACACGTCTTGTGTAACCTCAATCTGTGGCAGGTGTGGATAGCAGCTGCTGTCCATCATTGACTTGCTGGGACACTCTGAGCATGCTTAGATTGCGTCCTCTGTGATATCCACACCATTCGCAGATCCTTGCACGGCGGGCAGGGTGCGGTGAACGCTGGATACTGTGCTGATGTGTACTGTCATGTTGTTCCAAGCGATTTGTCAACTGTTGGACCCTGACCTGGTGGGAAATGGTGCAGCAGAAACAAGGCCACCTTCACGATTACAAGGGTCTGATTACAGTGCTCAAGGTCCGCAATGGTTCGTAAGCTGGCAAGCACAAGAGCACTCTGCTGGTGGCACATCCAAACGCATCTACTTTTGCTTGCACATTTCACAGGTACGACGGCCTTGATTTGTTGAAATGCCAGGGCATTCCTTGGCTTCGAAGTGCGCCGACAGCGCACGACATCGACAACAATCCGCGATCCGAGCGGCCAAAATATGCTGTGTCGGTTCACGTCAGCCACGCGGCCGCTGTGAAGCAAGCCTGACATGAACATCATCTAGGCAGTTGGGCTTGGCATCGAGCCTTGAGCATTTGTGCAGCAAGCCTGTTGCCACCAGTTCTTGCAGCTTGCACAGGTCGCCCTCATGCAAAGTATGACATTACAGAGAGCCCATGCAAAAACGTGCAAAGTCGGCGTACGAGTAAGATATGTCCTCTGTGACCGCTTGCCACAGGTGTGGATCGGTCACCACCTGTACCTGAGTCTGACACAAGCGTGACCTCACACCGACTCAGGTTGTGCTTCACATTGGACATGAACATCTATCTCATCGAGTCTAGCATCCAACCTAGCCTCCGCTGACGTTGAGACGAATACGGCCTCGCTCACACCTTGGGGTTCGGTTTTCTAGCGGGCATGGTTGCGACAGCAAACATCATGATTTCTGAAGGGCTGTATCCGGGCTGCATCCTGCCTGTACGGTATCTTAGGTTGGTTGACTGCCCGGTGAGTGCTTTGCAAGGATACTGCAGGACTTCAAGAAGGTCCATTAAGCTCCTTACCTCTTGCTTCGGCCTCCATGCCGGAGCCAATGCCCCCCCCACATGGGGTCAATGGGGACAGAGCAAAGCTGGGGCTGCCCGGAGTGCTCGGACTGGTGGGATGAACGACGTCGACAGGCGGAACTCCCACAGTCTGCGTGGAAAGCGCGCTGCGGCACTCGGGGCTGGGAGCTGGCTCCGGTTCGGCCAAAGCTTCTCGCTTCTCGACCGGCTCAACGACATCAATCTCAAGCTTCTTCAATAGCTGATCTTGTAGTGGCCCTTGTGGCCCTTTGGGCCCTTTGTCTGTGTCAGGCATGTCTGGCTCATTGCTTCTGTTCTCGCTGTCAGTGCTTGGCCCTGCTGCAGAGCTGTGATCAGGAGGGCATTGCTTGTCGGATGGCAGCTTGTCCACGGCTGTTGTCAGAATCGTCGGCAAACCTCGTGGGAACAATCATGTGCAGCGGCAGGTTTCGAATGCGGCGACGGCTCTACCATGCTCTACCTGCCTGGCGTGGCAGACGTCGCGTTTGAGCAGGCAGAAGGCTGTCTGCTGGAGTCGTAGGTGGTTGAGTGGCCAGCGATGTCGGACTCAAGCAAGTCGGACAGCTCCTCGTCCCCTGCAGAGTCGGTTCACATCAGCACGGACAGAACAAGACAAACGCAGAGGAGTTGGGGACTGACAAAGAACCCCAAAATATTTGTACATGGTTTCTTGGCTTAAAGCTCCCGCTTTGGGGTGAGTCGCTTCACTCGTCACTAAACAAGACCGTCAAGCAACGGACAGCCGCCCCATGCCTTTCCAGCAACGGATTGGCTACACAAAACTCTACTAACTCTACCCCTTAAAGCCTTAAAGCTCCCCCTTTTTCCCAAAAACATCTCGGATGTTGGGTTCTCGTTTAGGTTCAAAACGCGAGAGCGCGATACCGGGATGGAGGCGCGGGGTGAAAACGAAACGGGCATGAAAACGAAAGGGGGATGGCGCGGGGATTAGAGCCGGAGGGGCGCGAGAGCGGACTGCGGCGCGTGCGACGGCGCGTATACGGGGGATGGAAACGAAAGGGGGATGGCGCGGGGATCAGAGCCGGAGGGGCGCGAGAGCGGTGTGACGGCGCGTACGGCGTACGGCGGCGCGGGAAGTTGAGGGATTTTCGTTGAGTTGTAGTACAAATGTAGTACTGGGAGGACAGAGCCGGAGGGGCGCGAGAGCGGACTGCGGCGCGTATGACGGCGCGTACGGCGGCGCGTGCGACGGCGCGAACGGGGGATGGAAACGAAAGGGGGATGGCGCGGGGATCAGGGCCGAGAGCAGTGCGACGGCGCGTGCGGGCGCGGGAAGCTGAGGGATTTTCGTTGAGTTGTAGTACACATGTAGTACTGGAGGACAGAGCTGGAGGGGCGCGAGAGCGGACTGCGGCGCGTGCGACGGCGCGTACGGCGGCGCGGGAATCTGAGGGATTTTCGTTGAGTTGTAGTACAAATGTAGCACTGGGAGGACAGAGCAGGAGGGGCGCGAGAGCGGACTGCGGCGCGTGCGACGGCGCGTACGATGGCGCGGGAAGAAGGATTTTCGTTGAGTTGTAGTACAAATGTCGTACTGGGAGGACAGAGCCGGATAGGGCGCGAGAGCGGACGGCGGCGCGTGCGACGGCGCGTACGGCGGCGCGGGAAGCTGAGGGTTTCTCGTTGAGTTGTAGTACAAATGTAGTACTTGGAATCCTGGCTTTTTTATGACTAGTTAACATAGTTATGTTAGTTAGCTAAAAAGTTAGGTGGAGTTAGCTTAAGTTATAGACATCAAATGTAGAGGTAAGTTCCCTTGTAGTTCCTATAGTTTAAAGGCATTGTTTAGGCTACGGAGTCTGATACAAGAGAAGAAAATCAGTGGAGTCTAACAGTGGTTTAAGTAATAACATATATATATATAACATACCTTTTCAAACGTATGTAAAGGAAAAATACGTGTCCATGGCCTGCATGGGCAGGCTGTCGTGCATAGCCATGATAGGGCTGCAACATGTCATGTGCGTGTGGAAATGCCATGTGGCGGATACAGAAGCATTGTTTTTTTCAAAGCCTGTGGTACAGCTGGTATTGTAGCAGCACAGTGGCCTCGCTCTCCGAGGTCTTGCTGTACACCAGTGGGTACAGGATGGAGTCCATGGTCACGAAGCCTTGCTCGTTGGTGATGGAGCACTTGGCGAACTGCTTTGTCTTCTGTGTCTCTGTTGGCCTCCAACGTTGGACGAGTGTGGCTTTGTCGTCTCCGAGCTCCAAATGGAAAAGCACCTGGCCCAGGTCCCATCTTCCGTTGTCCTGGCGGAAAACCACGACGTCCTGGGCATGGATGGCACCACCCCTTGCGAGCCTCGCGACGGAAGCAACCTTGGCTTCGCTCGCGGAGCAATCCACAAACTGGTTGAGGAATTGCAGCTGCTGCTTGTTGGGCTTCTTTGGCTTCACCAACTGGCAGGAGTCTGGAAACCGCCCGGGCTCTGTCAACGTGGTGATCTCCATGGCGAGCACTTGCTTCATCAAGTGGATCTCGAAGGCAGTGGTCTTCTGGAGCCTGGTGGCGAAAGCCGAAATTGTTTTATGTTTCCGTTCGCTGGTAAAAGTGGAGAGCAGGCAGCCATGCCGGTGGAGAAAATCTGGAAGATGCAAGAGCCAATGCCACTTCCTCATCAATCCCACGTCGAAGTTGGCCTGCTGGAAGCTCTGGATGGACTCTTCCGCAGCCTCCAGAAGGCTGGCCCTGGTGGTGGCCCCATACATGACCCCTTGGTGAACCTGGTCTAACAAGCAGGCCTGGCTGAGGAAAGCTTGGCAGGGCTTTGGGCAGGTTCCGCTTGGCACAAGTACAGAATGCAAAAAATGGCGAACGACTGGATAAATGCCTAGCAGGTCGGAAGCCTGGCAACTGAACTTGTGGCTGCTCTTGTACTTGGCGACCTTGCTGGCGTCAAACAAACCGGCCAAGTGACCGGCTTTGGTAGCACCTGGAAAGTTCCACATGGCCATGTATGGGCCCATGGCCTCCCAAATGTTGTAGTGCTCAGAGATGGCATGGAAGGTGTGGAACAGCACGACCGGGGCCGTTCCTTGCAGAATGCCGTGCATCCAGTCATGGCAGAATTGGCTGACTGGCTTCACCTGGTTCTTGGCCAACAAAGTCTGGTTGAGGAGCAAGGCATGGGCATTCCAGGTCCAGCCGGTGGCTTGTTGCCACTGCGAGAATTCAGCTTTGGTCCTGCACGTGGCTCGCCTTTCGTTTAATCTGTGGAAGGACTGGACGACGTCTTCGTCAGTGGTCAAGACCAACTGGCTGTACTTGGTGGTGCGATGGTCCATGGTGTCCTCGTCGTCGCCAGTGGTGGGTTGTCCTGAGTGGATGTTGGCACAAAGGATGCAGAATTTTGTGCCTGCGTCCCCCTTGCTGGACCAAATCTGCTTGTGGGCAGCACCGTCTGCAAGACAGATGGCCCACCGAAAATGCAGTCGAACATCGGAACCTGGGCCACATGGACTTTTCAATAAAAACCCTGCCTGTGGTTCCACGTGGGCATTGGCGAAGATGGCTTCCAAGATCTTGGACATGATCTGGCCAACGCCGCCTTGGACCTGGCTGACGAAGCTGGACCTTTCCAGGGAGATGGTGAGCCAGAGGTCTTCGTGGTGGAGGAACTGGTCCATCTCTTGGAAACTGGCATAGATCGCCCACAACTTTCGTTGGGCTGGTCCTAACACGTTTCCAGGAATCACCTCGTCCGAATAAATAATAAGTTGCCATGGCTTGGAGACCGATGATGGGTTGGCTCGGTGCTTCCTTTGGACCAGATCATGGAAGCTTCCACCCATCTGGAAAAGGCTGGCCAAGTAGACCAAAAGGTTGGCAAAATACATGGTGACTTTGGCACCATCATCGGTGGTGACCTCTGCTTCTTGGATCAAAGGACCCAGTGGCCCACCATGGCAGCTCTGTAGAAGCTCGTCCCTGGCTTTCCGCTGGTCATTGGAAGAGCTCTTCTCTGGGAGGCCTTGCTCCTTGGCGGCGTCGACAAAAGCAGCCAGTGCACTCTGGGAGTGAGCTGGCAAAGCGGCTTTGAAAGTAAGAAGCTGCTGCAGCTTGCTTCTTTTTCTTGGAGGTTCCATGGCCAGAAATGGCTGGAGGGGGGGTTTAGGGAAAATGCACAAGGGAACTTCCGGCAGACTAGTAGCTGGGGAGCGAAAATATGATGGAAGGATGTCTGTCTAACCCTGCTGCGATCTTTGGTCTTTCAAGCACGTCTGGAGCCAAAATGCTCGCCCACACAAGAATGGCCGGCCGTATATGGCTTGTGCAGAAACATGCATGCTGAACTTGAAGGCAGTGCCCCTTTTGTCCCCTGCTCGGCACGACCTCCTGCAGCCCGTGGCCTTGCATGGCTTCTTGCTACCCTGCACCTGGGTGGCGGCGGTGCTCCCCGCAAAAAGCCTTGCTTGGCAGCGGCTGCCTTGAAAAAAGGCCTAGTTCTTGGTCTTCTTTTTGGCGGCGGCTGCCTTCTTGGCTTGGATGTAGTCTTTCCATGCCTGGCGACCTGGCAGTCGCAAGCCTGCAAAGTTGGGATCGATGCACGTGGAACACCCTTTGGTGTTGCCTCTGCAACGAATGCAACCGAAAGTCTCGGCGGGCTTGGCCTTCTTGGCCTCTTTCGGTGGCTGCCGCATGGCCGGTGCCGCAGCTGGCCGCTTCATGCCCTTGGACTGCTTCGTCTCCTTGGCCTGCTTCTTGGTCTCGTTCTTCTTGCTTTGGAGCTTGGCGAAGGCCTCCTTTTCGAACTGCTCCAAAGTTTTCTTCTCCTGCAATGCTTCAAGCCATACACACAAAACATGTGATTGAAGTCGAGTCCCTATAAAGCAAAGCTGTCCTGCTTGGGAGACTGGTCGTTCTTTGTGGGGTCTGTGGCCGCAGTCTCCTTGCCAGCAGTCTCTGTGGGTGGCTTGGTGTCTTCGGCCTTGGCAGCTGCAGTTGGCTGGGAAGGGGCTGGTGGCAGCCACGGCAAGACCTGGTTCGCGGTTGCAGCTGCGACCGTCTTGGTGGGAGCCCCGAAAGACTGCAGTGGCAGTGGTGCCGGTGACTTGGGCTGGTGACCGTGCTTGAGCTTCAGCTGCTCCAGCTCTTCTTCAAACGTGATGGCCGCTTGTGGCGTTGCAGGTGGTCGCTTGCCTCTGAACCTGGTGCCCTTGTTGGCCGCCAAGGACGCATGGGTGTTCCGCAATGGTACCTTGGTTTGCAAGTATGTGTGATTAAAACAGAAGCAATTTAAAACATCAGACATGTGCCTGCAAAGCATGGGTCTTCATGCAAGCCGAGGGCCTTCTTCAGCCATGGCGCCATGCAGGGCTCCTGGCCCAGTGGCTTGTCCGTGGGGTAAGCTTTTCCCAGCCAGACTTCTCCCATCTCGTTGGGGTTGGCCGGGTAGGTCGCTGCTCCCGGGCAACTTGTCGCTGGCAAAGCTTGGAAAACCGCTGCAAAGTCGGCGACGGCAGAGATGATGGAGTCTGGGCTGAGGCATGGCCTGCCTTGGCCAGATTGGACCATCAACATTACGGCCACAGCCTTGTGCCTTGGTGCCTTCCTTCAGGCTTTGGACTCCCATGCCTTTCAGCCGCTTGGCCAAAACCTGCAACTGGTCCGTCTGGGTGACGTAAGTGGTCAAGGCTGTCCAATCTGAGTGGGTCAAGTATGGCGCCAAATTGGGCACACTCTGGCCGGAGTTCACGAGCTTCAAGTGAGATCCTTGGCTCGTGCTCAAGTTCTGGATGGTATCCAGAATGCCACTCTTCATGGCTTCAGGGAAAGTTGAAGCCTGGGTCTTGGCTAACAACTGGCAGATGGCTTCGGAGGACCAGGACTGGTAGCTTTTCAGCTTTGTGCAGAAGGTGGAAGCCATTGACGCTGCCACTGGGCTGTCTGGGAGCATGCCAAGTTCTGGAGATGGTCCAGCTCCTGGACTAGGTCCTGGCACCCGTACTGCTGCATGGCTTGGTCTCTTTCCTTGGAAGACCAGTGTGTTCAGCCAGAATGGCTTCGGAAAAGGCAGGCTTGTCTCTGCAGAAGGAAATCAAAAACATCATGGACTGCAACTAAAACGTGACTGGAAGAAGAGATGTCCTGCTTTCTGTGTCGTTCCTAAAATGGCAGAGCCACACTGGCGAAAGGATATGTTGTGCATCTGTATCTAGAAGCATATATGGGTTTATGGTTGGAAGAAAAGAATTGAAGACCCTGGTGTCCTGAATTGGCAAGCATGGGAAAGCCAAGTGGCTGGAAACTTTAGGGTATGGGTTTAGGGTTCCCAGAGCATGGATAGCCGCTTGGCTTCAGGACATGGCAAGACGGTCACAGCAGTCTTTTTGGCAGCCGCGACTGACTTGGCTGCCCTTGCTCCAGTGGAAGACGTGGCCGTGGTCCTGGCAGGATCAACAAATTTGTGGTGTGGCTTCAACAAAGCTGTGGCTGCACTCCAAGTGGTCTCCTTCATTGGAGATCTCGAAAGCGATCTGGCAGCGATGGCGGGTTTTCGCCAGCCACGATGAGGTCCGTCTGGTACTGGACCCATTGTTGGAGGCTGGGCTCCCCCAAATACCTGGGATTGTGACGGAAGCAAATTGGGGTATATATGTCTGGGCCAAAAAGCCTATATGGTCTCCTTGGGGTATGAATGGACCAAAAAAGCCCGTTGTGGGTTTCCCTACACAAAAGTATGTGGAAACCTAAATGACAATGGGTGCTGCTTGGCATCCATTCCGACTGGCGCTGGCAACGGTTCCAGTCGCCATCATGGACTGCTTGCATGAACCATGTGGCCTTGGAGAACCACGTTGGCGAGTCCGCCGGGCCGGACGTGGCGGGCGGCGGTTGGTCGGACTGGAGCTGGTCCTGGCGGTCGGCCCAGAACGCCTGGCATAGCTGGTTCAGTTTGGCCCACTGGCGTGCTTCGTGGTAGGCCAGCAGCCACTCCAGCTTGTGCTTCCACCCCGTGTCTTTGGTCTTTCTGGTGTGGGTGGAAGCTGGGGTGGCTGCTAGGCTACCACCAGGTGCAGCACTGGCGGATGCTCCGTGGTGGGTAGGGTGGCTCCCTTGGAACTCCTGCTTTTTGGGTCGGCGGCGGCCCGCTGGGTTCGTTTGGTCTTTGCTGGCCCATGGCTGGCTTGGCCCCGGCGCGGTTGCCCTGTGGATGGGCGAGTGGGCGGGTACTTGAGCTTGGGCTGTGTTGGTGCAGCTGGTCGTGGCGGTAGGGTGTCGGTGCTTGGTGGGGCTTTGCTGGGCAGCGACTGGGCCTGGACCTTGACAATGGCGGGGGTGGTGCTGGCGGTGCTGGGTCCGAAAACACGGCGGCCCGCGGTGGGGAGGGCGGCGGCAGCACAGCCGGGTCCGAAAGAGACGGGTGGCCCAGTTGGAGCCGCGGCGCGGAGTGTGGGGCTGAAGGCTTGTGGTCCAGTTGGGTAGCCGGTCTGGGCGGTGTGGCTCAAGGACACCGGCAAGGGCGGTGGCTGGAGGCTGGACTGTTGGGGCTGCCAGCGGGGTGTGAACTGTGCGATGGGCTGCCCTGGACTTGTCACTGGTACCAGCTCCGGGTGGGTGATGGGGTAGACTGCTGGAGCTTGGAGTGGCTGGACGACAGGGTTGGTGGGGATAGGTAGGAAGGCGGGAGGGTGGCCTGCCAGTGGGTTGGGTATGACAGGTGGAGCGTGTTGTGTCATGGGCACTTGGGTGGCCACGAAAGGCCATGGGAAGACAGGAGCCTGGCTCGCTTTGGGAGCCCGGGTGGCTGGGCTGGGGGGAGTCACAGGAGATGCCTGGTGGCTGGGCCCTGCCTCGGGGGCGGCGGATGCTTCGTGGCTGCCGGAGTCATGGGGGACATTCAACTCCACGGTTGGTGCTTGGAACCTGGGTTCCTCTGGCTCCGCTGGCGACTGTGGGTCTGGGCCGAGCACTGTGGGGACGGACGTGGGGCTGCTTTCAACATCTGTGGCATCGTCCATGGTGGTGAAACGTGGCTACTAAAACACCTGTCTCGGAAGTTTGTAACTGTGTGGTGAATGGTATGTGGTTTGTGTTTACTATGAGTTAAGTTCAAAATTTGATTCCAGGTGGTAAATTTTGGGAATTGAGTTAAAAATTTAAATTCAATCTTTCATTGGTTTCAAATTTTTAACTTGAGTCGCAGATTTTGGGAAAGGAGTTCAAATTTTGAACCTAGCCTATTTCATGGTCTGTTGTGAAGCTTACGGCACAGCCATGGATCCATGGTTCCTAAAGCCTGCCCTCATGCTCTGGGCCATGGACGGGAGCATAAACATTGGCAAGCGTATTTGTGTGGAAAGGCCAATTGGCTCATGGAGATGCACGTGCTACAGCCATGGGGCAGCTTGCATGTTGTGGTCCTACTTCCTGGAACAGCCACAGGGCTCGGGTTGTTGGCTGTGCATTTTGTCTGGGAGCTGCATGTTTTTTGGCTTTGCAAAGCGTAAACCCTAAACCCTCAACCCTTAACCCTAAAGCCTGAACCCAAAACCCTAACCCTAAACCTTAAACCCTCAACCTTACACCCCAAACCCTAAACCCTTCACCCTCAACCCTCAACCCTGAACCCTTCACCCTAAACCCTCAACCCTAGACCCTAAACGTGCAGGCCTGCATGGTTTGCTTGGAAACTCTGGTATGGCAGCTGTGGTGCTCATGGCAGCCATTTTTTTTGCCGGAGTGAGGCTCGCTTGGTTCATCCTGGCCGTGGAAAAGGCCTGGGCAGCAGGCCGCAGTGGCCTTCAAAAACAAGCACATGGAAGCCGATGGCAGTGGTGCTTCAAGCCATGGCCTCGTGGCACTGGAACCTGTGGCGGTGCATGGTGGTTTCACCCCCACCGCCAAGCGATGCCGCCAATCCTCAACGACTGGAGCCAATGTTGGCCGCACACCGAGCAGTGGATGAGGCTGTAGAGGCGATGGAGAAAAATTTGGCTGGATGCACAGTTGGTACATCTCAACACAAGATTTCCGCCTATTGGCCAGGCGTGGCCAATGTCCTCCACGCCTGGCAAGGTTGTCACCGTCCCTGGCTCTGGGTCCGTGGTGTTGGCGATCGGCTCGAGTGGGCCCAACCCCATGGTCGCCATGACACCTGGCGGCCCTGCCACGTTGGCCGCTGGTTTCTTTGACGCGACGGGCTTGGACTTGGCCGGTTTCTCCTTCATGGTGGGCTTCTTGGCCGCCGTGGTCTTCTTCATGGCCTTCATGGACGGCATGGCTGCAGGCTTGGGCGGCTGTGGGTGGTGACTGGCCAGAGTGGCAGCTGACATGAAAGCAAAATCCAGACGGAAACAATCATGGCATGCATGTGCACGTGGTATAGCCAAAGAGGCTCTTGGAAATGGTATATAGCCACACAGGCTCAAGCATGCATGGACCCCTGCAGCGGCTAGGCGTGGCCCCTTTTCCTCAAGGTCGGTGGTGGATCCTGCCTGCATGGCGGTGGCCGCCTTGAAAAAAAAAACATGGCTGCTGCATGGATCTGGCCAAAGAGTGGCCCTGCATTATGCCACCATCCTTGATGGATGTGATCCATGGCTGCTCGCGATGCGAGCAGTTGGCCATGTGGTAATGTCTCCACAGAAAGATCCTGCACTGGTCGCAGTTGGAGCACCGAACAAGCACGTGGACACCTGCAGGCCCTGTTGGCTCTGGCACCTGGTCCATGTCGGGGACCTTGCCATTCTTGGCCACGGCCGTCCTGTTGGTGATTTTTTCCATGGCAGGAAGTGGAAGGAAAGGCCAGATGGCTGGGTGGCTTGGCAGAGGAATATGCTGGTGTGGAAAATATATGTATAGAACAAAAACTGTCGGATGTATATTTTTAGGTACATACACGCTATACATCTTGGAAAACATACAGTACAGGCTCAACACTCATATCGGTGTAATCTAGAAGCTAAACATTGACATATCAGTGGAAATATAAGGCTGTTATGAATTCACTAACTGTATGTTTACACACAAATCTCTATCAGTATATCTCTAACCAACTACACATTTATCTTTCTCTATAAACAAATCGTGGAAAAGCCAAAGGGCTCGCACGCTGACCTGAACTGGTATAGCCAAGCAGGCTTCATGCAACATGGACCAAAACCCTGTATGCTCAACCTCGCCGCAGTGGAAGAGTCTGCAGTGCGAAGAGATTCCTGGCAACGTGGTATCTTTCTCTATAAACAAATCCTGGAAAAGCCAAATGGCTTGCATGCTGACCTGAACTGGTATAGCCAAGAAGGCTTCATGCAACATGGACCAAAACCCTGCATGCTCAACACCGCCTTAGTGGAAGAGTCTGCAGTGGAACAGATTCCTGACAACGTGGCCGCTGTCTCTGGCTGCCCTGGGATTGCTGGAGTTGTGACACAGTTGTGGCCCGTGGCTGCCAGGGTGCACGTGGCCGACAAGGGCAACATAACATTCTGGATGAAAGTCTTTTCGGGCTGGATCACGTTCCCTGGCAAGCCTCTTGGGATAAACAAAGCCGCCGGCATGGAACTCATCCATGTGGCCCATCCTGAAGTTGGCAGGAAGCCGGGGTGCAGAAAATGCAGCGAATGGCCCAGTGGTAGAGCGGGTCAGGGAGGCTGAAGTCTGGATTGCATGAACTGGTTGCTCAAGTGGAAGGAGATGGGGCCCACGATCCCACCCACTTGGGCAGGCAGAGCCGTAGTGCTCACCTCCCCCTGGACTGTGGCCTGGACCTCTGTGGCCTCTGTGGCACCCGTCACGGCCACCTCCTCCATGGCTGGGGTCTGCTCCTGGCAAAGACATGCAGATTTGTAATGCATAAGTATACAGAAAGAAGCAAAACAACGTCCTGCTGGTTGGCCATGGCAGTGGCTTGGAAGTTGCTGGCCAAGTGGCTTGGAGTGTCTTGCCAACTGGCTTGGGCTGAAAAACTGCAGGTTGTCGGGCGCCGTGGCATGCTACAAAGACGAGAGAAACATGGCAGGAGTCCGACAATGTGGCATAGCCATTGAGCTGCAGGCAGCTGCATGTGGGTCCTTAACCCAAATCCTGGAGTGCAACCCTGCAGAGCTCCAGTTTTTCCTGCCTGGCAAAACTTGAGCCATCAAAACTCCTCTTGCAGCTCCCGTGCAAAGATGGCTCCGGCTCAGTGGCCCTCAATGCTCTGGCTGCAGTGGCTGCTCTGGAAATGCACCACTCACTTGGTCTTGGCTTTCTTCTTGGCCGATTCTGCTGGCTCCTCGAGCTGGTTCTCGCACAAAATCATGCTTTTGCCTGGAATGCGGACGTGGTTCTGAAGCATGGGAATGGTGGCTGGTCCCTGCTTCACAGTGGTCCACTGCATGTTGGCAAGTGGAGCATCTACTGGCTTGCACCAGAACCACGGGACCGCCACCCCATGCTGGTCCACATCTTGTTTCCAGCTGCCAATGGACCATTTCTCTCCGAACGCATGGACGACCAACCTGGCCTTCCCCGGCTCTTTGACCTTGGAGACAGGGCCTATGGGAAGCAGCTTGAGCTTCTTAGGCTGGAGGGTCTGCCTGGCAAACAGTGCCTGGGGGCTGCAAGCGAAGCCGAGCAGCTCCTGGTCCTGGCAGGAGTGCTTCTGGTAAGCTTCGTGCAAGGCACAGACCACTTGGGCTTTCTGGAACTCTTCCACAGCCATGGCATGCTCTGTGGGGAAAGCCTTGGCCACCATGGCCTCTTCTGCCAGGAAAGGCATCCGCTGCTTGGACACCCTCCACTTCTTCAAGTCGCCCAAGGCAACTTGCACATTCTGTACTGGCAACAGAATGGGACGATGCTGCATGGTGGCCCCGTCGTTGGTCACCTCCAAGAGCTCGAAGACCTTGGACCCATGCTCTTTGGGAAGGCAGAACCTTGGCTCCCAAATGGCAACAAGATTTAAAACACCAAACGGAATGCACAAGCAGAAGACTTGCAACTAAGACACAGCTCGCCCACCTTGATGTGGCTGTTCTGCAGCAGCATGGCCTGGTACGGCTGGGCCTTCACCGCATCCTCAACCTGGCCTGCCTGACTGGAGGCCGCCTGGCTTGGAGTGGGCACACCCGACACCTCCTGTGTGAACTTGTCCAGGATCTCTGGCAAGGTGTCGAAGCACACCTGGTCTGGGGCATGCTTCTGCTTCTTCACGATGAAGAGGATGGTCCTCACACAGAGCTTGCCAAAGCACCTGTACAGATGGAGGGTCTTCTTGTGGTTCTCAGCAGTGGCGGCGGGCAGCTGGGACTGGATAAGGTGCCAGCAGTCCGCCAGCATGGACTCCCCGGCCTTCACTTGGTCCAGGATGGATGGCGTGGAAAGTTTTTGCAAGTCCGACCTCACCAACAACCTTGCAAACCCATCATTGCTTTTCTGGGAAGTCAATTGGCTCGCCCAGACGGCCGTCCGGGTCAGCGGAAAGAGGTTGGTCGCCTCTGGAAAAGTCATGTTGGCAAGAGTGTCGGTAAAGTCTGTGCCTAACATGAGTGTCGCACCGAACATGGACCCGAATTGGGAGAGGAATCGGAGCAGCGGCGCCCCTGGGCCCCCGCCATACCTCGACACATAATGGCCTATACTGGCCAAACTGGCTCTGCAGGCCACCTCCCCGCTTGCCACCTGCTTGATGGCGGCCTCCAAAGTGGATCCCAGCTGGAGTTGGGCTGCGATCTGGCAGGCTGCCTCGAGCTCGCTGGTGGCCGTGCCAATGGCGTTGCCACTGTTGGCACCGACCTGGAAGAACTGTGGCAAGCTTGGCATGACTTCCTCCACCGAGGAGGCAACAACGTGCCACTTCCAGCCCTTCTGGATGGCTTCCCAAACTGGATCCGTTCTGGGCACGCTGATGGCTTTGCCATTGGCATCTTGGCAGCCATGCTCGAGGCATCTGAGAAATGCCGTGGTGTGGCTGGAGGCTAGGCTCAGAAAGCCTCAGTCTTGCTGCATGGCAAGCACGGAATGAAATAACTGAACTTATTCACTTAAAACCTTGCTCTAAGCACAAACACACCAAAAAACAAATATCATATAGCTCCGAGTGGCCCTCCTGACCACTCACTGGTGCCAGGGAGCCTCCGGCTTCCTGGACAAGCTGCTGGTTTTTCCACACCTGCTGCTGGCGCTTCTGCGGATCTGTGGCGAGCTGGACGCAGATGGAGTTTTCCAACAGCTGGACTTGCAGTCCAACGGCAAGCAACTGGTGCCCCTTGGCCCAAACATCAAAATGGCTCACCATCTGACCTCCTCTGTTGGAGGGGTGGCAAAGCACCTGCTTGGGCTGCAAGCACTGTGTCTGGCAAAGCCCATGGCTTTCCAGCACCTTCAAGACCTTGGTCACCCTGGTGTTCACTGGCTCCGCACCATTCACTATGGATTCGACCTCTTGGATCACAGCTGGAGGGACAGCCATGGCTTCGAACTGATACAGCACTGGTTCCTATCCTGGACTGCTGCCCTGACTGCAGTGCTGGGATGGATTTAAGGCCTGCTTGAAACTGCAGTTGCTGCACTGCATGCATACTTATAAGAGACTCTGATGCAAAGTGTGCTTCTGGAAGCCTGGTGTGGAAAGCCAGAAGGGCTGAGCGGTTGCAACTCATGCTCTGGCGGAAATAAATGGGACGATGCAGGCATGTGTACACTCAACAACAGCAAGCCTGCAAGCATGCACTGTCACAGTTTTTCCTTCCCAGGGCCGTCACATCATCAAAACTCCTTCTATACTCATGGCCTGAGACTGGCTACTGGCTCTGCTTCTTCTTGTAGCTTCGCTTGGCTTGGCCGAGTACATGGTCTAGGTCTTCCTCACGAACGGTTTCGATGATGGCCGTCAGCTGGTTGGCCTCCAACTCCACCGTCAAGGCTGAGGCCCTGGGGCGCTTCCCCTGCATCAAGCAATGGACGGTGGTCTCTCTCACCTGGATGGCAACATCCTCGCCACTTGGTCTGGCTGGCCCCCGTTTCTTGGATGCCTTGGAGCTAGGGGCATCCTCGAACAATTGCTCTGGTCCATCAGCTGGCGGCTTGTCAAACTCGGCATTTCTTTTCTTGACCAAGCTCTGCATGGCACCCGAGTTGGAAAGACTGGCATTGACCTGGCCTCGTCGCCCTGTCAGCAACTGGACGATGGGATGGGATGTTGGCCGCAGTTGGACATATGACTTGTTGCTCTTGTGGTGGAGCAGCTCCTCTGGGATCAACACCTTGCTTTCCTGGCCGTAACGGATGGCGACGACATGGGAAATCTCCGCCATCGCTGCACGGCTGGCAAATCTGGGCAGGTATCTGGGATGTCGAAGGCAGGGCCAGATGGCTGCTTGAAAACCCTAGCAAAAGCATGACATGGGCACGGTGGCATGGCCATGCGGCTCTCGTATTCACATGTATATGGTGACATCACATATCAAACAATCATATGAGAAATCAAAAAAAGTTACAATATTCAGAAATGTATAACTCGTTCTGCCTATAGCTTTCTTCCGAAATATGCAATATGTTTCTGAAAAGAAATGTTAAAAAACAAAAATGATGCCCTTCGCTCCGTTGCATGGACCTTCAGTTCCATGGATCATCAGTCGCCAAAACGATAATTGTCATGGCAAAATAGCTTTGACATGTCTCATTCTCCTATTGTAGAAATATATATGTCCATGTCGATAACTCCATCTAACTCACCCTAACTTTTATAAATAGTTAACTTAGTTATGTTAGATAGCTAAGAAGATCGTAACATTACTAACATGACACAAAAGTTATAAGTCTTATCCATGCTTATAAACACTTAACACACTGTTAGCACTTACTTATAACCGCTTAGTAATTAGGGTATAACTCCACACAACTATCTTAACTACTTCTAAGAAACCCAGGATTCCAAGTACTGGGAGGACAGAGCCGGAGGGGCGCGAGAGCGGACTGCGGCGCGTGCGACGGCGCGTACGGCGGCGCGGGAAGCTGAGGGATGTTCGTTGAATTGTAGTACACATGTAGTATGGGAGGACAGAGCCGGAGGGGCGCGAGAGCGGACTGCGGCGCGTGCTTGGCGCGTACGGCGGCGCGGGAAGCTGAGGGATGTTCGCTGAGTTGTAGTACAAATGTAGTACTGGGAGGACAGAGCCGGAGGGGCGCGAGAGCGGACGGCGGCGCGTGCGACGGCGCGTACGGCGGCGCGGGAAGCTGAGGGATTTTCGTTGAGTTGTAGTACAAATGTAGTACTGGGAGGACAAAGCCGGAGGGGCGCGAGAGCGGACTGCGGCGCGTACGGCACGTACGGCGGCGCGGGAAGCTGAGGGATTTTCGTTGAATTCAGTACACAAGTAGTAATGGGAGGACAGAGCCGGAGGGGCGCGAGAGCGGACTGTTGCGCATACCACGGCATGTATGGCGGCGCAGGAAGCTGAGGGATTTTCGTTGAGTTGTAATACAAATGTAGTACTGGGAGGACAAAGCCGGAGGGGCGCGATAGCGGACTGCGTCGCGTATGACGGCGCATACGGCGGCAGGAAGCTGAGGGATTTTCGTTGAGTTGTAGTACAAATGTAGTACTGGGAGGACAGAGCCGGAGGGGCGCGAGAGCGGACGGCGGCGCGTGCGACGGCGCGTACGGCGGCAGGAAGCTGAGGGATTTCGTTGAATTGTAGTACAAATGTAGTACTGGGAGGACAGAGCCGGAGAGGCGCGAGAGCGGACTGCGGCGCGTACGACGGCGCGTACGGCGGCGCGGGAAGCTGAGGGATTTTCGTTGAACTGTAGTACAAATGTAGTATTGGGAGGATAGAGCAAAATGTGCATACGGAATGGATGTTAAAGTGAGGGTTTCACTCCGGCACTGGTGTCATTCGGATTGTTTTTGGGTTCCTGGCTTGACCTTGTTTAAGGGCCGGCGCCTGTGATTCCCGACTGCGCCAGCCGCAGGGAGCCCTGCCGCGGCGGCAGGTCCAGGTCGGCACCTTCTTTTGTTGGCTTTTTTTGCTAGTTCTCAGATGTTTCCCAGGGGGCGCCGGAGAGATAAGCAGATGCAGGCGAAATCACTAAAGCAGACCGCGGCCCTCGACGGATCCTGTTGGGTCTCGGGCCTTTGCTGGAGGTCGCTGGAAACCGCTTCGGCAGGGCACCTCGACATGCAGCAGAGACCAGTCTAAATGACAATGACTCAGCAAAATTCAATTGAGGCACACATCGACTTCGCATCCTGTTGTTTCGGAGGTGGTGTTGCCTAAACAAAACAACAAACACTACCATGCTGGAGTGAAAGAGATCAAAGACAGACAATGATGTATATTCGTCATCTTCATCGACTTGGATGAGCGGTGACATGTCTGGCAATGCTGGCAACATCCGGCAGCGCTGCAACATACTGCCACGAATGCATGCCGCTGGTTGATGCAACGCTAATTTTCTTGTCGCTGCCAGCTTCGTCTACACCTTCCGTCCACGCAGAACTGCCAGGTATGGAGTCAACCCACCTCGGCGCATTAGTGTATGGCAGCTTAGGCTGCTGAAAATGGTGTTTTGGAATGTCATGACCAACTGTCCGCGCAACACTTTCTGCATGCGTTCATGCTGTACAATGGTTCCTGTGTCTGGCACAAAGTTCTTGCGATTCCAGACTAGCACACCACACCTTGTATCGAGCGCACCGACACGGCTTACCCTGGCTGCCGAGCCACTGTAGTCCTTGCAAGGACTCCCCGTTCCGAAAGCGCTCTTCGGAGTCCTGCACCTTGGACATGAGCTCCTGTCAGGGCGACTGCGAATGGTCCTGCTGTCTGTCTCTGTTTCTTTAGCAAAACAGGTGCTTCCCATCTAGAAAGCTCGGCCCAGCTCCGGTTTGCTCTCGGTTGACACCCCATCTGAAGCCTCGGCCAAGAAGTCAAAAATCTCGTGGACGTCTCCTGTGCCTCGGTTACACTTGAACAAGCCTCTAGCAACCTCAAGGCCCGCAACAAGCTCGAATGGCTGGCCATGGCTGGCCCACACAAGTTAGTCTTTCAGCATTGAATGAGAAGAAACCGCATTGTGCCTGTCATGATGTTCTCCGGCAATCATCGAACATTGCTCCCAAGCATGGCGCCAACTAGCGAAATGTCGTAAATTTTTCAAGAAAGGGATTAGGGCCGCAAATGTCAGGCTATGCAGGGCACACTGCCGAACCAAAGCGGTCGAGCCGCAGGCACTCGTTGAAAACATGCGGATTTCCAGCCTGAGTTCGACTGGCGAGATCGTCTTGACACATGCGGCATCGCCCATGTCCCTGGAAGGGCTCTCTAGAGCCCAATGTTGCCTGAGGACCCGGCTTTGCTGCCAAAGACTTTGCCATGGCCAGCGTAACGGAGTCGCAAAATTCAGGTCGATCGGACTTGCAATGTGCCAGAGCTAACAGAAGCCCTGGACACAGTTCCCTCAGCATCACCACCCAAAGCTCAGCAGCCTCAAACGACTGCCGATCCTCTGCAGAATAGGCCACAATGCATGCCTTCGATCGCTTGCAGCAGCTCTCGGCCAACGCACGAGGATCATCTCCACCTTGCAGAGAGCGAGAGTAATTTTTGAGCAATAAGAAAGTTGACTCAAGGGGCGTCCGTGTCTGTTGACTTCACCCCCCATCGCCTGGCGTATCCCACAAATGGAAAGTGATGTCGCCACCTGCTAAACAATGCCTCTTTTCGATAAAGCTGGTGACCAAAGTGCGCCTGTACCTGGGGCAGTCGCAGCAGAATATGGGAGCACTGCCTTTGGCAAGGGACCGAGCTTACGAGAAACACACAGCCAGCCAATTGCACTCCAGGCCACTCGTCGTTGAAGGAACCCTGCATGCAAGGTCAACGCTTCTCTAGAAACTTAGCCACAGCCTTGCCTCCCGTCACGAAAACTACGAGCAGGAAACCGCTCCCCAGCGCAAAAAAAGGATTGAAACAAATGTGGGGTAGTGGTAGTAGTGGTAGTAGTGGTAGTAGTGGTAGTAGTGGTAGTAGTGGTAGTAGTTGTAGTAGTGGTAGTAGTGGTAGTAGTGGTAGTAGTGGTAGTAGTGGTAGTAGTGGTAGTAGTGGTAGTCGTCGTAGCAGCAGCAGCAGCAGCGGCAGCAGCAGCAGCAGCAGCAGCGGCGGCGGAGGCGGCGGCGGCGGCAGTAGTCGTGTCGTCGTCGTCGTCGTCGTCGTCGTCGTCGTCGTCGTCGTCGTCGTCGTCGTCGTCGTCGTCGTGGTCGTGGTCGCGGTCGCGGTCGTCGTCGTCGCATTAGTACTAGTCGTCGTGTGCTCGAAGTAGTAGTCGTAGTAGTGGAACTTGCAGTAGTGGTGGTCGTCGGTCTCGAGACCGTATAGCGAAGTGCATGCTTTGAAAAACAGGCCCCAAGGGACCCATCCGAATCTCATGTCTTCGAGATTTGTGCGTGGCAGGGGATTCTTTACATAGCGGCGCCAGTTGGTACCATCCCCTTGGCCCGAGATCCCACTCCATGGCCTGTGCGAAGCGCTGAAGCAAGCAACTCTTGCCAGCGCAGCTACTGCCGACCACTGCCACGTTGAAGGTGACATCGACATCGAAGTCATCGCAGTCGGTGATTAGATCTGCGACTGTCTGAGTCGCTGGAGTTATTGCACTGTGTGTGTTAGAAGCAAGGCTGCCCGCTGCAGCAGCAGGCAGGCCCAATAGACTCGCGGCTCCAACCGGATCCTCCTTGTGCGCCAGGTGTAGGTCGGCTAGAGCAGCTATGGACGAAGGGCGAACGAGAAAAGAACAAAGGGCATCGAGAGGACATTATAATATGCTGACATGTTAATGTATAGTCTGCCTGACCGATGCAGGAACTGCACTTAAGCTTCTCAGCAATGCAATTACGATGCGTCCTGTGCGATTTCTGCCAATGCTTGGGCAAGGGCGGAAACATCATTGCTCGAAGCAGTCATGAAGTATACATGAGCCGCTCAGCCTTGAGGAAATGTGAAAAAGTGTCACAAACATGACAGTTTAGCATTTTGCGTCTTGCTAGCTGCAGCTCAGCGGGGGGAAGGGTGGGAGGTTCTTGTTTTTGGTGCTTCTTGCGTGCGCTAGGGGGTAGCCCTAGCTGCTACATCTGTCTTCCTACAGCGTCCTGTCGGCTTGAGCACTGTCTGCAGAGGTTTAATGCGCGGAGGCAAAGCTTGCAAAGCAGCTAATATGTGACTTTACGGTCGCGGCCTCACAGCTGATCGTGCTGGCCTCAGAGTCACTCAAAGCTTCGGACGCACATTGTTCCGAGCGAAGACTCGGCGAAGACAACAACCAAACTTGATGGGACAGATGGCGCCGGCCCGGCCAATGAAAGCAAGCGGAATGGAATGGACCCGGGCAGGCTATAGCACGTATTAATGAAAGCTTGGCTTCGCTAGTTTTCGTGGTATGTGCCACATGACCAGGACCTTTAGTAGGACTTGCCTCCTGCCTGTCTGCTTGGGCCCAAGCCGTTGCCACACTACAGTCCGAACGGGGCGATGTCGGGGAAGACACCTGCTGAGAATGGTGCCCTTTCCGTCTTCTGGGCCAAGGTCACTAGCACAGGTATGCACGCTTCGCGGCATTCCTTGTATGCAATTTGCAGGGCACCGAAAATGCCTTTCACAACCCCCAGCCTCCAAATCTCGCGTCGGTAATGAAGATGGCAAGGCATGTCCCTGTCGGGGCTCTGGGCTCGTGAGTCAATGATGCAACCTTGCCCAAGCGATGATAACAGCAAAGTGGCTGCTGGCCTTCGCAATGGCTTGGGGGAGCTGTGCTCTTTGTGAGACGTTCTGCATTTCTTCGTGAGATCCATCGGTGCCAATCGCTGGTTTGGCTTTCGGCTTGCATACAGGTTTGCTCTTGGGTTTGCTGGCAGGCTTGGCTGCGCTCTTAGCGGTGCTACCGCCCTCCGCAATGTTAGGACCCTTAGGTGCTGTTCTTGCTGTGCTGGGCGCAAGGTCGGCATCCCGGCTTGAGGAGTCGGCCGTTAGTCTTGCACCACTGCTGGCAGCCTTGATGCTCGGGTCCAATCTGCCGCCTGGCGTGTTCGTGGTGTCGCGGTCGCAAGTATCTGCGCTCTCCAGGGGAGCATTCGGAGCAGCAGCACACTTCTCCTCGAATTTGGCGTTGTTGCTCGCGACTGTTTTGTGCTCGGCAGCGGTTGCAAAGTCAATCGAGGCTTCGTTGACCTGCCTTGTTTGATGGGGCTCGGCATCAGAACTGGGAATCTTCATGTCACGAGTTCGTACAGGTTCCGTGACTGGTTCTGGTTGATTTGGAGATGCCTGCGGTGCGGCCTCAGGTGCGGCACTTGCAGAGCGTCTCGGCAAGGCTTTTGCTTTGGCTCTTGGGGGCCGTTGAGTCCTGCCCTGTGTCCGGGGAGATGCGTTTGAACTGTTTGAACTAGCTGGAACAGTTGGTGATGCTGATCGTGCAGACCCAAGCCTCTGAATCGGTGCCTTCAGCATTGGTCCTGTTGAAGCACGTTTAGGTCCGAAGCTTCGCCGCGCTCGGTCCTCTAAGGCACTTGGAGTTGTCTCCGTTGCAGTCTGCATGGTCGCATCCGCCGACATCCGGCGCAGTATTTTGGGTCTTCTCCCCGGTTCCTCACCAGGCGCCGGGGAGGCCTCCCTCGAACCATACGGGGAAACACTTGGGAGACGCGCAATTGCAGATTTCCGCTCCGAAGAACGAGGGCTAAACTGGGAGTCAGTGCGCTCGTTCCACACCGCATCAGCATGGCCTGACCGGTCCTTCGTGAAAAATGCACCTCTTGTGTCCACCTCCTGACGACGTCGACTCAGGACCGATGCCAGCTCAGATGCGGCCATGCTTTAAAAGACCCTCATTGGCTCATTGGCTCATTGGCTCATGACTCATGCTCTTCACGGCTCTAGTGCCGAAGCTAGATATGCTTCAAGCAGTTCTTGATCTTTCAGTCGGGAGTGATGCAGCTCCAGCAGGCAATGAATCTAGGGGTTCTGGCACAGGCTACCTGCCAGAAACCTGCGGTTTGCAAGTCTATGTTAACCAGGCTAGTGCCAGCTGCTTCCACCTGTTGCTTCAAACTTACACTTCTATTCGGGCAACATGCAGCACCATGCTAGTATATGCTAGTCAATGCATTCAAGATCTCAAGCTGAAGAGCCAAAGAGCATGCAGCGAGTCTCAAGAGATGTCAGACCCCAAATGCCATGTTTTTGCAATCATTGATGGTAATGTTGCCTGGGTTCTATCCTTGTCACATCAAACCTCCGCTGGACTGGAGGGTAATTGCAGGATCACGCACGCAACGTGCTCCACGCCAAGCGCATCATCAAAGCAACACGTCCAGTTTCAAAGTGTATCTGTTGGGCATGCAAGGCATGATATATACACACCCGCGTCCTCTACACTTTTCGTAATTATCATACCGGCTGCAGGCTTGTGGCAAATAGGCACCACGCATGCAGCACTTTCAGCGTGACATGCTGATCCTGGCATGCAAACTATAACTACCAAACTTCGACAGTGCTCATGCCGGATTCAGAATGCTCGCCTCCCCAGGTACAGAGTGCTATGTACAAAGGCCACGCACAGATTGTTCATGCAAGGCCAGTAGAACATCATCATTAAAATCGATGAAATCCGAAGTTGGAACGCTTGCAAGCCAGCATATTGCACATGCCAAATGTATCAGTGTGCTGCGCAGTTGCGCAGTTCGCTGCAAAGAAAAATATTCGGCAGTATCAATGACTCTTGCTGGCTGGCCGATTTGGATCTCCTAGCGCTGGCTCCCCTCCTGGGTTTTCACAAGAATGGTTCTTGCTGTCCTACCCAAGTTTGCAGGAGCCATGACAATGACCTTCCTTAAAGAATGAATGCTTCGGCCCTGTTGTTGCGGATGCCTTGATTGCCATGAGGAATTTGTAACGACAAGGAGGTCACATCAATGTCGGCCCGATCTTCCCCACGTGCCTGCTTTGGCACGGCCAACAGGACATTATCTGATCGGCATTGGCAATTGCTAACCAGCAGGCTGCACGTTTGCAGCATTTTGCAGGTTACCTGACAAGTTGCCAAATTGCCAGGGCCCCGAGTTTCCTCTCTTACTTTTGCAGCCCCGATGGAATTCCCGACGCTGGACTTGCCAGCCGTCCAGCTCAAGCGCATAAGGCTAAAAACTGTGCTCCACTTGCAGGTGCCCATGCCGGACGCCCCATTAGAGGCCCATCCAATCGAACCTTGGGCAAGCTAACATGCTGGCACATGGTCTGACATAGTCTGACATAGTCTTTCTTAATCCACGCACTTGCATCAACCTGAGAGTTGGAACCCACCAATGCCCACTCGGAAGCTCTATCCTGACAGGATCAAGTATGCAATGCAGCGGGTGATCAAAACTGGTAAAACGACATGGTCCTCCGCATGCACTTGAACCCCACCTCAGAGAGGAGTTGCTTCGCATGGAACGGAATGCCGAGTACAAACCAAGGGTGCTGCCAGCTGCGGGCAGACCAGTGTGTATCCTTCCTGCAAGGCGAATTATATTATTTCTTAGCTTCTCATTGAAAGGCGCAATTTGCTGAGGGCTGGCTTTGTCATAACCGCGGATGGTCTCATCCAGTGATGACATCGATGCTTCCAACATGTCCAGGGCTGCCCTGGCACTGGAACTGTTGCCACCTGTGTGTGAGCTGCATGAGATTCATGTTTCAAGCCATGCCACAATTCTCAAGTCGAACCACTGGGTACTGCGCTGGGTGACTCAGTGCATGCGCGGGACCTGAAGTCTGATCTCTTTTGTTGAGCACCTCCCTGAAGATCAAACGGCAAGAAGCTGGCCGAGGAAGACGCGCGCTCGTCGATCGAGCTCGAATGAACTCCGCAGCTGATCTTTGTCTTGCAATGGCCTCGAACAGAACTGCTTGTGATGTCGCACCCGTGTGCCCCATTATACGACGAATGCTCGGCCGCTCGGCCTCATATCGCGAGAGCCTGCAGCTCGCATAAGGATACGGTTCTCTGCTGACAAGTCGAAGCTGCTACACATGCTAGGGAAAAGGCAATGCATTTGTGTGCATCTCCACGAGAGCATCCAAGTCAGTCTCCGCTCGCTGAATGGCCTGCGGCCACAATGCGCATCATGTGCGTAGCTGTATACTTGGCACTGCGCTGTCCAGAAACACAGCTTATCTGAGGGTTGCGTAGCCCTTCCCAATCTCCAAGCCATCAACCCCTGGCTCCTGACTAGTGATGTTGACAAGCTTGCAACCAATGTCCAGGTTGATATCCAGCCTTCTGCATGTCAAGATTCACGAACTGCACAAGCAGAAAACCAAACCAAATTGACATGGCCCGCGGAAGCAGCTGCTGAGACTGGTTCATTGCCGTCAGGAGAGTATCGACCGCTTGCGTTGCCTGGCACAAATTGCATCCAGCAAGCACAGGCTTGCACAGTCACCCGGCACGGTCTGATCATCAGCCCTATGGGCAAATACCAAGTGTCAAATTCGCGAAAACATGGGTACCTGAACATCTATGCATTGAAAATTAATCGTTGGCCTTGCAGCTCTCGCACTGACTAGTTCGGCATCGCAACTGCTGCAACTCCCAACCTGTCTGAGCGACACACAGAGTCATGCACCCCGACACACCAATTCCTACAAATGGTCTGATACATCGTTGGAACTTCTTGGGGTTTGACGGAAGACAGCATCCAAGAACAAGCGGGCGATGTCAGCTGTGCCTGCTCAGAAACCCCTCCAAATTGGTGCATCATTATCACAAATCAGAACGGATCTGAACGTGTACACAAGTCTGAACGTGCGCACGCGTGCACACACACACACACACACACACACACACACACGCCACACGCGCGCGCGCAAACACACACACACACACACACACACACACACACCCACACACACACACACACACACACACACCCAAGCGCAGCGCGCGCGCGCAAAACGCACCACACCAACACACACACACACAACAACCAACCAACACAACACACACACGCACCACGCTCCGCACAAGCACACGCACACGCACGCACACGCACACGGCACACGCACACGCCACACGCCACACGAAACACGCACAAGCACACGCACCGCAAACGCACACGCACACGACACACTACACACACACCCCCACACACCACACACACAACACACACACACACACCCGGCGCGCGCGCGCGCGCGCGCACGCGCACGCGCACGCACACGCACACGCACACGCACACCACACCCCCACACACACACACACACACACACACACACACACACACACACACACACACACACACACACACACACACACACACACACACACACACACACACACACACACACACACACACACACACACACACACACACACACACCCCCACACACACACACACCCCCACACACACACACACACACACACACACACACACACACAGACACACACACAGACACACACACACACACACAGACACACACACACACACACACACACAGACACACACACAGACACGCAGACACGCACACACGCACACACGCACACACGCACACACGCACACACGCACACACGCGCACAAGCGCACGCGCGCGCACGCGCACACGCGCACACGCACCCGCACGCACACACGCACACACGCACGCACGCACGCACCCACCCACCCACGCACACTCACAACACTTTTTTGCTGACCCCTGAAAGGCTACCTGCAGTCTTTCTCTATCACTCTCTTCTTCTACCCAGCGAAGAGGCCCCCCCCCAGGAGAGAGGAACCCCGGCCACGCTGGCCCGCTGCTCTGTCTTGGTGAAAAGACGGGTTTGTTACACATTGGTAATCCCGTTTGTTTGGACGAAAGGTGCTGGTTTTACTAGCTTCGGGCCCCTCACTTGTCAGTCCCCTCGCGTGGATCCTCTTCAGTGGCCCCCTCATCCTCCTCCTGTGCATCGTCTTGGGTGTCGATTTGCGTGCTCTGCACCTGTCCTCCTGGCTGACGTTCTCCTTGACTGGCTGGACCCGCGGACGAAGTCGCTCCTTCACGGCCTCCCGGTTGGCCCCCCGAGGCGGTCTCACTCGCCCGCAGGGCCTCCAAATGCCTCCACTCAATGGCCTCCTTGAGGAACTGCTGGTATCGAAAAGGTTTTCGGGTTGACGTGGACGATGCCATGGGCGCCATGGGCGTAGGAGGCAGTTGGGCCACGGTCTCTTCCAGTAGCCTGGGGCTCTCACCGGCCACGGCCCCCCTGGCATTGTTGGTCTTTCAGCCGGCTCCGTCCAGACTCCCCCAAGACGTTGTGGCGTCTCCGGCAGGTTGTGCGTGTTCAGGTCCATGGCCACCTCGATCTCCTCGTCCGTTGTGGCGCGCTCTCGCTCGCTGTGGTTCTCCTGCTCGTCCAAGCCCCCAGCTTGTTGCGTGTCCGCCTCCTCCGTCAGGTCGACGAGGGTCCGCTCTCCCTCCAGGTTCGCTCCCCTACTTGTCGCGGCTTGGCTCGGGTCCTTCACGTCCTCCATGTTGTGCTCCATGAGCTTGGCCCCTTTCCACCGGGCCCCCTTAGAGTGGAGGGCTTCCAGATATCCCTGCCAGATCTTCCCCATCGTTTCTATCTCGGCCTTGTTTCGCCAAGCACGCTCTTGTCGCCATCTGGACATGATCTGGTAGAGGACGGTGAGGTGCAACGTCGGCTCGCCCTCTTCCTCGAGGAGCAGCTGGTTCAGGTTGAGCACGTGCGTGAGCACTTCCACCACACTGTCCACTTCAATCTCCATGCCGCCTGTCGCTGTGGCCCCCACCGTCCATCGGTTGAGAGCCATCGTAACTGCAGCCACGTGGTGATGCTGCTGGTGTGCCTGCGTCTGGGCGGTCCCCTCCGGCGGTAGGTCGGCCCCCCGATCATCTTCTTCCGCGTAGTACTCGTCGATGGTTTCTGCACCCATTCCTCATGTAGAGCTCGGTCTTGTTCCCATTCGTCTTGCAGTGCACGCTCCTCTTCCAGCTCCCTTTCAACCCTTTGTTGCTCTTCCAGGTCGCAGTCCGCGTTACCGGCGTGGGTCTCTGCTGCTTCGCCCTCGCCTTCTCCAATTTGTGGCCTTCCATGATGGCGGTCTTCGCCTTCAGGAGGCCCCCCACTCCCTTGCGCGTTCTCGGCGAGGTCGGTGTAGTCGGTGTGGTTTTCTGGGTCCCCATCTCCTCTCTTCCTCTTTGTCCTTTGCACCCATGCCGCTTCATCTCCCTCGTCTGCGGTCTCGTCCCCACAGTTCTTGCTCCGGCGGTCGTCGTCCTTGTACTCATAGTCGGGCGGGTCGTCATCGTCGAGCAGGTCGTTGGCGTAGTCGTCCATGGTGTTCCCCGCGTCTGGCGGGCGGCGGCCCACCAGCCCCCATTGAAGCAGAGCCTGGTCCTCCTTGTCGTCCTTGTGTTCGCTGGCCGCGTGTCCGTCTTCTTGGCGTTGCCGTTCAAGTTGTGTAGGCCGGTGTTCCAGGCTGTCCAGCAGAGCATCAATGATATCCTCTGCCTCCTCCACCAGGTCCGGCGGCGTGTTCGCGTTCACGACGTTGTTGGGCCCCTCTGTTTGTTCTGCTTGCTGGCATTGTTCCGGCTGTTGGCCTCGCCCATCAGGCTGGTCCCCTTGTGTTTGTTCAGGAAGGTCCGGCTTGTGGGGATCGCGTTGTTCCGTGTCTCCCTGTTCTTCTCCCTCGTGCCAGGGTCTTGGCCGGTGCCTATGGCGGTTGAGCATGGCACTCCATTCCTCACCCGCCCCCGGCGTCGGAGTGTTGCCACTACGGTGGACCAGTTCACTCCATTCCGCGTGCCAAGCCCGTTCCCATTGTTGCCAGTCAGCCCACTGGCGAGCTTTGCGTTCTTGTCGCACTGGTCCCTGTCCCCCGTCGTGTCTCGGTCTGTGTCGGGCCCCCGATGTCCACGTGCTCCACGAAGACCAGCCACCCCAGCTCGTAGAAGTCCCGGACATAGCTGGCCCACTTGCCCAGGAGGTAGACGACGAGGCAGAGCTGGTGGAGGGGTTCCCGCGGCTTTGTTGGTGACCTCCCTGTTGCGTGGCCTTGCCTTTCTTAGGCTCATCCCTCCGTTCATAGCGACGCCGCTCATTTTGCCACTTCTCCAAGTAGGGCCGGTTGCGAATCTCCTCCATGGCCTCTTTGTTCAGGTAGCGGACTCGTCGTCGATCAGTAGGCGGGTAGCCCGGCGGTCCAATGTCCACCGGCTCGCTTGCCTCCTTGGCCCCCTCCTCTCCAAACCAAGGAGGCATTTGTGGAGCAGGCTCTCCACTTGCAGCTTGTTGCCCCCGCTGTTGTAGGTATTGTTCCCATGCTCGTGCTTTGGCTTCTTGGCTCACTGTGTCCTCATTCCCGTTGTCGCCCCACTGGTGGTTGCCGGGCGCTTCTTGCGCTAGCAGGCCCTGTGTGGGCCCCGGGTTCCATGCATGGGCTGCCGCATCATAGCTTTGGGCCTGGGTCGGCTCTTCCATGTCGGCGTCCGGTGCGCGGTCTCCGGGGTTCCAGGCATGGAGTGTCGGGTCGTAGGACTGGTCGGTGTCGTCGTCTGGTCCATCCCCCCCATTTTGGGGCCACCACCCTTGCTGCTCCTCAGCTCGTTCTTGCCTAGCGGCCCGCCAGTCTTGAAGTTGCACTTCAAACCAGGAGGCTTCAGGTCGGTCTCGTGGGTAGTTCCACCACCTCCATCTGGTTGACCTCCAATCTCTGGCCGTCCATGGGTCGTCCCCCCATCGGGGTGCGTCTCTGTGCTCAGAGCCTCTTCCCTGGGCGGTCCCCCCATCCTGGGGGGCTTCTTGTTCGGGTAGGGGTGGGTCATGCCCTTCTTTTTCTTCAGCTCCACATCGCTCTCCGGGTTGTACAGGTCGAGGTCGAAACTGCTCTCCGGCTTGTTCTTGCGCTGCTCCATGTCCGTGTTCATGTGGTTGCACCTCTTGTTCCGGTAGCCGTCGACCACGCCCGTCACCCTGTCCTCCTTGTTGTTGATGACCGTCACCCTGTCCTCCTTGTTGTCGATGTTCTGCAGGTCCAGGTAGGAGTGGATCGTGCCCGTGGTCCCCCCCATGGTGGTCGTCTCGTCCGTGACTAGACCCTCGCAGTCGTTCCCACCAAGCGCCCCAAGCCTCCCAGTCGTCTCTGTCCGCGGCTTCTGGCTGCACAGCGGAGCCCCCAAGAGGGGCCCCCCCGTGCTGGGGAAGCGGTTCTGGTTGCGGCAGAGGTTGAGGGTCCATGTGGCTCGGCTGTCCTGGTGAGCCCCCCGTCTGGTCCTCGTCGCTCTGCACTTGTGGTAGTCCCTCATGTGGTTGTCCTTGGTGTTCTCGTTGGTCGCGTTCTCGGCCTCCTTGAAATTGCCCTCCGTAGTCCGCCGCGTCGTCCCAGTTCCAAATGCTCCAGGGGGCCCCCTTCACTACCAGGATGCCCAGCAGCGGCCGGAGCAGCAGCAGGAGCAGCCCCATGTCCAGGTAGCTCAGAAGGAGGCGGTAGGGTGAAGTTGGTGCAGGGCACAGGCAGGGACCAAGACGGCTGTGGAGGTGACGGCGAAGTCCCTCTTGTGGCTCTGCCATCTCACCTACTTCAAGGGCTCTCTCTCACTCTGTTCTCAGCGGCCTCCCCCATGGACTGAAATTTTTCCAACGACCTAGGCTTTCGGACTCATCTCGAGGCGTCATTCGCTGATCGTTGCCGCTAACCAAAAGGGGCTCCTTGGGAGACCCCCCGCTGTCGAGGTGAAAAACGGCGAGGTGGGACGGGGAGGCAGTCACGGCCCCCACGTCACGGTGCCCCCCCTGGTTGCAGCATCAGGGCGGTCGGTTTCACGGCTCTCTGTCTTTTGCATTTCCGGGAGCCTCCTGTCCGCGGCTTTGCTTTCTTCCTCTTCTTCTTGTTGGGAGCCAAGTTCTGGAGTTGGAGCTGTTGGGCCAGTTTTTTGGACAGCTGCTCGTCAGCGCGCTCCCCCAGTTCACCCACGGGAGGTCTTGGGACTTCACCCAAGCTCTCTCCGTGAGCTTCCACGCTTTGCGGTCTTGGGCAGCCTCCATCCAGTCATCGACCTCCAGGAAGGCGTTGATGTCGTTCTGGACCTCCCTGCCCGCATTAAAGCGGCCCGGATGTCGGCGGCCCCCTCTCTTTTGTTGCTCCGCCTTCCACCAAACCGGCCCCCTCCACCTGAGGAGTTGTTTGGCCCGGCTGTTCTGTCTGGCCACATGGCCGTACAACCTCCAGACCTGCCGTAGAACGAAAGTGGAAAAGCGTTCCTGTTGGTGGAGGTGAAGCCGAGCGCGTGAAATCCGGAGGCTCCGCATTTCATATTCCACAAAGGGCTCCCCTTGCTTCCTCCTCAGGCCTGCCATCACCCGCACTAGGCGGAGTTGCTGTGTGTTCAAGGCCGCCAAGAGGTTGCGCCCCGGCGGCAATGCCGCCGCTTGCCATAAAGCGGCCCCCCTCACAACAGCGTGGAAACTTTCCCACTTACAGGTGAGCGGCATCTTTCCCGCGAAAACAGTTTTGTGGGCCCAAAAGACTTGGCGCATCTTGGCGTTGACCTCCGCCGCAATGTCCGAGGGCCCCCTTCGGAAGCCCTGTTGAGTGCCCAGAACACGAATCAGTGTCCCCGGCTTCAGGAAGGAGACTGTCTTGCCCCCGATGACGAGGGTGCGCTTGTCGCCTTCTACGCTGGTCAGCACCTGGGTCTTGTCCCCCTGGAAGTCCAGTCCGTTGTCCGCCGCCTTGCGCTCTACCGCTGTGAGCAGGGCTTGCAGTCGACTCAGGCAGAAATGCCAGAGGTACATGTCGTCTGCGAAGGTGGCCAGGTTGAAGGGCATCTCCCACCCTGGCTCCTCTTGCGGCTTGGCCATGTTAAACTCTTCCGCCACTTCATTTGCCAGCTCGGCGATGAGTGCTGCGAATAGCACTGGCGACTCAGGGGCACCCTGTTTGACTCCGTTGCTTTGTCTGACCAGCAACTGTTGGTCTAAAAACTCCACGTGGACCCCCAGGTGGCACACCATCTCAATCAACAAGCGCGCCTCCTTGGGGCGCGCGGCAAGCTTTCGTGCTATGAAAGCCAGGAGTCTCGGGATGCGGATGCTGTCAAAGGCCTTCCTTATATCAATCTTGACCAAGAAGGTCTCCTGTTTCCATTCTTCGCACACCCTGAGCATGCGCCCCAGGCTGATTGCCAGTTCCAGGGGCTGCTTCGAGGGTGACGCCCACTGTAGATCATGCGTGGTCCCCAGCAGCGGTGTCACCCGAGTCAGCGTGAGTTGGCTGAGAAGCTTCAGCAGGGCCGAAGACAAGGTGATGGGTCGTAGGTCCCCCCACCATGTCGGCTCTGCCTTTTTTGCCATCATGAACGTGGACGTGCAGTACAGGTCATCTGTCGTGAACCCCAGTTTCAGGAAGTCGTTGAGCTCCTCCAGGACAAAGCCCCCCCACACCTCGTCCTTCATGATGATTCGCAGCGCTTCGTAGGTGACGCCATCTGGGCCTGCTGCCCTGCCGGATTTCCATTTGGCCATGACCCTGTGCACTTCTTCCATGGTGAACCCGCAAAAAGGGCTCGGGATCACCGCGAGGGTGAGCCTTGCTTCATCTCGAGCAGCATCGTTCTCGGCTAGACTGTCCCTGAAGAAGATCCCCTCCAGGTACTCCGTCATGTTGTCGGCCCAGTTGTTGTAGCGCTGGGCCAGGCGGGGTTCCCATAGCTTACGGGGCCCCGACCCAAAAAGCTTCTTCCAGGCCCCCCAGCTGCCTCTAGTGGCCCAAAACGTGAGGCTCTTGAGCCACTTACGTTTTTCACTCTTCCGCACAGCGTGAACCTCTTTCCACAGCGCCCTCGAGGCTGCCCCTTTTGCTCGTTGGGCCGCTTGCCGCAGCCTTCCCAGGTGTGCGCTTTCCCTGAAACGCGTGGACTCTTTGGGCACGATGAGTCTCTGCGAAAGGTTGGCGACCGACTCAACCAGCAATCCTTCCCCCGCGGAAGGCGGGGCCGTTGCACGGAGCTGCGCTGTTGCTTTTTCAGGCATCACTGGCACCCCTTTCCTGAGCTTACAGGGTCGGGGGTCACGAGTTTGTGGCAGCTGCACCACCTGAAGCTCTACTGCATCGTGGTCGGAGGACATCTCATGTCTGGACTCCTCTAGCACGCCAGCCTCGAGCATGCACAGGCCTTTGGCAAAGATATAGTCCAAACGACGTGGTCTCATTTGGTCGTTGTAGGGGTGGTAGGTTGGCGCGGCCCAGCTAGACTCCGCGGAAACCAGTCCAAGCTCCTGGAAGAAAGCAGCCACCACTTCTCCTCTTGCGGTGGCCCCCCCAAAGGCCCCCCTTCCATCCCCCAGTGTCAATGTCTCGTTGAGGTCACCTCCACATACGAGTCGGGCAAGACCGTGCAGAGGCTTGGTCGAGTCATACCAGTTGCGGAGTAGTTCTCCAGCTTGCTGCAACGTAGTCCAATGGGGCAGGTGGCACGACATGAGCCCCACCACGCCCAACGACGTCGTGCGCACTTTGGCCCAGGTGAGTCCCAGGGTCCCACCACATGCCAACACCGTGTGTGAACCTTGAAGATTTCGTCGCCGAAGAAGAATGCCTGTGCTCCTCCAATCTGCGTGTGTCCAAGCCTGGACGAGAAAATGGTCCTGCAGGGTCTGGGCTTGGCAGCTCTCTTCCCCCAAGAGGGGGATGTGCTTGCCCAAAGGCCGCGGCCCCTTCTTACTCGCCGTTGTTTGTGCAGCGGGGATTTCCCCCTGTTTTGGTTGCGGTATCTCTTGCAAGAAAACGAATTCCAGTCGGTCCCCCTCAGAAGTGGCCATGAGGTAGTCGACGAGGTCGCCTTCAGCGTCCAAGCCTCCCACGTTCCACGTTCTGAAGCAGTGGTGAAACTCACTCGGCGTGGATCAGCGAAGCTGGGCCTCAAGGTCCCCCCAGGGGGCCTCGATGTCACTCTTTTGCTTGTCGAGCTTTTCCGCAATCTTTTGCATGTCCAGCCAGCCGTGCTTGGTGCTGTGCGTCTCCCTGGCAAGTGGCCCCGCCGTCGTCGCCGAAGCAATCCTGGTCCCCCACAACCAAACGGTCCCCGAGGACCACTCGCACTCGACCTTGGCCTCCTTGTCCAGCGTCAGCACGAGCCGCTTGACTTTGCCCGCGTAGGCCGCCCTTTGTCTTTGCTCCTGGGTTTGACTCCAGGCACCCCAGAGCCTTCGAGGATTGCCGTCATCCCTGGTCCCCACCTGCACGTTGGCCTCCCGGATCTGCTTTAACACCTTCGCGAAGCGCTCGTTGGTCTCCCGCTCATCCTCCCCCTCTTTGGGCTGGAGCGGCACTATAGCCGTGCCCCGCCTGATCCCCGTCGCGAACATGGTGAGGGGGTCAAAGTCCAACTGCAGCTTGGCGACTTGTTCAGTGAGCTGTGCCAACAGTTCATCACGGGGGGTGTCGCGGTCATAGCCCCCCAGGACGATGGCGCGCCTTCTTACAGCGGACCCCGCAGTGCTTGCCGAACCCGTCGCGGTCGTAGAAGAAGGTCCCCCACTTTCGAGGAGAGCCGCTCGCGCCTCTAGTCGAGCAAGTCCATCCCCCTGTTTCTTAGTGTGCTCCTGGACCGCATCAAGCCTGGTGTGCATCTCGGTCATCTTGGTCTCCATACTGTCTGTGATGCGCTTTTCCATGCCCCCCATGACTCCACGGAGCTCACCCAGGAAACCCTGAACCTCCACTCGTAGTGCCGTCTTGACGTCCGCGATGCTGAGCCCCTGGCCAGCGATTTCGCCGGGGGGGGTGGAGAAAGCCTCAGTTTCGGCCTGGGACCCTCCTGTTGGGGTGTCGTCGTCCAGCGCAATGGCCTCGCCCCCCTTGCGCTTCTGCCCTGCTGAGGGGCTGGCCCCAGGCCGCCCAAGCGCCTCCTTCTCCACGTTCATGACGTCGACAAAGTCCACGCCGCACCACGAAGCCAAACAGCTGCGCCCCCAGGACAGCAGCGGTCACCCTTGAGGTCCGAAGACACCGTGCACGTAGGAGACCTCTATCACTCACTCTCTCTCTCTCTCTCTCTCTCTCTCTCTCTCTCTCTCTCTCTCTCTCTCTCTCTCTCTCTCTCTCTCTCTCTCTCTCTCTCTCTCTCTCTCTCTCTCTCTCTCTCTCTCTCTCTCTCGCTCTATCCCTCTAGCTATCCCTCTCTTCCAAGCACATCGCACCTTGACATGTCGCAGCACGACACAACAACTGCACACATACAGCAGCACAGCTTGCAATCGATGCATTCACTGTCTGCACACCTGCTTCATAAACAGAAAAGGGCCCGACTTCTGTGCGGATAAGCGCTGCACGTACGTCCAGGTGATCAGCGTAGAAATTTTTTATTCAAGAGCAGATTCGTTGGCAGTGAGCTCTTGAGTGGGCCACCACTGTGCCCTGCTGAAAAAACTTTGCGGGCCGGCTTCCGCGCACATAGCTGCTCCTTTCAAGGAGCAATTGATGTTTACGCTGGCCTCAGGATTGCACTGCGGCTCGCAGGTCTTACAGGCTGCCGCAGCCCTGCAGTGCTTGCCGGCCACATCAATCAAGTTGAAAATCAAGCGGTAAGGCATCAAGCCGGTTCTTGGGCACCGTCAAGTCTGGCGTGACATCGCCTGGCTGTTGGTATTCCTCTCCCCGCCGCAATTTGTTGCTCTGGAGGTCTGTGCTCAGCGGTCTTGGCTGTCTCTTCCGGTGGCACGCCATGCTGGTTGTCTGCCGTCTTAGCTCCGATGCTGTCGCATGGGGTTCTGTTATGTGAGTCTGTCGCCTGCTCGACTGTTTGTCTGCATTTTCCCCGAAGCTGGCGCACGGTCTCATGTCCTCCTCGTCATCGTGGTCCTTGTCGTCCGAGGTGGGCTGCTTCTGCTCTTGCAGAATCCCGTAGTACTGCCGCGCCTTGTCTGGCCTCTCCAGCGTCGGCTCGATCTTCGGCAGGACACGTGGTGCCTCGCTGTTAAACTCGCCTGACCGCCGCCGTGTACTCAGCTTGGGTAGCTGTGTCCAGCACTTTCCTTAGAGCGGGCTTGCTGACGTAGCTGACGTCTCCGAGATGTTGTCGTTGTCCGAGGCTGTCGAGGGCGTTCCGGTAGAAGCTGGTGGCACGTTTGTCCACTGCCACGGGAAACAGCGACTGCGAAAACTCACGGGGCGGGTATGACCGGGTGACAACCGGGCGATGACCGGGTGATGACCGGGTATGATCGGCTGTGAGCAGGTACACAGGGCATGACCGTGGCATGACCGGGTGTGACCGGTTGTGACGGTTGTGACCGAGTGTGGCCTGGTATGATTGGGCGTGACCGCACGCGTCGCTGAGCCCCAGGCAGTTGCTTCGTCTCAGGGTGTGTAAAACTGTCATGGGCAGCCCCAACAGCGAACAGTCAATCGGGCTTGCTGGAAATGGCCCAGAAGGCTCGGGCTCCAGGAGAAAGGCAGGTCTTCTTGTGGCTTGAGCCAAAATGCCGTCTCGCAAATTCCTTTTTTCCTCCACACGACGAAAATGGACCCCGAACATGCAGCACATGAATGTGTATCGTAAGGGCCCATTGGGTCATTGACAACGCAGACTCGTCTCTGAACCGGCCTGCCTTGTTCTCGCTCTTCATGGCCGTTGGCCAGAACGAGCGCCAGGCCCAGCACTTCGCAGCTCTGCTTCCCAGCGCCGACGGATGCGAGGGCTCGAAGGATGTCGAGCGCGCCTTGTTTTGCTGCGACGACGTGGGCCCCTTGTGTGAAAGCCCCCCCCCACCCACCAAGAAGCAAACCCGAGCCGATGTTAAGCATTGAACTATGATTCCAAAGGTGCGCGAAAACTACTTCTAGTGATTAAACCTAGCACTGACCGAGCCCTACCTGCAGGATCTTTCCGACGAGTCAGGAGTTTCCCGGCGTGAGCTGCAGTAGTTACATGTAATTACATTGAAAGTCGCGAACCGGGCAATCAGTGTAATCGAACGGAGTGGGTCATCACCGCGAAGGCAGGAAAGCGAAAACAACACAATCGCCATCGGACCCAATGGAAGTTCTAGAGCAAATTCGGAATGATATGCAATCAACATCCATTAAAAAAGACTCTGACAATCATCACGCAGTTCGTACAACATAAACGGAATGTGAAGGGAGTTTCACCAAACTTGCGGCATGTGCACTTTGCACAAGGTTTTTGCATGTGCTTCTAAGGGCAACAATCGAGGTCCTGAAGCCCCTTCTGCAGTTTAGGACTCGAGGGCTTTGGGGCCAAAGCTTTGCACATAGGGGCTCTCCGGCCGACTGCTGGGGACGAAGAGAAGTTCCCCAAACAGCACACCTTCAGGGTACCTCAAACTCAAACCTGGTGCTACAGGCTCGATGCCCACATAAATGGCGAATGCAAGTTGAAGATCATCTCTGGTGCTTGGGGTTGTCCAGTCCCCAGAGCCGATCTAGGTAGTTGGTAGAAGACTTGTCTGCCCAGAAGCCCGAAAACCCAAAGTTGCGACAGGGACTTGGGGGGGGGGGGGGGGGCAGCATTAATAAACAAAAAATAATTATACAAAGCCGAGGACATCGAATAGGCGATGTAAAGAGGTTTTAAGCTGCTTTTCCAGGACAAGCAAAGCCAGCGGCCAAGACTCCATGTCCCTTCCCCCCTTTCCCTCCCCCTTCTTTTCCTTCTTGACGATCCACCCCCCCCTCTTCTTCCTCCTTACCCTCTTCCCATCCCTTTTCTCCGCCCCCCCCCCCCCCCCCATTCCTCTTCTTCTTTTTCATCTGACCTTCTTGTTGAGTTGCAAGGGCAAGAAACACGTTATATCTTATGTACCGAAAAAAAGCCTTCTGTACCCTGTATACCCTATAAGCTCATATTGCTCTTTAGAACCTATTACTCTACGTGCCCAATATACACTACGTACCCCACTACACTACAGTATGCTCCCCATGCGTTTATAGAGATCCCGATCTGGACCTCAAGAACTATCCGAAATGCGTTTGAGAGAACAACATTTGAGCAACGTGCGCTCACGCAGACGTCATCAGGTGCATGTGCTAAATGTGCCAGGGAAGACGGAAGAACAAGCACCCATGCAGACCGCGATCGATAACTCGACATCCAAGCGTAATTCACATGTTGAGGAAGCATGCGATTATAGAGATCATCATCCGCAACTCAAGAGCTATGCAAAACACGCGATTGAATGAAAACAACGACTGAACTGCATATTGCGGGCAACATTTGCTCACGGAGACCGTGATTCCGGTCCAACCAAAAGAAATGGCCATCAACCCCGATAGAAAAAGCATCTAAACCGACACTTGCACGCCTTGTTGAGCAGACCTGATTTCGATTGAACATTTTCAAACGTGCGACAATCGAATATGCCTCGTCCTCAGAATCACTCCGTCGATTGAACAAAATCGAATGGCTGTCCTCTGGGCGCTTGCAGGTGTTGCGTGCAGTATGTGCATCTCTATATATCGCGGCACGCTCGGCAGTACGATGACTTCCAACCCGGCACAAATGGCACGCAACCTTGAGATGGAGCTAGCTGTAAGGGCACGGCCGCAACCAGTCAAAGCTTGTGCTGTGGCCACGGTGGAAGCCAAGTCGGCACAGCCTACCAGGGACTTCCCACACACATGTCCTCCATCCCTCCAGAGATGACATGAACGGTCGGGGAAAGCTGCAGGTAGCAACTGCACGACATGACACGTGCAGGAAGACCTGGGCCATAAACCTCATTTAGAGAAGAACAATCTCAACGGACATGAGCATTTGTTGAGGGTGCCTGAGCAGTCATCTAGAAGCTCCTCTGCGTAACCTCGCTGATTCATCGGCAGCAACAAAGCGAAGCACGCCCGCAGCAAAGCATGAACTTCCCGTGCTGCGTTTTGCAGGAGTGCCTCATCGTGCATGACAGCACGGATGTGTAAATTTGCTCTCAGAGCGCGGCGCTGCAGCAAAGACGGTGCAGGAGAGTCATGGAGCCGTGACGACCTGCGATGCTTTGCTTGGGCCTTCGAGCCAGTCAAAGCCGACAAGACTGAGCCGCCAACAGGAAAGCGGAAGTTGAGGCCAGCTCGATCTTGAACACAGCTGGGCTTTGTGAGAGTAGCATGCGACTGAGCACGCTAGGTTCCCAACCAAAGCTTCCGTTCCGAGACACCTGCAGCTTGTCGACTGTCGCGGAAACAATCGCAAATCATGTCGTCGCGCGTAAGCCAGGCGCCGCAGGAGAAGTAGCACGATGCCGTCATCGGCCTCGCCACTGAACTGGTGGACTGCCGAGCGGCCTAGCATTGCCTGGCCATTTTCTCTCCTCAACATGCCCAAGGAGATCTGAGGCTTTGGCGGCATTGACAAACCTCTGCAACCTTGTCCAGTAGCTGAGAGAGAAGGAGAGAGAAACAAAGATACTCGAGAGAGAGCTAGATGGGTAGAGGAAGAGGAAAAACAAAAAAAAACAGGAGAGAGAGAGAGAGATAAGTCGTACAAATGAAGACGGACACCGCCAGACGCCATTCCCCAAGGTTCCAGCTGTGCCGCCTGCATCCAAAAGCTTGGAAGACAAGGAAGGAGGCCTTTCCGACCACCCAACACGTACAACACGTGCCACTAAAGCGACTAAAATCAGCCCGACATGTGCGATCCACAACACATCACCTCCGCGTCGGCGGAGCGCATCTCGGCGGCTCGAGGCTTCACGTGGCAACACGCCCAGAAAAAATGCGAAGCTTGTAACACGGTAAACGCGTCTTAAACTCCTCGTAATGTTTTCCGGTACCTACACGGCGGAAAGAAAGTTCCAGTCGGCGCTACCACCACTTCCGGTCACTAGGGTGCTTATCTCAACTTCTGTGGCGATCTCTCGCAACTTGGTGTACTCGGGGCTGGGGGCTGCGTGCTGCTTTTGCTCGCCGTCTTACGATTCGACTCCTTGAATGGTCCAGGTTAGACCTGCCCACAATGTCGGGCTTTTGCAACTTTGGCAATGCGTAAATTTGAACATGCTACGCATATTGCGTAGCACCTGCGCAGCCACTGGCTTTGTACCTGCAACAGGAACAGATGCCACTGCAAGCCAGAGCAGTTTGGCAAGCCGTCACGCAAATCAAAATAAGCGCCGCACATACTTTGCTCAACACGCATCAGCACATCGCATCCACGATGCCGCTCTTCGACAATGCCTTTAGGTCCACGCGCACATCAACGCGAATTCGCCAAGGCTCTCGCACTCCGAGGTCTCTCAAAGAGGACCCGGCACGTCTGCGAGATGCGATCAACGCGTTGATGTTGTATATGTTCGAGCACAAGCTATCCGACCTCGCTCTTCCCCTCCTTTCACATTCTAAACTAACATCAGCTTGACACACTTAGGCCCAAGCGGAGCTGCAGGATAGGGCTCCTTCAGCCTCAGGACAGAACACCTAGTGAGACTTGTGGCCATCACGTGACTCTAAGGCCGCAGCACGTAGGGCATGTCTTGCATGCCTTTGGCTTTTGGCAAAGCATATCGCCTTACGGCATGGCAGGTCGACAAACGCAACTTCACAACTTTGCGCCTGTGTCTTCAGATTTCTTGGTAGGTGCCGAGCTTGCACGGCAAGCGTGCCTCAGGACTCTTCCACCGCTGGCATTGGCTGTTGCTGCGCCCAGCTCAAGCTCAGAACAAGCGCATCCCTGCTTCCTAACATCAGGCTTGCTTGCTCGTCGTGAGCTTTCCGAAAAAACTGCAAGGGCTGCATCCAGTGTGCTGTCGCCCTTGCTTTAGACGAATGGTCTGTGCAAAGGCTGGTCATAATCAAACGAAGAAGCATCAAAGCAAGACCAAGCAACCCCGAAACACTCCAGCAATCCACCCACTTCTCTGGGGGCAAAGCAATGAGCTCAAGTGGCCCACCAGAGTGGCCTGGAAAGGCTTCCGTCAAAACATGCAAGTGGTGGTGCAGCAGCTTAATGACACGGCAAAAGAAGAGGAGAGTCCCTTTTTGTTTCTGCGTTCGCGCAGTCTGACACCGGCCCATCGTTCGACGGCGTCGTTCGACGGCGAGCATGGTGAGGTATGGTGAGGTTGGAGTGCTGCCCAAGCATGAGTAAAGGAGGATGTATCGCAACGACTACCATTAGCTGAGATCACATGGTACTCGAAACCGTTGCAGCACGAAGCAGTACCCCACGCAGAATTCGAAACACCACTGAGAGCAACTACTCACAACACAAAGCCGTGAAAGGCCGTGTCTATCAGTTTGCTGCACAGGATTCCATTTAGGACCCTGGTCCAAGTGGGTAGGGAGCCCTGCCCTCAACCGCATCATCCGGCGAACCCTTGACGATCCTGCAGGGTCATGTGCAAACCATCACGTTCGAAATGCATTGCTGCACTTGCACCTGCTAACTGAATTTTGTTGACTCATTCTCCGACACGGTGTACATCAGTTAGTACACAGTTTGCACTTCCAATGCATCAACAAGCGACTTGTCGACACGAAAGCGGGTGATCTTCTGGTTGACAATCCACCGCTTCATGTAGTGCTTCCTTTGTCATAGGAACTGGAAGACATAACACAAGCAATATGTGACAAGCAGATTCGCTCAAACATGCAACCCGAGATGCTTTTTCTTATGCTTGAAAATGATCTGGTCTTCTCCCTTGAGGTGCTCGAGGATTGTGATCTGAGCAAGCCAAACGTACTACATGAGCGGAAGGCGCCGGCATGTAGTTACTGACTTGACATCCACTCTTCTGCCTCCGCGTAGGCTCCGTCCACCAAAGGCTGTCCGACGCTTACCTCAAACCTGAAATCCACACAGCCAACAGCTGAAACACTGCAACAATTGACCTCTCTGCACCGAGGCCGCCTCAAGCACTTCTGTACAATTTAAGGCCAGTTTAGTCAAGTCGCTCACCGCCACTGTTTTTCTCCTTCAACAGCAGCACGCGATTCAATCGAACCTGGCAGCAAAACATCGCAAGCCACTGTGCAACGCAAGTGCAACGCAAAGCATCATGGCACGGTAAACACCTACAACTCCACTGCGCCACCCGCCTTCGAGCCAGGAACTGCTCGAATGAAGTAGGTCTCGTACATGCCACCCTCTATGACCATATGCTGGCGGCCAGAGTACTCCACCTCATGATCACATAGGTAGTGGCATGCTCACCACATGCAGCAACAAGTGCTATCGTTCCCGTGCCATGCCAAAGGCTAAAAATGTTCGTCGCAGCCATGCCGCAACAGCATATTCCATATGCTCAGCTGATGGTGTCAAATGTCGCCTTGGGAACTCGCACTCAGAAAACATCTGCGAATCTACGATGCATCCGCTTCCGCGGCATGACGTTGCGAAATCCCTGCAACAAGTCAACCAGGGAACTGCTTGATGCTCATCAGATCCTGCGACGCTTTGGCACGTACAGGCCGTGCAGGGGCACTGCTTAAGAGCACTCTGGTGTAATAAACCAGCTGAGGGCTGAGAAAACAGGTGCAATACTAAATAAAGCAATTCAGGGTACCCCCAGCTTTTCTCATGGGCCTCGGATCGTACGATACTGAGAAATTCATAGGGTACCCCCAGCTCTTCGAATTCTGATTGGAGTACATTGCTTCGTTTTGGCTTCCATCCGTGGACCTTTTTCCAACAAACTAACCAGGATCTGGTCTCCTTCTCCCACAACCAGAACTTTACGGTCCATCCCCCCCTCTCCCTTGGCATCCCGAACCGCTTGGAAAAGCCACCATCCGATGCTGCGGGGGATCGGCCACACCCACAGCGGCGCCGAAAACTCCCTAACCTTTGCCCAGTGGCTCTCGTGAAACACGTTTTTTGGGACACCCCTGAAACCTTCCAGCCGCCTGGGACCCTATGGCTTCTGGGAATCCTCCGATGCCGTATGAGGCCTTGCCCGACCCCTAGCCTGCACCCAGCGACATATGAATTTAGCTTTCCTTCGTCTGCAATGCGGTCTACAACTTGTGTTGTGTTGGGCAGGTCAAATCCAAATGGAAATGAAGGAAATGAAAGGCTCGTGTTGTTAAATTGAAAAAATGAACCCCTGGCTCATGGTTAGGAGAACGAACCACGAAAAGACGAGTCAACTACAGCGACTACCATTGTTGTGCGTCTCTGGCCACTCTCCTCTGGAGGTTCTGCCAGGGGTGCTGTGGAATACGCACGTGCTGCCACCTCGAACCCCGAGTTCACAAAAGGAGAGAAGAGTTGCTGCTGTGCACAGAACTTCCACTCCACTGCAACATACTGCCACATGCACCTAGCCAGGACCCTCCCAGTCTACCCAGTCAAGCTCTCTCAGTCTTTCAGAGAAACTGCCAAGCAAACCAAGTTTCACACCAACGCTTCGCTTGAACTAGGTGGGCTCAGTCTGCCTAGGCAGAACAGTTGCTTCGTCCAAGAACATGAGGGGGCTGTCATGAAAACGCGTGCACTCAACACAGTCTTGCTCTCTCACAACTCGGTTGATGATATTGATGCGCTCAGCTCACAAGTCTACTCACAAATTGTGATTGCCGACATGCTGCGCTGACTTACACGGCCTTCTCCTGGCTGCGCGCCTGCGAAAGCTGTGAAGCAAGTAACCTTGGCTGAGTTGCAATCTCTGAGAATACACGCAGCTACATGCATCTGAGAGCAGTGGGTAGGGCAGCTTCTGCTGGCAACTGCAATGCGCCGGGCAAAGGTCCCGGCTGTCAAGGTAGTTGTAGCGGCTGCCAGCAACAAAACCAAGGCGGAGTGCGGCTGTCTGCCCAAGTGGTCAGATGATTTTCTTACTTAACTTGATTGTAAGCCTATGTAACAGCGGAAGTGAATGCGAATCATGCGAACCACTTCGGCACGCTTGTCGAAAATTCCCCGACATATCTCCCAAAGGCACACAGAAGTAGGTGCCTTCTGGACATGTTTCCAGCTGGCATGGCTCAGCGGGTTAAGGCGCGGCCCGCCGGCCCGTTCCTCTTCCAACTACCCCAGACTTGCAAAATGCAGCGGGCATTCAAGCAGCTCTTTTCGCCAACGTTCGGGGTGATGAACAAATGGCCCTGTCAATGTTCCGGGAAAGTGCACAGCCAGCATTGAGAACACAACCATGCCATCACATGCCTCGGAACTGCTTGGCAAACATCGTCCAGGCAGCCAGCTGGAACAAAGGAGGTGCAAAGGCTAAACAAAAATTGAAATTCATGAGCCACCCATGATGATGCGTGATTGCCTGCCTGTGGAAGACAATCGGATGTCGTGGCTGCAGGCAAAGGCCTGGCCATGGCATCCTGCGCAGATGCTCTTTTTACATCTTTCTTCAATGTATCTGTTTACCTCCGCCACGATCTTGGCCGGTCAAAACTGCAAACCTTCTATGAGTCCGCTTTTTTAGATAGGAATAACATGTGTACACGCTGGCAAGCCAGTGGCCGCTTGCTAGGCTGCCCACAACCCAATCGTCGCACACAAAATTGAAGCTAACAACGTCCTCTGCACAAAGTCGCCCAGCGCGTGGAACTGCCTCCACATCGCCTCACGCATGCTCTGTTCACACATGATTGAACTGTCAGGTCAACGCAGCGCTAAAATTTAAAATGCATATTTGCTTGAGCCTGCTCCTCCCACCGTGCCAGCTTCTGCCTTTCAAATGCAAAGCTGTCACACAATACAACACGACACACCTGCACACATGCAAACATGGGCTTGAGTCCCCCGTTGCCTGCACTGCACTCACATCGCCTGCGTCCCATTTTGTGGCCGTCCCGCCCCCCCCCCCCCCCCCCATTCCCCCAAAAAAAAAACACTCAAAGAGTCAATAAACTGTTGAACTGATTGCAAAATGGGGCATTTGTCAAGTACGCACGAAGCAATCTGCAGGCAGCGCAGTGCGACGATGCTTTCGTTTTTGTCCAAATGCTCAGGATGTCCTGGCAAACTTTCGTGGACCTGCAGCTTGGCAGCGGGCCTTCACTGGCTACTTCGCAGGCATGCCTTGTATGTATTTACAGCAATCAATAGGGTGCACTAAGTTTTGAAACGCTACTGTAGGCGACAATGCGACAAACGATGGATCGGCTGCAAATGCTTCTTGCGCGATGGAGGCTAGCTACGGCGGAATCACACGCACTGGACCTCAGCTGAAGAAAGCAGCGAGCTCAAATTTGCCAACGTGTGGTCTTTCTTGGTGGCCAAGCTGCCCCATTCCGTCAATGGCCACAGCTTTAGCCGCACCTTTCCTTGCAGTAATCCGACCTCAGGTACCAAAGCAGGGAACGTCATTCTCGGCAATGTTCTTGGCATTCGGCATCTCTTGGTGTTAAGCATTGTAAGCCTTCCACAGGAACTGGGCCATAGTGTCTGGAATCGTGGGAGGCAGCCTTGTTGTCGCCCTCCAACCAAACATGTCCCCGAGGAATGAGTACCCTTAGTTATAACAAACTGCAGGCAATCTTCCCGGACCAGCTTCACATCCTGAGGTGATTGAAGTGCATCTTGGCAGCTCTTTGTCGCCAACATGGCTCGACACCTTCACCTCAGAACTCCCTGCCACACAAACAGCACACAAAGGTAAGAGCTGCAGGGGCTGACCGAAGCTGGCCGAGCCCAGCACCCGGTCTCCTGGCAGGCCGAGGATTCTTTTGCCTCGCCATCACACGACTATGATCATGCGCATCCGCATGGCTTCAATACAGAAGACCATGGAGACAAAAACTCAGCACACCCTATACACTTGTTGTGCTTTGCGGGCAAGAGTCATATGCGCCCGTCTGGATCTTTCGGCGAGGTGGCGACCACCACCTGTCGTTCAGTTGATCCGTCCAGTTGATCCGTCCCTCAAGACTTTGCAAGGTCAGGGCTCTGTCAAGAAACTCGACTTCGAAGCTGAAAGTTTAAGAGAAACCCTGCGGAGTCCAAACAATTGTTCCCGCAAAGATCTGGCAAGCTCTCACAGGGCCCCAAAAAAGCAGGTGCAGCAGTAGTTGGTGGGGGGACCAGGTCTTTTGATTTCCGACATCCGGCCTCCCCTCGGGACCAACCTGCCAGTCTCTGTGTCAAGCGCTCATAAAGAAGAACGTCGCCCGAGGCATTGAAAACTGGCACCTCGCTGACAAAAGCACTAAAAAGGCACTCGCACACGACACGCAACACATGAATGAATCTTAGGGCCTTAGGGAAAAATAACAATGGTCTTCTGCATTCGGTCTCCACGTGTTTGGCTGCCGTACTCCCACCAAGTTGCCATTGATGCTCCAACGGTGGTTGAAAAGTCAATCCCGTACTCCTGTGGCGGGGGCTAGGGGCTGAGCCCTTTGTCTCCAAGATCCCTGTCAAACATTCATGCAGGCCGCCTGAACGCAGTGCAGCAGTCCAACGAGTTGTAACCATCGTACGCCGAATATGCCAGCTTCACTGATCAGGGGCCTCGGCGCTGAAATCTGTTAATCTATATAAATTTGTGGTCTCGTGCTGGAGGCACTGTCACAGCAGGGCCCCCCCTTTTTGGAGCATATGCATTTAGAGCCCGCAACCATTGTGCGGTTCAGAGCGGCTTGCGGAATGTGATGGCGACAAAGCCAATCGCACATGTCACGTGACATGAAACGTTACCACACCACATGAAACGGACTGAGTGGGGGTGCGATGGCGCGGATGTCCGTGCAGCCGTGCACCATTCCGCTTGCTCCCGTGTCCTCTAAAGTTCCTGCAACATTTCTGCTTGCTCAACACTACTTACTGCTTGTCCGGATAGCAAAAGAGCTACTGGTAGATACAGCTGCAGGATGCTGTGAATGCGGATGCGGGTAGGTGAAACTGCATACGTGTTCAGCGGCCGGCTAAAAAAAGGCGCGGCCTTTACACCCTCACCCTCCTCAGGAGGATCTCACTTAAAAGAAGCGCCTGCGGAATCATCCAGACATTTCCGAATCATTCGCAGCACTACATTGGCACTACATGCCTTTGCTGCCTGTTCGTGCACCCTTCTTGCGACTGTGCGGCCGCCAGTGCTTGCCTGATTGAAGTAAGGCCAAAGCTCTGGACAAAGCTGCTGCGAAGAAGTGCTGAAAGGTGGACTCTCGTACTTCTAAGGGCGAGAGGCTGTCGCCATGGCTGTCCCCATGGCTGCCGTGGTCGGATGCTGTGATGAGCTCTCGGAGCTCTCTGAGCAGTTCTGTGTCTGAGAGGGGCTTGGTTCCTAACTCTGCAGCCAACCGGTTTTCTACCCGACGGGTCTTCGCCTTGTCAAGGAATCCGGCTGCTGTGTGGTCGGCTTTGAAAAAATATGCCTGCGCTTTGTAGCTCAGCCAATTCTCATTATCCAGGAAGGCCCTGGCCAGCTCGGGAGACAGAACATCTGCAAATGCACCACCACCCGGAAGACTTCTGGCCCTTTGGAGGCAATCTGGACAAAGAAGAAAGTTGCAGCGCTCACATTTGGAGGATGGGGAGGAGTTTGAGGCTGCTTCGTGGCAAACACTGCACACCTGCAAACTCAAACTTGGCCACCAGTAGCTCTCCTCCAGCTTGAGCAGGTGACCCTTTATGCACGTGGCTTGGGCTGGCGTGCTTCGGGGTCTCTGCAGCACACGGCGGGCCTCAGCGTGCCTAATGGCTAGGCCGGCACGCAGTATGTGCGCCACTCCAGGCTCCTCCTCTAAGATTGGATAGAACTGCCGGAGAGGCACATTTGTCTGGTGCACCATTTCCCAAGACGAGGCCCAACCCATGCGAGCTGGGCCTTCCGCAGCTGTCGGCCTCAAAAATCGGATTGCTGCCGTGCGACGTCCCTCACGGCCATCTTCTATGTACAGGAGCCTGACGGGTCGTGGTCGATCAATGAAGCAATTTCGATGCATCACAAGATCCCCTGGCTGAAGACGGCTGCGCCACTCCTCTGTGAGGTCATCTATGCGACTGACTGCCTGTGGCATGCCCTCATCTACCCCACCCGAATTCAGCGCATCACCAAAGCCACCCAGCCAACGGTTCAGGACCGGTCGCAGAAATCGAACCAAGGTCGCATTCTGGACCCATTCAGGTTGCATCAAGACTTCATCTGGAAGCTGCTTTCCGTGAAGCAAGAACTGCGCAAGCTCATTCGCAAAGTGGTTGCAATTGCGCCGCAGAACATCGTAGCTTCTGGGATTGTAGTCCACATACAGGTCCTCCTTCAGAAACTCCACCATGTTCTCATAGGTCCGGAGAGTTGTACCTAGCCGGATAACCTGCTTTGGGACTCCGAACGGTACATCTTCGTACTTGGACTCCAGGATGATGCCGCCGAACCAGAACTCCTTTCCGAACACGCGAAGACCCGAATGCCAAATGCCATCCAGCTTGTGACCGCCAAGCAGCGAACCGGGAATCCACTGCGCAACGCCCTGAGAAAGGTCGTAAAGCACCAGCTCAACAACAGACGCTTTCAATCCCAATGCGTAGGCAAGGAATTCATAGTAGCCGAGAGCCCATGGGGAGCCATCCTCCTCCCGGTCCTCGAGGATCTCCTCAGGTGGCTCATTCATGCCAACTGCTTCAAAAGCTGCGGGCCACTTTGTTTGACGAAGAAGCCCATCTCCGATTGTGTCTGCCGCTTCGAAGGCAGCGTGCAAGCGGCTCAAGAGCTCTGGATCCTCCTCGAGTCCTTTTCGAAGATGCCGGTTCAGGTGCTTAGCTGCCACATGACTCGGTGCGGACGCCTCGGCGCGACCAAGAACTGAAAGGAGGGGGTCTTGCCCCCAAGGTTTGCTCATTCACTATCACTAGTGATTCGCTGATTCGCTGAGTTCTGATGATGGGAAACCCTACACTGAGAGAGCTGCCCGCAGGAGCATGAAGTGCACCCATTCGTCCATGCCTAGGCCCTGCTGCGCAGCGCCAGAGCCCAAGTCCATCTCCGAGAAACGACATTTCCTTTGCTTCAATCACGCCAACGCTTAGCAGGCTACAGGCTACGGACTTCGTCCTTCTGTCTACCGTCTAGCTCGGGCAGGTATGGGCAGGTGCAAGGTGATGCAAGATGATGCTAGATGACGCAACATGTACAAGCTGAGCGACACCACTTCCCCCAAGAGCTCCAGGTCCTCGCTACCAAGAGTACCGCTGGTACGCTCCAGTAGGTCCTTTATGTGATCGAAGAGCTCCTCCCTCGTGAAATGGCCGGATCCATCAGCGTCCACGTTGTCCAGAAAATGGTCACGGAGCAGACAAAGGACACTGGCCTGTGCTGGAGGGCTGGTAGGGCTGACATTGCTCCTCGCCGGGCTAGATGTCACCGAACCTTCTGGGGTTCTCCAGCCACGCGACTTCCCAGAAGCAGGGCTAACGTTGGTCGGTGAAGGTGGGAGCAGGGTGGCAGTTCGCGAACGTACTGACCAGTGGGAGCGCGCCGGAGATGCATCTGGCACAACGGTTGTGTCGAAGCCGCCCTCTGACACATCTAGCAAGGCACTCATCCAAGTGTTGAGGGTCTTCCGCTTCTTCTGAGTCCGACGAAGCTGCTCGGGAGGCTCATTCGACTCTTGCGATTCTTGCGATTCTTCCTCCTCCGCAGAAGCTTTCCACCTCACATGCTGCTTGGCGCTCTGACTTCCTCCTCGTCGCCTCTCCACGTTCTCTATCTCTGAATCCTGCCCCGTGTCACCTGTGTCAGCTTCAAGCACCTTGTCCATGTCCGAGGAAAGCGAAGACAGCGTGGGTTTGCCATGCTGCAGCGGTTGCACCAACGGCTGTACCATGTCCTCATCGTTGCTCGCGGCATCGACCTCGACCACTTCCAAAGGTGGCGGCGTTTTGACCAGAGACTTGCAATTCTCATAAGTCTCGCGGTTCCTCTGTGTCAACAAGCTTGGGGTCAGTAAGCGACCTCTCGCGCGACGCTTGCTCGGTGACGGTGACGGCGAGAAAGTGTCTGTACTGCCACAGTAACAGCTTGACAATGACGGCCACAAACTTGGCCTCTCAGGCCCAGTGCAGCAAACATTTTCCCTGCTACCAGCGCCTTGCAGCGGTTCTGAGGCGAAGGAGGACGACTGGAGGTTTCTCAAGTGTCCGACTCCCTGTCCTTCCTGGGAGATTGCCATTACCCCGTGCTCAAGGCACGTCCCTGCGGCCTTGAGCCTAAACAATTTAGGATCACTTGCGTGCTACAGAAGCAACCACAGCACATCTTCTGCAAGTTGGCATTGGTTCGGAACAGGGACCTGCCAAGGAATAGAGAGACAAACGCACCGAAAAACAAAAGAAGTCTGCCCGAGAGTTCCAGATGGATCTGCTACATTTTGCAGCCAACACAACTGGAGAGAAAGAGCGAGATAGAGCGAGCGCCCAATATAGAGGACTGAGGGCTGCTTTTAAGTCCTCGGCCACGTGCTGCCTTTCAACCAAGCGCCGAATCTTCTAATCATGGCACCGCAAAACCTTCCAATTTGCTGCGTTGCATTGATTTTTGTGCATATCAATTGTTCACTAAGCTTGTGGCCCGGTTTTCTCACATGCAAAAACAGTTGTCCGCAACCAAACTCTCCATGATGCTGCGTTTGCGCTTTGAGCCAACGCCTGGAGCTGGCGCATGGACTCGAAGGGCACGACATGGGACATCCAGCTTGCGAAAACTTGCGCAAGAGAGATGTTACCGCTGTGAAAGCCGACGCCTGCCGAGGAGCGCAAAGACGTCCTGCGACAACAATCCCGTCGTGGTGAGACGTGCGTTTACTGTTCTGCTGATTTCTTCTGTTGAGCTTAGCCCGTGACGGGTTCAGCAGAGAGCTGATGCACGGAGCAGACTGCACCAGCACAGTCAGCAAAATGTCTAATCTCGATCAACGACCCTGGGCATCAGCTCTGTCTTGCAGGGTCTTGCTTCCCACTTAACCCCGGCTTAGAAGGCTCTCTGCCCCTCACTTTAAAATGCATGTAACACAGCATTGTAACTTACATGTTGAGATCAGATGTAGATGTAGGAATGCACCTCTGGCCGTCGGCGCAGCCGGCTTCGTGGCCTCGGTAGAACTGCCGACCAGCCAACAGCCAAGGCTTGACCTGGGGCTTTACCAGCCACACCAAATGTCTAGGCGGGTCCTGCATGGTCCACATTAAAGACGTCCATTTTAGAAAATTCAAGATTATGCACATACCTCAGGCCGTCGACAAAAGACATGCGTCGACAAGAGATACGCGTGCAGAGCTGTTTCATTTACTTGCCGCTCCTCGTGCAGGCATTTGCTGTACGCGTTGTGTGAAACACATGGTCCATTCGGTGCTAAAACTGAAGAATAGTCAGCAAGACAAGCAGAAACCAGAGCTCTTGATGCTGTCTAGTTCTCAACACATCATACCTGACGTTTACATGTTGACCTGTCCTGTATACTGCCAGCCTTCCGCCCAAATCATACAGTGCGCTGCAAGGCAACGACCACAGCCTTGCTAGCCTTGCACACTCCAAGCAGAAGGCTCAAAATGGTCAAAATGGAGGCACGCCCTTGTCCAGTCTCACTTCTTGACCTCCATTTTGTCAAGCTCCTCCTTCAGCCGCTTCTGGAAAGAGTCGTCCTGGTTGTCGCTGGATTCGCTGATTCACAGCATTGCAAATCGAGGCACAAAACAAAAAGCATACACCCCTGCCTGATCTTCATCGTCCCAGCCGGCATCATCCCAGTCTTCTTCCCACTGCTTGGCCTCAGAAGTTCCAGGAGCCGGCGTCTCCTTAGCTCAAATGTCAACATAGCACACATAGTACGTAGCCGTCTCCAGCAGCTTTCGCACTGAGTTCTGCGCCCAGTCGGGATCCTCGAATTCTTCGAACTCGTCCTTCATAGCTCTTCCGAAGAACTGCACTGAACGCAGCGCATGGCAACAAAATAGAGGTGCTGCCCCCAACAAATCCTCTTCGTCCAACAGGCCGCCAGATTCCTTCGGCTTCTCCTCAGTGGCCTCCTTGGGCTCCTTCGGCTTCCTGAGCCAAACGAGCAAAATGAGTACAACTCAGCCGAATTGGCATTGGTAGGAAAGACGGGAAGCAACTCTTTCCTCATTTCGCTCTTGGGAATTTAAGTCGTTTGGGCCTCCATATCGTTCGGATGCCAGGCCATGAAAGGCCCCGAAATACATATACGTATGTGTATAGATACATATATATATATACACTTAGTAGATGACTTCTTCATTATTTGCATTTTTGATAGTAGTGAAAAGCTATCCCAGAATGCAAGGATTTGATTCCAGGCGAGCATCTCGTCTTCGGGCATCCTCGCGGTGCTGGGCTTGCCGCTTGCCGTCAAATCTGTGAGGCCCCAGTCTCGGGCCCAGAACTGCGCTGCACGATTTTTGAGTTCTGTTGGAATTGCAGAAGTCAGTGACTAACAGAACCAGCAGCTTCAAAGCAAGAATCTCAGTCTTAATGTTCTGGGTGCGCAACGGATGCCGCATGTCCGCCAAGGCTGCCTTCGAGGCTGGTCATGCCAAATTCGCCACGAGTTCCCCACATGCCGAGATAAAGTTCAGCATCACAAAATGCCTTTGAGCTTGACCGCCATGCCGGCCATGAAGCTTTATCCAAACCTGCGAGGCGGTCATAACAGTCATTCAGCTTATACTAGCACAGGCGTGTTCAACGGAGCTGTGTAGGTGAACCTCTGGTGACCTAGACCTGCACGCGCACAAAAAGTGGCCACGCTGCCTTCCTGGTCTGTGCTGCGACTGAATCCGGCGAAGACCTGACCGCCAGCCGCCGCAATGATGGCAAAGCGAAAATGTTCATAAAATGTTCATGTGGTTAACTTCAATCTGCAACTAAGTGTAGTTCTATTAAATAACGGCATCAGCTTCGGAGAGCAAGGGAGGCCTCTGGAAATCCCTCGGAGCCTTAGGGCCGCAGCATCGCATACAGCGAAGTCACAAGTGGCTCACAAGTTGCTCACTGCAACGTCTCAGCAAACGCACAGCTCAGCCACCATGGGACGGGGACTTTTCAAACTTTTCGGACTCTGAGTCTCGGGGGCTTCCCTCTTTTCAGCATCCCGGACCTGCAAAGCCATGGACAATGTGTTTGCAACGCATTGCTGCAAATCATGTCCTCAGATTAATCACCGTATAATTGTCGCACCACATTGGGCCGCTTGGGGGCTCGGCGGGATTCACGTAACGGCGCAAACCCCGACCAGGAAATGCAGGTGGTCCTCAGAGACGTTGGGCCACAACTAGCGGTGCGTTCTGTTTTTTTGCGATGAATGACTGGAAGGCGAACGATCATCACTGCACTGCGCCCACTGTGACACTCTCACAGACTCTCGCGAAGGCCTGCAGCCAAAGCGGGGGCGTCAGCCACGTCCGCAGCCTGTGAAGAAGAGATCAGTCTCTTCAAGGTCTGTTTGGCCCTTGAAAATGCGATCTTTTCAACTTCTTTCTACACAGTGACTACACGCACTGCAGCTGCATTGTAACCCGAAGTTGGGCCCGCAACTGGAACACAGCCTCATTTGGCACATGCTGAGGACTTTTGGGACACAGGCTTAGTCTGCCATGCTGGGGTGACGGTCAGAACAGAGGACCCGGCCACCATCCTGGCTGCGCGCAGATTCCGTCAAAGTAACCTCGCGTTGAAGTGTACCCTTTAACCAGAGCAGTCGGTTGGGCTCGTGTCTAAGTGCTGCGCGGGGACACTGCTGAAGTACTTCCGCAAAGGGCGTCCGCGTGGTGCTGGATGGCCTAAACAAGTTTTTAAAAAACTAAAACCCGATGGAACTGCATCGCCTCATGCACGGTTTACTTACGAAAAGTCCGCCAAGGTATGTACGAATTGCTGGGAAGGACTTGTTTGGACAGGGGTCGGCCTCGTGAGCAAGCTGGATTGCAATGGATTGCAAGCTTACAAACTGAAAGTTGATGAGAACCGGGGGTTGGACCCAATCAACTCGCAGACCTTCTCCAGAGCTCGCCGCATGATCCAGACCTACATAGACCGGCAGGGCTACATAAGCAGTGATTCATACTTCCAAGTGCAAAGGCCGTGGCTAGTCTTGCGAGCCACGGCCTGCAGTCATGAAGGGCTCTCAGTTTGCAAGCGAGCCGGAAATGGATCGAATCTAGGTCTAGGTATTCATCGACTTGTCTAAAGGCTCCGACAGTGGATCGTGCCAAGGCGTACAATGGCAAAGCTGGATGCCCTGGCAGGAAACCGCAATTAACCGACCACGAACTGTGCATCATGCCCATTCTGTTTAAATCTGTGGAAGGAGGACCCCGTGGACCGCTATCAAAGGGAAGTTCCGCTGGAAGCTCGGCACCTTGGCTTGACGTCTTCAGATGCCGAGACCGCAACACATGCGGCATGCACACGGCACATTGCAGACACCTCATGACACCTTCAACCTGCAGGGCGTTGCGGGGCAGAACTTTTTGCAAGGCACTTCTGGAGGGCTTTCTCAGAACATCTTGGGTTCGAAAGTGAAGGCTTCACACAGCTTTTCAGGGGTGGCGTCGTCAATGTCGGCAGAGCAGGACTACGGTTGGCCGCGGCGCCTTATTGCGTTTCCAAATCTAGCACAAGGAGCGGACGGTGAGGGCACGCAAGTCTGAAGTGCCCTTCCGGAGCAGATGCCTCAGTTGAGCACATGATCTGCTGCAAACACACATTGGATCCAACAAGGACCTCGAGTCACTCGAGCCTGGCTGGGAGCCTGGCTTGCTTTGAAGCGCTCGCCCGGTGGCGAGCTTCTGAGTGCGAAGGAGATGGACTGGAGTCAGATTCTGCCCCTCAGTCGCGAGTCGAGTGTGCCCATACAAGTAGTTGCCATGTTGTCATATATTGTTTACTTATTGTTTGTACCGCGCTGTACCAAGATAAGCTCGCCACACCTGACGGCATTCGGCGGGAGAAAGCTCAGAATTTCCTGGGTCAACTGCTTAGCGCTCGCGCAACTTGTGTCAGAAGCGCGTGTCAACCTACCGAGCTCCCAACCTCAAGTTCAGCAGCGGAAGGAGACAATGCCCTGAAAGTCGCTTGGTCTTCGGTTTTCAAATGCGAAATGCTGCGATAGCAGAGCAATGCCACAATCCGCAAAAGCCAGCATGCTCAGCATTTTGTTGCCTCCGCACAGCAGGCCGACGTGCAAAGCACAGGCTGCGCCGACAATTGCGTCAAACAACATCGAAGCGCATTCGTAGCTCGGTTGCTGCTGCCCGTCTGCTCCTGTAATTCATTCATCACTTCTTGCCGCGCTTTTTTGCGGGTGCTTTATCATTTTCCTCGAGGCGTTTCTTGGAGTTCTTGACTTTGTCCTCCTTACCTGTCTTGGCTTTCTTGGCTTTCTTGACATCCGCATCCTTGGAGGACTGGTCGCCCTCTGGCTGGCTTCGCTTCTTGGCTTTCTTTCCTTTGCCAGTCTTCCCATCCGTCTCGAGATCGCTTGCCGCTCCGCTGGCGTACAGGCGCCTGGCGGGGGGGGGGGGCTGGGGGTTGGGGGCAAGGCAGCCAGCATTGCTGCAACGCTGGGCCAAGGGGACAGAAGCTTGGAGGCAACCTACAGTCACAGGAGTGTCGATACAACTACAGTCATCCAAGTGCTGTGCCCTAGACACAGCACCTGATGAGGCAGTCAGCTTTTCGGCCGCAGTTGCCTCTCACGCTCTGTCTTTTCCTGCTTTTCTTGGACACGTCTCCCATGACTTGCTTCTCGCCGCGATCGTCGCGAGTCACGTGAGTCACAAGATGCAGGCCGTCTCCGGTCACGGCTGTCACGGCTGTCGTGTCGCCTCGGCCGGCTGTACCTCCGCGCAGGAGCCCTCCTCGGAGCTTTCGGATCCCGGCTGTCGGCGCGGTCTCTGCGCCTGCTTGGACTTCGGCGTCTCCGTGGGCTTCCACCACGACCACGACTGTCCCGCTCTCTAAGGCCTCGTTTCTCACCGCGGTCCTTTTTGAAGGATGCCATGCCCTCCAGATCTGCAGAGCTGGCCCTGGGTCTCTCTGTATTTTGTGCACTTTGGCGCTTGCTGCTTTCTCTGCCAACTTCTTCAGCCTCCCGCAAAGAGATCCTGCTCATTGCCAAAGCTATGGTGTCACCAAATGATACTGAGAACACCCTCTTCAGGTCGTGGGGAGTTTCAGGCAATGCGTGTTCGGAGTCCTTCCACCACCCTGCTTGCCGTTCGTTTGCTTCGGCGCGGCTACTTTGAGGGCAGTCTTCGGGAGCCCGTACTCCTGCCGCACAGGATGAGACCAACCAAAAAAGGTGACAATCAACAAGCACTCGCCAACAAGCTCTGGCCATTCAGGAATAACGGATCCAGGAAGTCCTTGCGTAAGCGTGCCTGAGTTTCCTCAGACAAGGAGCTGCTGGAAGATGAGGAAGAGGAGCTGCTGTCACTGTCGGATTTTGCCTCGGCTTCTTTGCTCCCTGCTTTCTCTTCTTTTTCTTTTTGCTTTTGCTGCTTCTTCAGCTTTTTCCTGATAATATGGGCCAGAGAATGAGTGCCGTACCCCAACTCCAGGAAACTGATGCGCAATTTGGAGCTGAGGCAGCCACGCTTTCTTTGCTTCTTTCTTGAAGAACTTTTTCTTTAGCTTCGTCTCCTTCTTCATCTTTTTGATTTCGTCCATCATGGACTTCGCGTCTTTCACCAAATCCTGCATACATGTCAAGCGACCTGAGTCGCCTTACGGTCGAAGCGACTGAGTGAGCGTGGCCTTTCACCAGCTGCCAACACTGTCTGCAGGCGCGTGCCGTTGACGCGCACGCAGAATTGCGCAACATGACCCTTTCTGCACAGCAGCCCATTTCTTTGAAAGCCATGCTGGCCGTGTGTACCTACTTGAAAATTGGCACAGCGCTCAAATCCTGCTTCCCCAGCCCCCGCCCTTTAGCCTACCCCCTCACCTCTACTTGTTTTACCACTCCACATTTGGGGTCTATGCACGAGCCTGCGGGTTACAACAGGATCCCCAGAAAGGATCCCCAAAAGGGAATGACTGCACGAAGCCCCTTAAAGCCCTGAAGCCTAACAGCCCTCACACCCAATCTCCGGTTTGGGTTGCCTTTCCGCTGGGCAGGCCCAGGCCGAGGCGGGCCACGTAGCGCTAAATTATTGAGTGAGCTTCAGTTGATGGAGATTTGCAGGGTTGGATGTCTAATGCACGAAGCCCGAAGACCCAAACGATTTTTTTTCCTATGCGATTACATCGCTCTAGCGAAAGGGAAAAGGGGAAACTATCTGCACCCTAGCTGCCAACGGCGTGGAAGGCGTAGCTGCAGCCGGAAATCAAGAGAGCTAATCGTCTAGCAACTGTTCAGTTACGCAAGGCGCATCTAGCCCAAAGGCCACTGGACTTTCTCGAACTTCTGGAAGCAGTAGCTCAGTAGCAGGTAGATTCGGCAGGTACTCCGCACAGCATGTTCATGTGCTGTCTTGGCCTCGGTGCTTTGACGCTTTGGCTTGCCTCCTTCTTTGGGAAAGCGGCCTTCTTTGTGTCTCGGGTCAAGGTCTTCTCCAGTTTCCTGGTTCACATATCCTCGGCATTGAGAAGCAGATTTAAAAATAAAACCAATAGGATGAAAAACTCAAATCAAATGTGAAGGGTGTTAAGCAGAAATGACACTAGAAACATTCAGATACTCTCATAATGGCAGTGGCAAAATGGAAGATAAACCAATAAAACTGAAACCGAAAGCGAGAGCAGTAGCGATTAAACCTGTTGAAAACCAAGCGATTTAAAAAAGAAGAAAAACACACCACCTACGAGAATAAAAGAAGCAAAACGAGAAAATTGAAAATGAAGTAGTGAGTCATTCAGAGCCTATTGAAGTAAAGCTCCGCGTGTGTGTGTGTGTGCGGTTGAGGCGTTATCTTCTCTAAAACGAAAAAACATACTACAGGGTGAACTCATGTGCCACCAGTACCTCGGGAATTCCAGGCTCTGGCAAAACTTGGGGAGGTTGCGCGCCTGACTGGCAGATTTTGAAAGGTTCCTCCCCGCACTCAAACTTGGATGAGATTATATGAGATTTACAGAGCACTGGAAACCACACCCGGCAAACTCTCGCTTTCGACAGGGACAGTAGAGCTCTCATACAGTTTTCCATGTCAACTGAATGCTCTCAGAGAGCAGCGGAGCTACGGGGGATAATGCGCAACTTCACAATCATTCTGCCTGAGCTCCATGTCTCGCATTCTTGCAATCGTGTTCTCGCCACAGTACCGCTACAAACGCTGCGTGCGATGCCTGCGTTCATAGCTCTGATATGTCTATGCCAAGTCTCTCATGTCCAGTCCAAGCTTTCCTTCCTCCTGGTTGATGTTGACAACCTGGCAGCAATCACAGACATGCTTCTCGCATCTTCAGGTCCCAAGCTCAAGCCCATCACCTTCACCCACACTTTCTCACCAACGTCCAGGTGCTCTGACACATCCTTGACGCGCCCAGCTGCAACGCACGAGATGTGCACCAGCCCATCCTGCGCAAGCCAGAGAGCATAGTGCGCTTGCTGTGTGGGTGCGCAGCGATGTAGCAGGCTGCGTTTCCGCCTTGAATGCTTCACCTGTCAGCAAAGGAACGTCGCACCAAACCCAACTAGCTCTGAACGCGCTAGAAACGACTGCCGACGGCCAAAACAACTGCAAAGTTCAAGGCATTTCAAGGCCCAAAGCTAGTTACGTGCCTTGACCAATTCGCACGAATGCCCCGAATGGACGGATGGAGACCACCTCGGCAAACTCCAATCTGCCAACTCAGGCTCACCACATGAAGCTCAGTCCATCTCGAATGAAATCATCCTTCTTGCTGTAAAGCAGCTTTTCCTTGGTGGACACTGTGCATGTCGGGCAGCATGCCGCCTTCTGAAGCACCCTTCTCGTCGACATCGATTGGGACCGGCATGTTCAAGGCGTTTGTGTGGCGCTCCGTTTCGGTGATAGATAGCTGGGAATTCAGTCATTGGCAGCATCGGAATGTACAAGGACTTGTGCTGAGATACTCGCTCCTGATTATCTGCGTACTGGGCCGTGGCTCAATTACAATGCTACACCGGGCCGTCCGCGCATGGCAAACCAGAACGGCTTCAAGCTGTTTGGAATATGTTTGCGCGTGTAGTAACCTTCGCAGATTCAACTCGAGCATCGACGCCAGCGGCACGATATGACAAGACGTTCATGGCAAGATCTTGGCAAGGTATGGCAACCCTAAAGCTGGGGCAGCCTCGGACTCGGTGCATGCACTGCCATCCACTCCTGATGCTGCAGCGCAAGTCTGTTGATGCTATGATATGCTATGCATTCGAAGCCTGGGCTGAATCAAAGCAAGCTAAGTCATGAGCAGCGTTGCCGCAGCTAGGTGGGCCAACCCCACATGGAAGTCACACACCGCCGAGGAGATCCTAGGACTGTCTTGAGCCATCCAGAGGCTTTTGGACACGTTTGTGGAGCTGCTCTCAGAGAGGAGCCGCATGAAAGCTCAGGTTCAGGACCCGCCATTTCCACGATCACCGCTGGCCAGAAAAGACAATTAAACAACTGAGAATGTGTGAAACCCAAAGAAGACTCAAGAAAGCACGATGATCAACGGTGCGTGGCACCTCCTGTCAGAAGTCGCAGCGCTCACTTGCAGCTGGCTCCGAGCCAGAGCCAAAGTCCACAAGCGCTGCTCTAGACTCTAGGTATTGACTCTAGTTCGTCCCTTCAGGGATGCATTGGTGAAACGGAAGACGTGGACGATTGCATTTGGTCCACTCTTGCTGTGCACAGTGGCCTTTCGGACCTTCTGCTTGCGGAATGGCCGGGCGGCAGATTTGCATATCAGAAACAGCTGAAGGAAAGAGAGGGAGGATTTGTGGTTTTGTGTCTTTCGACATCCTGCCGACTCGAGCTTCAGCAAGACAAGACACAACCAAACGGAAAATCTATCAAGTAGCTATCTCTTCAGCCGTGGATTCTGGGGGGATGAGTACACGGCACTGGCACCCAAATCTATTGAATCGATGGCTACTAACTGGGCCCGACGTCATGCCTCCCCATCAACTTGGCTGGGCTCGTTTGTTTGGTCTTGGTCGACTTGACCGTCCGGCTGGGACTCTAGCAAAGTGTCGACCTGGGGCGAAAGGCTCACATTTGTGCCGTGCACAAGGGCGGTTGATGGCATGTGATGCAATGCCTAAGTCCTGCGTACCAAGGGTGCAGCAGCGATCACGCCCGTGCACTCTGTGTCGATCTTCGACCATGCCTTAGGTGAAGGGTCTCGACTGATAACTTTCCCGACCTGACAACTATTGTCACTGAAGTTTATGAACAAAGTGCATCTCCATGACGTTCTTTTCGAGCTTGCAAGCCTATCTTGCCCTGTGACTCAGCTGGCAGATGGATCCAAAGCCGCTGACAGTGAACAGGCCATCATCGCTCAGTTCCTCCTAACGACAAGGAAGGTGCAGGAATGGAACACGTGGCATGCCAAAGACCGTGCGTTGTTGCTTCCAGGCCTCCGGGATCTCAAGCAGTTCCCGGACGAGTCGGGGCCACTCCTTGCGCTAGGTGTGGACAAAAGCATCAACGAAGAGGATCAATCTTTCTGCCTGTCTGAGTTTCAATGAGGAGCTGAGGAGCTGTCCCACTCTGTGATCAATCCACTCCACGGCCTCTTCTGAGTTTGACATGGAAAATAACAGTATCGATAAGAGGCGATCTACAGCGCATGGGTCCGATGGGCATGAAATCCAAAGAATAAGCCCGCGTCCATCCCCAGTGGCCAAACGCGCGTTGCAGCTCCTACAGCGTTCTGAGATTTCTAACATCCACTTCACAGGCCCTGTAAGCAGTGGGGTGCTATACGAGTTGAATAAACAAAGATGTTGAGACAACGGATGGCAACGGCCTACTGCCTGCCAGCATTTTTGCCATCCTCCCTTGAACGCAAAATTGGGAACTTTAGATGACACCTGTTAAGATCATAAAAGCTGTCCTCCAGCTTCAAGCTTCGAAAATGATCCTTGCGGACTGAAAGAGAAATTGCGAAAAAGAAGACAGGGGCGGCCCCCCGCCTTCAAAGCGTGAAGCTGCGCTTCTGAAAGATGATCTCCCGGCGCCTATAAACTGTGCAAACTGAGCTGGGGTTTCAATGTTCACCTCTTTGGAAAGATGTCTCAAACTGAGCAGTATTGAGAGCCTTTGCCCGTGCTGCTACTTCAGCCGCAACAGCGGCCTTGGCCACGGGCGTGCCTCGCAAAGCAGAAGCAACACAAGGCAACCCTACAGAATTGCACACACACACAGACACCGAGACCGAGACCGAGACCGAGACAGAGACCGAGACAGAGACAGAGACAGAGACAGACGGACACAGACGGACACAGACGGACACAGACGGACACAGACGGACACAGACGGACACAGACAGACACAGACAGACACAGACAGACACAGACAGACACAGACAGACACGGACAGACGCGGACAGACGCGGTCACGGACGCGGACACAGACGCAGACACAGACACAGAAGCATACACACACACACACACATGTGCAGAACCTAAGAATCGGGCGCAGCTTACTTTTCGAACACACACACACACAGACACAGAGAGAGAGAGAGAGACACACACACACACACACACACACACTCACAGACTCACAGACTCACACACTCACACACTCACACACACTCACACACACTCACACACACTCACACACACACACACACACACAGAGACACAGACACACGCAAAGATACGCAGAGACACACTTGAGATCTGGGCTACGAAAGCTAGACAAACGCCAGATGGCGCAAGCAACGCATTTTCGAGGGATCAATGGTGGCCACTCCCCAAACCGAAGATGCCACACATGGTCTGCTAGATGGTCAGCTACATGGTGGAGGGAAGAGCATGAATACTCTCGAATCATGGCAAGCCCAAGGGTATCAGAAAAAGCTTTCCGGAGCATGGGAGCCTCCAAGGAGGCGGCGGGAGGCCCACCCCCCCGCCCATTAAATCAATTACGGCAACCCTTTGTGGGGGGTGGGGGTGGCCAAGGGTCGGGGTCGCTTGGTGACCCACCTGAACACTAGAGGTTGTAAACGACAACCCTCGCAAGCTCCAAGGAGCGAGCTTTCGTGACTGAAACACACACACACACACACACATCCCGACGCCTTGCAGCACTTGTGGCCGCCATTGGGCATAGCCACGGCGGACCTTTCGGGATTGTCTCAACCTCTGCTGCGCCGATCGTTAGTTTCGTGATTTTGGCTCCGTCGAGCGGACCTCCAGTCGCCGCATGAAGACCATGAACTCCTGGACGCTTATCGACCCAGACCTGACGGCATGGCGTGCGAAACCACGCAGGTCTGTTGGAATGACCCCTGCTGAGGAGAAGGCATGTCCTGATCCATTGCCTTCCAGAGGCCCTCCAAAAAGATCGAATCAAATGCAAGGACCATGAGCCACTCGCGGCACATACGATCGCAATGGACCTTGAGTTCTGGGTTGGTGATCTCCTTGGTCGTGATGGCCAGGCATGGCAGCGGACCTGACATTGATCGCAATCAGGGTCACCGGTTCACTTTATGTGGCGAGCTTGGTGAGCTCCAGGCGCCGGATGATTCGAAAGAACTCATCGAAGCCTGCCAAGATTCGCATATGTCTCTGAACAGCTTCATGACATGATTCTGGCAAGGGCAGAGGTTGGCAGAGCTAGGCTCTGAGCTAGGCCAGACAGTCAAGCCCAAGTCATCGCTGTGCCACAAATCAACCATGGAGCATTGACAGCCTATCTCGCCAGATCCATCGACATCTACCAGCTTGAAGACCTGCCACTCGGCGTGCCACATGCATTCAATTGCATTCACCATGGGAAAGGCTCAAGGCCGCGCCGGCCTTGTACCAGCACACTTTTCCGATCCACTTTGAGGCTGCTGCGCCGATCTTGTCAACTACCTCGGGCATGGTGATCCGCAAGTTAAAGGTGGAAGTCCCTGGGAAATCGGGAACTCTTTGGCAAACAGGGGTGGAAAACAAAAACACCAAGTCAGGCAGCACGGCACAACGCCAAGGCCCACGCCGCTCCTTGCTCCATGTCTGAAATCACAGGCCAGGTATCCAGCCGCAACTTGTACATGCCGCTCCTGGTCAAGAAGTTCGGCTGTCTTTGGAGCGACTTACAGTAGCGTCCAAGTAGCGTGCATAAGAAAACAGCAAACCGCGCCAAACAGCCACCACAACCACCACAACAGCCACCGCCACCACCACCACCACCACCATGACAACGACAGCAAGAACAACAGTAATAAGAGGAGGCCTGAAACCTCCCCCCGCTCTCCCTCTCCCCCCCTAGAGCATGCAGCAACAGAAGGAACAACTGAGCAGCAAGCGTCCACTCTTTGTATGAAACGCGGCCGGAATTGTCAGCGTCCTGTCAAGCGGACAAATGTTCCGAAAGCACTTGTTCAGTAGTACTGAGTGAAACATCGTAGATGCATCGGAAGACGGTGCCGAGAACAGGCGAACACCAACAAAACACATACAGGGTGACAGGCCAATCATGCGCACATGAGTCGTATAAAAAGGGGGGCGAGTCGTAAACAGCAAGGCACCAATCAACATTCATGCAAGACCATGTAAGTCACCAAAAAGAATAGATTCGCGAAAGTCGAAAACCCTAAAATCCGAAGACCTGAGTCCCGACCTGCATCCGAAAACCCAACCTAACCTAACTCCCCGAAACCTAACCCAACCCAACCTAACCTAACCCCCGAAATGCGTGACCCAGCAATCCTAAATCCTAAACACCAACTAACCGAAACCCGTCACCCAACAACCCCTAACTAACCCTTGACCCTGACCCCAAGGCCCGAAACCTACCTCAACTCCTGAAAAGTGACACCCATAACCCCCCGAAATCTTTTTCCCTAACCCACAACCCCCAGATGCAAACCCTGGAGCCCCCCGCTGAGCCCTAACCCACATCTGCAGACCAAACCCCACCCAACCGAACCTAACCCAACCTAACCCCACCCCCGAAACTTCGTGACCCAACTCTTCCCAAAGCTTAACCGGAAACACTGAAACCCCAGCCCTAACCTGCATCCTAACCTAACTTAACCCAACCCCTGAAACCCATAACCCAACCCTTAATCCGGAACCCTCACCCTAAAAAAGCCAAAACCCTGAAATCCCAACCCTGTTTCCCGACCTGCGTCCGAAGACCTACCCAAGAACCCTAAACCCAAAATCCCCAAGGTGCAAACCTTGAAGCCCCAAACCCTGAGCCCCAACCAAACCTAGCCCAACTTCCGAAACATGACCAAGAATGTTCAGCTTGTTTGCAAATTCACCCAAAATCAGGTAAGTGCTTGTTGATTTGCCTTCTTTATCCAGCAGTAGCATCAGCAGTTGGAGCAGCAGCAGCAGCAGCAGCAGCAGCAGCAGCAAACCCACAAACACCACCACCACCACCACCACCGCTCTGCAAACTAAAGCCATCACCCGCGACCCAAGCTACCTCTACTTTCAGTCAAGACTCCCGACCTGATGAATGAGACCTAGACCCAAACACGTCAGGGCCGCGATACGGCACCACAACGCATATAAGTCATCGTGCGAGACCCCGTTCACGACAGCACCGTCTGTGTGGAACTGTGCCTGGCAACTGCAACATGGATACTGAGAGATCTCTGCAGACACGCAAACTCTTACATACATGTATGTTCTTTCATATATGCATATATATATATAAGCCATGCACCAACTTGCCCCAACAAAAAGAAGATGCCAGCTTACCATGGCTTTGCCAGAGAAGGCCAGCACGGCCTCGAAACACTTCAGCAAGCAAGCATGGAAGCACTGGCAACAGTCTTTGCTGCCACATGCTGAGTCACTCTGCGTTCTCATCGATGAACTTGCGCCCGGCTTTTAACCGCATCTGTGCACAACGGTGCGCGAGAATATCGAAGTTGAGAGACTCCAAGCTAATGGGTTTCAACCATGACCCATGCTTATTCTTGCTTATTCTGGGGCAACAGCATGCTTTCTGAGTGCTGGACGATCAAGGCTTGCTCCAAACTCAGCGTGCGCACAAGCAAACACACGTACAAGACACATCTTCGGGATGTGAAAGGCCTCTAGAGGCCTCTACGAAGACTCCGCTTCTTCGTTCAAGGGTCTTCAGTGTGCAGTGAGGCTGTGGCTCCTGGAAAGTGACGAGGCCATCCCGGTCCAGATCAGCTTCGTCCAGAAACCTACGAAGCCGCACTCCGTTTCTTCTTCCTGCACAGGTCCCAGGATCTCAGGCATGGGCCTCTGCCATTTGTCCACAGCTCTTACGTGGACCCCACGTCTGTTCCAGTAGGCCTGGCCAAGTTCGGCTCGGTATGGCTCGGTGCTGCTCAAGCTGCTCAAGACTTCCCAGCAAACTCGGATGGCCCACGGTCAAAGAGTCATCAAGGACTTTGGCGGTTTGTCGCAGCCTGCAGTCGAAGCCCTCCAACTGAAACTATGAAAGGCAAGGCTGAGCCGGGGTGAACCAGTCGTCATTTCACGGAGCTCTCGGCCGCCAGCTCATCATCGTTTCTTTCAGGAGGTCTCCCGTAGTCCTGGCAATGATGGCGTTAAAGCCCTTTCTAGCCTATGACTTTTCCGGCCCAGTGACATGCTTGAGAGCACTCGTCCTCCATCTCCGTTGTGGCAGTCTTACTCCGGATGGACCTATGCCTCAGTGGGACACGGCACCTCACGGCAAGTCACATCGCAAGGCTTGCAGCTTGCAACTACGAATGAGGGGTGGGCATCGAGAACTGCGCGCCATACTTCCTTTAGATCTACAGCAGAAACCGATAAGTGGTTGTATTGACATGGAAGAACCCTGGCTCAGATCGGATGTTGCATGTCCTCATGAAAATCATGAAGTCATACACCTGGACACTGGTGCAACGCAAGGCTGATCAGCGCAGCACTTGCAGCTGCCGGATCATGGAGGAAAATGCGCGGGCCTCAACTCTCCCCGCACGATGGGCATCCAAAGCGCGCCAAAACCCGCGAATGTCCTGCAGAAGGCCGTCCCTTTGACCCACATGCTCCCCACTTCTTCCCAGTGTCCTGCTCTGGCATCTTCTGGGGCGAGATGGACAACCCAGGAAAGTTCCTTGCAATACAGCTACGGTGCCAAAGCTGCGTCCAGCCGAGTCTAACCATGACAAGTAGAAGTGGAGCCGCCTCAACCTGAAATCATTAGCCCAATTGTTGGCACCGTGCTTTCTCAGTTCGGCTCTTTCGGAAAACGCCCACCATCTCATCGAACGTCATGCTGCCAGAGCCATCCTCATCGCAGGCCTTTCACCAAGAAATGGTTCTGCCATGATGTTGACCGCTCTAAGATGCTCTGAGGCATCCTGAGGCGAATGCCAGGAACACCTTGTACCAGTTTCCTGCTGCCCGGTGCCACCTTTGAAGCAACTGCAACTGCGGGAACTAGCAGTGCTGCAAAAAGTCCCTCTGAACTCTTCTTGGGCCCCAAGCTTGTCTGCGGCAGTGTTCAAGATGTGAATGACCCGAAAGATGCCTTTTCGAACGCATGCTTGCACCAATTCCGCATCTTTGGAGCTTCATTGATGGACCTTGCTGATCCAATTCAGGCCAGGTATCCACCTGAGCAAGCATCGGTAAGGGCGAACTGGAACATCCCACGAAAGCTGCAACGAAATCCCTTACCAAAGTGCTACTCCTCGAGTCGCGCCTGCAGTCGGTAGACCGCACTGTCAAAGTGTCCGGCAGTGACCTCGCCTATGCCCTCCTGATCCACCTGAGGACAGCTTCAAGATCTCTGCTTCCTGGCTCTTGTGACGCTTGTGCCTTTGGGTCAAGACCCGTGTGGAGAGACTTTGTAAAAAGCAGCAGCACACGTGCTCACCTATCCCGTCCTATACATCTGGGGAGTCCATGGGAGTCCTATGCAATGCACATCTGCAAAACAAGGATTCAAGACGACTCAGCCGGGCCCAACGAGCGCTTCTCATTTGTCACACTTGTTTTTTGCAATTTCACCCTCCGCTCCGCCATCCGATCAGTCACTCCCGCTCCCACTCCCCCCTGTGTCTCAATCGGATAGCATGAATGAGAGCTTCAGAGCTCCTTGATGGAGGCGAACTTGTCAGAGTGACTTTGCCCTATCCAAATAGTTCCTCCTTGGCTTTTGGTTTTCGCCATGCAGAAGACTCGCCCAGGACAGGACAGCCTCCTGAAAGCAAGTGACATGTACTGGTAAGTACCAGGGCTAGAACATTGACCCGGCATTTTGGCTGCGGAGTCTTTGACATATGTCACACCGCATCAAACAAGCAATAATTTGCAATCTCAACCCCGGCCAATAACCTACCATTCAGATTGTGAGCATGAGCGATGCAGACGGAGATGCCTTAAACCGCCAGCGTTGTTTGATGTTGTTTGTCAGTTTATGCTGGAACTTTTCTCGAGGGAACAAGGCAAAGCATGAACGGTTGGTTCTCGGCTTAGCGGGCTAAACCGCGGATCTCCACAGAACGCGCAAGTTGCCTCATCGACCGGGTGTACTGCGGGCCTGCTGACACAAGCGAGGCTTTGGCAGGGCGACTGGCAGCACGGAAATCCAGATCGCACCGCGGCTCCCATGGCCAGGCTGTGACGTAGACGACTTGTAGTGGCCATGAGCCGGCACAGCCATGCCGTCAACATGGGGCGGAGCAAGGAAGTTGGTGCGAGGAAGAAGCCCATCGTCCTGTCATGCCCTCCTGCAGTGCTCTTCAAAATGGCAGCCTTCAAGCCGCATTCCATGAATGCAAGACCGAGCACCAAATCTTCGCTTGTCAGAGGCCTTAGCGGAGAAGAACAAGAACGTGCCACGGCAATTGCCCTTGGGCCTCATATGCTCTTATTGCAACCAGCCAGGTCCAAACAGGGGCCCCAGAAAAAAGGCAAGGTACATGGTCATCTGCGAGTGTTGACATGGAGACATGGGGGATGTAATGTAAGGAACAAGTGACGGTTTCGGGATGAGTGGGATTGAGAGAGCGACAAAGCGTATGAGCGCGTGGCAGAGCACAGTACAGTATTCCGAGCAAACACCACCTAAGCTTCAGCATGCTTCAGCCCCCAAAAGCTGTAGTGTTGAATGGATATGCACAGGGACACTGCTCACAACGAAGCCTGATGTTTTCAACGCCTGGGCTCTCTGTGTCGTTATTCCATGGCGGATCCCATGCTCTGTTCTCGTCGTAAAGTGTTCATTCGTTAGGCCTGTACTGAGACACGCGGGGAGCGGAAGGGAGGGCAAGGAGGACGAGGTTGGTGATACCGTTTCCAACTACTGCGGAGAACGCCGTGCAGTGAACAGTATCTGGTTGGTGGCAAGATCCTGGGCATGTGATGTAAAGTATCTGTGTCAATGGTTGATATCACTGGACAGCGAGGCACGTTAGGCTCTGAAAGTTGCCCTTTCAAGACATGCTTAGTAACTGCCAGAAAGAACTTCCATGTTCTTCACGTTTTGGCATTTCTTTGCCTCTCTCCAGAAGGCCATGAGGTGCTCAATCGCTGGCGGCGGCCGCATTACCTGAACACTTGTTCGGTCGCAAAACCGAGGTCACTCAACAGTCAGGCACTTTCCAACATGCCCACTACTGTACCTCCCGTGCCTGCATCACCATCCGCTGGAACTCTGTGTATTTCATGCGGCCGTGCCTTGCAGAGCATCTCAGCATCTCTCAGTCTCTCTCTCTCGCTCTCTCTCTCTCTGACTCGAGGCTTGCTGTGGTGAGCTGAAGCCTGCCTAGAGCAGCCGCTCGCTTCGATGAACTTCGGCCAAAGTAGTGCTCCTCCTGCTTTGTCGGCCTTGGAGGGTAGGGGCAACGCCGCAGAGCCACTAGCCCACCTACAACCCGCCTACAACATATTCAAACATGCTCCAGCAGCAAGTAGGCCCGCCACGCCGGTCTTGGACAGCCATGCATGAACGCCCAACCTTGAGACCAGTGCAGACATGTACAGACATGTGCAGACTGGCATTGGCCCATTCCATGGACGCGTGTAAGCATTGTAACACCCAAGGGGGCTGCGTCAAGTTTGTGGCAATGGAGACGAGCTGATGCACCTGGACAGGCAACCCGACTCCCCTGGCACAAGGGTTTGACCTCGGGGTCTTCAAAAATGGGGCTGCGACGTCCAATGCCTTGGCACGTCCCGTTGTCCGCACGATGCCGACAAAGAGATCAAACCGCGGTCAATCATGTGTGACGTTTGCAGGTGTTGTCAACGTGGCTTTTGCATGCTTTTGCTTCAAGGTGGCCGGTGCATTTGCGATCTGCTCCTTCTGATCTTCATCTTCTTCCTCCGCGGAAAGCTTTGGAAGATGTATGAGCTGTGGGGCATGCTGGCTCTCAGGATCCCACGGAGATCACACTGCCTTGCGCAGTCCACAACTGCATGGGTTAAGTGGCCAACTGCATCGGTTCGGCCAAGCTGCAAGTCATCTTGCTTTGCGACGACTTGTGCATGCTGTGCTTGGCCCCGTAGCGGCGCATGAAGACCTTGAACAGCTGCCGCTGTCTTCACCATGCACATGCCGCATGCACCCTTTTTGGCTTCCGTGCTGAGCCAGCATCATCAGGACAAACCGATTCGCAAACTAGAAAACCAAATTCGTCGCCCACTGAAGGATTCGAGACAATGAGCAGCTTTGCACGGAAGCACCCCGGAAAGGTGCGAAACGACATCCTAAAAGGAGATGACGAAACCACACCTGAAGAAGAGATGATGAGTCGCGCTTGTGGCGGGACAAAGCTTAAACCCCAAAAGGAGAATATCAACACTGACAAGTAACTTAAACCCCTTCCTTTTTGCATCTGGCCTCGTGGAAGTCTGCCAGGGATACGGACGGCAGCGACACCCGAGAGCCTAAACCCCCCGCAAAAAGATGAAGAAGAAGAAGATGATGATGATGAGGAAGATGATGATGATGAGATGATGCTGATGATGAAGACGATGCTGATGATGATGATGATGATGATGATGATGATGATAATGATGTTGAATACGAAGCTGCAAACTGTAAACCTGAAACGGAAAAGAAGATGAATTGATGAATCCCAACAAAGAAGAAATCAAAAGCCCTAAGCCCTCTACCATAAACCCTGACGGGGTGTGGCAAACCTGTCTGGTTTTCTGCTCAACATCCTGGCGACGCGCATTCTAGCTCCAAAGGCGCAAGCTCGCAAGCCGACAATCCGCGCCGATCATGCTCGCTTTGTTGGGCGTTGTCCGATCGTGGCCCACTCTGGAAGTTTATACCCACCCCACCCCCCCCCCCCCCCCCCCCCCCCCCCCCCCCGGTTGCACGCTCTTAGCAGAATGGCCATCGCTCTACTAGCCAAAGCAATGTGGCCTGCCCTCCACTTGGCCCCCATGTATAGCGAGTGATTGTATCATCACTTTGTCATCCTGTCCGGTGCTGTGTTCTGCTGTGCTGCCTACCTATGGAGGATCCTATGCCACAACGCAAAGCATCACAGGCATGAGTCCGATGCCATGAACTCACCAACACTGACGGTGCTGGACTTGTCCTCGTCTAAGGCCTGCGAGCAGATCACTACTGCGAGCAATTGCCACTGCTGCAGGTTTAAACATGCTCAAAGCTCATGAATGTCAGGAACCATCGGCCGGGGACCTTCCACAAGCCTTTCAGATCGAAGTCCGTGATCTGATCCGGTGGAATGGCTAGTCCGTACCTGGCAGCACACTTACATGAAACGAAATTCGACCTTCATGGCGGACAGAAAAGCAGGCTACAAGATGCGAATCACACCAAGGACGGAGCCACATGTCCCTCACAACTTCTTTGAGGCCCCCGAAGCTGAGGCGGCCGGATTGGCCCTGCACTACGGGACTTGTCAGCTGACGTCTGCTGTGCGGCTGCTGGACGGTGCACACACAGTACAACTGGCAGCGAAGGGGCTTAACTTGAGACCATGTGCCCCGAGGACCAGAAAAAAGTGTGTATGCGCGCGTGCCGGAAAAGCACCACGATCAAGGACGGAGTGAGTACTCCGGCCTTGTCGACCAGATTGAAGATCTTGTACCAGTTGCCACTGGATCGCAATCGTTTGACCTGTTGATTGAATTTGGAGTCTGACTGAACCTGCAAGTACTGTTCGACCGCGACATCAAGTGCACAACCCATCAAGCTTAGCACTCCGCGGCAGCGTAGTTCAGGATCGTTGCCTGGCTCGGAGAAATTCGGGGCGGCCTTCTCTAGAACAAGTCATGATCCCGTGGTCCAGAGGTTTTGGCCACACAAAAAACAATAGTGTCCAATGAAAGCATCATGTCCTGATCTTGTTGCATACAGCAGAGAGAAAAAGCTAGCCAGCAGCACTATTCTCTCAAGCTCTGCACCGTCTAACTCGGGCCAGCCGTCCAGCTGAACATGGTACCTTCAGGTCGAGATGCCGAGACTGTTCATAGTGACAGGCTGGCCCTTCAACTGATTACAGTGAGTACAGTTGCGCACAAGCCAAGCATCATGTCTTTCGCCGTGACTTCGCCCACTGAGGAGGGATCCTGAGCAGCAATCCATAGCAGCCATAGCACCCTTTTCCTGGTCAGTGCCTGTCCTTGTGCCGCTAACGCTGAGTTTGCGGCGAGCTTGTCCCACAGGGCACGAATGTCATCCTTCGTCCTGAGCGGTTCCCGCATGTGCAGCGCAGATCGGAAAGGGTGTAGAATCTTGAACTCATCACCGTTTGATGACGTCATGCTCTTGTTGGAAAATGCCATTTCTCCTGTGGACTCCGCTCGCCTGCTCAATGTGTGAAACTTGACATACGGCATTGATGTTCCCGCTCAGCCAGCTTCAGCGAGTGGGTCCTGAGCTCGACATTCAGCGTGGTTTCGCTCTATTGCCGTGTACACGAATGAAACAAACGTGTTCTTGGTTTTGGAGCGAAAATGCAAAATTCAATCCTGCAAACATCGAGAAAGGGCAACCAAGCAATGTATGCACGAAAATCAGCAAGTGGAACTACGTGCGCCCAGTATCATAAAGTGCTTCTGCAGGCATGGCGCTTGCCTGCATCGTTGCGAATTTCAGTGTCCGCGCAGCTGCAGGTGGCGCGAACAACAATGTAGCCGAGCCTGCGCCCCACTCGTGGCAACCTCTGGTGAGGTTGCAATCCTGCATCACTGGGACACATGCCAATGCCGAGTTTCTCCGCACACTGCGCATGTGCTTCCGTCGTTTTTCAGTATCTCTGTGGGTACACTACACCAGCCGTCCCTGTTGGTTGGCCAGCAGCTGCATCTGCCTGCTCCTTGCGTGGGTGGAATAGCTCAAAACCATGTGGCACTTCTTGGCAATTTGAAGACATGGGACGCGTCGATCTCTTCAACTGAGATGGCGACCATTCGTCGGGGTCCGGGAAGAAAGTCTGCAATAGCACCTCGACCGCGACCCCAAGCAGGCTGGAAAGCAACAATGGCAAAATCACAAAAAAACAGAAGACCAAAGCTGCTGGGCTAAGCTGCCAACGTTTCACATCGATCCACTTGCCATTCACGTGATGTTTGTCATGATGCTGCAGTACCGACACGACGCTCCCAGCAGATTCAAAGCAAATGAAGGCAAAACCCCGGGGTTTTCCCGTCAGCTTGTCCGTCATGATCACAGCATCAGTAACCTGGCCATATGCCGAGAAGTACCGAAGAAGTTGATCCAATGTCGTGGACAGCGGAAGTCCGCCAACAAAGATCTTGCAGTCATCATGGTTGCCTTTCCTCGGGAAGTACATTAGCTCTTCAGGCAAGCAGGCAGCGGGCGACAGAAGGCATGACTCGGCCCGGGCAGCGGCTGAAACAGGTCAGGTTGCTTACGAATGTCCGGAAACCGCTCAGAACGAAAGTCGGGGTTTACCGGCTGAGGGCAGCTGTACCAGTACTTTCTGGTTTCTTGAAGCCGTGAAAGAATGGCTGAGAGTACTTTGGAACTCCACTCCGTGGCCGGTGCCTGGTCTTGAAAGGCTGGACAAGTCACGTATTGGGTCATGATAGGTTACAGGCCCATGTACTGTATCTCTTCTGCGGGTACACGCCCCTCTCTGCCAGCGTTGTGTGTAATTTGAATATTTGAAAACTTGATGAACTGAACTTCGTTCAACAGTGGACGGCGAGTTGCTGATCTGCGTATCCGGAGAACATCCGAGAACTGGCTTGCGGCTTTTGAATCATGAGCTAGCTTTGCTGCATAAGAAAGACAGGGGAAAGGAAAATCAACTATGCCGGAGTGGAACCAAAACAATGAAAGATCATGTGGACATTCACGCAAGAGCATGCCCACGGACCAAGAGCGCGTCCAACAGACACCAAGTCCCCAGAAGCCCAAAAAAAGCAGCGACATTTTCGCAATGGAAAAATGCTGGTCTGGACCGCGGGCGCCACCCGGGAGCACTGCTCTCTGACATCGACCTCGCCCCTCCTACTCTGCGTGTGGTAACCCCTTACTGTTGACACGCTGCTTGGGGAACAGCGTCTTTTCGCCCAAGCCCTGATACCTTTGCTGTAGAACCGAAATAATGTCACCACGAATTTGGCTATGTAGGCAAGGGAACCTGCAGATCATGACAAGACACTGCATTCGATTCAGCTCAGGTCGGGCAGAGTATGACAGTGGCGGCATCTGCGGCACGTTGGCAGCCACGGCTTGCACAGGTGGGTTCACTGAAGCGAATGTCGGGATCACAATGTTGACCTCACGGCTGGGACAATTGAACGGGTTCAAGCTGCCTGTTTTGATGTAAAAAGTCCCATCTTTGGCTACACGAATCAGGCAGGCAGCCAGCGTACTCATCGTGGGTGGCGCAACGGGATCAACATACTCCTGCGTGATGAAGATGCCAAGAGCGGTCAGGGTCAGCAGCCCATCTCCTATGATGAGCAAGATGTCCGCACCTGGAACGAAGAGCCAGCGCGTGGCTTCAGATTCAGCATCCCGGAAGAACAGCAATGCCTCCTTTACAGTCTTGTCTCCAGTTCGAGACGTGTGCTCCGCAATCTCACTCCAGATCGCGCCACAAAGGTTCATTAGGTTCGGATCTTTCCATGAAACGGGTGAAAGACCCTTGGGCAAGGTCTCCCAAAGGCGCTGCCTCCACCGCTTGAACCACGGAGATGGGACCAGCTTCTCCCCTCGATCGATCACAACACCACCCAACGCACGGCTCATGCGTTGCTCCTGTTTTTAAAAAAGACAAATTAGAAAGCTCAGACAAAAGAAAGCTCTCAGGCCTAGGCTTTGCACTACCAATCAAAAGCTGAGCTGTGTCTTCTTTTATGTCTTCTTGCTTTGTTGATTGTAGCGTTTAGGCGGTGAGCGCAAGCTTCTTGGGCCCACCGAAGTCCTTGTCCAAACGAGCCAAGCGCCGCTCGTCAACCCTTTCCTCACGCTTTCGATCTTCATCCTCCTCCGGCTTCTCATCCGCCTGCGTGACTTCTATCTGCACTCCTTTGATGTCATGCGTCTCTCCGAGAATCCACTCGACCAGGTCTTGCTTGGTGTTCACCTTTCCTTTGTAAACGCCGTCCGGCTTCATTGTGAGGAAGCACATTCCTCGAAATTGTTTCTTGCCTTATGATGCGCAGCACGCCTTTTCCGATTCTTCGGCTGGGTCGTACCAACAAGCAAACTCGAACACTCCAAGGAACGTTTGTCCATCAGCACATTACAATTCCTTGTGAGCCGCACGCCGAAACTTCAAAAGTACCGCCCGCTGAAGCAAGTTCACGGTCTGGGATTCTGGGAATTTTGAGCAAAAGTGACAATGACAGTGTGGTTCTTCAGGCAAGCCGCGTAATCTTCCCGAACCTTTTGAAGTGCTGTCGGATCTGGTTCTCATCCAAATCTGCCGTGCCCTTCAAGAAAAAACGCTGAGAGTCACGATCCCCCTTGGCCGAGCACAGTTGCTGGCGAGTCTTAGACGGGGGGTGTTGAGATCTCGCAGAAGCTCTGTAAGAGCTCTACATCTCTGAATGGTTTAACATGTTATAACGAGTGATGACTTTATAAGGCGCGGGCTTGCTTGGCTTTGGATTCCTTACGCCGCTCGCGGCTCCGGCTGCGGCTCCTCCATTGGACATTGTGTGATGTTACTTCATGACTACTTGATGGTACTGTGTGATATTGCGACACAAGTTGTGACGGGCTTGGTTGGTGGACGCACGCTGGCACGCAGATCCGGCAGGAGTCGCCCTTCGGCTTCCTGCTTCGATCACGGGCGTCGTCCCAGCAGCGACGGCGGAAGTGTGTCATCAGTGCTCCTCACAGAAGAAAGCCCATCCACAATCCACAGCCCCTTTATTAAAACCGGTCAGCTCCAACTCTCGGATCGTCGCGGCAACCAGATGGAGAGGCACGTGGGAGGACAATGGAGAACATAAACAGGGACGACATAAAGCTTGCGTTTCCAAGCGTCGAACTAAGCTGATCTCCGGGAAGAGCTGGAAGACGTCCTGCCGGGACCGAAAACAGATTCACAGCAATATGCATTTATATTTATATATATATATATATCTGCAAACATCTGGGTAGCTGTTAGCAGGAAACCCCAACCCGTCTTGCCACTTCGCCCGCAGGCACCGGCCAGTGCCGGGTCGTGCAGCCTTTCGGACAAGTCATATAACACACGGCGGGGCAATGGTATTCAATGGGGCTCTATGAATTTCATCCTGCATTGGATATGCCAGAACGTCGCCTGAGCATGGCTTAGAATCGGCTTAAAACCCGTTGGAACAATGTGTCGATTCACGGCTGCCATGGAGTCATGATGCGGTTCTTGCATGTTCTTGGCCTCCACCAGAGCAACCCGAGAGAGCAGCGTGATGAACTGGCACCTGGATGCGGGCGTGCCACTGGCGTGCCAGGTCTGAAGAATGCAACGTGTACAGTGGAGATTTCATGAGACCTCTTTTCGGCAAGCATTTCCGACACGCCCGCTTGGTGTCCATGTTTTGATGAAGTCACCGTGTGTGTGTTTTGGGCATCGGATGCCTCCTCCATAGTATCGTGGTATCAGGTGCCGCCGGCAACGCCTGTTTGCGTCTGTTTTGTCCTGGTGGAAACCTTCAACGGCCAGGCCAGAGGCCAAAAGCAGCTGTGGGGTGCACGTCGGCATGTGCACAACACGCCCAATTCAAGGCACGGCAGCCATTCACTATGCAATACCAACCCCTTCACTGCACTTGGCGAGCCCTAAATGTGGCACCCGAGCAGGCAGGCGGAGGCTCTAAGGGAATGACACCCGCGCGTCCACAGCAGCATTGATGGTTGAGGATTTCAGCGTGTCAGGCTAGGATGACTCAAGATCAGCGCAAAAGGTGCACCACGGAAAAGGCTCCAGTTACTTGCATCAGGCAGTCATAAAGGACCAAGCGACACGTATCGTTTTGCAAACCTAGTGCTGCACCAACATTCAAACGCAGCCCTGTGGGAACGAGACGCATGCTATTCAAAGGGATGCATTGATCATATCATTGCCATCAGGGCAAAGTTCAAGTGGACGGGGGACTTTGGAGCAGCAACGAAAGACGAACTTCTTCTGAAAAGGCTCCAACTTATACTCTGACCTGGTTAACTGTACAGCCCACGGAATGCCTTCTCAGCTGATATGAGGCCGGCACTTAGCTGCACGGCGTCCGCCTTCAAACGCCCTTCTCATGCTCTCCTCTCCATAGAGCTCAAGCCTTGGTCGACACTGGCAGGTCTCGCACATTGTAAGCCCCTCCAAGTTATAGAACAGGTATAGCATCTATCCAAGCGGCAGTTCGTCGGCATCAAACCACTCACGAAGCAGATCAGGGGGTGAAATGCCATGCCAGCTCATGCTGTAGGGACCTCTGGAAATAACGTGGTTTCGAAGCATTGGTGGGCAGGCACCTTTGACAGGGAGCAAGTGCACCGGAACACGACTGACAAACGTTAACTGTTAGATTATTGAACTCCAGGGGAAACCTAGGATCTGTAGGCTCGGGGTTCACCATGTAACTTTGAATTCCTTGACTCGTGCAGGAAATAGTGAAAACGCAATGTTTCCATATGATTCTCACCTCCCGGCTCAAAAAGGGAAATTGGGAATGATGATTTCCACCCCCAAGTCCCGCCAACACCAGTTCTAACTTGGGTACACATGCCAGCGCGCTTACATTTCTTTCTGCTCAAGCATGCCTACGCACCTTCGACTGAGTGCCAGCGTGACTCTAGCGCTTTACTAGCACGACATCGGTGTTTCAGGAGCTGCACTTGGGGGGCCGCGCCTCATAACGAAGACAAAAAGTGTATTTGATCATGGTTGGTGTGCCTTCCTATCTACAAAAACACGGCGTTCTGAGAACGCACTACATAGAGATCCAAAGATCTACACATACTCAAACATCTATGTAAAGTCAAAACTTGTCTATCAAAAGAAAGAACGAAAGACATAGCGATCTCTCTCTTTTTTCTTGTTCTCCTCTTCTTCTACACAGCTACACAGTGGAGAGGAACCCCCCGAAAAAGGTTCCCCGACCACAATGGCCCGCTGCTCTGTCCGAGTCCAGTGTTTGGCTCCTTTGGGCCCTCACCCCTCGCGCTGGTGACAGCTTGTGCCGACAGTTCTGATGGGGTCTTACTTACTATTGTTTAAGCCATTGGCTTCAGTCCGCTCTGCCTGTAGCTTTTTCGTTGCTGTCAGGGCTCGTCTGCAGCGGCTCGTTCAGGTTGGCCCACATGCCCCACTGTGTTGGCCACAGTTGGCAGTTGGCCCCCCCTTTCTGTGTCATGCCAGGACTCGGCAAGCTCAGAGTGCTGGGTGACTCTCAAGTTGGTCGTCACCAAGACGTCATAAAAAAATGCCAACAACAGTGGCTGCCCTCAGGCTTCTGTCTAGGAGTTTCCTTCCCCACCCCCCCCCCCCAAGTTCGTTGGTGGAGCTGCTCTTACGCGAGAACTCGGACAACCGTCAATGGCTGCATTCGAACCTTCCAAAATACAGAAAAGCCACATGCAAATCCACTCAGTCTGGTTTGCAGATACACCGCAGACCATGAGCACAAGAAAGGAGCCAAGGTTTGCGCAGCCGGCGCACCGCTGCAGGGAAGCTTGTGCTGTATCTGAACATTTACTGCGTGATTGCTTGGTGTTCTCTTCATAGACCTGGCCCGAACTCAGCAAATCGCAGGTGTTTTGGTTGTTTGGTGACAAGATAATTCTCAGGAAGCCACCTTTCACACGAACAAAAAACGCAAACAATGCATCCGATCTTAGGGGAACTGAAGCTGCACTTGTTGTGGCAACGGAAACTAGCACAATGATGCCAGTAACATTATTTTTTAGCAGCTGCCGACTCAGAGAAAAAGAGTCGGGCAGAGAGAGAGAGAGAGAGAGCATGCTGCCGCAAGCACAACAAAAGGAACGTTCAAGAAAAGACCCTAAACATCTCGGCCACTACATTGAAGGTGCAGCGCCTGCCTTCGCAAATGAAGCCCAGGACAGCCAAGAGTAGGCGCGTAGATTCCGCAAATATGCTGGCATTGGGATCCGCTCGCATTGCCTCTGTCAGTTGGCAGCCCAGTGCCGCAGTGATCAGCTGCAGTGGTCGAGGTGCGTCCACTTGCCAAGGCCCATCTTGGGCCACAGGCCACGCTGCTTCAGGTGTTCCAGGCATTCCAGGCATTCCAGGCATTCCAGTCATTCCAGGCATTCCAGGCATTCCAGGCCCAGGCACTCCAGGCCCGGGCATTCCTGGGAACTGGAAGGGACCAGTTGATCCACGCGCCCTGGGCATCGGATACCAAGCAACATCCCCGAACATCTCCTCAGACTGCCGCGAAGCTCAAGAAGGGCTTAACCAAAATCCATCTCACATTCCGCAAACTGAATCCAAAGCACAGATGGTGCGGGCTGGTTGTTGCCTGCCAACAGCGACGTGACAGACTCAGATCAGCACAGCATGTTTGCAAACATGTCAATCTTGCCTGGCCAAGTCTTCTGCGCCGCATGGTTGCCACTTCCAGTCGCCGCATCCCCTGTGGAGAATATCTGCAGATGTGTGAGCCATGGTGTCTATGAGGCAGCTGGCAGAACAGGGAACCTACGGGACCTACGAGGTATTTCTACACGTCTGCACCCCAGGAAATGAGGCAAACGTCGGCTGCATCTGACTCATACGTGACATGGACTTCATCACATTTTCACCCATTGTCCCGCACTATGAGCCCCGCCTGGGCCATGGGCCTTGGTCACGCGTGAGCTTTACAAATCCATACTGATCGCTTCTTAGTGTGGACTCTCGCTCTCCAAACATGGGCACACTGCGGCCCGGTGGCCCACAGCTGATGTTGTTGCTGGGCTTGGTGCTGAATGGCCTCGAATCGGACCGCACGCACTGCCTCAGACAAGTGCGGTACCTGCCAAACACAGTAGTAGAAGCAGGGAAAGGAGTCTGAGCCTTTGGACTTAAAATCCTGAAGCAATGCACCCGCACAAGGCAGGCTTGGATTCTGCCCACGTTCTCGAATCTAACCGATCTGTCTACAGTCCATTTATATTGTTTTTCCAAACGCTTTCCGGAAGCAGACTCCCCAGCCTGCTCGGCTGTGGCCGCCACGCGACGATCCACCCCAAAGTTGCCAAAGCTCAGCATCCAAAAGCGCAGAAGCCAAGAAGCCGGAAGCCTAAGGGCCGAGCCCGAAGCTAAGCAAGGGCTCAGCTTCTTCAGCGGGGAGACAGGAAAGCAAACCCTGGCTCACGAATTTCGGGGCCCTTGCTTTGAGTCGGGGGTTCCAGGGTCTAATTCCAGAGGTGAAGCACATGAAGGACTCCCTCCTTTTATGACAACAGAATGACAACAAATATCATGGTCATGCATGCCATCAACACATTTCTGAAACTGCACCGCCACATTATGGAGCAGGGCCTCAGGAGCACTGCAAGCATTGGGGCACTCGATACTTGCAGTGCAGACGCCCCACTCAAAGGACTTTGGCATCCCACGTGCAACCGTGCAAACAACACACGGCGGGAGGCTTTTGCGCCACATGCTTCACAATCTAGCTGCCCTTCTCCATGTTATGCCTCTTTGCCCATTACTGTCTCTAGAAAAACTGAAGGTTATCCCTCCAACCAAACAAGACACACATTCTTTGAAAGCATCCGTACGAGCCCGCACCTGACTCAACCAGGAGTCGCTGGTTCAAGACTCGCTGACATGCCAAGCTGCTTGCCATGCACACCCAACCTGCTTGCCACATGCCGGTGCGCGCTTTAGCCGCGCTTTTTGCCATGGCAGCGCAGCGGCTTTAGGAGATTGTTTTTAGAGATTACAGGTGGGTTGTGGCGGCTTCCTTGCGCAGGTATCCGTGCAGATTGGGGTCTGGGTAGTGACGTGCCGTACATACAACTTTGCTAGGAAATGCAAATCAAGCTCAATGACCCCCGTCTGAATTTCGTCGTTCTTCCTAGCATGGAATCAAATCAGGCTCAAGTAGTGTCAAGTCGTGACTAGTCACGCAATCTCATGTCCACGACGTCCAGTACAAGCAATGCTGCTTTTCCATGGGCTTCTGTCCATAATGGAAGTTGGGCCCCTAGCACGTTTCGCCCAGTTCCTCCCACAGGTAGGGAGACCTGCCGAGAGGCTGCGCAATGCAACGCGACACCGCCTGCACGGGATGTTGCGACCTGCCCTGTTTGACTCTCGGGGCTGCGGCTCCGAGAGAAATTCTGGGCTTCTGATTCTTGGTGTGCCCTGCGCTAAGCCGCTAAGCCCCGTGCCTTGGGATCCATCCAAGTCTTGAGCTTTGAGAAGATTGCCCGCATGAACTCGTTGTATGACTGGCATGCAGACAGGCAGACATACAAGCACATTGGGCCATACATCTACATGCTCACGAGGAGGAAAAAAGCCACACATGCCATCAATCGCAAGGAGCCTCTTTGCTCAGAAGATTTTTGGGACTGATCGTGGCCGTGTTAGCCAGTCAGCCAGCCCACTACGAATCAGAGCGTCTTCAATCCAAGCCGTTGTTGATTCCAGCTGGAAGCTGGTAGCTACAGATCGTCAAGGTAACTATGTTTTCAGCGAGGGCACGTGCCATTTCTGCACGGTTGGAGGCTTTGCCATTCACTTCTATGATCCTGTCATGTGGCCTAAGGTGCGTCTGACCATCCGCCTTGTTTTTCAAATTCACAGCTCCATCCTTGTCAAGCCTCTTCACGCAAATCGAAGGATTCGCCTTACTTGCAGCGAGAGCGAGGCCGAGCTTCTGCCCGTCACGATCGATGGTAAAGGTCGACTTCCTGGGATGCTTGAACGACAGCTCGACCCAGCCTTTTGCACTCGAGAGCTGATTCTGCAAGTCCTGAGACTTTTGGAGTGGCATACCGTTCATGGCAAGCACCTGGTCGTAAGGGCGAATCTGCTCATCTTCTGGCAGGCCTTCTTGTCTGTTGTGGCTTTCTGCCAGCCCGGACTGCAGCACAGTGCTCACGATGCACACTTCCGCGTCCAACATGTCAAACTCCAAGCCAAGGATTTGCCCACTTCCCATGTCGAAGCCGACCCTGAATGATCCAGAGGTGGCTGCTGGCTGCGTCTCAATATGCGGCGAAGCCAGGACCTCTTCGGTGGGTTTCACAGGGGTAAGATCGCGAGAGCTTTGCTTTGGATGAGGAAGGATAATCGGCACGTCTGTGTCCGCTTCGCTGCACGGTGTGTGCATGAAGGGGGCCGCATTCCCGGTCATTACCACTCGCTGAACAGTCGCATCTTTGGGTTCATCCGCATAGGAGCAGCACATGTCAAAAAACATCGCCATGGCCAGGTTGAACACCAAGCAAGCATGGAACAAGGCTTCACTTACTTGGGCCGAGAGATCTGGAAGATTCTCAAACGGTCAAACCGTGCCTGTTCAGCAATAGCTTGGCAGAGGCAAAACGCCACAGCCGACCAAGCCCCAAGCCAGGCGGCCACTTCCATCTTTGTCCATCCTCAGGCATCTCATGATCACAAGGCTTTACATGGAGCGCCGGAGCCACTTGAGCCACTAGCAGAACATACCCTGGTATGCAAGGAGCTCAGCCACCAGCTCCATAAAGAAGCGAGTCCAGCTGCAAGCAGTGTCCTGCCACTAATTACCCCTAGCCTTCTCCCTCCGAGTGTGGCCTTTCCTAAGGCCCGCAAATGCAAAACCGCGAATCTAGAGTCTCAAGATAGCTGCTGCAGCTGCTCCTGCTGCTACGACAACTGACCCTGCTATCGCTACTGCAGCTGCAACTGCTGCTGCTCCTGCTACTGCCACTGCTACTGCTACTGCTACTACTACTCCTCCTCCTCCTACTACTACGCACGACGCACTACGCCACTACGCCCTACGCACCACCACTACTACTACTACTCCTCCTACTCCTCCTACTACTACTACTACTACCACTACTACGACTACTACTACTACTACTACTACTACTACTACTACTACTACTACTACTACTACTACTACTACTACGACTACTACTACTACTGCTACTACTACTACTACTACTACTGCTGCTACTACTACTACTACGACTACTACTACTACGACGACGACTACTACTACTACTACTACTACTACTACTACTACTACTACTACTGTTGGGGCGTACTACTACTACGACTACTACTACTACTACTACTACTACTACTACTACTACTACTACTACTACTACTACTACTACTACTACTACTACTAGGCGTCACGTTCTTAATTGATCGCAGGTGTTTTGTGGCGTGCAATTTTCGTGTTAAGAGACGAAAACCTCGGTATTTACAGTGTTTCCTGGCTTTGTCCGTTTACGGACACGAAAAATGGACGTGTAAAAAGTCCCGCAAACTACTTTCAGCTACTTTAGGCGCAGGAGGAAAACATCGGTATTTACAGTGTTTTCGGGCTTCAAAAACGGTCAATTACAGGGCCTACTTTGCGCATACGTGTTCTCAGAACAGAGGAAAAGACCGGTATTTACAGCGTTTCGCGGGTTTTCTAAGATGTGGCCAAACTTGTCCTTAAACCCGAACGCCTCCAGCAAGCCGAACAGTCGTGCACCCTGAAATCCGAAACCCCGAAACCTGAAGCAAGCCCAAGAGTCGTGTACCCTTAAAATCTCAACCCCACAGCGTCAAGCACGTCCCCAGAAAAAACACAAAACATCTGGAGCCTGAAACCCCAAACCCCATGTGTACCCTGAATGACAAAGCAGTCCCACAGTGCACCCCCTTAAACCTTAAATCCCATAGAAAAAGCCCAAAAGTCCTTTCACCTTACAGCCTCAACCCCAAACCCTTCCCTTAAACCCTCAACCCCAAATCCCAAAAAAGCCCAGAAGATCCCTAAACCCTCCACTGTGAATCCCAAAAAGCCGAAAAGATCCCGAAACCCTCCACTGTGAGCCCAAAAGGTCTTACCCTTAAACCCTAAACCCCAAATCCCAAAAAACCTCAAAAGGTCTCTACCCTCAAGCCCCAAACCCTAAACCCTCCACTGTAAGCCCAAAATGTCTTGCCCTGAAACCCTAAACCCCAGATGCCAAAAAAAACCAAAAGATCTGTAGGCTGAAACCTCAAACCCCATATTTCCACTGGAAGCCCAAAAGGTTCCCAAAAAAGCCCAAAAGATCTGTACCTGCAAACCCTAAACCCTCCACTGTGAGCCCAAAAGATCTTGCCCCTAAACCAACCAAAAAAACAGAGGAAAACAGTAGACAGCGTGGTCAAGCGTGCACAAAGCCCAGCACGACCCCCATGTGTGCACAAAGCACAGCACGTAATTACCCCCCCACCCCCCCCCCCCAACCCCTCAGCATGGTCATGTGTGCACAAAGCACAGCACGTAATTACCCCCCCCCCACCCACCCCCCCCACCCCCCCCAACCCGTCAAACGCAGAAAAAACCAGAGAAAACGATAGAAAAAGTCAAAAAACAGCAGAAAACACCATGATCAGTTAAGAGCGTGTCACCTACTACTACTACTACTACTACTACTACTACTACTACTACTACTACTACTACTACTACTACTACTACTACTACTACTACTACTTCTACTACTACTTCTACTTCTACTTCTACTACTACTACTACTACTACTACTACTACTACTACTACTACTACTACTACTACTACTACTACTACTACTACTACTACTACGACTACGACTACGACTACGACTACGACTACGACGGCGACGGCGACGGCGACGACGGCGACGACGGCGACGGCGCCGACGAATACCAGTACTCATACGAATACGACTACGAATATTCATGCTAATACTAATGTTAATACACATACTCATACTGCTTCATTCTAACACTAATACTACGTAACACAAATACCTCTCCTCCTCCTCCTGTTGCTGCTGAGGTGCTACTAGTACGAGTACAAGCACTTGCGCGCCAAGGCCGGGACGTTAACTTTGGCACCGCCCTGCCACGCTGCCGCCTCACCTTCTTCTCCAAGCAACGACATGAGACCAGGCACACAGACAGACTCGAAGTGTTGAGGATGAGCCGAACTGCTCAAGTGGCACAAATCACCTGATATCACTCGGCTTAGCCCCCGGCATGCGCTAGCAACGCTTAGGTAGCCTTTGTCGATGTAGTACGACGACAAAGCCCGTCTGGCCAAGCATGGAAGCAATTAAGGTCTTGGTCCTATTTTCTGAAGAGTTGATGCCAAGTGGTTCATGTGGCTTGCCCAGCAACTCTCACAAGTGCATGCGGGGCCGCCGCAAGTTCTTGCACCTGCAATTTCCTGGGTGTGCCTGTTTCGGCACCTTGTTTTCTGATGAAGCGGCGCCGGGTTTCAGAACAAATTGTTCGGTGCGGCATGGGCGGGGTCGAGTTGGTCAAGCTCTCGAGAAAGGCTGCAGAGGAGCTTCCAATCGAGAATAGTTTATGGTGCCACGAGCTATTCCGAGTGTAGAGTGACAAGGGTGAGCTTAATAGAAATGTACACGAGGAAGGGTTTCGGCACTACTGGTATGAGAGATTGAGATTTAACATGACAAGGGCATCATGATCATAAAGGTTTCCACATTATGTTGTGGGATTGAACGTTCAGAGAGAGTACCACTTTCCGACATGCTGGTGTGTTCTGATCTGAAATCCGATTGAAGATTGGAAACCAAACTTGATTTTCCCAGATTTTTTCCACCCTGCGTCTCTGACGCAAATTTCTGGATTTGAGTTCCTGTTCTGTCTCTCTTTGCTCGCTTCTTTCTGAGGTCCTGGCTCCAGGGCCTGGGCGACCCCGCGCACCTCCACGCCCGTACGCTCGGACACGGGTGGCAACCTTGGCCCAGCCCGGATTCTCCCAGACTCTTGCCGACACTTGCACAAAGAACCCGGCGAAGACTTGTCCGGAGGCTTTCGCTTCTGTTCTTTATTGTTGAAGCTGGTGTCGCCCTGCAGTCAAGCAGGGGGGCAGGGTTTGCACAGAGGAATGACCCCAGACCTAGCCAAGCTTAGCCCTGGACACTCCATCTTCGCATGAACACCTGAAGAGCATCCGTTCTTGAGTCTGTCTTAAAGAGAGGCTAGTGCTTAGCAAGGCCCGTGCCATAAACCGATGCACCGGAACCTCAATGCTTCCCATGTTGTCCAAGGCCTTCCATGTCGTAGGAGCACAGGCCAAGCGCGGGACTGAACAACAACGAAGAGCTCAAGCAACTGAACCTGAAACCCTCCCTGGCAGCCTTCCACAGCCCTTGCCTTGGCAAAGAGGTGAGGCGAGGGGTACGGTTCTTAAACAATTTAAACATCTGTCATGGGTCTCATGATCTCCTTTTTCGTTGTGGAGGTGGGGGGGTGGGCGGCACATTGGGGCATCAGCCATCTCGAGCCTTCACTTTGCCTCACGGATCTCTGAAGTTCTACTACATTTTCCTACATGCCCGAGGGCCAGGCAGCTCTCTCTCCGTCACATCCCGTGTCGGCACTCTTAGGCATGGATAGGTCCCACGAACCTGGCGCCGCTGCCAAGAGAAGTCAACGAAGCTCGTTAACGAAGCTTGTTAACGGACTCTGCTGGGCTGCTTACCGGTGCCTTCTCTTTTTGTGTATTGCTTTCTTCAGTGAGGCCCCAACACACTGCACAAGCTCGTCATAAGAGAGATTCCCACTGCCATCTGCATCGATCTGGTTGAAGATCTTGAACCTTGGCACACAGCGACTGACCCAAGCATGACACAGTAGCTAACACTGATCCAGCAGCACCAGTTCCCGCCCGCGCGGTGCCACTTGTGAGCTGCCTGGTTCAGCACGCCAACCTGGGCCGTGTGTCATTGAAGAAGCTCACTTCTCAGATGCTCTCAGGTCAAAGCCACACGCTCGACCTCTTCATCGGTCAGGTCAGGCCTCGCCCAAGAAAAAATATTCTGTTTTTTCTCAAGACCAAGAGGATCAGCATAGAGATGCCCGCCACTGGCTGAGCTCAATCTTGTACATGAGCCGCCTCGACAATTGCTGATTCACGCTGTGCCGTGATACTTGCGGATCAAACAAGAGCTAGGGCAGCAACCCAAATTCCTCGATGGAAGCCTGGCCGCTGTTGTCTTCATCAAGGCGTCGCCAGAAGACTCGCAGCCTTCAGACCCATCGCTTAAGCTTGCGCTTAGCACATGAGGGCACATAGTAGATAAGACATGATAAGACTCAGCAGCTCTTGGCAGTCTTAGCAGTCTTAGCAACCGGCTCATACCTGGACACAGGTGCCTTGAGCTTCCGCCGGGCCTCGGTGCAATGCACGCGCATGCGAGCACTCTTCCAATCCCCTGCGCCGTTCTCTGCCTTCTTTCCATTGCAGCTTTTCACTGCTGGAAGTGAAACATGGAGCTGCGAGGCCTGTGGAAAATCCGCCTACCCACCTCAGGATTTCAGATCCCAAGAGTACACATCGCCGACCTGTTCAAGGGGATGGCAAAAGCATCAAGAAATGAGGACCTGATGAGCCCACAGTCCTCCTTCTTAAGTCGACTTCCTCTGGGCCCCAAGAAGCCAACTATAAACTTAATCAACTCATCGTTGCGAGCCAAAGGAAGGTACAGACAATGGCGGCCTTCGCCCTGGGCACTAGAGAGTCTAGCATGCGGCGCCGCGTCGAGTCCAAGGTCCGTGCCTTAGAACCGGTCTACCGGAACTACGAATAGGATGTGGAGCTGGAGCCATAGGCACAACGCAGAAGAGCCAATCAAGAAGCTTCCAGATCCCGAAAGGAATTCATGAACTCTAAACACGTTGTGCTGTGCCAGGTGCTGGCATCCTTCAGTATTTCGAGTCTATAAACAAACGCGTTTCCGGGCTTTTGGTTTCATCTGGCTAGACGCCGCATCCACCAGAGGCTGTCTAGAAACCCCTGGCCCTCTATGCACCTTGTTGCACCTTGTTGTTGATCCTGTTCGCCCCTGACAAACATCAAACTGGGCCTGGCTCTGTCCAAGACCAGTTCCCGAAGAAGTACGGGTGAGCATGAATAGAATCCTCATGCATGGCGACCCCGCAAAAACAAGGCTTCCGGGCTTCCCGTCAGGAGTTGTTGTAAGAATCCCCTTGAACAAGCTTCAGCTGAACACGCGAAACTGGGTGCGGCAAGGAGGCATACACCCCGGTCCTGGGCGAATTTGGCAAAGCTAAGGCTACAATCGATAGGGCCTTCACTGTGTTGCTGGCTTGACATGCTCGGGCCCACTGGCCTTCTAGGGGCGGTGCTTAATGCAGTGGCCTCGGAAGGCGTCTCTGGAGGATTTCAATCGTTTCTGCCAGTGCTCACGCCTCTCCTTCGCCTCCTTCAGAAACATGTTTAGCATTGGGAAGAAATCATGATGACACTATTCGGGAGAAAAATGCTTCAACATCAGTCGTGTAGCATCATGCGGGCGTCCTGCAAGGCCTGTCGCTCCCGCACCACGGCCCTCTCCCACAGCATTGCGGTAGTCCGCAGCATCTCACGACAGTCAGTGCGGACCTGTTCACACAGTAAGCGTTGGCTGTTGCAAGGGGCCTTTTGTATGGCCTCATAATTCTTGAGCCACCCCGACATGCTGACCTATGGTTCGATGCCCGGTACCTGTAACCGGTAACCCCCCCAAGTTCCAAACGACCAAAAGGTGGCACAGGCGGACCAGTGGTTGGCGCTAGTTATGACTTTGGAATGACTGTGATCCAAAGCCGCCTTCGCCAGCTGCAGATCGAGCTGCTGCTTTGCGCAAGCTGCTGCTTGGGCCTCGCGAATTTACACCACGACTTGTCGGCAAGACTGCCTGGGCGCCGCTGGCGGATGAGGCCCCAGCGAGTCGCTGGCGAGCTTTTCGCACCTCCTGTCTCAATGCCTCCTGGCAAGAAAGGCTCGCCCAATCACATTTCTACAGGTCCCGCTTTACAGCTCGCACAAAAAGCGCCGCTGATGCAGGGCGTGAGTCTTTTGTGATTGAAAACGTTGTCGCAGCCCCTCACTCGACCAATGCACCTACCTGCCGTTTCCGCCTTCCCCCTGCCGCCCCTTCGTCCGGGCATGTCTTCGTAGTTTCTCACAATCTGTCCAGAAAGTTCCGAGAGCTGTCGGGGCGCGTGGCAAGTACAGATAGATGAGGAGTTGGATGCGCACGATGCAATTGCCTGATTCCTACCACCTCCTTGCCCGGCCCCAACCTTGCTAGCTAACCTTAATCAGCAACGTCTGACGAATTTCCTCGGTTATCGTGGTCCGGACAAGCACCAAAACAGACATGCGTGTGCGTCTCTGTTGCCAGAATTCAACATTCGCACTTGAGGAGTTTTCAACCACTTTAAAGGTTGGCGGATATATTTAGGTGCTCCCTTTTCTTCGCATTATCACCTCCAGGTATACTCAAGTGCTCGATTGTTGGTGACAAGCAGCATCGCTGGCCGAGCCTGTGGTGGCGTGTGGTATACCTGTTCCTAAAGGCTCGGTCTTGTTTTGCTCTTGCTGTCTATTCGCGAAAAGGTACTGGTATGGAGTTCGGGACGCCGACCTCACGATGCCCCACCTGCTTGTTTTGTAGCGTGTCTGTGTGATTTGGTAGGTTGCTGAGCAAGGCACCCAATATCGCATTGGCAAAACTGACTTATCCTGATGACTTGCAGGCTGATTTCTGCTGACAAATGCGACAGTCGCAGCGCAGCTTTCTTCCCTTTGGCATGTCAGGGTCAATGTCAAGGTTAAGTAGGGCGTCCTGAAGTTTATTTCTGGATTCTGCTGGGACGAAGTCAGGAAAGTCATGATGGAGGTTAGGCAGGGTGTCAAATGTAGGGAGATTTGGCCGTGTACCCCGTGTACCCTTTGCCCCCACTGGCCGTGGCATCATCGCATATAGTTTTTGTCAGTCTGTCTCTGTCTCTGTCTCTGTCTCTGTCTCTGTCTCTGTCTCTGTGTCTGTGTCTGTGTCTGTGTCCGTGTCTGTGTCTGTGTCTGGCCTGTGCTAGAGTGCGTCTGCGTCATCCTTTTCAGCGTTTTCGATTCTGACTTCATATGGTTCAGTCAGAGTGAGAATGGCCTCATTGCTTGCAGAGGCTACGTAGCACCAGGTCTGGTGCAAAAGCAAGCCTGATGCACTGACATGATTCAAGTACTCGCGGCTTAAAGACTTCATGCCGAGCGCTCACTCCAGCACGCCCCTACGTGATCCATTTTCGAGCGACTTGTGGATCTGATGGGCAAAGCCGTCCAACATTCCCGAGAATGCCTCGGCAGTCGCAGAACAAAATCCCCGATGCACTGAAAAAATTGCGCTTTAAGGACTTATTTGCCAGCTACTGTACACCGTGGAATTATCCGCCGACCCCCTCAGTGGGGTTGGTGCCAATGAGAGATCCACCACTCACACCACCCCCCGTTACCCACACCCCACTGCGTGCTTTTCACAGCCATACAACACATATCTCTATATATATATATATATACATTCCTACTTGCAGTGCTACTCACTCTACTCTGCCCTGCAGAGCACTCGGTCTCTTTTTCAAACACCGCGCACATCGTTGCAGTCTCCACCCTGTGCAACCCGGTTCAACTCCGGATAGTGCTTTGGTATATCGCTCCGTGGCACCGGGGCCAAGGGGTGCAGCACCTTGCTGCTTGGATGCAGAGGAACACCTCTCTGCGTCCCCTCACCGCCAACACCTAGCGGTCTGAACCACCCGGTTCCACACCACGAAACGAGTCGCACCTACGTGCGCAACCCCATAAGGACTGGGTTACTCCACTGGAGGCCGAGTCCGAACAGGGTGGGTGGGTGGGCAAAATCAACAGCTGCCTGCCGTTTTGGGTCACGCTCGAACCAAAATGGCATGCAGCAGCAAATAAGGAATGATACATGCACACCCATGCCTGCCAAACACGATGCATGGTTAATATCTATGTATGTATGTATATTTGTTGTTATTGATTTTTACCCCTCCCCGCAAAGAAATAAACAACACAGTTCCCTTAGCATGTTATATCGTTTCTCCTTACGAGACCTACAACAAACCTGAAACATCCTGAAAAACAATAAGTATCAGTAAAGTATCTAAACAAAACCTTCTGGCTTACCTACCGCTTCAACTCAAAACCACCCTAAACCCTCGCCATATTAAGATTTCACAGCACAACTCCCGTAGCATGCTATATCACATCACTTCTTACAACCACCTGAAGCACCCTGAAAAACAAAAAACAACCGTAGAGTACCCAAAAAGACTTCTGGCTTACCCTTGAACTCTAAACCACCCGAACCACCCTCAACGCTCGCCAAAATCAGATATAACAGCACAGTTCCCGCAGCATGCTATATCATTTCTGCTTACGAGACGTACAACCGCCACCCTGACAAACAATACTTTTGTAGTAAGGATGTGATACCCCGTTGCTTTGGACGAGTATCATGCAAGACCTTATGTGCTTGTGAGTCTTGCAGGTCATGGGAAAATGCGCATTATCCTTTAGACATGATAACCATGTTGGGAGACGTGTGGGAACATTGAGAATGAATAGCAAGATACTTGCGCGCAATTACTAGCAGCTAGCAGCCAGTTGGAAGGTCTCAATAGCAAAAAGATATTTGCTCACAGTATTATCGCGTTGTGTGTTGTGTGTTGTGTGTTGTGTGTTGTGTGTTGTGTGTTGTGTGTTGTGTGTTGTGTGTTGTGTGTTATTGTGTTGTGTGTTAATGTGTTGTGTGTTAATATGCTGTGTGTTCATGTGTTGTGTGTTCATGTGTTGTGTGATAATGTGTTGTGTGTTAATGTGTTGCGTGTTAATGTGTTGTGTGTTAATGTGTTGTGCGTTAACGTGTTGTGTGTTGATGTGTCGTGTGCTAATGTGTTGTGTGTTAATGTGTTGTGTGTTCATGTGTTGTGTATTAATATGCTGCGCGCTAAGGTGTTGTGTGCAAAATGTGTTGCGTCTTAGTGTGTTGGGTGTTAGTGTGTTGTGTGTTAATGTGTTGTGTGTTAATGCGTTGTGTGTTAATGTGTTGTGTGTTAATGTGCTGTGTGTTAATGTGTTGTGTGTTAATGTGTTGTGTGTTAATGTGTTGTGTGAGTTCATGTGTTGTGTATTAACTGTGTTGTGTGTTGATGAGTTGTGTGCTGTGCGCTGCGTGTTGAGTGCTGTGTGTTGTGTGCTGTGTGTTGTGTGCTGTGCGTTGTGTGTTGTGTGTTGCGTGTTGCGTGTTGCGTGTTGCGTCTTGCGTCTTGCGTGTTGTGTGTTGTGTGTTGTGTGTTGTGTGTTGTGTGTTGTGTGTGTCCGTGTTGTGTGTTGTGTGTTGCGTGTTGTGTGTTGTGCGTTGTGTGTTGTGTGTTGTGCGTTGTGTGTTGTGTGTTGTGCGTGTCTGTGTTGTGCGTGTTGTGTGTTGTGTGTTGCGTGTTGTGCGTTGTGTGTTGTGCGTTGTGTGTTGTGTGGTGTGTGTTGTACGTTGTGTGTTGTCTGTTGTGTGTTGTGTGTTGTGATGTGTTGTTGTGTGTTGTTGTGTGTTGTTGTGTGTTGTTGTGTGTTGTTGTGTGTTGTTGTGTGTTGTTGTGCGCTGTTGTGTGTTGTTGTGTGTTGTTGTGGGTTGTTGTGTTGCTGTGTGTTGTTGTGTGCTGTTGTGTGTTGTTGAGTGTTGCTGTGTGTGTTGAAGTGTGTTGTTGTGTGTTCATGTGTGCTGTGTGTTAATGTGTCTGAGTGTGTGTGTGTGTTGCTGTGTGTTGCTGTGTATTGTTGTGTGTGTTGTTGTGTGTTGTTGCGTGTTGTTGCGTGTTGTTGTGCATTGTTGTGTGTTGTTGTGTGTTGTTGTGTGTTGTTGTGTGTTGTTGCGGTGTGTTGTTCTGGCGTGTTGTTGTGGTGTGTTGTTGTGGTGTGTTGTTGTGGTGTGTTGTTGTGGTGTGTTGTTGTGGTGTGTTGTTGTTGTGGTGTGTTGTTGTGGTGTGTTGTTGTTGTTGTGGTGTGTTGTTGTTGTTGTTGTTGTTGTTGTTGTTGTTGTTGTTGTTGTTGTTGTTGTTGTTGTTGTTGTTGTTGTTGTTATGGTGTTGTTGTTGTGGTGGTGTTGTTGTGGTGTGTTGTTGTGGTGTGTTGTTGTGGTGTGTTGTTGTTGTTGTGGTGTTGTTGTTGTTGTGGTGTTGTTGTTGTGGTGGTGTTGTTGTGGTGGTGTTGTTGTGGTGTGTCGTTGTGTGTTTTTGTGTGTTGTCTTGTGTGTTGTCTTGTGTGTTGTCTTGTGTGTTGTCTTGTGTGTTGTCTTGTGTGTTGTCGTGTGTGTTGTCGTGTGTGTTGTCGTGTGTGTTGTCGTGTGTGTTGTCGTGTGTGTTGTCGTGTGCGTTGTCGTGTGTGTGTGTGTGTGTGTGTTGTCGTGTGTGTTGTCGTGTGTGTTGTCGTGTGTGTTGTCGTGTGTGTGTTGTCGTGTGTGTTGTTGTGTTCTGTTGTGTGCTGTTGTGTGTTGTTGCGTGTGGTTGTGTGTTGTTGTGTGTTAATGTGTGTGTTGAAGTGTGTTGTTGTGTGTTCATGTGTGCTGTGTTAATATGTGTGTGTTGAAGCGTGTTGAAGTGTGTTGAAGTGTGTTGAAGTGTGTTGAAGTGGGTTGCCGTGTGTTGCCGTGTGTTGCCGTGTGTTGCCGTGTGTTGCCGCGTGTTGCCGTGTATTGCAGTGTGTTGCAGTGTGCTGCAGTGTGTTGCAGTGTGTTGAAGTGTGTTGAGGTATGTTGAAGTGTGTTGAAGTGTGTTGAAGTGTGTTGAAGTGTGTTGAAGTGTGTTGAAGTGTGTTGAAGTGTGTGGAAGTTGAAGTGTGTTGAAAAGTGTGTTGAAGTGTGTTGAAGTTTGTTGAAGTGTGTTGAGGTGTGTTGAGGTGTGCTGAAGTGTGTTGAAGTGTGTTGAGGTGTGTTGAGGTGTTGAGGTGTGTGGAGGTGTGTTGAGGTGTGTTGCGTTGTGTTGCGGTGTGTTGAGGTATATTGCGGTGTGTTGATGTGTGTTGGTGTGTGTTGATGTGTGTTGATGTGCGTTGATGTGCTTTGATGTGCGTTGATGTGCGTTGTGTGTGTTGTGTGTTGTGTGTTGTGTGTGTGGGGTGTGGTTGTGGGGTGTGTTGTGTCTGTGTGTGTGTGTGTGGTTGGTGTTGTGTGTGTGTGTGTGTGTCTGCGTGTCTGCGTCTCTGCGTTTCTGTCTGTGTGTGTGTGTGTGTGTCTCTGCGTGTCTGCGTGTCTGCGTTTCTGTGCGTCTGCGTGTCTTTGTGTCTGTGTCTGCGTGGCTGTGTGTCTGTGTGTTTTTGTGTGTGTGTGTGTGTGTGTGTGTGTGTGTGTGTGTGTGTGTGTGTGTGTGGTGTGTGTGTGTGTGTGCGCGCGTGCGTGCAGGTGCGCGTGCTCGCAAGCGCGTGTGCGCGTGTGTGCGCGCGCGCGTGCGCGGGCGGGCGGGCGCGGGGGTGCGGGCGATTCTGGGTCTCCCCCCTATACGCGCCAGCGTTTCCGCGCGCTTCTTGGAGCCCGCCTACTTCCTGCACTGCTTGCCCATGGGCGCAGCCCTTGCATATGCGGCGCGGAGGGCATCAGTTATCCCCTATCACCCCCGCACGATTCCACACGATTCCACATGCATGATTAAGTCAAGCGGCAAAAATGCCTCCAAGGATGGCACAACACTCGGTGAAGAAATGGAACATGCTCTTCCGGCTGCGCGTGACACGAACCTCGAATGGGGTGAAATCGTAGCTCATCCAAATCCCCGTTGCAGCGACGTCATGACCAGGATTGCTTGCATCGATGGCTTTCACGTACTCTGTGACACTGTACTGGTGGCCAGCAATCTCGTCAGATCCATCCTCTTGAAATCGAGTCGGTATGACGTGGACATCGTACTGATAATGCTCAGACAAGGGCGGTCGATGACTTGACTTTTGCCGGCCGTCAAGCACCCGGACCAAGCCAGGGAAGTCAGGGCCGAAGGACAGGTTGTGAATTTCATGTGTAAAATCGGCGCCTATGGTTAGCTCCGGCATGCTTTTTGCACGGACCAAGTCCCGTCGAATGTGCTGGCCTATACCAACATGCAGCGTAGCAGGGACTTTGCGAACGTGCAGGCGCGCTTGCACACGACAGCCTTCACCCATCTGCGCAGCGGTTCGCTGGAAAGCCTCGTCTATGCACTGAGAAAAGATGTAGTCGTCAGGTCTGTCATCCCATCCGTGGTTCAGGAAGGCTTCCCGAACCTCTTTGCAGGAATTACAGCAGGAATCCTCGTCAAGCAAGCTCTGAAAGCACGAGGGACACCTGATGCGAGTGGAAGAGTGGTTTGCTCTGATTTTGCGGTCTTTGAAGACCGTCGCCAAGTCCGCAGGTGTCATGGCAACGTTTTGCAGGCCCTCGCGGATAGGCTTCCCAATACTTTCTCCGGCTGATGTCAGCCGCATCTTGAAGATTTCATGAGCAACATGCATTACATTGTTCTGCTTGGGGTCCATCAGGTTTATGCTCAACACAGAGCAGGGCAAGGCAGAAAAGGTGATGTCGAGGGATACATTCAGATACTTGCGCTCCTGGCTCTGGTCAATCAGCATTTCATCTTTTGTGTCCAGTGTTAAGAAATAGCTCAGCTCAGAAAGGAAGAGCGCGGCGACTAAGCAAATAGAACCGATGGAGATGTAGCCCCCGACTGCTGTCTTCACTTGGAACTCCTGCACTGGCCGTGCGAAGGCATCAAACGACTTCATGCCTGCACGAGCAGTGAGACCTCACGGGGCTATCCATGTAACTCAGAAACAGCCAAACCAAGGTGAGTATGGTCATTGCTTGAGCCAGCACTGCACGGGCCACTGGATTCAACTGGACACATGGCAGGCATTGGCAGGTCTAGCTTCTCGCAGTGCGCAGTGCCGAAGAATCTCAGAAGCTGATTGTGGTGCAGAAGCAGTCCTGATTGCTGCGCTCCTGTGACTCGATCTGCCGCAACTCCAGTGTCAGCTGTCGCTGGGCCTTTCAGCGTGTTCTTGCTTTTTAAGCACCTCATCGAACACTGAGGAAGTTCGAAAGCAACAGAACACCTTTATGGACCTTCATGGCGTTCGGGCATTTGAAGCTCACTGTTTTTCCCCCGTCCTACTTGGCCCCCTCTCTGCCTCAAGCAGCCGCTGATCCTTCTCGGCGCTATGTGCGGCCAGGGCCGTGTCGATGCCATGCCGACGCTGCTGGACGTGCCTCCGGCAACGAGTGGCTTCGTGTCAGAAGGAGCACGTGTTTCACTCCGCTACTGTGACCGTCTTGGTCGCTACGGAAAGCTTTCAGCGTCGTCTCGGTAGAAATCAAAGTGCGTTTCGCTTGCCGGAGTTGTTCAGCTCTCCTGCCCTCGAGTAGCTGCAACATGGTGCAAGAAACGGCGGTGCAAGAAACGGCGTTTCCAGCCCCATCTCCTCGGTCTTTCCCTGATTTAAGGCATCCATGTCGTGACGAAACTCGAAACTCAAAGTGGAAAGCTTGCCGTCGCCCACTTGGAGCCTGCGCTGGGCTAGCGGTTCTCTCGTGTCTGGTCTGAAGCTGGCCATGAGCACGCGCGTGACGACCCAGTGACCCAAGTGGCCAAAAAAAAGTCCAGAGTCATCCGGGCAGCCGGTTGGGATGTTCCGGCTAGTCTAGAGAAAGCCACAATCAACCAGGAGACCCAAAATGACGGGACCTCATTTTCGGCCATCCGCTGCTTGCTTGCACCAGACCATTTGCAAAGAACAAAATACTCTGAGCGCGTGCAAGCTCAAGGCAGCGAGAGCGATGTGTAGCGTGCAGTTTAACAATCGACCTTGCCGACCCTTGACTTGCATCCGGCATGCTGTCTGTTAACGAGTGCTCGCAGGCATATGCCCTTGGATGACAGGTGTGATCTTCGAAACTGTCTTTCGGAACGCACACTTACGGTAAGGAGCAGGGCCCTGGCTCCCGCAGACTCTGGAGCTCCGCCGCAAAGTGGGCTTCCTCATCTTTCTGCCGCTGGACCTACACACAACTCTGCAGAATTCCCTGATCCCTAAAGACGTGCTGGCGAATGCTGGCTAACTCCACCTCTTCTTGAATGGCGCGCTGTATCTGCTCCTTCTCCACAACATACGCTTCGAGCATGGCATCCAGATTCTTGTCAGCCTTCAGGCTGGTGAGCTTCGCTTTTGATATCGGTTCGTTCGGTTCATTGTGCTCCGGACGCGCCTGTGCTGTGGCCTTCTCCCGATTCAGGCGATAAGCCTCTGGGTCCAGCAGCGCCGCAGTGGTGCCGATCGAGCCCGTCCTTGAAGCATCGCATGGGCTCGCATATGACATACGTCTGAAGTCTGCTTCACCACGCTTCACCATAGGCGCCCCGGCCCCGATGGCTGGTGCAGTGCGCTCAGGCGCCAGGGTGCTGCGGGGCCCTTTGCAACAAAGGCCTCGACCTCGCGAGCCTGGCAGTCGGGGGCACAAGATGCACAAGGGTTTCCGCAACCTCGATCTCTAGGCACCAATGCCAACGGTGACAGTGAAGACTTTGGTCAGTTGACGCAGCCCATGTCGAGCCTTCTGGTACCTCGACAGCGCAAGAACAACTAGCGGTGCCGAGAAACAAAGCAGATCAGCCCCCGGCAAGAACACGCAAGAACCCTGATGAAGTGCTGAGAGACAGAGAGAGAGAGCGCGAGAGAGAGAGAGGCGAACCCCCCCCCCCCCCCCCCCCGGAAAAAAAAAGAAGGTTTGTGCGCACCTAGTTCGCCGGTCATTCCTTTCGGTGTCGCCGGTGTCGCCCTCACCTTCCCCTTTGTCTTCCACACTTGCCAACCTCAACTAAGAGCAAGGCATAGCAAGGTCAATGAGCCAACTTTGCACAAAGTATGCAGGTAAGCGCTGTCGAACTCGACGCAACAGTCTTCAACAAAGTCTGTGCAGCTGAAATCCAAGGCCATGGCGCAGCACAGGCGCGGGACACTTCCGCTGCTGCCTCGTCCCTCATCTCTTCAAGGCGTTGGCCCTCCAGCACTGCCTGGAAGAAGGAAGCGCTCAACGTAACAACCTTTACATACTCTTTACATCTGTTTACATACTCTTTACATACTCTTTACATGGTGCACGTGCATTTGGACTCAGCTTCGCTTGAGTGTGCAAATTGCCTCCTTTAACGCATTCTTTGCAACGTTCAGCTCTTCGGACAGAAGCTTGTCCTGCCACACTCTCACTATCTCTCACTACTCTGGGCTCGATGAATTCAAACATCATCATGATTGTTTCACCACCTTTTGTCAATCAAAGCGCTCCAAGTGCTCCAACTTCCACTTCCCTGCCTCCGAAACGAGGGAGCCTTTGGCAATCTGCGCCTGCCTTGAACGGAGCTCCAGCGCCTGGACTTGCAGAGACAAACGTGAATGCTTGCTACACGTACCCGAAAGCTTGAACGCCTGACGGCAGGTGCAGGTGCATATGTCAACCGAAATATTTTGCATTGTGTTAGCGTTGGCCGCGCTGGGAGCATTTAGAGGGGTTCTCACTGGCCCCATATTAGGTGGAGCTGACGCTTAGCAGGCTTAGCTGATGGTTGGCTGATGGTTGGCTGATGTGGCCTCTTGTAGAGCCACGAGGCGACCCGACCTCGCGGTAAGCACGGTTTTCAAGGAAACGTTTTGAGGATTCGGAGGGCGAAGCTGACAACAAGCTGCGCCTTGCCACAAGGTGGTCAGCATCCTCCTGAGCCCAAGAAATTGTGGGAGAGTGTAAGAGATGTGTAAGAGAGTTGCTGGAAGTCCTGCGGAGAGGCCGGAGAGGTCTCGTCGCTGACTGGACCTTCCTGGATCCTCAACTTCTCACGGTCGGCACAAGCCACGTCACCTTTTTTGCTAGCCTTCAAGTGCCTTGAATTCCATTATACCGGCAGCCACACTGGACAGCACAGTGCTCGACGATTTCAGCCTTGCAGGGCCAGGCTCCTCGGCATTCTGCGACTGATCTCGGCGATGCTTCTTCGGAGCATCAGGATCTCTGGCTGCTCTGCTTCACCTTGTTCTGCTTGCTCTGCAGTATGCACAAACTTTCAGTGCGGGTGAAGAATGTGGTCATTGAGCTTGTGACATTTCTCCTCAGCACATCTGCAGTCTTCCAGCGCCTCTGAGAATTGAGGGAATAAGCTGTCAAGCATCCATGATGCCACGTATGCCCACCTGGGCATGTAGCTTCAGCAAGACCTTGGAGTCAACGGGAGTCGGAACCGTTCACAGGGTCATTGCGGTCGCGAGATTAGGCGGCAGAGTACGGCCGAACGATGCCGAAAAGCATGTACCGGATTGGCACACTCATGCTTTGCCAAAACCATGCAGTGGGCCGCTGCCTGCAGTCGCTCGTTGACCGCGCAGGAGTTTGCCATCTTCGGCAGGCCAAGTCCAAGAAGGCAAACGAATGTGAGAAAATGCGAGGAGAAGCACAGAGCTAGGCGTGCACTCAGGCGCTGCGGCACTCAGTTCAGAGAGAAATTCTGGAAAAAAACTCTTAAACATTCTTCAAAACTAACTCTTTGAGCATATTCTGTAATGTCTTCGCAATTCTCGTGGGTTTTTGTTGCCGGGGATTCCGCCTCCAGGTCCTCCTGCAGTGTCCGCTTCACTGCGTGGAGCCGCTCGGATCCTTCCACAACCACCTCATCAGAGTTGAGAGAGGCAAAAAGCTTCTATTTCAAAATTTTAGCAGGGGCGCTTGCATGCTCGTTTGTTTAGGCTTGCTAAATCTCGGCTGGACTCGACATGATCTCTGCAGTCATGCAGCATCAGCACAGGCTCCGACATGGCGACATTGCGAAACAACTGCAGACTGTAACCATCAGTAATTGGCGCAAGCGGCATCGGAGGTGATGGTGCAAAGAGCTCGCTGTGCTCGTGCCAAATGGTTCAAAGCTTGACCTGGTGAGCGAAACTACGCTCCAGACCGTGGAGGCCGTTACAAAGCCTTCGGAAGCGTCGGCCCCTCTGCCTCTACACATCATAGCACCCTCAGCTTGAAAAGGTACTGAATCTTCTGTACGTGCCAGTGCTTCTTCAGCCACAGGCACCAGGCTCCTGCCGAGGCTCCGGCGAAGCTCTTCACTATGACAAAGATCCTGAACACTGCGCGTTCTTGGACGAGTGAGTTGGAACAGCTCCACATTGCCAAAGGCGCTTAAGCCATGAAGGATTAGAGGAATGTTTGGGCACAGAAAGGAATGTTAAGAATGTCAAAATCTGGCACGTTCCAAAAGAATAGGCAAGTGAATTTGACAAACATCGACACGACATACCTTCGCTACCTACCATGCTAGATAGATTACTAGATGTTTGGAAGGCTTTCAGGAGACTTGGGAACGCAACCGAGCTGGCTGGATGTTAGCAATGTTACTTTCAGCTCAGGTCCTGGACATGCCCTCACGTCACGCGCAACAAAAGGCATTTGTTGCGGATACACGCTTTTGTCGGCACCATGGCGCAACACAAAGCATTCGCCAACAGCTTCACAAGTAATTGCTTGTTAAGCCGGCCCAGGCGAAGAGAGTGGCGACAGGACACCATCCCGGCCTTCTCAGCTGCAAGGGCACCTCGCAAATCGCGCGCAACTTGCGAGGTGTCCATTGAATTCCATCGAGTGGAGTGAGGGTGCTCCGCAGCACTGATGATTACATTTCAGATTTGACGATTTGACGTCCACGGTTTGAGCTTCCTAGAGCAGAGAGTAGCGCAACGACAGGCAGGCGGCACTCGCGCCTTCACCCGGCGGGACTTGCGGAGGCTGCTCCACTTCAGCATCTCCCTGAGCTCCGTTGTCATTCTCCAAAGCGGCCAGCTCGAGGGTGAGGGGCATCCTCGGTGCAGCTAGGGTACAGGAAAACCGTGAACTGTCTTTAAGTTAAAACTGCAATGCAAAGAGGCGTCGGAAGCTCCTCTTGGTCCTCATCCTGCTCTTCGATGAGGACCATCAGGTCCACCAAACCTACGGTGATTTCATCTTTGGGCACGGATCGGTCTTCGACCCTTGAGCCGAGATGCCACCTTCGCGCGCAGTAAGAAATGTCCACGCTGAAAACCTTCCTGCCCACGAGCTGACGCTTCTGAGCCTGAGCCTTAAGCTGTAATGTCTAGCTCTTCAAAGGAGATCATGCTGCTCCCGTCAGTGTCAGCCTGCGCCCCAGCGTTCGGGAATGTTCGGGGAGCGTTTGTCGAATCTTCTGAGAACCATCACGAACCACAACGAAACATGTCTTGCACGGTGCTAGGACGACCCATGAATGTGCGAGTCCGCGTGCCGACGTAGAATTTCCACTGTTCACAGGCTCGCAAGAGCGAGCAAACAAAAATGAACCGAGCATCCTCGAGCATCCATTGAAAAATAATTTATTCGACAGATGCTTACACGATAGACTTCCGCAACACACTGCGTCAGCGTCAACTCTGACCTCGGCAAAAAGCCGTGCCCAGCTGGGCGGCCCTCCTTGCGACTGCCGCTTCTGAACATACACCTGTAGGCTGGAAGCTTCACATTCCCTTGTGCCCTTGAGCAAGCGCTTTCCGGACAGGTGTGGCACGACCAAAGCTTTGTTCAGCTTCTGCGCCACTGCTTGCAGGGCGGCGTCCTGCGCTGACAAAATTGTGCTTAAATAACATGTGAGAGACCCGCCGCGCTCTCAGAGAGCAACTTGATGAACTGTGCATGCGCCGCGCACCTGGAGAGGAGTTGGATGTCTCCCCTGCGTCTTGCAGGAGCCATCCGAGGACAGGCCGGACGGGCTGTTCTGCGGCCTTAGAATTCAGGACAATCCGGCTGTCTTGCTATGGCTTGTGCTCTTTGTGCAAGAATGCGCGAGGTCATTGAGGCCATGACTGCTGGGACTGTTGTTGAGAGTGCTGGGACCTTTTGGTCGCCTTCTGAACTGGAGATGCCTTGCGCAGGCTTCAGAATGTGTGGAACACACCATGGAACTCCTGGACCACTAGTCACACATAAGCAGAACTCAGCATCTGCAGATGCGCCTGTGGTGACTTGGTGGATGATGTTGTGGACTGCATGGACGTGTCGTGTGTTTGTGGAGGTGATGCGCGTGCTTCACTCTTTGGCGAGGCATGACCTGGCTCGGATAATTCATTCGGTGCCGCCAGTTCTTCAACGTCATGCTGGGCGGGGGACTCATTGGTGGCAGCGCGTTCTTTCCACTGCCTGTGCCTTTCCGCGGTGCTCGCGCAGAGTACGCGGATGAGGCCTGAGCTCGCAGCTTAGTACAAGCTTGTACTTTGCATTTGGCAGCCAAACAGACTGAGCCTGAGCAAGCCCAAACTTCAGAGCGACGACAGCGAATGTGCTGCTTGATGGGATTGACCGGGGCATGCGTGCCCCATTACGGGCTCAAGCCGGGAAATGGGAACTGTCTTGTCTGCAGGTAACACTTCAGTACTATTGGAGGCAGATTTGAGGGTTCTGAGACCTCATCCGCCACCAGACCATACTGATTGGGGGAAGACATGGTCGCATCTTTTGGAATGCACCAGTGCAACACAGTACAGTAGACTGTTGGAGGAGCTCTGCTTGTGAGCCCGTGCTGTGGCGGGGGGGGGCTAATGACGGCACTGCTGCAGGTCAGGTGCCGCAAATTCCCCCGGAATTGAGTTCAACACCGGACGGCGAGGCTCAGAAGCCTCGTAGAGGTGTTCAGTGGCTGTTAGAGCTTCACAGGTCTGAGTCATCTCACGCGCGTCTCGGGGGACATCTCGGATCGCTCGTGAAGCCGAGGTCGGAGCCATTCGCCAGCGCACCTGCTCGCATCCGGAAAACAATCGAACATAAGCGAACTATCTCTGCTTTAAACCGAGGGAGCGACGTTCGCACTGCCTGCAAACCAATAACTGGGAGAGAGCAACAACAACTTGAGGCGAGCGAACGCAACCGAGCGAGGAGGAAGGAAGCGAGCAAGAGAGGGTTCCAAAGTCTGGAAGAAAGCAAAACATGTAGCCTGGTCCACGGGCGCTAGCCTGGAGTGGCAACATGCAGTGCACATGTGCAAAGTCAACATGAGGAGGGAGACTATGATCCAAGTCCCCGACCACCCCACATACCGAGTCTGGTCGGGAGGGGTGGTCTTCTGGAGCTGTCTCCTCAACTGTCGGTGCCTTAGACGCAGCTTGCCTTCTGCTCTCCGCACCACCCGCTCCAGATCAGTTTTCCAAGCACAGCACCATTGTCATGCTAGACTTGGCACCTGAGCAGCATCCAAGTGTGTGACCCTCACTACGTCTCATGCCACTCCTGCCGGACTTCTGCCACATTCATGACTTTTCTTGGAAGCATGCGCTGTTTCGGCCCGGGAATGCCGTGACAAGGAGGCCTGGATGCGACATAATGCGACATTTACCTCTGCGCTCCTCATGCACACATCACAAGAAGGGCTTTTTCTTGGATCCACGCGTTGGGGTGGATGCGGCTGTGCTTGGTGTGGACCCAGGTACAATGCGCGAGACTTCATCCTGGCATGTGTTTCTCACATTCCTGCCCGTCTCGGTATCCATCGTGAATTTGGCAAACAGCAACTTTCATAGCGGTGTGTCAATATGTGCCAATCTTGGTGGCAGGACATCTTCTTCATCAACCTCAGATGTCATGTCCCGCCTTCCGCATATCTCACAAACCAGAACGTCCGATACTGCTGGCGTCCACACTGAGCCCTCAGCAGCAACAGAAAGCTTCGCAAGCAGTTCGTCATCTGCCCTGACCCATCAAACGAAATTCACCAAGCTAGGCAGCACCCGAAACGTCCACCTGTCATGCTTTAAGCTACAGTAGCTTTGGCACGACCAAAATCGCAGACTTGCGCCAGCTGATGTAAACTTTCTGGGCCGGCTGAGCATTGCACATTGTCTCCTTCGTTCGACTTCCATGGCCCTGGGGTACCCACTGCGTGACGCGTTCCTGGCAGTGCTGGCATAAGCGGAGCATAAGCGGAGCAAACCCAACTCACCCAACTCTGCATTCAAGGCCTCAGGCCTCCATGCTCTCAGCGTAGACCGACGGAAAGACAGGCATGCATCACTACTTCACCTGCTGCAACAACTCTGAGTGGGGTTGCGTGCTTGGGTGCTCGCCTGCACGACTTCTCGTCTAGGACTGCTCGTCTTCCCGCATGCTCAAAACGGAGGGCACTCTGAACTGCCGAGGGCCGAACAACAGGAGGCATCACACCGACCAGTCTCCTACCTTGAACAATGGCCCAACGGCTGCGTAGCAGGCCAACATGAGGCAATCCAGCTATTCAGCTATTCTCGATCAGGATCTCCTGTCGCTGAAGAGGTGAAAACAAAGAGACCATGACGGATCATCCATAGTCATTCTCCAGAGGGTCGTCTTGCAAAACAAAATAGAACGTGCCGACAAGCAGCGTGCTCACTCACCCTCTGGATGCTCGTGCAATCGCTTGCAGCTTTTTCTCTCATCTGCGCAAAAAAAGGACTGTGGCAGGCAAGAGTCAAGGCACCAGCTTCAAATTGAGGACTTCACTTCGGACCGATGGCCGTGACACGGAATTTATGCGACATGCATACGTGGATCTTCTGAACAGTGCGAAACACGACACAGCAATCACTTGGTGATGCTGTGGCTGACTCCTTGACGATCGTCAAAAATCAAATATTGACTGGCGGCGTGGCCTGGCGATCATATTTCTCCCCACTAAGGTTGCCGTATCTTGGCGCAGCTCCTCGAGGTCCTTGCTCAAGCGTTCGAGCATCCTGAATACTGCCCTCGTGGCCAGCAGTGTGGCCACGGTGTCTGTCTTCTTCAGGTCCCCCCGAACTTTGAGGAGTCCCTGCACCAACTCCGCCACATGCAGTGTGCCACTACCATCTGCATCTAAAGCCTCGAAGAGGTTGGCGCGATCTGGGGGCAGATCTAAGTCATCCATCAGCCGCTGCACATGCCGATCCTGCGCAATTTGGAAACCAAGCCGAGCATAGCCAAACACTGCCAAACACTGCAAGCAGACTGACAGAATGTCCTGAACAACCGTCAGGAAGAGCTCCTTGCTGATCTCAATTTGGTCATCATCCTCCTCACCCAACGTGGGGCTGCCGCCAGGTAGTCTGGGAGAGCTTCCACTGTGTGACAAATCCTTGCATGGCCAATCTTGTGGGAAAAGCAGCGGTGCAAGACGGAAGTTCTGAGGCCTGGGCGTCGCCGTATTCTACTGGACTCATCATCTTCTGATGCTTGCGATATTCTTTGGTGAATTTCCTTGGCTCTCAAGTTTGGTGGCGGACACTCCTGCGGTTGACACCAGGTAGACACCCTAAAGAAAGCCGCGAACTTCACTGGTCTGCACAGCACATCACCACATGAGGCCTCAGTGTTGCTAAAAAGGCCTTAGTAGATTTAGGGGGTAAGTGCACGAGACTCCCTGGGCCGAAAAGGAAAATTCCACAAAAGAAATATCGGTGCCAGGCATCTTGACGAGCTCCCTGGTAAGCCTGGCCACCCTGATCGACTCCCGCTCATGCTGCTCGTGGGTCAACTCGCTTTCTCTTGCCGCCTGTCCGGGAGTAAGGTGGCGATCGTTGATAAAACCCCGCAGATGATTAAATACAGAAACAGATATGTTAAACCTCCGTGGGCGCGCGGCGGCCCGCCAAGCTTCTGTAAACATGCAGAATGAACGCCCTCAACCCCCTACAGCCCCACCCTCCACTATACCCCAAAGCCTACCCATGGCCTTCGTCAGATTTCCCTGCACCTCCTGCCTTACCCCCATCCTCACGCCCCAAAAACGATGCAGGGTGGTGGGGTCCAGGTTGTGGGTCAGAGCGACACAAGGGGTGCAGGGGTGGTAGCTTCACCGTAGCAGCCGTAGCAGCTTGCGCAGGTGGAACCAGAAGCCTCGACAATAGCATCGATTGCGCCGGAAGGAACATAAGCTTTTCAACAGGCCTGGTGATAAGCTTGCATCCAACCCACAGAGTTAAACCGGCAAGAAGAAGCATAAGCAGCAGCTTCCTTTGCTGGGGCCGGGGTGGAAGGGGGGGGGGGGGGGCAGCTTTCTGGGCTTCGCCGCCGAAGGCGCCTTACGAAAGCATGCTTCTGGGCTGAGAGCCTAGGGCTTCGTGCACCAGGGCATGGCAGCGCATTCTGACGAGAAGAACACACAATCAGCACAATCTCGTTGCACATGCCACGAGCTTGCGCAGGTCTTGCGCGGCTTCCCCAGCACCGAAGTTTTCCAGTCCGCAGCATCACAATGCAATGAAGACCGACTTTGGCTCAACACGCTAATATCAGAACGGCTTTGATGCAGCCACATCCCCTACGGAACGATGTCGACCCTGACCCTCCCATGCATCGGGCACATCTGGCATGCAGTAGCCCCCGTCTTATGATAGCTTCAGGTTCCCGTTCGGCCTTCATAGTGATGTCGACATACACCGCCAGGATGACATTGAAAATACCTGGAAATTACGGATGTACGGAAATGCAGAATGAAGCTAAGGATGCGCTGGCTACAGCTCGATTGCTTTTCCTGCATGTGACCTGGCACTTGAAACTCTAAGAAGAGCATGAACCGATGTGGCAGGGCCAACATTAACACAACATGTTTAACGCGAAACATGCCGAACGAAGTGTCTTGCACCCAAGACACCCAGGGTAATGAGCATGTAGCACAGCACGTAGCTGAAAGTGAACAAGAAGCCGAACCGAGCGGCGAGAATGGGAGCCAGTGGTTCTCCTTCTAGGGTGGCGCATGCACGTGTGTTCCTCGTCTTGCAAATTTTGCAAAGGAGTGACATGACACATGACATGTGCAGTTGCTGCTCCTCCCTCCGCCATGCACTCGCCAGTGTAGCACCGGAATGCTGTGAAGATCGAGTCGGGCACAGATGCGAAGAGCTTTTGGATCTGCTCCTCCTCAGGAGACCAGTCGGCACGCCCTTGGTGACATTCGCAGCATTCCACAGGAATAATTCCCATTTTGTGTTCATCACTCTGCAAAGCCATATGCGAAATTGGGTAGCAGACGTACTAGCAGACGTGCTTGACTACGCTACATGTGAAGCAAGTCGGCAACTGCAACATACGAGAACTGTAACATACGAGTAGGAAAGCTCTGGGTCGGACTGAGTTCCTGGCCAATAGCAATGGTTGCGAAGACGGCAATCACATACAACACGCTAAATAGCAAACAATTGGCAAGGCAGAGAGTTCGAAACCCTCCAACCAGACCTTTGATCATCAGCTGCAATTCCTGCAGGGGACCGATAGAACGAGCACAAGTCATACAACTTGACACAGCACAGAAAGAGAAAACCCATGGCTAAAGCGACTCTGGAAGTCCACATGCTCTCGGTGCCCGAAAATTTCAAGTTAAACTTAGGTCTGCGCAGTCCTTGAGGAATTTCAAGCGGAACACGCGGAAGGTTCGAGTCAGCCTCACTAAACGAAAGGAACGCAACAGCTGCGTAGCCGCTGCTTCGGACTCTGCGACTAAGGACGTTAACAAGATGTCGATCAAGCCTGCCATCACGAGGAACATATCAAAATAGTTCCATGTAGACTCTGGCCCCGAGAGATAGTACCGCAGTCCGACCAGACGTATTCGGACCAGGATCTCGCCGGCAAAAACAAGAGTGAAGGCCACTTCGACCCACTGCCAGCCTGCCCACTCTTCCCAAGCCACATCGGTTTGCAGCCCAAGAAGTGCAGCATTTGCAACGATAAGCAAAGCCACGAAGGGCTCAATGTAAAGAACCGGATCTGTGGGCTGGGTTGGTGCAGCGAGGTCGTTGATGCGCACGAACGTCAGCTCCGCAACTAAGCGATTGGTATCCCCAGCAAGAAACAACTCCTTGATGGCCCTGAAGAGCTCGGCGGATGTGCCAAAGATTTTTCGCCCGTCCCCATCCATGGAAAATGCCATGACCAGCGCTTGAAACGGAACGAGATTGTGCTGCTGTGTGTTCGCAGCTTCGGAAACATTGCCACGGAGAAAGTCTGTCATGGAGCTGGCGCCATCATGCGGCCACTCCCAGATTGCTCGCGAGCGCTCATCGATGGTCATCTCTATCGGGGCGTCCCTTCTGTGCACACCCAGGAACCTTGAAAACGTGCCTGAGTGTTGCAGCCGCGTGCTTTTCTTGTCGGTTTGCTCGAAGCGCAAGTGCACGAAACTGGCAAGCTTGTTCACGATCGTGTTCACATCACTTTCGGTGTAGCGCGTGAGGCCAAGAGACACGGCTGCGTCATGCAACTCCCGCCCTGAGATCAACTTTCCATTTATGCCGAGACGCATGCGCAAGGTTTGCTCAATGTGCTCGGTGACACTGTTTCGACTGTGGTCTGTCAACGAAGCACACATTGGGCCGAACCCATCCACATCATCAGCAAGGCCTGAGTTTTGCAATGTGCTGGCTTGCTTGGTCTCGGGGGTTGCGGAGGTCTCGGCTGCTGTAGTGGCTATCGAATCGAGAGCGGCGTTTGCTGCGTTGTCACACACTTGCAGCACTTGGAGAGGTTCTGGTGAGGGCCTTGAGATGAGAAGCTCAGGCATCATGGACTCAGGCGGGCCCTGAATACTTGGCGGCTCATCAAGCGACATGGGATGGCGTGGCCTGACCGCTCCGGTACTCCGGGTATCAACATCACCGGAATCACCGACCTTCTCTTTTTGCTTCTGCTGGACGTGCTCGAGGTGGACCTGCTGGCAGTACACAACGCAGCGATCGACCACAAGGGGCACTAACGCATGTCTACCGACAAGGCACCCACCTGCACAAGCTGCTCCCTGAAAGAAGACCACGCTTCATCGAGAGTCCGTTGGAACGCCGCCACATCTTGATGCATGTTAATGGGGGCTGGGAAAAACTCTATGGAAAGGCTCCTCCAGCAATTTGAGCCAAACCTTATCGGACAAGGGGCCATGCGTTGGTTGAGGGCTTTCTTCCACATTTGCACAAGACGCCTGCCGCCTTCACCTTTGCATGGTAGTTGTTGCTACATGGCACAATGGTGTTTGCCGCCGCTGTGTCCGGAGACTGTTACGCCCGTATATCTGTTGTTACCTTGTACTGAATGGCAAGAAACTGACTTGGATGTTATGAGAAAATTGGAGTGACACGGGGCATCAAGGCATCTTCAGATATCTTCAGCCTGGTCATGTGCATAGATGGGCATTGCTGAAGATAGCATTGCTGCCTCGCAATGGCATGAACAGGCACACAAAGCGCAAGCCACTGCCCATTTTCGCTGTGTCATGCTGTCACATGCTCGAGGCCGTACCAACTGAGGTCGTCGTACTTGTAGCCTTTGTTCCACCAATAGCACAGCTGTTGGTCAGGTCCCAGAAGCCGGACGTCCGGCAGCAAGTCAGACGCTCCCGTGCCCATTCCAGGTATTCCATTGGCACTTTCTTTGGTTCCCCCTCGTCGGGAAACTTCTCTGCGCCCGGCTGCTGGGCCTAGCCGTGGCTTTGGGGGCCTCAGCTGCGCATTTTGTGTGCGTCGCACGTTTACGCACTTTCCTACAGGGCCCTCAGTTTGCCATTACATCTGACGAAACCCTGCGAGGACTTTTGCAGACAAGCAACAAGTCCAGTTTAGCACAAGACTTGGATCGCAGCGCTTGCAATCCAACACAGCGGCAGATCCCCGCTTTGCCTTGCTGCGCACATCAGCTGTTCCCACTTTTCTTCCTGGTACGCACAACGCATGGCATGCCCTCATTTCCCGAGCGTCTTTGGCTGGCTTACTACTAGCGAATCGCCCAAACATGCCAAGAATGCCTTAGGTCGCGCTTTGTACCTTGATCTGTGCTCCTCTCTACTTACTGCCTGAATAGAAACCGAGCCTCAGTCAGGGGTGAGGAACCCATACGAGGCCCGAAGTGCGAAACGGGGGCCGGAAGCCACAGGCTCTTTGCACCACGTCGATGCCTAGTTTAGAGACAGTGTCGGATATGGAAGGTTCGGCCTGTCAACATGATTCAATGATTCAGCATGGCAACACGAGCCGGACACCTGAAGATTTACCAAGCTTACAAGCCACGGTCAGGCGCCATACCCATACTTGTGGCTGTCAGCAGCGCTCTGCGACTCAAGCCAAGACTCCAACTCAGCCCTCGGTCCTATTTGGGGCGCAGTGGCTCGGCCCCAGCCTCTGGAACTGCTTGAACTTACTCTACCATCATCGCCTTCGGATACCGGCCCAAGGCGCGCGGCTGCTTGCTGGTATGATGGCGGTACTAGGCGAAGTCATGCGGCGTCAAGGACTTTCTCATTTGCGTTTCCATGGTTTCCGACAGGGAACCTGTTTTCCCACTTGGTTCTGGCGTGTTTTCTGATTGGGGCGTTGGTGTTTCCCAGCACTAGCAAGGAAGCTGCTTACCCACCGAGGCCTCCGGTGGGTTAGGCCCCCTGCTTTCTGATTGATGTTTCTTATGTCGAGGGTTCCGACTCGTGCCGACGGCCTAAAGGTACGATCGACTTCAATTCGAGAGCCCCAGAAAAAAGTTTCAGTACACGCTGAGTACACGTTCAGCGTGGGTTTGAAAGGCGCACTCGGGTGCCAGTGGCCGTGATGGTGATGGTGACGGTGATGAATACATGGTTATATGATGATGCTGGTGGTGGTGATGATGACGGTGACGGCGACGGTGGCGACGGCGACGATGGCGGCGGCGACGATGACGATGGCGATGATGATGACGACGGTGACCGTGACGGTGACGAGTGACGGGCGATGGGTGAGGGTGAGGATGACGAAGATGAATAAGTACGAATGATGATATGATGGCGCTTGTGACCACGACAGTAACGCTCACAACGATGCGATGCCGAGGACGACGACGACGCCGATGCCGACATTTGCCGACGACGACCTAGGGAGCTCAGACCATGCAGACAGTGCTCAAGCACAAACTGCACATGGCTGGAGATCTGCCAAGGAGCTAATGTTGGCACCTTCAAGAGTCAGGAAACGGATCCCGCAGCCCACAATCTTCTCCAGCGCATGGTCGTCGATGGGGCACTCGGGGCCTTGATCTAACATGATGGACCGCCAAAGTGGAATCATCCTCCCTCTCTATTCAGGACATCAATGAAAGTTTTGCGAGCTCTGCATGAAAGACCCCCGCCGGATTGCTTGCTGCAATCCGATGCGGCCCGGCCGCTTGCAGTTAGCTGCAGCTCATCCAACTCCCCACACTGTAGATCCATTCCTCCGCGGCCATGAAGGCAGCTTGCTGAATTCAGAAAGGGTCAGGCTACTCATTGCCTGGCGAATGCATGTGTTGCACTTTGGGCTTCCGTCGTCAGGAAGTCGTTGTACACCATCAGTTTTGCTGCTTCGAGCATGACTTTGCAATACTTTGCAGACGGGGCACCACGTCCGAGGGCGCGCACAAGATTCCAAATTCCTCCATCAAGACGGCCAATGAAACTGCAAACTCGTTGCAAAAAAAAAGCTGCCGTGAGGTCACCAAGAAGTCCTTGTAAGGTTGCTCCGTGGGCACCCTCAAGCGACAGCGACCGGAGCACAGATCTGGAAGTTGCTGGTGCCAGTTGCACATGTCTCTGCCAAAAGGACTGCAGCAATGCGTCTCCAACCTGGGATTCCGATGCTGCCACTTGCGTCACAAGCAGAACATCTAGTGGACTCAGGAACGTGAGGAACTCCGGTCGGCTGCATTGCAGCAAAGGTGCGTGGACGTTCGCTACGGCCAAGGCCTCCAGCATTGGTAACGAACCCAACGCCAAGGCGGCGTCTGCCTGGTGTGCATTCTGTACCCAAGTATGCTAGAGCCTGCTACTGCAGCGCTCCACGCTTGGCAGATCTTTTCAGGAATCGCTCTGACTCCAAGCTCCTCCAGCGAGCGAAAGCCCACCATGGCTGCAGGGCAGCCAGCCTCAGAACGGCAAAGGTGAGCCGCACACGCGAAAACGAAGTGACGCCCCATGCCCCGTAGCGCCTCGAACAAGATACCCAGGCGCCGCATGGCCTGCAAGTTCCAGATACAAAGCATTACAAAGCCATTGATGAGCGAGCGATAGCGATGAGGAAAGCTTCCGCCAGCAAGCAATTGATGCGGCCTGCCAGCGGCCAACCTCCACAGCCGACAGCAAGGTGGGAAACTCTGGCGCGTCAGCCACGAGGAAGCAACGCAATGGCTGCGCGGCAATGGCGTGCACGAAGTCAGAGCCGGATACTTTCAACAAGCTGTCCAGGCGCAAATCCTGTCCACCCAGGGACCCATGGATAGGATGACATGGGCAACTCCAAAGGGTGGGGTATTGCAATCACTGTGCCTCTCTGGACAACCCCCAACAACCCTCCTTCCACAATTATCCACAACTCGTACCAGAAGTCCTCCAAGCACGTTGCTGAACTGACCACCTTCCTCAAGACGGCTCCAGAGACATGTGCGGAGCAGCTGAGCCACAAAGCTCGCAAGCGCGGGCAGCCAGCGCCAAGAATCTCCAAAGCTGCATCCGTCACCTCAGCACAGCAGATTGCGGAATCCATTGTTGGATATTCAGTGCGGCATCTGGGCTTCTGCGAATGCTTTGGGCATGAGCAAACTGAGCAAACCAAGTGACGGCATCTCCATGGAGAACCGCTCGGCTTAGAGCTGGTCGCCCATGGCCCAACAGCGCCTGCAAGGCCCTGGGTGTAAGCCGTGGCTCGCATGCTCGGGCCACCTGGAAAGCTTCTGTTGAACAGGCAACTTGTAAGGCGGCAAGCGATGGCCTTGCTGTGGAAATGCAAGACTCTCAGTGTCTCGCAGACCTGGGAGCAAAATTTGGTACAGCGGATGCAGCTTGCGATCGCGCACGCGTATCTGTGCATTGCTGCATGGCGGCTCAGACTTCCCGTTTTACATCGCCCTGCGCTGTGTTGACAATGTTGAATTCTGCCAAGCTTCACTGGAGACGGCCAAAGCTCCAGCATCTGTGTGGCGGCAGGCCGTGTCGCCTTATTTGCTGACTTCAACAAACCCCAGAACAGGAAACGCTCGCTGGTCCAACGAGCGGCTGATCTTCAGGAACTCCAGCCCTGCGGAGTCCACTGCGGAGCGCATGGACACTGAGCCACAGCGCATGAGAAAGCATTCATGCACCTCCACCAACGCTGCGAGCTGCCCGCCTGGCGAGCCTTCACTCAAGACTAGACAGTGCCACGGAAAGCTACTAGTAGAAAGTTTTCTCACTCACGCGCTTTCGCTTACTTGAAAACCCCTTTCGCCCCTGCCCACCCCATACCACAACCAGAACCCCTGCATCCTTCTGCAGCCCCATACTAAGTCACAACTGAAGAAAACGGCTTCTTGAAACAAGAACCCAAGAACCCCATATCACAAGCAGCCAATAGGCTTACAATTTGCCATCCGAGTTGCAAACTTTGCAAAGCAGAATGCGAGCCCTTACAAAGCCCTGAGTAGTGGTAGGGCAGTTTCTGCATCCAGATTCAGGTCCCAATTCAATGGCAGTTCGATCAAAAAACCAAGAAGTAAATTTGCGAGCAGTCGAAATCTTGCTCAACCACAGAATCGATTGTTCCCTAAAATAGGGTCCCTCTAGGAGTCCATCTTCAAAGTGCTGTACCATATCGGGACCCGAAAAGGGACCCTAGTTTAGAGAACCATCCTTGTAATCGCTTGACCCCAGAACTCCCAAAATCCTTCCTCCGATTATGCTACGCAACTGTCCCGGTTGTGCTAAAGAATTCCTTCAAATCTCCCCTCAACGCTCTCCTCTCATCTCCTCAACGGTTCGAACGTAAAGGCACCAGCGAAGGGCCCCGTCGCTGGTGGGCAGCGCGCCGAGCGGCCCCCAGGTGCCGCAGCCGAGCGGCCGCGACTCTGCCAGAAGAGCCTGGCACCCTGCCCCTTTTCAATTTCCCCCCCCCCTCTTAGAGGCTTTATGGGCCAACCGATTCACCTCTTTAAGGCCCTACATTCAAGATCAACAAAAAAAGAAGGGGGAAGCATCCAGGAAACGGAGCAGACGGCGGAGGCCGGCACCAACTCGCGCCAAGTCAGGAAGCTCAGCGCAAGGTCCAGTGGAACTCCATACTTCCTAAGCTTGCGGAGACAAGGTCAGCATGCTTCTGCAACAAAAAAAAAAACGCCCTGACACCAATTGTGAAGAAAGAGCCCCACAAGGCCGGACATGATACTTGGATTGCAGCCAAGCCTCGGCTCAACCAGTGACTGCATTTTGCCACCCCATGATGTCCAAACTCCATGCAGCTATGGTGCAGAATGATCCTTCGACGGTTTAATTTGTAGTATAACAGTATGTGGGAACTTTGTGCAAAGGTGTTGGTGATGTTGCCTGGCCTGCAACGCGCGTGGCTCACGACTGCCCTCCCACCCATTCCCTGCGCCAGCTTGGCTTGTGCAGAAGAACGCCCAATGCACAACTTGAAGTCAGGCAACTTCTTCTGAGCCTGCACATGAGTGAGGTGCATAGCAACGTGTCTTGTTCTTTTCTCTTTCTCGTCACGCCGACTGCATTTCACATTCCTCACTCAGCGATGGCTCACAAGCTTTTCCTGCAAACACACACACACACACACACACACACACAGACAAGCCCAATTTGCAACAGAGGGCTGCTTGTATGAACTGGTCATAGTTATTCATAGTCACTCGTAGCCATCGTTGATCTATTTCAACGAGATGGATTGGGTGTGCTAACTCGAGCCCAAACAAATTGCTGTGGCGTTTCGTCGCTGAGTCCTGGGAATCTTCGAGGACGTGCAGCACTCGAGACACCTCCTCCAGCATCAACTCCTCCTTCGCAGAGTTTCCCGTGGGCCCGCGGCTTGTGAGGCTGAGCCGTTCTGCGTTACTCAGGGTCTGTTGTTGTAGTGCCATGCAGGAAAGAAGCATCAACATTCTACTGCAGAACTTTCGAACCCCTTGAAGGCAAACCTCGCTGTTGAGGATGGCCTCCTGATAGCACCAGCTACGTGGGGCACAGGCAATGCAGAAGGCACAATGATGCTTGCCATTGCCTGCTCCACGTCGGGCTTGCGACCGATATTGGCAAGCAGCTCCTGCAGCACTGGTCAAGTGGAGGTGCGAACATGATGCCAAGACTACCCAAAAAAACAACGAACAAAGGCTGGGCAAATCGGGGGCCTCTGTCTCTGCTGCGGATGTCCTTTCATCAAGGCCTTGAGATGCTTGCTGAGCCAGGGCGGTTCGCATCTCCGATGGAGGCTTCTCCATGCTGCTGGGAGATGCATTGGCTGCATGAGCTTGGGGCACTACCTTCTCGGTGTTGCGTGCCTCAACAGCAACAACTTCCGAGGGAGGCTGCGTTCGGATCCCCAGGTCCCTAGCCACATCATCGCGTACTTCCTGCGATGCGGGGTCTGCCACAGTCTCACCCCATCCGAGCCAGTCATCCAACCAACCGTGTGCTGCGAACCAGTTGGTCTCGGATGCCTCGCCTTTTTTAGCCTGGGGTTTAGTCTCGGGCTGCTTTGCGCCGGCATTGGCCGTGATCGCTGGCATCACGGCGACTCCTCCGGCACTTTGAGGTGCGGCTGCCCCATGGTTTTGCGCTTGCTCTGCATACCACTCCGTCGCCCCCGTCTTGACATTCAGCTTGAAAAGATGCTCAGACGGGTCCGTGAGCTGCTTCCAAGCCGACTCACCGTCCAAAGAAGGCAGCCCAGGCGTCCTCACAGACTGCCGAACGGCCAACCAGTGAAGCAAAATGGTTGCGCTGAGTCCTGGTCTTGAGCACCGCTGAGAAGGGACAGCAGGGCAGCAGCAATGTCACCGCCCATTGCAGCCACTTCATTGGGCCTTGACACAACTGTGCAGCGGTGCAACTCTGTAATCTTTGCGTAACCTCGGACTCGAGCCCTGAAACCCCTCCTCAAAGCCTGAGCTTTTTGAGTCGGGAACACCACCAAGTACCGCAGACTAGAAGGGAGGAGGAGCAGTTCTGCATCTTGCCAGCATTGTGATATTCACTCCATGTACAAACTGGGAGCGCATCTTAGGAATCAAATAGTACTTTGTTCGCGCTTTTTGCAAGCAGACGTGTGATCTTGTCTGTTCGGCTAGTGATGTTTTGTGATTTTTCGCGAGCGGCTATGGCCCCAGTGCTTCCCTCCAATTCTATACTATGGCCCCTCTAATTTCGCAGATTTCTCTCTGAATTCCTGCGACGAACGTGAGATTAGAGCCATGAGCGAGACGACTCGAAAGAGGCCAGAGGGACAGGTGGACGAGAAAGACCGAGCGGCCCGCGAGAGAGAGAGAGAGAGAGAGCGAGAGAATGACAAAAAGAAAGAATGAGTGAATGAAAGAAGGAAAGAAAGAAAGACAGAATGCAAGAAAGAAAGAAATGCAGCGATGCAACGGTTCTGCGAATAGAAGGGGGGTGTATGGTGGTAGCCTCTACATGTGCAGACCCTCTGAGGAGCTGGCCGCGAAAGCTGCCGTCTGCATGAATGCGCACGGCAGCAATCTTGAGCTGAAAGGATCGGGAGCAATGCCGACGTCCGGTCGTGAATGGCAATGCAGCCGCCAACGTCCCAATGTCCTAAAAACACCACTGGCAAAGCAGCAGTTGTGCAGGACCGCATCAAGTGGCATTTGGCATCACACATCAAGGTGGCTACTAAACGCCGTTTCCGGGGAGTCGGCGGGACAGCCTGCCTTTGAGTTGATGAAACGCTTTAAGCTTTAACTTCCTTCCACAACTCTCTGACAACTTGCAGGCGCCATTTTTTGCCTGCACGGCGTCTTAACCTCCAGCACCGTTCCTGAAAATACTGAAAGCATGCGCCGGGTGGAGAATGCTCCGCCTTTGCAGCTCTGGTGCCTAAAACGCCGCCACTGGCAACCTCTGTCATCACTGAGCCATCACACTAACCAGCCTTCGTGTGCGGCCGGGGCGGAGCGGAGTCCACTGCAGCATCAGTGGCGCGTTGCTGTCGGGATCTCCTGGTCCACTCCTGGTTCAAATTGTGCTCAAACCTGCCCAACCTCCCGACGTGTCCCAGGTCTCCAGCTTCAATTCAACCCAGGCTTCTGCCACTCGTCCAAATTATCGACTTCACCAGAGTTCGATGCGAGCACCGCCAAGCAGATCCTACTTTTGGTTCAACGTTAGGCCGCAGAATCCAGGGCATTCACGCCCTCGATGAGCAAGCCTTGCGGGCCCTCTCGTTCTTCACCGCTGGAAGCACCTCTGCCGCGCACGCACAAGAGGTGAGCGTGATGTGCTCCGTTGTAGTCGAAGCCATGTGCTCCACCATGATGGGAGATTGGCGCATCCTCCGATCCCCACATCGATAGCAGGAACCAGTCCTTAGATTGGTGCCACAATAGGCCAAGCAGGGAGGAGAGCACCCCTAAGAAACAGAAACAAAAGTACAAATACCCACCATTGCCTTCCCGAGCAGCTGCGTGCTTGGCAAAGGCTGCCTGGCAAACTTGTAAAGTATGCCGTATTTGGGAAGGTCCCAGCAAGCTCTCGCCCATCGTCCATAAAAGTACCTGAAGAAGCCAGTGGGTATGTTCATAGCTTCCAGGCCACCTTGCTTGCTCCCCTGGCCTCGTTACCCAACCCAGATTGCTGCTCCTTGACAGGGCCAAAACGCGGCAGTAGACTCCACTCAGCTCCTCTCCAATCCAATTCCTCCACGGAACCCGCGCCTGCCAAAGATCTCCCTCTGAGACACCGAGGCCGAGGTGCAAACCACCCAACCAATCAAGGAGATCTTCACATGCTTGGCCGTAGGATGGGGAGAAGCGCGGGACCTGGCCATTCGCACAGGCGAGGACATCAGCTCGCACCAAGCATCGAATTTGTGCAGCATGAGCGGCATGTTTCGCAGCATGCCCTTGGGAAGAATCCGCCCAGCGCCAGGGTTCCAACACCAAGCGCTCAAACGGAGGCCTGGGCCGAGAAATGCAGGCCACCTAGAAGCAGTGCCAGTGATGGCGCCTGTGCCCTACGCCTACTACTGGTTGCAAAATCTGATCTCATCACTTAAATGGCCACCAGGCCTGCCAGTGGATTGTCCAATATGCAGGACGCGATGTTGAACTGGTACCTTCATGGCTTCTGGCAATGTTTGAAATCCCGTAATGGCTGCCATAAGAACCATCACAAGGCCCCCCCCCCCCCACCCCTGCCTTATGATGCTGTATGGAGGAGGATGCAGACTGCAAGGGAGCAAAGTCGTAAGGTGGCTCCATCTCCTGGTCGCAGTAAGCCTGCACGAGGCTAAGTCCGATGCTGCGGGAGTGGGACTGAAAATGGCACAGACAAGGCGCACGGAAGGAGATGGTTTCGCCCAAAGGCGCCACCAAGGACTGCCACCTGCTGGTCGCTGGTTCCTTCGCTTTCGCTGCTTTCCTTATCCGCGTCTTGGAGATGGGTAGGTCCACCACGACGTGCCGCTGGCCTGGAGCCAGCTGCTTTTTCTCCAGCTCTGCAGCACCTGGCAACAGATCCGTACTAGTAACAATCAACGTCAGAGACAACCCTTAGTTGAACAAGCCGAAGGTGAGAAGCTGTAGCATTTTGCGCACAAGGTGCCTTTCTTCCGTCCCCGCTTTTAAACCTTCGAACTTCGGTTGCGCAAGGCACCTGGCAATGGCTCCTCGAGCCCTAGTCGTTGGAAGCTCGGCGCTGTGAGGGCAGCCGCCAGGCGACCGCATGGGCCCAGCAGCGCAAGGCTGCTGTCTCCGCCAAGGCCTAAGAGACAAGTCATCTGCATGTCATTTGCCACGGATGGCCTGCAGAAGAGCTTCAGAACTCTTAGGACCCTTCGCCCGCCTCGTGAACCCACACTCAGGCCACAGATCCTCCACTCCGAGGCCGCTTTGACAAAAAGCGGGTGCCCCAGCATCTCCAAGGGAACATTTTCCAGGACGTAGCAGCGACGCTGCAGCTGCAAGGCCGACACTAGCTCATCCTCATATCCAAGGACCATGAAGGGCACCAATCACTCATGCAGTGCGACGCCAGCAAACATAAGAGGAAAGTACTGTGCTGTGGTTGCGGACATGTAGCCATCTCTGCCTTGGGCAAGGCGTCGATAGGCAAAAGCACAGACAGCTTGCGGGTGAGCCACGCCTGACCAAAGTCCAGCACAGGTTGTCTCAGGCGCAGGATTGTGAGGATTCTTCATCCTGCTTCGCCCTCAAAAACACCCCAAAAACTATCGGGCAAAGACTTACGGCACGGGGTGTGGCAGCAAGCTGGCACCATCCTGCGTCAGGCATCGCCATACACACAACACGACCCCATAATCTGGAAATTACGACATTGATCAGCCTGCAGTCGCATGCTACACCGCTCAAGCCCCTCGTGCAACATGATGCAACATGACGCAGCATGAGGCAAACTTCCTTCAGACGGCAGGTCAGACCTTGTTAGCCGCACTGCTGTTACTGCAGAAGTTTGCGGTTGATCTCAGAAGTTCACTGGCATCCTCTGCATAGATTTCCCGAAAAATTGGTCTCATGGTCGAATAACCACGCGCACCCTTTCCGCAGCTCTTGTTAGTCCACTAACCTAAGGCACCTTTTGCAGCGACTTAACCCAATTGAAGACTGGGTTGGGCCTTCCCATTTCATGCTCTACCCTCGGGAGTCTGACCTTGCCGCGGCTCTACATGCCCAACCCCCCTCAGGCCCACAAGCGCAAAACTAGCACGCTGCCAAAGCCAGAGGAGGGGTTCTGATGGAGGCCACGCAAACGCTGGGGTTCTAGCCTCTGCTACACGGGCATTTTTGGAGATTGGCCGGCATTTCTTGCATTTACAAGGGGCAGCAAACACTACTGCTGCTTTGGAACTTCTTCTTTTTGCAAGACCTTTTGCGTCTCACGACAAGCCTAAGTGGCCCTGCTGCGCAGGAACATCCTTGCAAATTTCCTCGGCTGCGCCTTGCCCGCCAAACGCTCGAACCGCGCCATGACAGCCGCCTGGCTGCCACGAGTCACGGCGACATGGCCCAGCGAAGTTGGGGCCAGCTGGGATGCTGGCATTCTGCCTCTGCAAACAACAAAAGCAAGCAACTGTCTTCTGCTCCCGTCAGCTTAAGCCAACACAGAGACTAAAGAGCCACTTTGTCAGACACGTGTTGCTTCCGATCCGTTTGAATCACTCGTGGCTGCGGAATTCATTCGTCGGAGGGGGTCCCATGGTGGAAGACTTGAGCTGCCAAGGAGCTGAGGTGCACAGCACGGATTTCAGAAATGGACACCCGGGGCCAGGCAGACGTTGGCTGCTTTGAGGCGACCGGCATTTAGAATTAAGAGCCGATGACATGTTGCCTCTGCTCCCAAGGCTCCCTGCCCTCCCCTCCTGTGTTCGCTGCTGGGGTTCTTGGTCAGCTTATGAAGGAAATAGGCAGGATTGCCGATGCAGGCGATTACAAGCGCTCCTTTGTTACCAGTGTTAGGTGAGCTGTAACACTAACAAGACCTGTATTCCTGCTAGAAGTCAGAACAACCAGAAAACCAGGAGCTACCTTTACTGTGCTTAACCTTCAGCTACTGCCACCGAGGCCATAATACTGCACTACCAACCTCGTGCATCTTCTTACAAGGAAGGAAACGGGGCGTGGTGTGCGGCGTTGCCGCTGCTTCAGAGAGTCCTTAGATATCCTCAAAGACCGGCCGGCCGAAACGAGGCGGACACGCGAAGCGTCAAACATTTCAGCAGCTACAAGCAACGCAGGCGCATGCTTGCGCGCAACTGGCCGGTGCCGGCTGGGCTTCGCAAAGCATGATGCGAACACTGCAAAACTGAAGGCGAGACGTGTTTTAAGCCCTGCTGCACGTGGGCGGCTGCGAGCCGGGCACTTTGCTAAGGCTTCCGCGCTGTGCGCCGAAGCAATCCAAGCCAATGGCTTGCCAGTGGCCTCACCACCCATCACTTTGGTGACGATGCAGAGCCCTGGCAAAAGCCGCAGCGAAGACGCTGCGACAATGCTGCGAAGCACAGCCGAGCTCTAAGTTCGCTGCGAGTCGCGACAGCAAACTTCCCTTATTGCATTTTCTGTTGCTCAGCTGCCTCAACGCGACCTTTGCGCGATAGCAGGCAGCTAAAGGCCAGGACTGGAAATGCGAACTGCCTTTGCATCATTTGTATTTGTCCATGGGTAGGCTAAGCTTGTGCTGCCAATCTTGACTATGACTTTCATGTTCAGATGCACAGTGGCTCTCGCGGAAAATCCAAAGTCAGGCGGAATGGCCCCTCATGTATGAGTTTTGAGCATAGCTAACTGCTCCTGAGTTGCATTCTTCCTGCTTTTCAGAGGTTGAATAGTGGGAGATGATCGATGTGTCTGGCTGCAGCAGGTTGTTTAAGATAGCTGGGTGTTCCTCAACGTGCAGCTGTGCATAGCTGTGGTTCTCTGAGGTTGGGCCATTTTCGCAGGAACATAGAATGCACTGACGAGAAGTTTCTCAGACACACGACTCAGGCAACACCTCAGTAGCAGGTTCCGCGGGTCATTGCGCCATGTGCTGCTTGAGAACATGTGTATCCAGACCGACCACTCTTGATGTGGTCAGAAATGTTCCATCTCAGGCGCCGGCTTATGGAGACCAGGCCTGCTTGCTGGGAAGGCTGGGCGAGCCTCCCACACTTCGAGGCTTTCTTACGACAGATAACTGCGCAGCTCGTTCACAGAGTGACTGAAGACATTGCTATCGGGGGTGTTGGCCATCGAGCACTTTTTAAGCTTAGCGAATGCCAACAGAGGGGTGTGACAGGGGTTACGGCTGAGCCGACCTCCACTGGGTTCTGGCAGCTCAGGAAGCGAGGAAACGGAATCACCTAGCCAGCAGTAACACCAATGAAGAATTGGCAAACAGATCGAGCTACATCCATGGCAACTTACCGTTTTCTGAGACTCACACGGTGGGGAAGCGAGGTCAAAGTCCTACAGTCCGGCGAAGTGTGAAGTGCTGTCAGTCACTAATTGGCCTTTGTGGGGCGACCATCGCGGGGTCGCATGGTTGTCTGAGGATCAGGCCAGTCTCTTTCAAGATCCTGGTCCGCCCTTGCATGCACAGCATTGCCAAACTGAGCCAATTCAAGCGAGGACGGGCCAGTCAATGGGCCTAGGCACCACCCAAATCACAGATTCGTCCGAGGCACGCAGGCTCACCGTGATGGCAGTGGTGAACTGTTGTCACCGTGGATCCAGACCTTGCAATTGCATCTGCATAGGATGAAACCGGCAAGAGTTGCTGTGACCAGATGCGAGCAGCACACGTCTCCTCGGCGAACTTGGCTAGCGTGTACACCAAAACATCTGGTGACGGCAGCAAAGCGCCTGGAGCTCCACAACACTGACGCACACAAATTTCACAGCACAACGCAAAGTAGTTCACGCTCCAAAGTCAAGAGCATGTCAAAACAGCATTTTGTGTAGAGCAAGTTTTTGAAAGCACTCAGAGCTCCAGGGCTTCCGCAGCGTGCGCCCGACAAGTCGCACCATTTGCGGACCTCCCAAAGCGGAAACTGCCGACGGTGGCCACTGCGGGTGCCACATGGTGCCACAGGGTGCCGCTGCACATCACCGCACATCACAGCACGTCACTGCACATCACTGTGCAGCGGCGTCGGCCTGATCAGCCACCTTGGGGCTCTTGGAGTACGACTCCGGGGAAGCCTCGGACATGGCGGATCATTGGCAGATCATTGGCAGAGCATTGGCATTCACACACCGGATTCACAGAGTCTCTGCAACAGCAGCCCCGGCCACGAAGAGCACGGCCAATTTCGAGGCGGCAAGGCGTGCCTCAAAGCCGACTCAAGCCGGCCTGTTGCTTCCATCCGCCTAAGAACTCTGCGTATTTCCGCCTCACGCTCCTCCTCTTCTTCTTCGCGCGCCTGGACCGGCACGTGGACAGTTCTAGCATGTGTCTAGCCACACCTTCCAGTTGTGACCTTGCTGCAGATTTGTGCAGAGAACGCATACTGTAGAAAACAGCGAGCTGCGACTACATCAGCCGAATCAAGCCTTTCGTTCTGCTTCCTCTTTGGCCGCATCATCCATCCTTGGGGGCACGCCAAACAAGTCAAACAAAATCCTCTCACCTATTCACCTAGTCGCAGACTAAGCCGGGGCACAAGTGATCAAAAGCTGGACTGTGCAGCTGATTTTAAGCTGATCACTCCCCATCATCTCCCGGCTCCTCCTCCTCGGGACGGCGCGATCAGACCAACCAACCCTTATCGACAGAAGAATCCCCCGGCCTGTTCACCCGTCTGCTCAGTCTCCTCTTGCCGTAGGCGCTCCTGCCACCGCTCCACCTGTAGCGGATTTATGAATTGAATTGGCTCTCCCATGCTTGGTTTCTCGAACTCATGTCTCGAAAGGCGTTCTCCCTGCCATGCTTCTAACCACATGATTCAATTGCACCAGCACAAAGTGAGATGACGACCATCTTGTCTCCACACATGAGCCGCAAAGCAGCAAGAACCATCGGCAAATCCTGCAGCACTACGTGTAACGCCAGAAAAACATCACCAACATAAACGTGCATGAGGCATGACATCAATGAAATCCGAATCCTGTGTTGTGTAAGAATTAACTGGTTGGACAAACCATTCTTAGGCACGGGCGCTGCCCGTGTCGCCGCAGACGATATTTGGACCTGAACAGTGTCACACGCAACGTGCTGAAGCTGCCAATGAAGAGGTGAGTTCCGCGCCCTCAACAATGTGAAGGCCCAGCTTCTGATCCTCGCGACAGGCAAGACAGTTCGACCCCAAAGGCTTCACGGGCTTCAGACCTTAACAGCTTCCGCTCACCGAGCCAGTGCCTTGGAGATGCCAGCCACTAGCCCTCTTTTGATTCACGCCCGCATCTCGACCGCGCCGGTCCCCTCTATGGGCATTCGGGGCATTCCGACTCTGCGCACCGTGCGCGTAGCCGGGCATGTAGCAATGGATCCGGTGATGGCTTTTTCTGCGGAGCAATCGGGAGCAGAGCGCGCCTCAGCTGTCGCCATCCCATTCCACCTCAGGGCTAGAGAAAAGACAGATATATACAGATGAACGAGGGTCGCGCATCGTGCAGGCGAGCTCGTCTCAGCCATGCATGATCCAGGCCACGACATGTTCCAACCGACAACGTCATAGAGTGTGTAGGCCACCAGTACGGAAGAACTCCTTGACCAACAGCACGGATGCCATGACGCCGATGTATGTCGTCGGCACCCACGGCTCTGTGCCGCAAGGACAGTGAAAAGCTACCCTGTCATCCAATCATACACACATCTGCCAGCGTCTCGGCTTGTCAGAACGCTGTCTCGGCTGTGGTCTGGGCGTTGCCAAAGCATGCCTGCCAACCATGTAGCTCATTGTTTTCAAAGCAATAATATTGGAACATAATGAAACATACTGGAGCACTAACGATGAAACGCGGATCCGCATGGGCTGCGTAAAGGAATGATGGCCTCCCTCACGTTCCCTCACGGGTTTGACAGCCTCAACCTGTCAATGATGCACCCTGATTAAGGAAGGGCAAAATTGGCTTGCCCAAGGCAGGGCATTGCACTGCCGACTTAACTGTTGTCTGAAGACATGGGTCCCAGCCATATTGGCCAGCGAGACACGCTCGGGCATGAACTAGAAAACCATTCATGTGGAGGTGAAAGCACCGGCTAGAAGGAACAAGCGTAAGTTCTAATGAGAATCACTGACTGCTTGATCACACGCACCTACTTCAAGCAAGTGTTCATGAGTGCACTTATGCACGCTCCACTGCCCTGTTCATGGTCTTCGCGGTCATCACTGTGTTGGTGGGTTCGTTCACGGTGTTCGCGGTCTTCGCGGGAGTTCTGTCGCGGGGTCGGCTGCGTTCGTTCGCGGTGTTCCGCTGTTTGTGCTGTGCGGTGTTCGTGCTGTTCACGGTATGCACGCTGTGCGGCGGTGTTCGCGGGGCGCTATAGTGTTCATGAGGGAGCATCTGTGTATCTGCCTGCGAGTCTATAGAATGACCAGAACATGGCCATTGCACACGTTTCCATCCGCCGTGCTCCTACTTGCATGCATACATACGCAGACCAAGGCTGTGTGAAAAGCGGCACACTTCCGGATCCCTCTGAACGTAGATTGGTCGTGATTGGAAGGTCCCTGCGTCGATCCTATTTCCACACAGGCGCAGCACATCGGCAACTCTGCCAAAAAGTATCAAGATTTTGTGCCTTTCAGCGACGTAGCCCCCCGGCGAATCGTGCCTGCAAGCGAAAATGCCGAAGAGCAGTCAGACCTCTGGGGCACCTGGCTTAGTGAAGCTGATGTCCAGACAGGATGAGCTCGTGCTGCACAAAGTGCGCAAAAGCGCACAGAGCTGCGGATGCGGGCGTGACTTTTAAACTCCGCTTTGTGCATCCTTGTGGGCATCCAAGGGGCAGTCCAACTGGAAATAAACGGCACATGCTCGCCGGAAAACGAAGGACTGCCCCGGCAAACTGTAGTGGTCAGAGAGGCACGTTTTGCTCACCTCAGGGTGTGTCGCGCCTCATCCCCCAAGGTTCCTTCACAACAATCCGCAGAGAAGGCTTCCACCCTCTTCGACCTGCTGTCTTCAAGGGTGTCACTCGGAGGTGAAACAGAGATCTTTCACTTGATTCGGTTAATTTAGTGCACGCCGCTCTGCCCGAAGAAGTTTCTGCAGGATGCAGGAAGACGAGAGTGAAGGTTGACGATGCTTCTTGGCTGATTGAGAGCCTTTGCGCCCTTACTGCACGGCAGAACAGCCACGAGCTCGTCACGTTGCTCACGTTGCTCGGCAAGGCTTGGGGCAGCCTTGAAGCTCTTGGACACATTTTTTTCATCACCTGCACCTTCATCCGTGGGTTCGCAAATTGTGCTTGGCACTGTTGGCACTGTTGGCGCCAGAGGCTTCACCATGGGCTTCATCGGCTTCACCATCTTGTACCTGCGAGGTTCTTCTCCACCTGCACCAGAAATCACCAGAACATTCCAATGATAATCCTACTACCGGACTTGCCGATTGCAACTGCCGACGAAAGCAACTGAACCATAAGCAAGGGCGCCAATGCAGCCGAGGCTCTCTTTGCCAAAAGCTCGTTCATCGCCGCGGCACTAGCGCTACTGTTGCAACTTGCTTGGCTTAGTGGGCTGGTGTCCTGTGGTAATTCAGCAAAGGATGTCCAGGATGCATTACTTTCGCTTTTCTGGATCTGACTGCTCGCTGCGCACCGCTGTTGTGGCTGCACCAATGGCTTGACCCGTCGATGTGTGCTACACGTCCCTGCATCCGTGTCTGCCGCGAAGATGCACGTTCCCCAGTCTCTGCTGGGCGGGCAACTTCCAAGCGATTGGTCGTCACCTCAGCTGCTTTGCAGAATCAGGTTCCTGCATTTGAAAAATAGTTCACGTGTGTGGAGCCGGGAGGCAGGTGCGTGAGATGGGAAAACTACTCGGCATGGTTCGGGGATAGGGCTCGAGGCTGTGAAGGCAAACACCAGTCCATCAAAAAGCACATCGTCCGGTCAGAAGCTTTGAGGAAAGGATTTCACTTCCGGCGAGATGCCACTACTGGCTAGCAGCTCCTGCATGAAGGCACCACTGGCCGTGCTGTGGCAGCTCGCTTCACTTGCAGATCTTGATAAGCGGAAGGAGCCGCTCCGACTACACTCCGCCGATCTCCACGACTGCCAAGACGCATAAGACGCCGTGTCATCAAATTCCGCTGGCTCCTCTTGGTCCTCTTCGTGCTGCTCTTTGTGCTGCCCCTTCTTCACATTGCCATCCTCAAGATCCAGCTTCTTGACAAGGCGGCGGAGGCGGCCACCCGACTGCTGGAGCGCAAAGATGCAGGTGTCCTGCAGCTCCCTGTTATTCTGAGCTTGGGCAGCATTGTCTGCACGGCGTAACCACCAGTTGGCCGAACCTCTTGCATGGATCGGAAGACCTGTCGATGTTTCTGTGCGCAGCTTCAAGTCTTCAGCCGACGACTCACGTATGTGTGTTGGCGCTGCTCCGGCTTGGTCGTTGAAAGTCAACGAGGTTTCCGTGGAGGACGCCAGCATCGCATTGCATGTTCGGCTTCGCTCTCTTTCCAATGCTGCTTCCATGTCCTTGGCTTGGCTGATCTACCAGAATCTAGCAGAACGACTCAGCGTTTCTTTCCGGAGATCTGAGTCTTACAAGTCCTGTCAGTGGCATGAGGTAGTACTGAGGTAGCAAGGAAGAGCAAGGAGGGAGAGCTCAATAAGGACACAGAGGGACACGTCCACAGCTTCGCAGCTGAGGAAACTGCTTGTCGGGCAGGCAAGCTACAGCGTGGCTTGTCTTGAGCCAGAAAGGTCATTGCCACATACACAGGCGTCCTCCCTTCCCAATTCCTTTGCGTCTATGAGCTCCGAAGGGGAAATCAAAGTCCCCAGCGCCTCTTGCACGACTCTGGGCAAATTCGCCCGTGCTGCTGGACCATACAACCGTGAGAGTGCCAAAGCAGACCCGTTCGCGGGCCGCTGCTTGATTTATATCAATTTGCACTCGCAGACTGTGCCCTTCGCTCCTGACAATCACCGGTTTGCACGAGTGATGTGTCAGACAGATGATGTTGTGTAATTTATCTATTTCTTGCTGAGGCCGATTGGAGAATGCAACGAGCTCAAAAAGCTGTAAAGTACAATGCCTTTACAAGCTTTCCTGCAGTGTAAAGGGTGCAGTGAGAAGGGGGAGAGGACAGCATGGCGCGCAGGCTAGGAGGCCGAACCCCAAACCTTGATCTGGGAGGAGCTTTTTCGCCTGTCTGAAGGGCCTATGGCAGGGCGAAGGCTGGAAGGCGTTGGCTTGGGGGGCTTGGGTGCAGTTCGCTGAGATCTGGGTTGCTGGGATTGGATGGGGGAGTTGGCCGGAGAGCTTGTGGAGAAATGTAGAGGGGGTTGGCTGGAGGGGGTTGGCTAGAAGGGGACTAACTGCACAAACAAGAAACACCCGGATTTAAACTGGTCTTTTGTAACCATAAATAGACCCTCCAGCAATTTCTGTTTGTTTAGCTGTTCCTGAGCACACGGCTACTGTTCTTGCAAGAAAGGTGATGCACGGCCCCATTGATGGAAAAGAGACTTGACCCTAGAATACCACGGCAAAACTCAACAGTCAAAGCTGCAAGTGCATGCCAGTGTAAACTTGCCAGCTGCGCCGATGCCATTGTGCCAGCTCAGCATCAATCATGGTCGTGGGCCATAGGCAGAATCACTTGAGGCTGACACGTGCAGCACGGCAGCACACCGGCTTTTCGGACGCCAGGATACCACATGCATGAGCGCTAGCTACACTCTGTGCAGACATTGTACCCTGACCCTGACTAGGACGAGAATATTGCATCAGGGTTTATGTGACTGGAAGTCCCAAATGCACGGCAACTCTGCGCGAGTCCAGACGTTGGACTCCATCACCTTTGTCGAAGGACGGCCTGCCACCTCAAGAGCTACAAAGGCCGCAAAGAAGCAAAGGCAACAGCTGTGACAAAGAAAAGGAGACACTGGACGCTCTGCTACACGACATTGCTTTTCTTCGGCTGAGCACCCATGACCCGCGGAAACAGCTCCATGTCTGTGCCTCATAGCTCACGCGGCATGATACCAGCTGCTGCTGAGTATGTAGGTAATGTAGGTATACTTAAACATGTTGTATATATATATATATATATTGTATATATATATATATATATATCCGCCGACCCCAGCAACAGCGGGGCGGCGTCAGTGAAGACCCTCCCTGCCCTCACCGCAACCTCTTCCCCCTTCCCCTTCCCAACCATTCCACTCCACTTCTCCACTTGGCCTTGCCTTCCGCCCCTAACCTCCCCTTCCCCTGCCCCTCCCACTCCCTTCCCCTTCCCAACCATTCCACTCCATCCTACCCCTTCCCCCATTCCACTCCATCCTCCTCCCCTACCCCTTCCCCATCCCTGCCCCCCCTCTCACCGTACCCCCAATCCACCCACCGCCCACCTAACCCTCCCACCACCAACCCCTTCCCCTGCCCCCCCTCCCACTACCCCTTCCCAACCATTCCACTCCATCCTCCTGCCCTGCCCCTTCCCCACCCCCAATCCACCCTTCTCCAGCCACTCCGCCTACCCCCTCCCCCCCCCCCCCCTTTCCCCTGCCCTCCCCCCCCCCCCACCCCGCACCCCCACCCCACCCTCCCCCCCCACCCACCCAACCCACTGCTCATGGCCACCTGTTTACGGGACTCTGGCAGACCCGTTCAGCTGACTGACTTTAAACTCCGACTTCCCTCACCATCACCGTCCCCCCAACCAGCTCTTCCCAACCATTCCACTCCATCCTCCTCCTTCCCCCATTCCACCCCATCCTCCTCCCCTACCCCTTCCCCATCCCCCCCCTCTGACCATACCCCCAATCCACCCCCTTCCCCGCCCTACACCCACTTACCTCATCTCCTCCACCTACCCCCCTCACTCCCACCACCAACCCCTTCCCCTGCCCCCCGCTCCACCTTGGCTCACTTGCCACCCAATCGGCACCCCGCCCTCCCCCACCCCCACACCCCCCCCCCCCCCCCCCCCCCCCCCCCCCCCAACCCCCCATGCAGGCCTACCCTCTCCCGACCCGCCCCTCACGGATCTCTGCATTTCTCCACACTCCGCCAGCGCTGCCTTCCACCCCCCCCAATCCCCCACCCGCCAGGAGCATGGGGCCATGGAGGCATGGGGCCATGGAGGCATGGGTTCATGGGGGCCATGGGGATCGAGGGCCATGGAGGGCGGGTTGAACGAAGGGTGGGCGGGGGGCGGGTGAAAGCGGTGAGAGGGGGGACAGAGATGGGGAGGGGAGTGGTCGGGGGGGGGGGGGAGCAAGGGGGAGCAGGATGGGGGTGGAATGGTTGGGAAGGGGAAGGTGGTGGGGAGGGGGGGGAGGGAGGATGAGAGTGGATGCCCGCCCGCTCCACCCGCTCCGCTTGCTCCCTACCTCCATTTTATGGCCCCATGGCCCCCAGGCCCCACGGTCTTTGGCCCGATTCCTCTGACCAATCAAATTACTTTCAACGTCTCATGCTTCGACGGTCAACCCCCTACTTTGTGGCTCCTGGCCCCATGGCCCCATGGTCCCCTGGCCCTATGCCTCCAGACCCAATCAAATGGCCCCATGGTTTCCTGGCTCTATGCCTCCAGACCCAAACAAATGACTTGAAAGGGCCCAGAACATGTCCATGGCCCTCGACCCGCATGGCTCCCATGAACCCATGCCTCCATGGCCTGGCGCCATGGCCCCCAATGTCTCCATGCTTCGACGGCTCTTGGCCCCATGGCCCCATGGTCCCCTGGCCCTATGCCTCTAGAACCAATCAAATGACTAAGGGTCCAGTGCATGCCGGCCCGCTCCGCCCGCTCTGCTTGCTCCGCCCTTCCCCCGCTCCACCCGCCCTCCATGGCCCTCGACCCCCATGGCCCCCATGGACCCATGCCTCCATGGCCCCATGGCTCCTGGCGCCATGGCCTCCAAGGTCTCCATGCTTCGACGGCCAACCCCCTACTTTGTGGCTCCTGGCCCCATGGCCCCATGGTCCCCTGGCCCTATGCCTCTAGACCCAATCAAATGACTTTAAAAGGCCCCAGTGCATGCCCGCCCGCTCCGCTTGCTCCGCCTTCCCCCGCTCCACCCGCCCTCCATGGCCCTCAACCCCCATGGCCCCCATGGACCCATCCCTTCGACCTCCATGGCCCCCATGGACCGATGGCTCCTATGAGCTTAGGGTTTAGGGTTTTCTTGGACGTTTAGGGTTTAGGGTTTCAGGGTGTAAGGGTTGTAAGTTTAGGTTTCGGGGTTCCGGGTTTCGGCATTGAGGTTGTAGGGTTTTGGGTTTGGGGCCTTCAGCGTGCCATTAGCAAGACTCTCTTAGATCTGGGGTCGGCGGCACGGGCGGTAGCCATTAAATATATATATATATATATATATATTTGTTGATCGTGCTGCAGCTGAGGCGGCGGCCGGTGTCGTGCAAATCCAAACCTTCAAAGATTAAAGCTCATTCGTCTAACGGCTGCATGCATAGGTGTGATTGCGCCCAGGTTGGAGCACTTTTCCATGCCTGTTCCATCGGGGTCAAGCTCTTCTTTCACCTGCATGGGCCCATTCGCAAGAACTCTGCCACCTTCCCGTCGTAACGGCGGAAGATTGTGATCTTGTCAGACAATCATATTCAACATTAGTAACATTATCTCACCGCACTACCGCCACCGCCGGAAGACCGTGCCGGCGTGACCCGTCGAACAGCTGCCATGAACCGGCGGCTTTCAGGCTCTGGTACCGTTCCAGCCTTTGGCTACATTGCTACAGCCGAATGTGTGTGAGAACTGCCCAAACACGAGAGAGTCGACACAAACAAGTTCACATGAAATCATGAGCTTACTGCCGGGTCGTTTCTGGCCATCGTAACCTGACATGTCGACAGCCATGAAAAGGTGTTCGGGGTTCAGGGGTGGGCACTTTCAGCCCCAGGGCTACAGACATGAACGAGGTCTGCATTACCGCACGGTCGCCTCACCAAACTTCCGCTGAAGGCCGGAGCCAATGCCCAAAAACTTCGTGTTCCCCGGCCTTGCACGACAGTGTACTTTTTTGTTCTCTCAGTGCGAAACTCGGTTTGGAGGATGCATGCTGGGGAGGTGGCTGCTGGCACAAGGCGAGAATGCGCCGGTGGAGCTCCTGCCACGCTGAGAGGGTGGAGGGTACGGCTCGACACCACGGTGTGTCGCAGTTTTTCGGGATCCGAAGTGCCAGGGCAAGCGGATCCTCGACAAGCTCTCGCTGCCTGGCAGTGGTGTGAAAGGCCGTGGCCGTCGTACGCCGCTCTCTGCAAATGTTGATTCAAGGAAGGCTTCAGTCTGTCTCTCAGCCCCAGGCTCTTTTGGCAACTCTTCAGCTTCTAGCAGCTGCTGTGTTGCATCCTGTGCTCTCACTCAATTCATGGCAGCACAGAACAGAACAAGCCCAAAGATGTGTCTCTAGGGGCCACACGCTGTAGTACTCGCGGCCCTTGGAGCCTAAGCTGTTCATAGCTGCCCTTGTATTTAGTGCTATGATTTATGCCATGTCTGTGCTGAAATGTACTGTCGAAATCTCCAAGGCCCAATCCTGTGTAAACAAAATAGCCTCTCGGTGCAACGCCTGAGAAGTCGAGAGAGTCCGAATGCAGACAGAGCATCAGCAGAAAGTCGCACGAAGACATGCTTGCAAAACGAATCCGCAAACCTTCTACAAGGAGCACTTCCAGACGGCCAGCCTAAGGGCCAGAGCCCTTGGCCCTAAGCTAAGGCCCTAAGATGCTCTCTGTGCAAGTTAAGCTTGGTTCCTGACAGAGCTCCATGAGGCCTTCTGCGCTGGGCCGTCCTCCAAGAGGCGCAGCCGTGATGAAGACCTGAAAGTGGAGGCGGATTCGGCAAAGGTCTAAACTCGCACCAGAAATGGTCTCAGAATCATGAAACCAGCATGAAAATGCATGTCGCTCATGTCACGAGGATGGGCTTTTGCAGTCGAGGCACAGCATTGTCGACGCAGTGCCGAGAAAAGTGCGATAACCAGGCAGCATTGTATGCCGACCTTTTCGGGGTCCGGCACTAAGCTGTAACCACAAAATTTAAAGATTTCCGGCGCAGCTGACCCAAAATAGACCACAATCAAACTGTAGGCAAATAAGCCAAAAGGCTGCACGCTCGAGGCATACCGGTCGCAGTAATTGTTTGTGGTGCCATCCTGTCACGGTGCGAAGCTGCGGGGATAAGGCCGCAACGGCGAGCCCTCACACGAGGACGCAGGTCAACACACCAAATAGAGTGCGACCTTTGCCAAAGTCTCGCAAAGCTACGCCGCTACGCCCGCGAAATCAACAGGTTGGATCTTCAGTGTCGGAAAGGTGTTCTGGTGTAGGTCACCTCTACATGTACTGTGACGCTGTTGTCTCGGTTGTCGGAGCTGCTGCAGCTGCTCCTGCTTCTGCTGCGGTTTCCAGGTATTACTGCCTATTGCTGCTCGCACAATGTTGGAATTGACGTTTGTCCAGTACCTGTGCGAGTGCTCTGGGGTATCACGCCGAAATTGAGGTTCGGCGCCTGCGAAAAAAACTGCATACCCGTCCAAGCATTCTCAGCCGACCCTCCTGGTTCTCATCCTACAGCACTTACAGCGCCTGAATGTTTGTTTGTTTGTTCCCTCCTCGCAGAGCTCAAGGAAATCTTGAATGAGGCTCGTCAGGCTGGAAAGTGGTCTCCGGCAAAAGAATGTACCATCGGCACCCATTGGCAGTGTTCCAAATCGGCACAGGTCTGTGCGCACCCTCTTCATGAAGTCAGAAGCTAATGGGCTGTTGATCGCCTTCCCATGCAAAACTGCTGTCACGTTTGGGTGTTTGTTTGCATCTTGGCTCGAAACATCTCGATTGTCGTTAAACGTGCAGACTCAAGCGTTGCCCGTGTTTCGAACGTCGACAAATCCGGCGACCCCGCTGCCCACGCCTGCGGCTTCGGTTTTAAGGCATTCAGGTTTCGAGGTTTTTGAGCTCAAGGCCTACAGGGTTGAAAGGTCATGGTTGAAAGGTCATGGCTTTGACATTATACTGTATAGACTCCGGCGCCCAACCCGTGTGTTTTCGGCTATGGTGGTGCAAAGTCGCGCCGCGCGGGCGCGCGCACGCGCGCACGCCCCCCCCCACCCCCGCTTGCAGCGGCATTGCGGCAGCCTTTCAAAGCAACAAAAGATCAACTCTCCTCAAACTTCTGCCTGCGCTGCCCGTCATGCGCGCAGCCCCTTAAAATAAATACAAAATCAGTATGGGTTTACCTGGGTTTGCTTGGAATTAATTGTCGCGGCTGCCCATGTTGGGCATTGTCTGTTGCATGGTGATGAGTGCCTCTGTGTGATGTTGCAGGCAGTTTGGTAGGTGTTGCGCGTTGCTGATGGCTGTTGATTTGTTGCTGGTGTTGCTGCCGCACTCCCTTGCATGGCTGTTCTTGCTCTTTCCTCTGCTCCCGCCAAGCCATCGATTTGGGCCTTTTAGTCGCCTCCATACACAAGCACAAGCATAAGAATGAAATTGTGGGGGTGTCCCTGTCGGTAATGAGGTTGCGGAACGGCTTGCTCCGACCTGCAGGAGGAGGGCAAGGATTGCACACAATGCACGTATGCGATGGACGGCATGCGACGGATGGCCTGTGGAGGAAGCCTGGTGAAGCACATCCAAGGATCGCCGGACGATAACCTAACTTCACTGATAACGCCACGCCGGGCGTGCAATGATAGTTGAAACTTATCGCGCAGCCGCTTTTCCCGACACTGTTCAGCTTTTGGGGTTCCTTCCCAGACTACGTCGGCACAGTGATTTCCTGAAATGCTCTCCAAGCGCAAGGCTTCCCAGGGTGGAATCTCACTTTCCACCTCAGCAGCTGCACAGTGAGCTGATGTGTGAAAGAGAGAAGCATCGCTGTGCACTGGCAGGCTGGACATGCGCATCGATGCTTTTTTGATCGCCGAGGCAACCCCACTTAAGAATGCCTGGTACAGGACACGTGACACAGAGTCACCTGGCACCCCATTTCTCTAAACCTGTTCGGGCCATTGCATTAACGAACCGATGACCGTCCAGCCTCATGCATCATAAGTTTAAACCGAACCAGCACACGTGCGGAGTGCACCCAATTGCACTCAACCATCCTCACTGCTCTCACTTTGACCCCTTGACCGTCTTCGACGAGGTCCACGGTTGGACGAGAATCGGCTTGTCTTGTTTTCCTCAGGCTGACAAGCACGACGCAGAGGCAAGAAAGACCACAGACCGGAGAAACGATGCTGGGACATTGGCCTGCACTCGTCCGTCACGGACATGGCAGACCTTATGCAGCTAACATGATGAAGCGAGGCGTCTCGAAGTTCTCCGTGGTTTCACGTCCTGCCTCTGCCTCGGCCCCTGCGCCCCGCAAGGTTGCCAGCCAGAGGCGCTGCCTGTGCAACAAAAATTAACAAAGAATAAGGCGAAGAACACATCTCTGCTTCCCTCACGTCCTAGCCCTAGCAGTCCTAGCACTCATTAGCACTCAAGCCTGCGTGCAAGGTTGTCACGCTCACTCTTCACCTCCACGAACAGCGCGCGAGGAGCCATTCCAAGGTTCCAGGACCAAAGCCTCACAGGAGCCAAAGCAAGTCTCAAACTGCTGGCCCGCCTGCTTTGCCCTCCAGTTGTTTTCTCATTCACATCTCTGCAAAATTTCGCGTTAAGCTTCGCGCAGCAAGTCGGGGAGCCCGGCCGAGTTGTAATCCTCACCTTCGGCTCTGACAAACACATGTCACGACGCCTTTCACAATCTTCATTCGTTGAGACCCATTGCGACGGGTCTGATGGCTAGGGGTTGCTGGGGACGGTCTGGGCACCCACGCAAAGCAGTCGCAGCGCGGCAGCAAGTGCCTTTCCTCCAATTGCGCCGGCAGCGCTTGGCAAGTCTCGGTCCTCCGGAGCCACCTGCTTTTAAAGAGTCCAGAAGATAGAGGGGACGAAATCAAGGTCTGGAACCCCCCGCTCTGGACCTCTGGACCCTTATCCCCCAATGGCGCTGGAGCTTGTATTGACCATCTACTCTGTCAACCCTATGGAACCGTATGAGATACTCAGAGGCTCTGTGGACCTCCCCTCTGGCACTATGGGCCAGTAAGGACCTATGGACCCGTTTTTGGTCCCTCTGTGGACGTCCTATGGCCGGCTCAATGACAGGATAGGCTGCGGCGATCAGCCCTCTTCGAAAACAGGGCAGACCGCGCCGAGGCCGCGTTGACAATTGTGTCGCTTTAGTCTGCGTTAAGTTTTTCCTACGCAGGTCTTGACAGCGTGCATGTATGGAGTTCAAGCGCGAGGCGCACATGGGCCTCTTCAATGGGAAGAGAGGTGCAAAGCACCCGTCGAGCTGTGCCGTTCTGCGCTTTGCCAGTCAAATCCTGGGGCCGTACCGGTCCGCAGCAACATGGCTCAACATGACTACTGCCTGCCACGGGGCATCTGCAGCAGCTGCATCTGCCTCCAACTTGGCTGGCGGGCGGTTCACATTGGCGGCACCCTGCACTTGCCTCAGCACCATGAGGACGATCGGCAACAGGACGGCCAAGATATACGCTCACCCACAATTTCTACAGAGAATACAAACAACACAAGATATCACCCCTGATGTCTGCCGGCAAGTTGCAGGAAAACGCCACTTGCCCCCTCGTACCGGTCCCAACGAACCCCACGGACGCGAGCACCATACAGCCTCACAAACCGTGCACGTACATCGTCTGCAACTTCGCCTCGGCATGGTGAACGAGGCCAAGATGTCGATACCAGTGTGCCAGTGCAAAGGGAGTGAGCGATACGCCTTTTCCCATCATTTGAGGATGTCAGAGGGTTGGTTGCGGCTGAGACTCTGTGGGTCATAGAGGCTAGCGTCTCCAGACCTGAAAAGTACATGATAGTGCAAGGGGCACTCTGAACGGGAATGGCATGCAAGCCACCAAGCCCAGCTATTGCTAAAATGCTAAAGGGTCTGACGCCGTTCAATCTTGGACTTTCTGGACGGATAAAAGGCCTGACAGAAATCTCCCATGCACGTGAACAAGCCCTTGCTTCGATCACCTTCGGTCTGCATATCTGCGGGCATCAAAATTTGCTGAAAAGCAGCTTCCGTTCCCAAGTCCAGGGGTGCATCCTGCAAGATATGATGCCAGCAGGCACTCGCTAAGAGCAGTGCCACGCCACGGAGTTGCAAACATATTGCAGGCACGCGCCACATTTTTCCTGCCAGCCGTCTATCCAAAGCCTCTCCAAGTCGTCGAGCAGGCGCCCGGCTTCTGCCAGCTTGCTGCCACCTCGGAGCACTTGTCTTCGTAGCGTGCCTTTGCCTCCTGCTCGGACATCTCCCGGAGCACCGTGTGGGTGTCAGTGCGGTGCTTGACCTGACAGGGGGCCAATGCGCTCAGAGCTAGCTGCATGGTCAGGCTATGTTCCACTGGCCTTCTTGAAGGCATCCAGGATTGCTTTCCTGGCAGGCCGCAGAATCTGCCCCGTTGTTCGGTTCAACGCTTGGGCGGCCAAGTCAAACAGCTCCTTCTCCTTTCAGCAGGAAACTGATGGAAACAAGCCGTAACATGCCGTGACATTACCCAGCGACTGCTCAAGAAGTTAACGCAGACAAGATGCATAGCCATTCACATCTGCCAGGCCACTTATCACGCCAGCAATGTCGTCTGGACGAAGGGATGTGTGCCCACGGAGGTGCACCTGCATCAAAGCCATATAGAATCATCAGACACCGGCTGCATGATACTGCATATGGTGACATCTCGTCGCCAAGCCCAGCCTTTTCCAAAACCAAGCGACCCAGTGTTAAGACTGTGAAGATACAAAAGATGGCTTGGCTTTGAACACGTTTTGTTCTTGTTCGTTGCAGCTTTGCTTATCGGACAACCTGCCGAAGTCATGCACTCCCACCTGGGGTGGCTTGTCTGCATAGACAAAAAACTACGAAGTGGTCCATGATGGTCCATGCGATCTATGGCTAGGTTCTTCTGTCGCCTTCACAGCCGCCATGATGTCAGCGAAGCTGCCAGCCTTGACTGGGCATGTGCCCAGGACTGCCAAGACATTCAAAGACCACACAAATTTCAGATGCCTAGATGGAGATGCTTCGGGCCCAAGTGGCATCATAATACTTTACCCGCGCAGCTGCTTGACAAACTTCCGACAGCTCCGGCATAGGCAGGCGCAGAATCTTGCCGCGCTGGCGCTGCCAGGACCTGTGATTGCAGACTTGGTGCCACGGAGATGTTTCTGGAAAACATGATGCGCGCTGCTTGCATTGGGCTGTGCGGAAATGCGGCTCCATCAAGCGCATCATCTGACCCAGCGTCTGCACTTCGGCGGCAGTCGCAGGGACCGGCGACTTGCGCTCTGCTTCGTTTCCACTGTCATCTCGCCTGGATAAACTACAGTGGGTCAAAACTCGGCACTAAGCACACCCGTCTACATTAACAGTTTCGGCGCCATTCGGCTTCTCACAGTCTGCCGAATGGCTCGGACTTCTCGTCGGCTTTTGGTGACTTTTGTCTTTGCTCTTGCTTCTCTTCCTTGCCTTCACCGTTTCCGTTGTCAGATCCTTCATCGTCTGAATCCATCCATGCGAACTCCTTCTGTCCTCGGTCGAGCAAATAAGAAATGAGACCGGCGACGAAGGCGAAGCTCAGGGACGTAGAGGTCTGGTGTTGCTAGCGAGAAGGTAATTCATCCCCGATAGGGTTTCTGGGTGAAAACTACAATTAAGAATAACGCTCACACATGACCAGCTATCGCAGCTATGTTGACACCTGGTCCCGTACAAGAGCAGTAAGGGCCGCTAGCGTTTAGGCAAGATTTCTCGCCCTCCCGCGAGGCAGAAAATGTAGGACAAGAAGCCATAGATTCACCAAGCCACTTTGCTTCTTCGCTACCTTGGCTTTTGCTTTAGGCCTCTCCTCCGTGTCGTCGCGGCTTTTGCTGCGGCTCGGGCGACGTGTGCGGCTTAAGCTTCCAAAAGCATCCTCCTCCGGCTCTGGGGAAGCACAGCGCAAGGACGCTTTCACCTGAAGAAGGAGAGAGCGAAAGAGTGAAAGAGCAACTCAGATTTCACAAGTTTCCCTGTGGCATTCGAAATGAAACAAAGCATGCCCTGCCTTTGGAACTCCACCAGGCTTCGCCATCGTGTGGAGGCTGTTACCAGCATCACATGCAGCTTTGGGCTTTCCAGGGCACGTGACCATTCTTGTGGCTGTTGTGGCTGCTGTGGCTTTTGCGGCTTAGTCGGGTCTGGGATCCCCAGGCCTGTAATATCTCAAGGGCGTTGGGTTCCTTTGAGGCGTTGTTAAACTTTAAGGCCTCGGCTTGACTGTCCTTTGCCATTCATCGTCTAGTCACGCAGCCGGCGCTTGCCATGTCAGACGTCCGCGGCATCACACAACACGACACATGGACGACGGCAGACATAGGTAGACAGTAGACCATGCATGAGACGGTTTGTCTCCGATTTCCTCTGCCCTTCGCCGCGTCAAAGTCTTTAAGACACACTCTGCCTGAGCTATCGCCGCTCTGGAAATTTGTGTGCGTGTGCGCGTGCCCCGTTTGCAGGCGGTTATTCGGTCGCAACGTGGCAAACGCAAAGGAGAAACACTGTGACCCCATTGAAACGATCGACTAGTGTCGAGGCAAATCCAAGACACTCGGCATTGGTTGGTAATGTTGGTATTGGCTAGCGAAGGCATTAGGACTCAGGACTTTCAAACTTGTCCTCAGCAGGGGTTCTCTCAGAATTTCTTGTACAGGATTTCATCGGAATAATGGTTCTCCGCAAGGAAGGAGCCATTCCCACCACGGAGGTACTTGTCTAGGAAGGCCAGGCCATAGCCGTTGATGATCTCGTGCTGCTTAGAGATCTCAAGAGGCGTGTACACGGAGCCTGGGTTGGACAGACTTTTGCTCTCACCGATCCCGTTGCCATAGGCCGCATTGTACAAATCACCTGGGCGCAGCAAGATGCGCAGAAACAATCTCTAGGATGAGTGTGAAGAGCGCAGCTGTGTAGCCAAATGTGGGCTATTTTGATTTTGACTATGCTGGTGATTGTGAGCGATTCTCAGTGGACATCAGCCAAAGACGGGTCGCAGCTGGTGAAGCTGCAGTGACCTCCGCGCTTGAGCTCCATGAGAAAACTGCAGCCATCAGGCTTCTGGGCAAAGTCTCGGCATAGATCCTTTCATCTCACAAAGTCCAACAATGGATCCCTTCTGGGCTACCCTGAACCAATACTACCTTCCTACGTTCAACATCATCAACATCTTTCAGTTCTGCGCATGACCCGTCGCCCTCAAAATTCAACACTGTATATATGAACTTGAGGTGTATATACAGCTCTCAAAGCGCCGGTGATTCCACACACTTTCTGGCAGGGCACTAAACCCTCGGTACCGATGACCGTATCCTCAGTGCCAATCATCACCATCAAAGGGGTGTGGCTGTTGGTCCGTTCTTTGGTAAGACGACCCTCTGCCGACATCAGCGAGGGGCACATGAGGATGGCAGCCTTCACCCGAGGGTCGTTGAACTCCAAAGCTGCGGCAGCCGTCCAGCCGCCAAAGGACATGCCTGTCAAGGCACAACGGTTCACGTCCACGCGACCAGCGAAGCGGCTGTCCTGGCCATCTGTGAGCTTTGCCATCGAGTCCAGCAAGAACAGCACGTCCAAGGGTCGGTCGGCTTCCATCTGAGATCTTTCGCTGCGTGGACCACCTGGCTTGATCACGCGTCCATTCACTATGGTGTATCGCGCACTTCCCGGATGGTCGCAGGCAGCAACGATGAAGCCCTGTGAGGCCAAAAACTCCGTCCAGAAAATATAGCTGGCCCGGTAGGCTCCTGAACCATGCGAGAAAATCACAAGGGGCCACCCATCCTTCAACGATCTTCTCTTGCTGCCGATTTCCTGCGTTGGATCACGCAACCGGGCATCCCGAACGGCTAGATTGGGCCAAGTCTCATCTAGGTCTGCAATCGTCAAGCCAGACCGATATCCACCGATCGCGTCTGAAGACTCTGCTGCCTCAATGCTACCTGGTACTGTGCCACGTCCTAGAAACTCGGAGAATCTGTTTCGTGGTAAATCTCTAGCTTCCTCACCAGCCGGATACCAGATCTCGGTCTGCAGGCTGCGAGGGCCTCCCTCTGGATCCTGCCGGCTGTGGTCGTCTAGCTGGAGTGTTGTGACGCCCACGGGATAGGGACCAGGAGGAAGGCCGGTGAAGGACATGCTCCTTGGAGCTGCAAAGCCAAGGTTTGAGGGCACAAACCTCCAGCACACTGCCGTGCAAAGAGTGGCCTTTAGGACCTTCCTCAAGCGCAGCATTGAAAAGCTGCGCACATGCTATAAACAACGCTGAGAGCCACAAAAGCCGGGCGACAACGACAACAAGCAATCGAGCACTAAGGTACCTGACCAGTGCTTTGCACAAGATCACTGCAGGGCAAACTCCTGAAAGGCGGATACGAAGGCGTCCGCCACAGAGCCTTCGGCATGGATGTCTAAGACATTGTCAACAACATCCACTGCGCTGCCTGTACATGCCTTTGTAAGCCTTCTTGCACGCTGCCTCAAAGCATTCCATTTCAGGGCCTTGCAGCCACGCAACAATCAAACAGCTCGTCGAACAGCAGGATGCCAAACCTCGGTCGTCCGCCAACGCCGGCCCCGGCGAGTCTCTGTGAAAGAAACATCTGCGGGATTGCAAGGCTTCGAGAATCTTCTTATGCCGCTGAGGTGTGGGCAGATCTCTCAATATGCATCCCTCGCAATGGATCCCACACTTAAAGGCACCTCCTTCGGAGGAGAAGTAGTGTTGCATTGCGAGCTCCTCCACGGTAAGCTCTTCCAAATGAAATCCTGACTGGCCCAGCTTCAATCACGTCACAATCACTCTGTGCTGAATGCGATGTGCTCCGGGTGACTGAACAGTGCTTGCCAGCTCACCATCAAACATTCGTCGCTGGCCGGCGCCGTGCCCGCTGGGACGGGCGACTTGAGGAAGCCCTATCTTTGCCGCGCTCAATACCTGCACCTGTCCTGCTGCAAAGCTTCCAAGATGATGAACACTCCAGTGACAACTTGGACGACCGATGGTGACTAGCCACCTATAGATTCTTTTCAGAAGCACTGCATCCTGTTGCAGCATCTTCTTCTGCAATGAGACGTGACACGAGCTTCGGCAGCCATTTTCCACCATCATCTCCACCTTCCTGTGGGCTCACATGTAGACAATGTAGACTTGCTCCGGAAAGCTGCAAATCAGTGACATGTCCCACTTGGATTCTTCCACTTCAGCGCCAAGTGTCGGCTTTGAGCTGCGCAACCTCAATGTCAGGAACCCGTCGGGTTCAGCAAAGGATCAGCGCCGAGCTACAACTTGCCTGGGTGTTCCGCAGCAGCTTCTGCCAGTCGGACACCTTCTTGACCTTGGCCTGCCTCCGAGCCAGTGTCCGACAACGCCGGGCCAAGTCCCAGCCTGGAAGGGGTTCTCATCCGGTGCAGTTATTATACATTCTCCATGTATAAATACTAGGTGGATTCCATCAACACGATTTCAAGCTGCAGCCCACGCATGTTGTATGCTGCGCACAAAGCTGTGTCTCTGAGAACGGTGCGGGCATCGCGCGGAAGCAGCTGCTGCGCCATGTCACTGGGCCCCACCTCTGGCAGACGGTTTTCTTCTGCTTCTTCTGGCCTCCCACAAGCCTCAACTTCGTGCAGACAATCGGTGCCTCCTGCGATGAAGGCAAATCCAGTGTAAGGTCCACAGCTACATGGGCCTGTGAGCGCTGCCGCATGCTGGCGTTGAAATGAACCCACGCCAAGGCAACCCAAGAAGCACTCAGGGGTTTGTCCTCGCCCTCTGCCAAACCAGCTGCGGCTACCTTTTGCCACATCCCGCATGGAAGCTTCTTCGTTCTCTTAGTTCTCTTCAGTTGTATCAAGTCATTGAGAGTCAACCACTTCCAGTCACTGCAAGCCTCAAGAGCTGCGAGGAGGCCCTCGCAACGCGCAACTTCTTTTGCAAGCTCCTCGGCTGCCCAATGCTGACTCTGAGTCTGTGCTTGTCTCGCAACGATGCAGCTATGCATTTTGGGACGTGCCGTGACATCGATTGGCGTCTGAACTGGAGCTGCGGCCCTGGCCACGGCTCCTGCCGCCACTGGGCCACGACTGCTTCTCTTGCTGCCACTCCCGTTCGCCCCCTACGCGCACGCTTGCCAGCATAGCTGCTTGGCCAAGGCGGAAGCGCGAAGCGTTCGCAATGCTTCCAGTTCTTGCTGTCTGCCACCGTGCTTCTGCATACCATCGACCACGTTGGGAAGGGCAGAGGGTGCAAGTCAACAGCAGTCTCAAACGTCGAATCTTGGAGGCTTGCAGCTCTTTGTTGTGACCTTTGCTGCAACACGGCTTGGCGTCAGAGACAATCACGGGTTCGAGTCAGCGACTCTCTGGCATCGTACATATCTTGGGAACTGACCCACGGCAGGCGAGTGCAGCACGGAATGGTGTAAGGCCTGCGTTGCTTGGTCTGGCTGCTTACATAACCGAGGCGTGGAATCAAAGAGGGTATTAACACTCGTAGTGATAATCGTAATAGTAGGAGTAGATGCACTAGGCCCCGCCCCACCCAAAGATCCATGAGCCATCTCAACCATTGGCGGGCATCTTGAACACCGATGCTCCAAACTCAAAGGCCCGTCTTTGCACTCTCCCTTGCCTAACTCTGCCAACTCAACAAGACGAAAATGAATTTAGCAAACGATACAAAGCAACAATGCAAACTCAACAACAAATCAGTGAACATCACCTCAACAACTCAACAAAAAATGGAGACATGAAGCGTTGTCATCCCGTTTCGCATCACATCTTTCTGCCATCTCAGAACATCAATGAACAACACCTCACCATGTCAACGGATCTCACCATGAAGCATCTTGCTCATCGCCCCTGTGTCTATTTCGCATCTCACATTCTCCGTCGCACTTTCTGTTCACACCCGCTATGGTCAAAGTTCCGGTTAGTCTGGGGGCACTAACCCTCCCTATAACATCGGCCTCAGCATAGCACCACGCTGCTGTATAGCGTCGCCGGAATGGATCCCGGAACTTGGCAGACTCGAAGTCGTTTGCGCGCACAGCCTGCAAGGCGCGCTGCAGGCAGTCTTCGGCCATCTGGGCCGAGGCGGCACAGTCGGATGGCCGCTGCTTCTCCTGATTCAAGGCACCCTGCGGCTCCATTCCACCCTGCATCACCCATTTCCCCTCCCGAGCTCGCAGGCCTGGCCTCCTGTCTCTCGGAGGTCTCGAGGCCCGCGACCAGACTGCGAGCTTCCACAAAGGCATCCAGCGACTCGCGATCGGCGAAGAGAGGCGGAGCCGAGCAGTCCGGTCGGAACGGGAACTCGGGCCAATGCGTGGAGAAGACGACGTATGACGAGTTCGCGGCGCCGCAAGTTTCCAGCCGGAAAGCCTCACTAAGCACAGCAAGGGCTCTGCGCCCAGGCGAGGGAGCCGCACAGACCCAGCGGCCCATGGCCAGGGCCTGCGCCACCAGCTGTGCCTCCGCAAGGAAGACTGCAACTTCGTCTTAATGTGACATGCAGAGAAGGGCAGGCCTCAGTGCTGGTCTCCATGCCGCGGCCATGGGTGACATGGAGGAGGCGCTGTTGCTTTGCCGCTTCGCAGAGTCTGGACACCAGCTGGCTTTTGGAGCCACGTCGTCCCAGGCCATGCATGTCGCTGATGCCCAAGCCTTTCCCCATGCGGCGAAGTTCTGCCGATGGCAGCGCGCTCAAAAGCAGCTTGCCATAGTTGTCCTGCGTTTATCGGGGAAAGCGTTGGGCCTGAATAGCACACGGAGCCACGTGCCTCATATACTTCGATCGTTACTTTACCGCCATATGCTACCCACAACCCCACAGACCCTAAGCCCTAAGCCACAAGCCTCCAGCACTCACCATCACTCACCGCAGCTCACACGGAAGGATCCAATTGTGCATTTAAACGATTTAAACGTGCTCCTCGGTGGCCAATGTGGTCTTTTCGGGGATGTGTCTCTGAAGAAGTGACGTGGCGGTCTCCGTAGAGGTGTCAAGCAACCATGGCATGCCAGACCCCTCTTTCACCTCTTTCACCTCTTTCATCTCGGTCTCCGCTGCATCGGGGAGTTGGCCCAACAAGGCGGCCCAAGTTCCCGCGTTCCCTGGGTTCCCTCCCTTCTCATCTTCGACTGAGTTGGAAGTCCGCATCTCGGACAGATCCCGCACGGCAGCCACCACCTCCTCTGTGCTGAGCTCACGATACCTGGCACTGGCCAAGCATGGCCAAAAGCATGGCCAAAAGCATGGCCAAGAATTCAGCCCCAACATGCCTGCACCCACCGCACCTGGATCCGAGGCCTTCCAATGGCACCCACTGGGGCCATTTTCTGCAGAGCAGCCTCGCGAAAAGCTGCTGCGCTCGCAGAGGCATTGACCTGAAGAATTCCAGGACCGGGGAGACATTGACTGCGGAAAAACATAGCATGACGGAAGGCTCGCAATGTGACTTGTCGCCCCTGAAGGTCCCTCCAGGGCACTCGAAGCTTTGCAACGCAGCACGCTCGCTGGGTTGCAGGAGCCGGCCATACCGGGGCAGTGTTGTGGAGACCAAGCGGCGTCTGGGATGCACATATAGATGATGCCGGCGAGATGCAAAGTGCAATGAGTATCGGCTGCAATTGCAATGCTGGCAGATCGGTTTCGCGAAACGGAGCTAGGCGAAACCCTGAGGTCTTGCAGGTCTGGAGGGATGGCAGGGAATGCTCCTCGTGAGTAGGGAACCCTACATACGCCTAAAAACTCCAAAATGAAGCGGTGGCCAGTAAGAATCACGTTACTTGTACGCAAAGCCCGGAGCGGGCACAAGCAGTTGCCAGAAGGGCTTGTTTGCACAACATGCTGCCTACCCCCCCCCCTGTTGAGTGCACATCACGCGCATCATCGGGCCCTCGTTTCTCCTCGGGCGGCCCGGTGTTTTGGAGCCGGCCAACCCCAAAAGCGCCGTTGGCTTGGGGATTTTTTGGAAACACTCTCGCCGATTTTTTGGCAAAGCCCAAAACTAGGAGAGTGGCTGGCCCAGCCCGAAGCCCTCAGCCCTCCTTTCGAGAATCCTTCACTCCGGAACTTTGAACATCTTTGAACAGCTGCAGGCAAGCTTCAGGTCTCGCCTTAGTTGTGGGGTGTGCCATGGGTGTGCCATGGGTGCGCCGATGTGCCCCGTGATGCGTGTGTCTGATGGCGCAGCGCAAGCGGCAATGTGTAGCCCTCGAAGCGGTCCAAGACATCGATGGAGTCACCAGATTCAATGTTTGGGGCAGACTCCTCAACAACTCTTGGACATTTCATGACAATTCCAAGTTTGCATCTTTGAATCACAAGTACTTGCAGCCCTCTGGCCTCCTCAGCCTTAGACTGCTTCTGCAGACCATTCTCTCCCACAGGTGCAGGCTTGATGCTTTCGATGCTTTCCCGCTTCACACCCCTCCGCGTTGGTCGGGCTTGTGATTGGATGAGCAAGCTTGCTGGACGACCCTTGAAATAGTCTGACCTTGGCTTGGTGAACACGGGTTCCTCCTCACAGCACATACAGCTGGGTCATAACCATTGGCGCAAGTGCACGGATTGAGTTGAGATCGGTGGCATGTTGAATACTTTCGGGGATGCTGCCGTCCCCGGCATGTCCTCCCATGTTCATGTTGGCACCATGTCGCAATCAACATGTGCGAGAAAATGCGGGCAAGATAGAAGCCTTAGGATGGCCATTTCCCCGACGACGTTTGAGAGGCGCCTCACCTGCACTTGGAGGATTTTGTGCAATTTGTGCAACCTCTTTTCTTTGTACAAGCTTTCTTTGAGAACTCTCAAGGAATCCACCGGTTGCCTGGATCCTCCTCATCAGAATCCGCCACGTAGACCGAATCAGCGGCCATGACAGCCACAAGCTCCAAGCCATGGCAACATGGCTCTACTCGGAGCACTCTGTGATTGGCACGTGTGCTGGGAAGAGACTCGGCTTGTTCGACAAGCGATTGTTCGGCGCGATGCTGCTGCAAACGTGTTTGCTCAAGAACTTTTTGCATGTTCCTCCTGATGAACCATGAAGTCTGGAAACCTCACTGCAGTTCTCAACATGCACAAATGCTTGTGTACTTCGCTTGGCTTCTCCGCTCTCCAACTCCAAAGGCTCGCGGCCCACGTCGCTGCTCTGCAGCTTCGCTCGAAGCCGAGGAAACGTTTCTGCAGACAGAGGCAGAAGGGACAGCACCATTGTGTCAACCGCCAATCAATTTCTTCACTCGCCTTGTACTGCTCCGCCAGCAGCTTGACCAGTGCGCTTTCTCCGTCTTCGAAGAAGAATGACGTCCAGCCTGCAGTACACAACTGTCGCAAAGTATTGCGAAGCAGTTGCGTGAAGCTTCTTCCAGTAGGAGAAACTTGGCGGCCGGTTTGCCCAAGTCATCCAAACAGATACAGGCAACCAGCTACGCCGCATTGCCTGTTCCAACGGCTTCGTGTCCAAAGCCTGCATGTCATGTGTAGAATTGTGAACGGCCCCTTAGTTGAAAGGAGGTGCAAGTGCTGCAGCGCCTTTGAAATGAATTTTCACTGCGGATTCCGTCATGTCACCTCAGCACCGTCTATCCTAGGCGAACTCCACGAGTACATGCGAATGCTGCCATGTTGGAAAAGCAGGCCCATTGCCTTGAAAACAGAAGCCAGCGCAGCCACGCCTCGGAAGTGGTCACAGTGAACACGGGGGTGAATTTGCGACACGCGAAACAGGCCCAAAAGCTGTGGGACTGGCAACGTGTGGCACCTTGACATGGCTTCATGCACTGTCATCGTCTCGACCTCAACGTTCTGGCAAGCATTTCAAGGCTTGGGTCGAACATCCAGGCAGTTCTTAATTGAATTGCAACCAGCTTGGTGCGCGGCTAGGATATCTTCAGAGCTGCTACTGCCCTGCAGAAGCTGGCATTGCTTGGAGAGCAAGGTACTGGCAAGGAGAAGACTTGGGCTTCGGCCGGCACCTGAAGACGACCTTCACGCTGTTCAAATCCTGATAGCTGGAGTCCCAGAAAATATACAAACAACCCTTGCAGTCTGACAATTCGCTGGGCTTCGACGTGAAGCCTTAAGGGATTGCACAAAGAAACCGCGCACTTGTGGGAGCCCCACGGCCCATCAGAAACAAGATGTCCTCGGCAACCGCTTCCGTCCAGCCGAGCAAGAAGGGTTCCCCAAAAGTCTGTTCTTCTTGTGATTTCGTTGAAAGTTTTTGAGGCTCCACACCCGCTTCAGCTCATTCTTCTCGTACTGGAGCAACATGCGCCTGGATCACAAATTCCGCCATTGGCAACTCTATTCCAGATAGCCCTCTCGTAGCACACTGAGACTTACACGCTTACTCGAGACATCTCGAGACACTTTTCTTGGAGCTTGGAGCTTCTTGGAGTTATCTTCGATTTTCTACCCTTCGGCCCCCTGAGGCTGCAACGTGCGCATTGTGGAATCTGCTTCCAGCACGTGAAGGTCTGCATCATCGCCTCCAGAGACTCAGAGTAGACGAGAGTTTGAGAGTCTAGACTCTTTTTGTTTATCTCTCTCTCCTCCTCCTCCTCCTCCTCCTCCTCCTCCTCCTCCTCCTCCTCCTCCTCCTCCTCCTCCTCCTCCTCCTCCTCCTCTTCTTCTTCTTCTTCTTCTTTTTCTTCTTCTGGGGGAGCAAAAAGCAACCAAGGCCTGGGTTCCATCCAGGAGGTCTGGGAGCAGACTCCAAGGACCTGAGGTCAGCGTGAGTCTTTTGCATTGCTCCCTTTGCCTGTGAAGGCTAAACAACATGCTCTTCTTGGAGAGGAGGAGCACAAGCTGAATTTCAGGCCTTATTTTGAAGTTTTAGGAGCATGGCGCTAAGGCATTGTGCAGGGGCTGGGTCAGTGTCTCATCTCGGAAATCACCTGCAGTAGCCAACTGCCAGTCTTGAAACGACGTCTGGCCCAAAAGGAACTCTCCATCGCACCTGGCCTTCCAGCCCGGGGCGGTACACCCCCTCGGGGTCCTCCGCGAAGAGTCTCCGCAAGACCTCGCGGAGGTGGGCAAACCTCCCACACCCCTAATCTCTGCATCGGGACCACCAGCCTCCAGCTTGATGAAACGCGTTCGTCTCATCAGGCCGTAGAAGCCGCCCGTGCTGCCTCCGTTGCTCAACAAGGTCTCTCCGCATGTCTGGCAAACCTGGGCTTCGGGCCATCTGGTCGACCCAGATCAGTCCTAGGGCTGTTCTGCAGGCTGCGACGTTACACCGCGATGTCACCCTGCAAGATCACACTGCGCAAAGCTGAGCCCAGCTGAGACTTGGGCAGCGCATACTGGACCTGAACCTCATGCCATGGCCTTCATCGAAGAATGCACTCCGTCCACATCGGCAATTTGCATGGCATCCCCATGGCAGCGGCACCGTCAAAAACTGAGCTGCGGGCTTCGCCTTGACTTCCACCTCAAATTGAGCAGCCATGTGACGTGTTGGTGCAAACGCCCTATTGCAGCATGAAAGATCATGAAAGCTAGAACATCCGAAGTGGAAAGCCTAGATGCCTGCACTGAATTCCATGTGCTGGTATTTGAATGAGCAACGTTGCGGATTGAGGATTCTGAGGACTCTAAGAACGCTGAGGACTCAACGCCATCTTCACCGTCGTTGGTCGGTATGATGAACTTGGGCCTCGGCGGGCCACATCCAGCCACCAGCTGTCGCCAACTTCTTGGAAAATGTCGGAAACTTCTTTCGCTTCTGAGCGCCCGACGGCTGGTTTACTGTGTCACCGTGCAGCTGCGCCTTGCAGCTCGAATGTATCGTCTCGGCCGGCTGGACCGACAACGTTGCCCTACAGTATTCGTCTCGTCAATTTCCACTCTGGTGCCTCTTGGAGGCTGCGTGAAGGAGCCCCACTACGGCATCGACCAGCACCGGAAGTCTGCACGAAGCCAAGAAGTGGCATGGCGATGATACGTGATGCCGCAGCAACAGCATGCGACTGCTCTGCGGCCTGTGAGACAAGGATTGGCCCTTGGACTAGAATCTGGACCTGGACATCACTCGGGAGGGGCACCAGGAAGCTCACAGCAGCTACGACGGCCTTGCCAGGTGAAAGTGTAAACCTGTGCCATCTCCAACCTGGATCAGCAGACAGTGAATCGAACTATCACATGATATGGATCTGGCCTAGGGCTGCGTTGAAGCGCATTCGATGGCAATCGGGAGGGACCTGCACAACCAGAAACCGCTGCGCCCAAAAAAAGCTGTGCTGCAGACTTCGAGCTGAAAGTGCAGCGTCGCACCTTTGGCTCTATCCTCACCACTGGGGGAGTTCGTGGGTCGTGAACCTGGCTGACTGCATCGTCGATCTTTCTTCTGCGCATGTGCTTGTCTCTGTCTAGGATGTCTTGGAGAGTGGCCAGCACGCGGGAAGTCACGATCGAGGAAGGTCTGTCCTATGGTTTTGCAAGGCTTGCGGCCTTCTAAAAGCCTGCTATATCCTGCTATCATTGCCGACACAGGCGGTTCTAAGCTGAAGGCGCCAGAACTGTCCCAGCATAGGTCTTGCAGGAGGTTCTTGAACAAAGCACCTGAAGCATCCCCTCTGGCATATGGAAGTGACGCTGAGAGCTCGGCAATAAAGCTCGGCAATGCTCCATCGTTTCCCTTCACACACCTCTCAGAGCCCTGCGTACAAGCGAATGCACTTTGGTCTTTTTCCGACCTCAGTCGTTTTTGCCCTCTCCGAATCGCGGGGGGGCAGATTTCGGGGGGCACAGTATGGCGCTCGAACGGACGCCGAGCCTCCAATTCCCACCGCCTCGTCTCGGGAGACTTGGTGAAATCGAAACAGCCTGTGACAGGAAAGAGTCGGAAGGGTGAAGAAACAATAAACTCTGCACTGCGCACGCGAGTTTTGCATCAGAAGCAGCAACAAAGACACCCCTTTGCGTTTATGATGCAGTTCGCACATTGATCACGTTTGTAGTCTAGGGGTAGACAAGTAGGACTGTGCTTTCAACAACTGGTCGGTGGTAAGCCCGGGTCCGGCCCCTGTATCGAAAAGCCCAAACTCTTCTGCCGAATGAACAGTCGCGCTTTTCTAGGAAGGTTACCTCCCATGGAAACCAACTTGTCGCACAAAGCTGTAGGGTTGGCATCGCACTGGCCTCACAGCCCGTTGGAATCGAGCCGCTTTGCGCGTGCCAGCCTGCACGGTGGCGTTTCAAACATCGGACTGCACCGCAGGTGTGTCAATGGCGACGCAGAAGCTGCCACAGCTGCCCATCTTCAAGCACAGCCAGCAGAAGTCGAGTCTGCCAAACATTCGGCAGGCATGCTGTACATGCCGCTTTGCTAGACATTAGTCGAAACACCTACTTTGCGCAGATTCCAGACGAAGCGTTCTCATCTCCGCTGCTTGTTGCGATACAGTCTACAATATGGGACGACGCTCGAATGCTTCTGGTGGATTCTGCCAGCTTCACCAAATGCATGGTGGAGTTGTGGGACTCGCATCATTCGCATCGCCTTAGCACGACGAAGCAAAACGGCTCAAAACTCCGGATATTCAAAGTTGTAGGCATATACGATGCAACATGTGCATCATGAACAGGACGTGCTCAAAAAGAAGGCAATGCAAATTTCATGCGCGGACCAGATCTGGTTGCGCAAAATCTCACAAATGCTATACCGTATAATCTAAAGTAGTGAAGAAGATGGTATCCTGCAGTAGTTTGCATGCGACTCCGCCAATGAGTGTCCTTCGCTTTTGGTCAATGTTGACAAGGAGCTCGCAACAGTGATGTGAAGATGGTGCGGGGAAAACTGGATTCACACCTCTATGAGTCTATGAGGATACGCACGTGCAGATCTTAAACGGCGGTCGCGACTGTTGTCCTGGCATCCTTCAACCAATAGGCTATCGTTTGTGTCGCTACACCTGCACATGCAGAACGTCCATGTTGCTATGGCAAGATAACAGCCACGAACTCTAGCCATAACATGTGACTTGAATGCTGAGGCCTCGATTTTTCTGTGGTGCCATTTCTGCTGTCGTACCGAACGGGAAACACGCGAACCTAGCTTTTCCTACGAGAAGGCATGGTAGGCGCACATGCAGCTGCTACTCGACACTCTTGAATTCAACTTAGCAGCTGAGCTCCGGCTGAGATTGCCCCAAGCAAGGCTGCAACGACCTGACTAAGCCGGCAGCTGGCAGGTTTTGGTTTAAAGGTTCTGACAGTTCTGGTGCATGGTCCAACCCGGCCTTCTTGGTTTTTGCTGCCCCAAGCAGGTCTTGCTCAACCTGCACAGGCTGGCTTGCCGGCATGGGCTTCGAGATCTCGAAGGCAGCCTTCACGGGCACAGGGTTCAGGGCCTACCCCCGAGCGACATGCGAAGCTTGGGACTGTGGTGTCCGATGCACAGCATGGTGCCGCAGCTGGGACAGTGCCAATGGGACTCTTGGATTCATATCCGATTTATACAGTGTGTCCTGACTTATTAGCCAATTTTTTACTAGAACTCCTACATTCTTACGCAAGATTTAATGGGAAGCCCTCGCCCCCGACAGTTTGCACCAAACCTACCTGCGTAGGTTGAGCCGCGATTAATGATTAAACAATATTACGATTTTGCTATTTCGACTCATACAAACACGAAATGCGGGCGAGGATTCTGGTTCGAGCATCGAGACGTGAAACACACTTTCCTCCAGCTCTGCTCAACACATCCATCCCAGCACAAACGCCTACAATACAAATCACACAGTATTCCCGAACCGAGCTGAACTCCAGGAGCGAAGCACTCCAGAACTAGCACCATAGTCTAGGGTGCCCAAGGCATGCTCTCCAAGCAGCATTTAGCAACACCATACACCCGCCACAGCACCTTCCTAAACACACCCCTGGGGGCTGACCTACGAGGACCCCAGAGATCGGCGCCGTTCTCTTTGAAAGAACCGCCATCGTATCGCGTGGCCAAAGTACATTGCGCCAACTGCCAAACTTAGCGGCATTCAGCGTGTCAACAACTGGCAACTTCGAACCCACTTCCGTACATGTCTGAGTACCGTGGAGTACCGTGTCACAGTGTCAGAGCTCCAGGGTACGGAAACCCCCACAGAAACCCACAGCGGTCAGGCAAGGATGTCGATGTGCCTTCAGCACGAAACCTCGCACGCCCAGTAGGGAGCTTCATCCACAGGTGGTTGCCCCAGTGTCCGTCTCCGGTTTCGGTTCCGGTGGCAAGTCGGTCACCGTCCATCCTCCTCGTTTGTGCCTTCCTTTATCAGGCGTGAGCAAATCCGCCTTAGCGATGCTGTGAAGGAACTCGACAGTGACTGTCTCGTCCCTGTCCTTTGGAAGCTCGCTGTCGTCATCGTCCCCTGAACCACCTGATTCGTAATCATCGTCGTAATACCCGGTGCGTCTGTGCTGTTCGGCGGTCTGCTCCGTGGCGGTCCCCTCGAGGCAAATTACCTCTTCGAGCTCCTGCTCGTCCTCTTTGGCTCGCCGGTTCAGCCGCCAAGTGCCCGACGCTTCGATCTTCTGATCGTAGTTGTACCCGCACTCGGCATCGTGGCTGTGGTAGTGAGCCCGGTAGCTGAAGATGCCACCTGCATGAAGCTTCACGACGATGTCTTCCGAATCCTCCTCCTTGCCACAGTGGCGACCGTGAACCCAGGACTTTTTGAAGCTCTTGTTTGCGCACCAGTCAGGCTCAGCGTTTACTGCGGCGATGATGCTTTGGCTTGCCAGCTCCCTTGCCGTGATCGTCTCCTGGAGTGGTTCTTGGCCGCTTTCCCCTCGAGAGGGGAGGAAGAACAAGGAGGGCATCTCGTCCCCCTTCAGTAGGCCCAGCTTCACACAAATCTCCCGCTGCAGGGATCCCAGGCTCGCATCCCCAGGGCAGACGATGGAGGCGGTTGTGCCGCTCAGCAGAGACACCTCAAAGGTAACGTCCGCAGCCGTGTCGTCAGCCATTGCTCGAAAACTAGGGGGTAGACACGCTTGGCGCACGATTCCGAAAGCACTTGAGGTGGCTACGGTCTTGCTATTTACTGTGTTACTATTCAGGCCTAGTCGGTAATACTAGGGGGTTCCTCGATTCAAATTCATTAGGCAGATTTCCTCGACCAAGTCAGTTTGCGCCTCGAAAACCGACATTTGCAGGTTGAGCCACGGCTTGGGCTTTTCATTATTTCACTGTAACTACTTGAATTTATTGTGCTTTTTTTACTACTATACTGGTTGACTATTTCGTTCCTACGCCGCTCTTTTAGTTTTGCTATTTTGCTGCTTGTCATATCCTCCTGGCTACTAGGTTCTTCTTCTTCAATATTTGTATTGCATCTTCAAAACTGACCTGCGCAGGTCAAGCCACGATGTCACTCACGATTTTCCTATCTATTTTACTCTTTTCTCATTTCACTACTTTACTGATTTACTGTTGTGGCTTGATGGGAAATCCATGGGAATCCTAAGGAACCCTAGATTCTTATTCAATGTAAACAAGATTTCCTCGACCCGGCCAGTTTGCATGTTGAAAACGGACCTTGCCGGGTCTCCCGCAAATTTTGGACCACGCCTGCTGTAGCACGGAAGTCGCGGAGGCGTCAACAGCTCGTGAGGCTTCGAAGGTGGAGTCGCCATGATCTGCGTCATCAACTCCTCCCAGAAGTCGCACGAAGCAGATGCCAAGTCCAAGTAAGGCAGATGCTGTGTACTGGGCCTGTCCTGCGACACCGGGTCGTGATCTTCCTCAGCAGGCTCATCTTCACCTGCATCTGGCACTGCTCCTTCAGGACGGAGGGCCTCGCAACTGCAGCTCACAATGAGCGCAGGAAATTGGCAGAGACACAAACTTCTCCCAAACTGCGAACCTGTACGAACGTCTGGTACAGATATGTGTAGGCTAGCCGGCTAGCCGTTAAGGCTCTGGCATCAGGCAACGCAAACTCGTGGGAGCGGAAGTCTGGACAATCGGCCACATCATGGCATTTTTGGTACACCACCCACCGCTTCTGGTTGATCACCAAGTAAATGCCGTTGGACTTGTGGGATGTCCCCTTCTTGAAGCAGAAGCGGTTGTTCACCAAAGAAACAACCATGTACTCTCCAGTTCCCATCAACAGACTTCGCTGTACGCGGGTTGGATTTGCGAAGGCTTGGTAAGGCTCGTTCTTGCTGCGCACATCGTCCCACAGCTCGATGAGATACCTCATACAGTAGAGCAAGGTCTATCGGAGGCTGCTGTTTGCGCAGTTGTCTGTCGACTTCTCGCTGTTCTATATTGGTCTGACTTCTCTTATAACGGCATTCTACATGCCATACTGCTGCTACGTACGTGGTGTGAGCCTCGTGTCCACCCAGACTTTGAAGCGCCCGGCTTCCCCAGCTGTGCACTGGTGTAAGACCAACCCCCGAAACTTCAGTTGAGATACTGGAGAAGCGCCGCATTCTCGGAAAGCGGCAGCTCCCTCACCTCACTTAAGAATTCTGAAAATCAAGCCCCGTGGGCCTTTGAGGGTGTTTTGCAGTTGTTTTGGTAGGACGCATCCGTCAGGCAGGTACCCATTTGTCCATGATTCCGATCTCCTTAACCTTCGGTTGCGGTTTCCGGGCCAGCGAATCAGTTCATGCCCATGCAGAGATGCGGCTTCTACATTTCATCTTTCAAGCTCGGACCACCCATGCGCTCAGCAGAGAACACGTACCAAGGGGAAGTAGATGCTGCCTGTGAAGCCCGGCAAGAGCCAGGGCAGTGGGCTAGCCAGATCGTAATCAGAGCCTTCTTCACCTACTACCCCCTCGTGTCTCCCGGCTAAGCCCACCAAGTGCGAACCAGGGAGCGTCATCTGAGGTGAGCCTCGACCGCACAGGCCTCTCTGCTGTGTTGACGCAGCTTCGTCGAAGATCTTTGTGCTGCAAGTCACAGGGGATCATGGGGTGCCTCTCGCGCAGGCTCTCTTCCAGATTCCAGATCCGCTTTACTGAGTTGGCTTGCGTAGAGCAGGCGGAAAATTTGTCAAGCCCAGCCTGAATAGAGGCGTGCCTTCCGGAACACCAGCTACCAGGCTGTCAAAGAGTGCCACTGCCGGGACATCGTTCCAAGTTGGGAGCAGCGGCCGTCGCTTGCCGAACCTGACAGCCGCAGTTCTGACATTTGGGTGCAAACCTGAAAACTCTGAAAACTGAAGTCGCAGCCAAGAAGCTTGGAGCTGAACAAGACTCGAAAGCAGCGATTGCGCGTGTACCTGCACTCAAGAGCCGCTTCTACCGGTCATCGAGACTGCACCTGGTGTGACTGTAAACGCGGGGAAGGAACACGGACTCGTCAACAACTGAAACCTCCGGTGTCCCAGGTGATCCCGCAGCTTCGTCTGCCGACGCATTCCTGGGCTTCGGCTGGCACTCAAAACTATCACCAGCCTGCACATTCGATCTTGAGAAGGCAGTGGCAAGATTCTCCCCGGTCGGATCCGCCGTGGCCTTGCGATTCTCCTTCTGCTTCTTAGGCTTCGCCCTGGCAAAAAGCAAGGCGGCAGCAGAACGCTGTGCCTCGGCATGTTGGGCTCCACTCTGCTTCAGAACATGTCACAGCGTAATATAGCGTCATGCACCTCGGCTATTCAAGACCAGCGGCCGCACGCTGTTCCCGCACAAAATCCATAAACTTCTTAACGAAGTATCCCGCTTGAGCATTGCTGGGGAAAGCCAGTGGCTGGCTCTTGCACTGGCTGGCTGTTCCAACGAGCTGCAAGGGCCGCAAGCGCTTGGCTATTACGTGCTTGGAGAACTTCTCCTCCGTGGTCGAATCAAGCTCGAACAAGAACTCATCATCCAAGGTCAGTCCAAGGGTTGCGTGGCAAAATTCGTTCAACAAACCATAGAACGCCGAGATGACTTTGCCCGGGTCAAGATTAGGATTTACACATCTGGGGAACTCCAAGTCGAAGTACAACCAGCAAGGCTGCTTCTCCATCAATACTTCGTACAAATGTTGTTGTGCCAGTCGGCCAGTATCTCTGGGCGCAGAGGCAAGCGCAAAGCCCACCTTTGTATCGACAAGGAAGCGCCGGCAGCCCGAGGAAGAAAACTCACGGGAAAAGAGGCCAAGGTGATGCAACTGGTAAGTGCTCTGAGCAAGGAGACCTTCCAGGTAGCGGATAGCCTCAGCTTGCCTCGCAAAGCTACGCGGAGGCGGGGGGTGAAGGGGACAGCTTTCATTCAGGCCACCCAGCTTTCGCAAGCACAGCTCCAGATCTTGTCTGGGGTCGTTCACAGCAGGCTCAGCATTGCACCCGGCAGCAATGTCGGCCTCTGCCATGTGCACGCTCTCAGGCTTGGGGTTCTCTTTCTCCTCACCCTCACTTGCCGTGGTTTCCACATCCTCATCTGTGGTGCATATGTCCCGCCCGTCACCGTCGTTGGATGTCGCGTCATCGATCCGAAGCTTGGCGGGGCACACCTCATCAGAATCTGCCTGCGTGGAGTCACACTGAGTTTCCGCAAAGTCGTCATCTCGCAGAGTCTCCTGCGTGTTCTGCGTGTCTAGCAGCCTGTCAATTATGCTCCGGCTCATGCATCTCAGGGTTGCCGTGACCTTGCCATGGCTGGAAGCAGGGCCACCCAGGCCAGCGCTAGACCTCCTTGAGGCAGCTGCGACCATCTGCTGGCATTACAAGGCTCTGATGGCGAACGGCAACCCTGACATCCTGACACAAACCCCAAAGCCGCAACAACAAAAATTGATCCCGAGCAGACTTTAACCAAGCCCAAAAACAACGAAGCTTGCAGCCACAACATAGCACGCCCTACCTACACAGCATCGCAGTTTGGCCCTGTCTGCACCCGATGCAGCTGAGGAAGGGACCAGTTCGATGTCAGCCTTGTCCCACTCTGCACGCCAAGCCTGTGCTTGCAGCAAGTCGAAACAGCCGTCCACCAGCCCTTGAGCGCAGTCTCTCGCGCGTTTAAGGCAAGCACCGAACAGTGCTCCTCTTCCACTTCGGGCAAGGTCAGCGGCTCGTCTTCCCCATCTGGCATTGGCGACAAAGCTGAGAGCTGGGGAGAAAGCTGGGAGAGCTTGGTCTTTGGAAGGGACATACCACATAAAAGCCACGTGCTCCAGTGCAAGTGATGGCAAGCACCTTCCATCTCACCGGCAACCGAATCGGCTCTGGAGAGGAACTTCTGGAAACGGTTCGTCTCAGCGTGGGGGATTGTGTCAAATCAAACGTCCCACGCGGCAAATGGGAAGCTGAAACGATGGCGAAAGCTTGCAGACAATTCCTGCTACCCCAACCTCCTCTGCCCTGAAACTCTAAGTAATTTCATGCTCCACTAGCTCAATGACAAACACTACGCCGCTAGGCTGCTGAGACCACACTTGGTGCCTCAAGGTTACAGGGTGGGGTGGTAACTTTGACTGGATTCAAAAGTGGTAGTCCACAAGCTTCAGGGGCCCGGCTGGAACGCTGACACCCAAGGAGAGCCTCAGCCTGAGCAGATCTTCAGTTCCTCTGAGGGCCAGGATTTCAGCACTTGCCACTGAGGCTATGTGCCGACCACTGTTGGCGATGACGGAGACCACCTTCCATGGCAAAACGATGGCTGGGACCTGCAACCTCGCCTGCTTCTGCAAGCTGTTTGTGCCTTCTCCACGGTGTATCGGGTTCCGCGTCGGGGATTGCAAAAGATGATATCTACCTTCATCGGATGCTTGGATATAATGTGCCAACAGGGCATCAGTTACCCCAAAACATGCCTCACAAGCATCTTTGCGGACAGTCCCCCAGAAGGCGCTAGCCTGAGCAAGTCTTCCCAAGGTGATCAGGCTACGGATCTGCGCACTCTGAGTGCCCGCAGCTAGTACAAATGTGATATCATACGTGATACTGCGCCTAAGCTTGCAACTTTCTGAGCATGCACAGACGATGCACCTCATTCACACAGAAGAAAAGAGCTGTGTGTGCTGGAAGCACAAAACGAGCACATATGTATCTCAGGCAGGCACAGTTCATGTCACCACCAACGTTTAGTTCGACATCACCTCTGCCATCATCTTTGCAAACTCGATGCCAGGCTCGGACCAGGACTATTTGGCCCTGCTCGTCCTGGTATGCTGCTGTAAGCATTGCCTTCCCCCTCGAGATGTCCACAGACGGAAGACCATATAAAGTGAAACCTTTCGGAAGATGCTTGCACAGCAGGCTGGAGCGAATGCAAATATCCGGCCAGTTCTTGCTGTTGCAAGCGACTAATGTCACCGACATCTCTGTTCCGGCAGTACCCTCCCGGCACAAGCTGCAGAGGCGGTTGCTGCTCACACGCACGACCAATCCGTTGACATCTTGTGCCTCGATGAGGTGATGTACTTTTGCAAGGCCAACATCTAGGGAGTGGCAATACAAGACCACCTTTGGCAGAGAAACGAGCTCACGAAGAGTCCCTCGGCACCGGAAGCGCGGTTCCAGCGGGGTCCAGTCCGGACATGCACACATCTCATCGCCCAGAGCGGCCATGCATGGATAGGTCTCTTCACCTTCTTGCCAGGTCTCCCACCTGGAAGCCCAAGGCGGATGGCCAAGCGCTTGCAGCGTGCCACTCGCCACGGATGTGATTGTCGCACGCTCATAGGCCGATGGGCTGTCGCTAGGGAGCCCGGCATTGTGACGCAGCTCCTCTGGGGCTGGTGCGAGCCACATACAGCAGCACCACAGCTTCTGAGTGAATACCTCATGAAGCCAGGCCAACTGCCTTGCTGTGGGGCTTTGTGACAGGGCACAGTCTGCGCCAGGCAACTGTATAACGTCCTCCTCCTCTGTCCTACGCCACACTTTGTCATGGCCCGGAGCAAGGACGAGGCCAGCATCCACGGCACCGAATGCCTTGGACCCGGCATCAGAGCAAGCGAAGCAAACGGCTTGTGAAGACGGTGTGCCCTCATCAGCGAAGAAGCGTTCCAGAGGACTGTTTCCTCCACCTTCCTCACCAGTGATGGCGAGCACCTTATCAAAAACCGCGTCAAACCACTCTCGATTTAGAGAGGTGGGCCGATAGGCCTTGGGTGCGCTATTACGCTTCAGAGGACTGGTGTCCACGCTTACACGTTCCCTTGGTGGACTTCGCTCCTCCTCTTCAACATCCTCGACCTGGGCCAAGATAAGCTTGCAGCCTTGCTCTCGGAGCGAGTGTAGCAGGGCTGGGGACGGACCACCGCAAGCATCTGCAGACTCCAGGACTGCACAATGGAAAGGCAGACTCGGTGGCAAGCCTTCTGAGGGAGAAGGCGGGTTACTTCGGTAGGCAGGTGGCTCATAACTGTGGATAGTACTGGGCTCCAGCATCTAGCACACCATGCGCAGCACAGGGCTAAAACACACAGACTGCCGACCTATCAGAGCTCTGGTTATGCTAGAAAGCTGATGGCGATGGAAAGACTACCAGATGACTACCCTCTTTCTGACGTGAAGCCTATGCCGCAACGAAAGAGAGAAATAAGAGGGCCAGCCTGTGTCGACGTGCCTTTGCGCATGCACGTGCTTGGTGGTACACATGCCACTTATAATCCCCCTCCCTGCACACAGCATAGCACACGTGATGCTTCACGAGTTTGGCCAGCCCTCCAGATCTGAGCAAAAACTGCAGCGTGAATCGAAGAATCGACGGCACACACACGCACACACGCACACACACACACACACACACACACACACACACACACACACACACACACACACACAAGCGCGCGCGCCCACACACACACACACACAAACACTCCGGCCGCAAACATCCTGAACGCAGCCTCTCAAACCAAACAGCTATCAAAAAAAAACGAACCAAATCATTCAACTTGCGCAGCGCAGCTGAACATGCTGAAGTACGTGCAGGATTTAGCATCGAAACAGCCTGTTCATGATTGACGTGTCCTTGAATCAGCATGGTTCCGAACACACACAATCGCTTTCTAGTATTTCCAGGCATGGAGTCTGTGCAAGATTGCTGCGTTCAGGGTATCATGGTCAGAGCTTCACGTGTTATTTCGGCACTACTACCACTACTACCACTACTACCACTACTACCACTACTACCACTACTACCACTACTACCACTACTACCAGGAGTTACTACCACTACCACCACGACCACCACGACTACCACGACTACCACGACTACCACGACTACCACGACTACCACGACTACCACGACGCCGCAAGGGGACGTGTTGCAGAGTCCATTTCAGTGAAACTGTACAGCATGTGAACTCTCTCTCTGTCTTCTTCTTCCCATTCTGCTGGGCCTGAGGAGTCGTCTCACAGCGTCTCGGTGACACTCTACATCAGAGATTCTCGGGGCGCAGTCCCTCCCGCTATGGTGTGAGGGTTTCCCTCTGTCCCTGTCCCTGTCTCTGACTCTGTCTCTATCCTCCCTCTCTCTCTCTCTCTCTCTCTATTCCTTGCCTCCTGCACACATAACCCCCCCAGGTGACGGTCGCCCGAAGCCGAGCGTTCGCTCTCTCTCCCTCTCTCTCTCTTTCTTTCTCTCTCTGTGCCTCTCTCTCTCTCTCTGGCTCGCTCGCTCGCTCACTCTCACTCTCACTCCCACTCCCACTCTCACTCTCAATCTCACTGTCACTCTCACTCTCACTCTCACGCTTACTCTCACTCTCACTCTCACTCTCTCTCTCACTCTCACTCTCTCTCTCACTCTCTCTTCAGTACGTTTGTTCGCTGTGTCCTCTTTAATGAACTACTGCGCATACTTTCTACTTTCGAGAAAAACCTCCCGAAGCATACACAGTATCTGGTTGGTCCAGAACTTGATTTTTTGAGCCTGCGGATGGTTTGTTCACGCCGAAGGCTGAGGCAGAACCCCGCAAGAACAAGGAAGCAAACAAACAAAACCGATAACAAACTAACTCATCAGGATTCTGCAGAAGTCGGTGCCTTTTTCCTTCAATACTGTCTCAGCCACTTGCACGTTGATCGGAAGTCGCAGCTTGCGTGGCTCTGATGCAGTTTCCATCTGCTTGCTGCGACTGAAGTGGCTCGCCGCACTGATGGTGGCACTGCTGCTGTTGGCACTGCAATTGTCTGCCGCGCCGCTGCAACAACTGCTGCTGCTGCTGTAGCTGTTCAAGCTGGTCCCGCATCTGCCACGCTGGAACCTGCAGCAGCAGCAGCAGCAGCAGCAGCAGCAGCAGCAGCAGCAGCAGCAGCAGCACGGCATGTGCAGGGAGGAGGTAGCAGCTTCGTCTACCGGTTACAACATCCGACGAAACTCAGTGAACTTCAGGTGTCTGGCCGGCTGCCCTGATCGCTGGCAAAGGATAGAAGGGCCTGCAAAATGGCATCACGCTGAGGGTGTGATGCTGCGAGCGCATGTTAGAAGTCGCCTGCAGATGACCCTCATAATTGCGATGGTGAGGGAGAAAGAAGCGCACCTCTGCACGTACATACATAGCTTGGCTGTCATGGGCCATGCCACATGAGGTTTCAGTCCGGCACGCAAACGTTGCAGGGGATCACCGCACATGGTGTCCTCGTCATTCCCGCCTGGAGAGGAAACCACACAGCAATGGTCGCTTTCCAAGCTCGACTCAGGGCCCGACGAACAGGAGGCATGGCGTTGTCGCTTCGTCTCCATAGAGCGACATAATGGCACTGGCGTTCTCAACTAAGTCTTTGTTCTGCTCCTGGGCAAGACATCCCAGAGACGTAAAGGCTGACAGCTGAGCCCCATCTAGCGCATATGGCCCGAAACTGCTTTCGTGCGAAAGGATCATCCATATCTCAAAGGCTTGAAGTATCTAGGGCATGCACCTGCACGTTTTGCAGCTGCGTGTAGGCGTCACCGGTATACCTGGAAACTGGACTGCAACTTGCAATGCGACCTCTCAAGTTCTCCGACAAACTCGACACTCTGAGCCTCTATCAAGAAGCGAGGATGCCGGAACACGTGTAGGACCTCGTAAACCCGGAATCCCAACTGCAACTAAGCAAGTCATGACGGCATGTTGGTGTGTTCATGTGCATTCCAATGCATCGCTTCGTTTGGCGCGCTTTGAGTCGCTGCTAAATCGTTGTTTCGAGCCCAACCAATTGGGAACTGCAGCGCCACAGCTCCGTCCAGGTGCTTTCATTGTATGAGGTCGTCCTGGGAAGTTTTAGGCTCTCTTGCGCCAAGACTGAAACCCCATGGGAAGCAAAGATGAAAAGATGCCAAGTAAGAGCAGGAACCCTTCCACGGCCAGCTCGGCATTCATGGGCATGGGGGATTTCCCACGACCCAAGCTCTCTGAAAGCCTCAATATTCTTGAGCGACCGCAAGCAACGTCGCAGTTGCGCAAGACACTGTGCAGGCAAGAAGCCGCTCATCAACCCAGTATCCACCTGAACCGCGTCCAGCATCCCTCGTGGCGAGGAGGACCACGGTGTCCGCTCCACGGTCTGGTGTCTTTGACAACTTCATGAGGGCAGAAGGTGCCTGCACCCGAACAAGCAAAATCAAGCTCAGGTGATATCTGCGCGATGCGAACATGTTGCGATTGGAGCCTTTGTTGGAAGATATCGCTGCAGCTCCGTATCCACAATCCCAGGGTCCAGCGCATTGGCCACAACTGGCAAGCCTCGAGCTTTCAATCTCCTTGCCAGCTCGTAGGTGAACATGACCTGGCCACAAGAAACTTGATTGCCTCATCGCCCCGTGCCGCATTCCCACCACACTTGCTCACAAAACCACCCCGTCGGCTTGTAGCGGCCCCCTCCAGAATGGATAGGATCAGGATGGGAGGATACCCACACCATGCCACACCCACACCCATGCCAAATTAAAGAAAGCTGTCCTCTTATTCGTATTCCTGTTGTTTTTTGTTCTTCCTCCTCTGCTTCTCCAGGGCTCAAGGGTTCTTCTTCTGCTCTCTGTCTTTCGGTAGGGCCTTAGGCTTTCTCTCTTCCTTCCGTCGCACTTAGCCCCCCCCGAAGGGAGAAGCCACCCAAACGGGCGTGCTCAACTCTCTCTCTCTCGCTCTCGCTCTCTCTCCTGCATTTCTTTTCTTCCTTTCCTTCAACATGGGAGCCGACGTCCAATGGAGGCTCTTGCTTGCTTGCAGCGCGCATGGCCTCCCTCCCTCGGGAGGTCGCCCCAAGGGGCACGCTCTATCGAGTCAGCCGGTGTGAAATTGGAGGCTCTCTCTCTCTGTCTTGCTTGCTTGCTTGCTTGCCTCTCTCTCTCACTCTATGTTTTCTTTTGCCCAAGCAGTAGACTGTTGGGGTGGCCAGTCGCCAGTTCCTTCTGAGGATTTCCGACTCGTCGAGATGGGCCTGCCGGGTTTGCGGTGGTTCGCGTTTCCACTTCTCTCCATTTGTCTCCCTTCATGTTGCACGGGTCTGCGGGGTTCCTGTGGCATGTGTCTCTACTCTCCCTTTGTCTCGGATGGGCGTGCCGGGTTTCCAGTGCCCTGTTTGTCTCGCTTCATGTTTGATGGGTCTGCCGGATTTCGCGCAAAAACACCCCATCGGCGCCCTGACCTGAAGGGGTGCCCTCTTGTTCAGAAGCTTGCAGGCGTAGGTAGAGTTGCCAAAGTCTGTGTTAGGATAATACAGTGCGGGCAAGCAGTTTGCAAGTGCTTGTTCGAAAAAGAACGTGCCACTGTGTCACGTCCATATTCGTGGATGTGACCGTTTAGGGCTCTTAAGGTTACTTGACGCCCGTCCTCATGCTTTGATGAGGTCGTATTTCTGACCTCACCTTTCTGATCTAAACTGTTTGGGGCCTTCGCTGGTGTACTTTTCTCTCTCTCTCTCTCTCATTGTGCTGATCCTTCTGCTTCTTCTGCGTATTCTTCTTCTTATTCTTATTCTTATTGTTCTTGTTCTTGTTCTGGTTCTGGTTCTGGTTCTGGCTCTTGCTCTTGTTCTTGCTATTGTTCCCGTTCTGGTTCTTGTTATTGTTCTTGTTATTGTTCTTCTTCTTGTTCTTGTTATTATTATTGATCTTCCTGGTCTTCCTATTCTTATTATTCTTCTGCCTCTTCTTCTTCTTCTTATTCTTATTATTCTTCTTCTTCTTATTCTTCTTCTTCTTCTTCTTCTTCTTCTTCTTCTTCTTCTTCTTCTTCTTCTTCTTCTTCTTCTTCTTCTTCTTCTTCTTCTTCTTCTTCTTCTTCTTCTTCTTCTTCTTCTTCTTCGTCTTCTTCTTCTTCTTCTCATTCTTTGGGCTACCCGGTGGGCTGTTTATGTGCTGCAGGAACATTGCTGTGGAAACTATTTGCAGGTTTTCGGGATCTATTTGCCTCGAAGTTGTTCCGAACCGTTCTGACCTTGCAAAACCTCGGCACGCCAACTCCTGAACCCGTTCCGAAACCGTTCCGAACCGTTCCGAACCGTTCCGAACCGTTCCGAACCGTTCCGAACCGTTCCGAACCGTTCCGAACCGTTCCAACCTCGAGTCGCAAAGTCGGGAAACCGTTCCGCAAAATCAAGGACCAAAGATGTTGAGACAGTTCCTGAACATGATGAAGTGGTTTTTGAGACAAGTAAATGGTTCGTGAGATGGCATGTCTCCGAGACAGAAACCCTATTGCTAAAGAGCCCACCGGTTTGTCTAACTTATTCTTCTTATTATTCTTCTTCCTCCTTTGACAGCGTACCGGCCCTGAAGCAGATTCTTTCGATAAGACATCCACAATTTGACGAGTGTATACTTTGGATCAAGGGAGGCAAGTCAAGCCTGCGCGAGCTTTGACTGTCCGTATGCAGTCCAAGGATAGTACGCGTATCGATCCCCTTCTCCCCCTGATAGATTCAGGTCCGCTGCATCACCAAATGCCAGCGGACTCCGGACAAAGTGTGCCGATGAAGACACACTGATGATCCTTCACCCACAGCATGTGTGCGCTTGACAGCTACCGCCGAGGAACCTGAAAAAAGTAGCCTTTGCCCATTCTACTGGAACCGTCCTCGCCGGATCATCATCGGTCCCAGCTTTCACAAGCTGCGGCATCAACAGGTTGACAAGCAAAAAATGGCTCAGGTAGTTCACCTCCAGCTGAAGCTCATTGCCGTCAGCGGAGACCTGCCTTTGCGGCAGCGCCATGACAGCCGCATTGCAGATAAGGGTATGCAGAGGCAAGTTCATGTCCTGGAACTGCTTGGCAGCTTGCCGCACCGACTTAAAGGAAGCCAGCCCCAAAGGCAGATACTCCAGCTCTGTCGTTTGTGCCACAGGGCCCATCTCGTCCATGGCCGCTTTGGTTTTTGCTTCATTGTGCCCTGCCAGAATAATTCTCGAATACATGTTGCTGCGGCACAGCTCCTGTGCCGTGGCTTTGCCAATTCCAGTTGATGCTCCCGTTATGAGAGCAATCTTGTTCGCCTTTTCCCTGGGCTGCGTTGCCCTTGCCGCCCTTGCCCTGCTGGGTGCAACAAGGACTGTGCTCAACAGACCAGCCAGACGGCGAAACGACCGCGCTCGGCTTGACTGATGCTGGTCCAAGTGGCACGCCCTAATCTCTCGATGACTTTCCAAAGTCCTCGACGTTTGCCAGGGCCGGACAGCAGGAGGAGCCACGACTTTTGCTGCAGCAACCATCGGCAGTACGGGTATGGAACGGGATCGTTACTATCATGAGCCTTAAGATAGAAGTCTTGTTGGTCTTCTGAGGGCACTTCTGTGCAGATTGGGCCAGGGACTGCCCGAATTCGGCATTTGGCTAACAGGGGGGCGCTCGCAGACTCGGTACAGAACGTGGCAGAGACGATCGCTTTGAGCAATCGACATGCAAGCTCAACGAAAACAACAACACTGAGCAGCTCACACCCGGTCTCCGCTGCAGGGTTGAGAGGCCCCAACTCCGCACCTAAGTCTGCGTAGTGTCCCCAGAGCTGTCATGACACCGGGGCAGAGAGACTCAAGAAAAGACAAGACACCATCAAATCTGCCAGTATGTCGGCTTCAGCCCTTTTGCAGCACATGAGAAGTCACGGCGAAGGATGAGGGCCTTGGGAGGCGAACCAGAAGGTAACCAGCAACGATCAGCAACACCATCCAAAGCTCAAAGCCCCAATCAAAGGCAAGAGCACCATCGAAAGCCGCAGCTGTTCCATTCATTGTTGGTCCAACCATCAAACCGCTGCTCAGGATTGTAGAACGTAGGCCACGGAGCCCACCCTTTTACAGAATGGTACTGCATGATTTTCTCTGACATGTTAATGAATCAATGAACATTTGCGCCCGCCGAGGCCCCAAGCCTAATGCGGTTGGGCTGCATCCCCCTCCCTTGCTGCGATTGAAAAGCGGCGGAAGGTCAACGGCTGACAGCTACTGGTACCTGTGCAGAAATACTCGACGATTGGCGATTGCGAAAAGAGCTGTGTCAAGTTTTCAAGATCCCATCGCCACCCACCCACAACATCCCGCTCAGGCTATGCGTAATCTCGCATCAAGGTGGCAGAAAACTGCTTGCCCAGCTCTGCTGGATGGTGAAACGTTTCCCGGCACAAGCTGCCAGGAAACCGAGAACGGCACACTGGTCCACCTGACCTTCAGGCCAATAGGTTCAATAGGTTCAATACGGTTCAGTAGGTTCAATAAGTTCAATAGGTAAACTACGTGTCATTGTGTGGCATTGCAGAGCGTGGAAAACGCTTGACCTGCTCTCAGAGCAGCCTTGGACATTAGCCCTCTCATGGAAAGCTCTTCAAGTCCCGGCACGCCTGCTGCTGCATCGAATGTTAATAGCTGATACTGCCTGACTTTCCCGACCTCAGAGCTTGGCCAGCGAACGCCGCGCAGCCCACACATAGGCATCGGGAAGATTACCTCATCTGTTCATCTGCGATGGAGCAGGAGCTCTCCACCCAGTGCAATCTCACTGGTTGCAGCCATGTGGCGCTCTACATAACCGCTGGGCAAAGCCCGCATTCTGCGAAGGCGCGATGATTCCATGTATGTAACTTCAGGTTTCCACACAGCGGCGGCCCCATCAGCCACGAATTTTCTGAAAAGCACCTGTCAGACAAAGAAAGGTCCACAGCTAGTCAGCTCGCCCAAGCCATGGCCAGAATCCCGGAACACCCACGTGATCCGGTGTGCCAAGTTCAGATACAATAGCACCGAAAACAAATGTGCGCAGCAAACGCTCGCCAAGGTTCGTGCATGTTGGTGGCATGTTGGCAGCATGTTGTTGACATGTTGGTGGTATGCTGGCGGCATGGAACAAAGACAGAGAGAGAGAGAGAGGCAAGCCCCCGGCCTCCACATTGCTCTTTGCCATCCACATCCGCTCATAGGGCGTGTTTGGATAGAGCTCTCGAGCAATCTCCTCGATAGACACCGGCTCCGAGCGCTTGACTAATGCTCGCCATGCCTGCTCTTCCCGCTTCTGTCTGTGGGAAATGTAGCGTTGAAGGATCTCAACTCCATCTTTGATGTAGGCACCATGCCCCGGGAACAAGCTGACGGGATGCATGTGCAGCATCTTCCTGAGGGACTCCATGTAGTCTTTCATTTCAACCACAAAGGTGGTACCCCAGCCCAACACATGATCACCTGAAAAGAGGGAATGTTCTTCTTCCAGTAGGAAGCACATGTGGTCCTCTGAATGTCCTGGCATATGCAGAGCTGTTAGTGTCGCCCCCTCGGTCGAGATGCTATCTCCTGTGTCCAATGCCTCCCAGGGGTATTCCCCACTGCGGAGGCGATCAAGCAAGTCCTGGGAGTTCCACACGAAGTAAAACTGCCACTGGAGCTTCTCCGCTACGTTCTTGCCTGGCACGTACTTCACCCTGTCCGCTGCCCACTCCAAGTCAAGCGTATCAGGCAACATCATCGGTGCAGTGTCCTTGAGTGGATTATATCGGGGACGGCCATCAAACCCTTGCAAGTACTTCAGCTGATCTCGCTTCCGGAGCTCTGATATTAAAGCAAAGCTCGCGCTGGAAAATTCTCGCGAGTACACTGGAATTGGACCGTACTTCTCCTGCAGCCTTCCAACGTTCCCGTAATGATCATGGTGCATGTGTGTGATGACGATGCCGTCCAAACCTTCCACGCCCAGCTCCGCAAGGCATCTGCTAAGGTTGTTCATGAATGCGTCGGCTCCGAAATGTTGCTCTCCTGTGTCAACTAAGATGCGTCGACGGCCCGTGCCAACCAAGTAGCAGTTGGTGCCATTCAGCGTAAACGATGAGGGATTTTGTGCCAGTACGCAAGCTACACGTTCAGTCAATTGCTCCCAGTCGGGCTGCGGCTGCAAGCCGCCGCTTCCTTCAAAGCGGTTCTGGCCAGCTGCAACCACGTTACGTCTGTCATGTCTGTCGTCGGGTCTGGACCTGTTTGGTGGTTCTGGTGGTTCATCAGCTTGCTCCGATGCATCGACACTGGAAATCGTTGCAGCACATGCTTGGGCCCGCAATCGAACTGCTTTCCTCGAGCTGCGAAGACGGGCCAGGACCTCGTAGTCTGTAGGCTCGAAGGACGACGGCACACAGCAAGGACAACCCCATTCCATTGGCACGGTTGGACTCTTGGAAGAAAAACCTACAAGCAAAAGGCTTCAGTGAAATTGCTGCAGAAGGTCAAAGGTTGCGCACGAACAATCACTCATCAGTCCTGGCGCATCTCCCACGATCCTACACCCTGCAAGCGCGCACACAGCGGGATTCTGCGTTTCGCACGCTTTCCGGTGCATCTCAGGCAGAATTCACAGTTGGGAGCCACCGGGCACGTCAACGCACTGTGCAGGGGCACATGCTCCTCAATGCCTTCCACTGAGGGAGCTTACACCAAAAGTCCACAAAAAAGTCACAGAAGTCTGGGAGTGGAGGCGTCACTGACATCAGCAATCGGGGCCGATTCTGGTGCGACCGACAAGCTGCACTGCGCGAGGTGCAACGAAGTGCAATTCGGACATCTTCGAACTCGTGTCTCAATGTCTCAGTACGTCTCAATTCCGCTTTCGTCACTGTAGCAAGCAGGAATCCAGATAGCCGTCACGTGGCCAAGGCCGTTGTAGACCGATCTGTAGACTGTGACCAAAGCATCTTGTCAAGGCTCAGTGCGATCTAGCCGAATCTAGCCATCATCATCAGACACTTCGAAGAACATAGCCGAAATAGCATCTGTGCCGGCTGCGCTGGCCGGTCTGCCTGTCGACATTGTAGACGTTTGATTCTCCTGGCCGGCGTAGAGTTTGTGCGTCGTGTGCGGCGGGCACGGAGAAGGACCGCCGAGAGGCGAAATGCATCCAGCTTGCGCTGGCCCTTGCAGTGGCAGAGCATGTAGAACCTCCAGCTTCATCCTCTGCCTCAGTCGTTCGGCCTCTTCTTGTGCCCAAGAGCACGGCTCCCAAAAGCTGCACCTTGGCACAATATGAATCGTAGGTGCAGCAATTTCAAAAAACACATGGCCAATCATGGCCACATGAACTCCCAGTCTCGGCCACGGCGCTGTTTCGAAGCCCTTGGCTGAGGAAGCATCCGAGGGATTAAGTCGCTTGCACAAGTTTGGCGACATGCGCTAGCAAACAAGTCGCCCCATCGGACTGCATGCCAAGTAGTATCGTCCTGACAGTGTCATGCATGGGCTCACTAAAGAAACACGCACTGCTAACTCCAAGTCTCGCCTGCTTTGCTTTTCAGGGCACTGGGCCTGCCTTGGTTCTTCACGGCCATGACACCATACATCTCTCGATGCCATTCAACCCTTCCAGCGCAGAAAAGCCACCACAGTGGCAGCTCTTCTGATGCCGGGCAAGCTCTGGACGCGACATGCGAAAAGTCAGCGAAAGACGCACGTGGCCTGGCTGAACCAACGACGAGAATGGCATGTTGGCAAGCATGCGACATCGTGCATTATCCGTTCGCTGGCGATCCTGCCAAGGGGTGCTTCCCGATTGTCGAATCTGCTTGTCGGGGTACCGAGTGCTGCCACTCCTCCTGGCAGTCGTCCCACATGATGACAGCCTCATGAAAGCTGGCATGCGGCATCATGCAACCACCATGACACTTCGGGAAATGGGGACCCGGCTGTGTTGTGGGGCATCGGTATGGAAGCCACCTTTGTGCTGCAAGTTGACGCTTCAACCGTCAGGATACACGCTTCGAGCTCAGAAACCCTTCTGCTCCAAGCCACCATGGCTTCCGCATGAGTGGGTGATGACTCATCATCTCTTGCTGTCCGGCGTAAGCAAAAGCGACGGCAAGATCCCAGCGAGAGACCCACGATTATCGGCCGTGGCCCAAGGGAGTTCAGAAAATCAGAATGCCAACCAACACACGCTCTTCCATTCTCATAGCGGTTTCCTAGAGCAAGCGTAGGTTCCCAGTTTGTTTGCGGCCTTCTTTCACGCACTAGGGTCTGCATGATTGTTGCAGCCCGATGAAGGGCCGCAGACGGCTCGCACCTGGCGCGGCTTTCCTCCCTGCCATGCCCGTCTGCAACATCTGTGCTCGAGCACACGTTCGATTTCGGAAAGGAGCTGGCCGTGGCTCTCTCTGTGCTTCCAAGACCTTTGAGCTCACGGAACTCGTAAATTGCAGATGTCCGCGGGGTCGTGAACTCTTTTCCGTGCACGACCCAAGAGCTGGCCGCCCACGCGTCCAAGGATTCCCTCAAAAGCTCGACGAGGAGCTGGTCGGCCAGCTCACGCGGCAGCGCATGGCGGATGACATGAACGGGAGCAAGTGCAGCCAGCTCCTCATCTGGTACAGCTCGTTCCGCCTGTGCTGTTCGTACAGTAGCCGGCTGTGCTGGCAGTCGACGGATCGGCCATGCAGCTGCTGCCAAAGGTGGCTTGCACCTTCGAGTTTACAAGAACAAGTATGGCCCCATGCCTGTCGGATGAAGTCAACTCCAGCATGACGACTGGTAGCTTTCGACAAGGGCAATTTGGCTTTTCCCGCCTGTCATCTTGCCGGGGCAGCTCCTGATGCTCCTGCGGTCGCTGCAAAACGCATTCACAAACTCAGCTTGAGCTCCACACCTGTTCCTGCGGCCCTGCGGTCCTGTTTGTCTGCATGGTGCCGCTTTGTGTGACTCTCCTCGCGCGCCTCCTGACAAAGCAGCCTGTGCCTCCGCTACAGCAGCAATAGCAGAACAGTCCTCGAGGTCCACAACTCGAGCTCGAGTCGAGCCGGAAGCCAAAGCTTGCACAATGGACACCTGCCTCACAAGCGTTGTCTTTGCAAAGCTCAAGAGATGAGATGCCGGAATTCCACGATCCTGTTTTACAGTGCCGGAACTCAGCTGACGAACAAGTAGACGCTGCCTTGCTTGTCACTGAGCTAAGGTGATTGTTTGCCGCATGCGATAGACAAGCCATGAGAGCACAAACCGCTTCGTACACCTCGTTTCGAAACGTTCTTTGATCACACGTTTCGTTTGCGCGCAGGGAAGCTTGCGTTCTCGATCATGCATGGCGTGGTCGAGTATCTCAATGGAATGAAGACGGTGAAGTGCCGTCATGAAATGGTGGAGAGCCGTCATGCAATTGCATGATTTTCTGCGTGGGTGCCACACCGAATGAGCCAAACACAAATCAAACTGTTGCTAGTCACCTGAGTGCTGTTGCTGAGTACAATCATGGGGACTCTAAACCTGCCGCCCGAATGTCTTCATGTCAGCGCCAGCCTTTTGCAGTACTGACATGCCTGAAAATGCTCCAACCCAACAAAGAAGGCGACATGCAAAAACCCTTGAAAAACACATGGGGAAATGCAGGCATGGTCTGCCGGGCCTGGCTTCCTTCGCTTTGCGCTTCATGTGGCTCTCATGGCGTGACGGCAGAACCACGGGAGGAAAGGATCATCCTTTTCAAAGGGCTCGTTTGGCTTTTAACCGCATTGAGAGAAAAAACCAACCCTTCCTCTTCCTAAACGCGAGGCTTCAGAGGCTGTTGCCGACGATAGTGCAGGAAAATCGAGCTCAACAAAAATGCACAACGAAAACAAAACGAGACATGTGGACGCCGCCACTATCTCTTTTGTTCTGGGCAGGATGCGGCCGCTCGCTCATGGCGAAACATGCCTGGGGCTCTTGGCTAAGCTAGAAACCGGTGAAACTGCTTTTCCATGTCAGCACATGCCCCGCGTCGTCTCACCGTTAACTCATGTTATCTTCTTCCACCGCGTCTGCCACCGCCTTTACCTCGTGTTCCTTGTGTTTCCTCTTGCCGTCGTCTAGCTTCTCTCTCGGCTGCACGCTCTGCTTGCAGCGTGACCTCGGCTATGTCGAAAACCAAACCCTTGCAAATTGGCACGACTGGAAACTGGGATGCAATCGAAAGACCATCTCTCGCTCCTTCTTGACTTTCCGGCCCAATGCTGCAACCGCAATGCAAACTACGCCGATCACGCCGATCAGCATGATGGCCGGGCCATTGCCTAAAGGCACGACGGTGTAGTCCTACCCGCACATTCCACGAGGTGTTCAACTGCTTAGCTACATGCAGACCAAGACGCCAGAGTCCGGCATTTTTTGAGACACACCCGCACACAAGGAACTCTACATGTCTCTTGACAGTAAACACTTGTGACAAAACATGTCAGATTTTTCGGACAGGTTCATGCTAAGTCAACTGTGCGTCCTCATGCTCTCACAGTCAGGACCGTGGGGCGTCTCCGATTTTCAGCAAGAGCTGGTCTTGTCAGGTGGTGTCTGTTGAAGTGGAATCCTGCTTCTCAGAAGATGCACGGCAGGTCAGGGAACGCCTCGCAAGCAGCTGTAGGAAGTCTTCCACCGTATTTCCAAAGGCTGGCCACTTCACTTGCCGAAGCCTTGCCTGGCGAAGCTCCGATCCCGACTGCCAAAAGTGGCCCTTGTAGGTAATGGTGGACTTTGGGTACAGTCCCTGCTTCCAGCGTACTTCGATCTCCTTGGCAGTTTTCGGTCATTAGAACCAATACTGAACCAATGCACGTGGCTAGGAGCATGAGGGATGTGATGGCTGCTGCTTTCCACTACCGCCTCCAGTTTGCACCCCAGGAGCATCCAGCATCTTGGCCTTGGCTTAGCGAGCCATGCGAGCCCCGCCCGCCTTTCATGCATCAAGTCAGGGTATACTGCAATCCTGAATGTCGCTGGCGAGGCACTGTTGCGGCTGGATCCTTGCAGTTATGCGCTGTCCAAAAGGCCTGACGTCGTCTCAAACATTGCCACATGCGACATACATTCTTCACTCCGGGAGTTTCTAAGCACATCATGGGCTATCCCAGCCACACTCTCTACACATCTATGAACACCACATATGCCGTCGGCAACAACTGCGGAAACACTAAAAACACAAACGTTGCCACAATCAGCCACGATTCAAACTTCCCACCCTGCGCAACACACTAAATTGGTTACAGGGGTGGGGCCAAGTCAAAACGGAAACTGAAGAGTACAAAATGGAGCCCGAAAACAGCTTGGTCTCCAGGCCAAGACTTCAAAGTTGGTTGGGTGCGCGCAGGATCACCCAAGTCGTCGACAAGCATGGGCAGGGTTTTTACAAGGACAAGCTCGCGACAGTTGCCAACCCATCCAAGACCATCAGCCCAAAACGAAGGGGACTCTCCCACATGAACTTCAACCCCGAAGGCTCCTGTAATCAACCAAAAGTCCTTAAGTTTCATGCCAAGCTGAGAGAGCTGGGAGAGCATCGGAGCACTCTGGGTCTGCGTACAGCCCCCTTTTAAACAATGAGAAAGCTCCTAAAAACTCTGCTGAAATGAAAGGGCATCCGAAGACCGAAGACAGCTCCCTTATCTCTTCATAAGGAAGCCAAAGCTCCTCGAATTCCTACTCGGAAGTGAGGGGCCTCTTCTACCTGCTAACAAAGGGGTTCCAAGGGTGCCCTTGTCTGATTTTTTGGTTAATAATTAAACCGAACTCTCTACCTCAAAACATGTAGGAAAGAGCTCCTGGCTGAAAATGGTCTCGCCTGAAACTTGTATCACAAGCCTTGAATTGAAAATCATGCATCTTGAAATCTGGCGCCGCGCTAAAGAAAACTACTTGAGGTTCTGGGTCGGAACCCGGCGCACGGACCCTGCGTGACTGCCTCAGGCGCCTAATCCCTACATCTACGCCTTTGAGTTGTTCTTCTGGCCCAGCTTTGCCTGAACAAAACAAGGAAGACAGGATGAGACAGACATCCGAACACTTAATACCGTACACCACACTGACAGGAGACAAAGGGAGAACAAAGGAAGACCCACTGCGAAGCGCCGCGCAACAAAGAAGCCAGCATTCCTTGCCGACTTGAAAGCCCACGCCTGCTGAGGGCGGAACCACCTAATAAGAGACGAGCCCAGTGACAGGCTACCAAAGGGTGGCTGCTGCGGACCGCTGCAATGGCTGCCGGTCGGCAGAGAACGGATCCCCGTGGCGCCGTATACTTGAGACCGACTTACAAGCAGACTCGCGAGTGGGAACTCTCCATGCACGCCAAGCTCAGCACCTTCGTATTGCTGGTGCGTCGGAGCCGTGAGACGAAGACGCGGCGATGCCCGTCAACTTCCCCACTCCCACTGCGAAGGGACACAAAGCGCGTAGACCAACATCCTCCAAGACCCATAGAATCAAGAACCCCTACAGTAAACGAGCCGGGAGCAACAGCAAAATAGGGAAAAATGAGCACCTGTGTTTTGCAGGCCGGCTCAACGACACAATCGGTTCACCTTGGCCGCACCATGCGGATAGAACTTTGGGTCATTCGCGATGTCGCCCGTGGTCGTTTCAGCTCCCTTCCTCAGAGCCACGACCCGCCCACTCTCATTCTAGCTGAGTGGAGGTTGCCAAGCAGGATTTGAGCAGCACAACGGTATGTCATTTCGTTTGCCGTCAAACCGGAATAATTAGGCAAGTGTCTCGGGGCTCCAGCTCAACATATCGGCAAATTCATGGTAGTCGTTATCGAACTTGCACCATTGCTTCGTCCTCAGAAGTCTTCCATGCTATCCCACTACTTCAATGGTTCCCTCATCCAACCATGAACCAATGTAGGTGAGCGTCCCCTTCTCCTTAGTACGATCCGAGAGGCATGCACCACTATCTGCTGCTAACTCGGCATTTGAAAGGCAGCCACAGATGTCAGACAAGCAGCTTCCCATGTCGCCACATTCAGTAGATCCTCATCCTCCGGAATCTTGGCCACTGCAAGGGCTGCCAAGTTGCCGCTTTCATCCGTCAAGGCGGGAAGTTGCCTTATGTCTGCAGTGAGTTAGCCTGGAGTTAGCCTCATGTGGACCGCCACTTGTGTCCAGCAAGACTATGGATACTATGGGAGCAGCCATGGGAGCAGCCATGGGAGCAGCCATGGGAGCAGCCTCAGTAGAGCAGCCAGGCGTCTCATCTCTGAAGTGCCGCCGGAGCCAGCGGCCAAGGAATGGAAGCGAGTAAAACGTCCTGGAAGCCCGTGACTGATATTCGCTGTGCATGCTCGACAAGGGCAGAGATGGATCATGGTAGTGTCCATGTGGGATGGGCGTGGCTCCACCGCATCGTGTGGTGCTTGCAAGCCTTTGCCAAGCGACATGGGGGCTTATGGGGCCTCATCTGCCCTGGCACGAACGGGTAAAAGCTGTGGCCGCCACAGGTGGATCGGGGCAATAGCGCTGCCACCACACATTGTTGGGCGTGTCTGCCTCTGTGCTCGCGTTCGGACAGCATGAGTGTGGACCCAGCAAATCCATGAGCCTGTGTAAAGCTGTAGAAATGCACAGGAAGGATGGGAAGAGGCGTCTCCTTCGTGATCTCCTGGACAGGACAACACCTACCTAATTCACAGCAGCTAAGCTGGCACATGTGCAGGCATACTTCTGTCCTTCTCGGTCATCTCAAACCTGTGCGATTTTGGGTGCCCTATGCTCGCCAAGTCCAGGAAGCATGTATACCAGGCACAAGTTCATTGATTTAAGCAGCTGGCATGTAATCAACACCAGGTCCCACAAACTGATCAGAATCCAACTCCACGCCCGTCATGGCCTTGATTGCTTCAGCTGACATGCCCCTCCCGTGCTGTTTCATTCTTGACCGGCTACATCTCTGCACACACTATCAGCCCCTGAGGCTGAATCTCGAGAGATCAAGAATGATCTCAGCTTGTTGAAATTGAAGCTTCGGTGGGCATCGGGCTCCATCGGAGCGGCATGGACTAGAAGCCTCAAATGTCAAGGCAGCATATGGTGTCCTGATGTGTCCTGCAAGGTGCAACAGCTTCTGGAATGCAACCTGGTTTGGTGCTAAGGATTGCTAAGCCAGTTGCAAGCGGGGAAAGCGCTCAGCTGTCCAGGAGTCTGGAGTGCGGCTTCCCAAGTGAAGCACCACGATGGGCGCCTCGGAGAACATGTGCACTGAACCTCGGCGGTGCCAGCCAAAAGCATGTTCTTCAAAGGCGGTTAACTTTGGAGTACGGGGCAGCTTTGGGCAGTTGAACAGGTTCCGACAAGACGTTCAAACTTGTGCATGCGTGCACGATGCGTTCTCCCTACCCGTCGAGAACGGAAGCCAATCTACCCAGACCTACCCCGCGTTGCAGGTGGGAAAGCTCACTTCGGATTCATGTCGAGTGTGGGTGGGTCGGTGGGTGTGTCTCACTCTGCCGCCATGCGCTACGCTTTGGGCGCACTCTGCTCGTGGGGGGACTTTGTGGAGCGTTCCCGTGCACTAGGGCGCAAGCACGAACTGCTGCCTCTAGCATCTTTCTTCATAATCTTGTTTCTTTTTTCGAAACAAAACACATCGAAAAACAAAAATGACAATACTGTTACAAAAACGAAAAGTATAAAAAACAAAAACAGTCCATGCATATTCAAGTAAATCTAAAATAATTGTCGACTACGAATGCACGCCTAAGGTGCTCTAGGGAGAGGAAACAGACATGCTGCCTTTTTTTTGTCACGCTGGCTGAAAGTGCGGATCTGGTCCGAAGCAGGACTTGAACAGAACGCTGGGCGTGAATTACATTCGAGCAGACGCTTGACCCGACAGACCCGGCCAGCATTCTTCAAGCAGACGCCAACAGATCAGAAAAATATGTCTCGCAAGGATAGGTGTGAGCACACGGTCATTCCGGAAGCCCGGGGCATGGTCAACGTGGATGGAAATGAACTGGCGTTCTTGGACCAAGAACATGTGCGAAGAGGGTGACCCCTAAACAATCAAACAAGATGTTGGGTGGGCAAACCCTAAACCCTGGCAAGCCCGAAAACCTAAAAGCAAATTATGGGTGAACAAGCCCTCAGCCTAAAAGAAGATTTTGGGCGGGCAAACCCTCAACCCACCCTGAAAAAAGATGTTTGGTGGGCAGGCCCTAAACCCTAAAAGAAGATGTTGGGTGGTGGACAAGCCCTAAACCCCAAAAGAAGATGTTGGGCGCGAAACCCTAAACCCTAAAAAAAGATGTTGGGTGGGCAAGCCCTAAACCCTGAAAGAAGATATTGGGTGGGCAAACCCTATGTAAACCCCCAAAAAACAAAAGGGGGCGGGCAAACCCTAAACCTCGTCGGCAAGCCCTAAGCCCTGAAAGACGATGATGGGAGGGCAAGCCCTCAACCTAAAAGAAGATGTTGGGCGGGCAAACCCTAAACCCTCAAGGAAGATGTTAGGTGGCGGGCAAGCCCGAAACCCTAAAAGATGAGGCTGGGTGGGCAAACCCCAAACCCTGACGGAAGCTGCTGGGTGGACAGGCCCTGAACCCTAACAGAAGATGTTGCGTGGGCAAGCCCTAAACCCTGAAGGAAGATGCTGGGTTGGCAAACCCCATAACCCTAAAAAAACACAAAGGGCATGGGCAAACCCTAAACCCTCAAAGAAGATGTTGGGTGGTGGGCAAGCCCCAAGCCCCAAAAGAAGTCGTTGGGAAGCCAAACACCCTCAAAGAAGACGATGGGTGGGGCGGGCAAACCCTAAACCCTAAAACCCTAAAAGAAGACGCAAGCCATAAACCCTCAAGAAGATGTTGGGTGGGCAAGATACAAAACCATATAAGAAGATGCTGGGCAAACCCTAAACCCTGAAAACTCAAAAAGGGGGTGGGCAAACCTTAAGCCCGAAAAGAAGATGTTGGGTGGTGGCCAAGCCCCAAAGCCCAAAAGAAAATGTTGGGTGCGTCAGCCCTAAAAGAAGATGTTGGGCGGGCAAGCCCTAAACCCTAACAGAAGATGTTGGGTGGGCAAGCCCTAAACCCTGAGAGAAGATGTTGAGTGGGCAAGCCTTATACCCGAAAAGACAAAGGGGGGTGGGCAAACCCTAAACTCTAACAGAAGATGCTGGGTGGGCCAACCTGAACCCTGAAAGAATATGTTGGGTGGGCAAAACCCTAAACCCTAAAGAAACAAAGGGGGTGGGCAAACCCTAAACTCGGAAAGAAGATGTTGGGTGTGCAAGCCCTAAACCCAAAAAGAAGATGTTGGCTGGTTTCTCACTCACTCACTCACTCACGCACTCACTGATACACAGCTCCGAATCGGGCTGAGCGTTGCTCAACCTGTGAGAAAAGTGCAGCCATCGCTCTGATTACAGAGACTGAAAAGGCTGACACAGAAACTGAAAGCAGAAATTTCGGAGGCTAGGCTACACCGCTGCCCCTTGAGGTAGTGTCTTCGTGTCCCACGGGCGCTGTTTACAAGAAGTTCAAGGAAAAGGTAAGCTGTGGTTGGCAACTGGGGCTAATCGCAGGTCAGATGTCAGTGACGTATCTGCGTCACATTCGGTGACCTATTCGGTGAGATTGTCGCTGAGCGAAAACCTGGGATCGTTTTGGCAACGTTTCTTCTACATATTCGATAAAATATTCTGTGAAGTCTTCGATGACTTGCTGATGGTCATATTAATAAGTAAGACTCAGCTATCGAGTGTTCAGCTATTTTTTTGCTTGAAAGGGGGTTCACGGCGATTGGCTGTGTCTGCTACTCAGCCCTACAAGAGCATGATGGGAGGGCAAGCCTGAAAGAAGATGTCGGGTGGGCAAGTCCTACACCCTACAAGAACATGCCGGCGGGCAGGCCCTAAACCCTGCAAGACGTTGGGTGGGCAGGCCTTCAAACCTGAAAGAAGATGTTGGGTGCGCCCTAAACCACTAAAAAAAACGAAAGGTGTGGGCAAGCCCCAAACCCCAAAAGAAGATGTTGGGTGGTGGGCGAGCCCCAGACCCCGAGCGCGTAAGCCCTAAACCCTAGAAGAAGATGTTGGGTGGTGAACGAGCCCTAAAGCCCAAAAGAAGAAGTTGGGCGCGTAAGCCCTAAACCCCAAAAGAAGATGTTGGGCGGGCAAGCCCTAAACCCTAAAAGAAGATGTTTATGTTGGGCAAACCCTGAACCAAAAAAAGGTGGGCAAACCCTAAACCCTAAAAGAAGATGGTGGGTGGTGGGCAAGCCCCAAAGCCCAAAAGAAAATGTTGGGTGCGTAAGCCCTAAAAGAAGATGTTGGGCGGGCAAGCCCTAAACCCTAACCGAAGATGTTGGGTGGGCAAGCCCTAAACCCTGAGAGAAGATGTTGGGTGGGCAAGCCTTATACCCGAAAAGACAAAGGGGGGTGGGCAAACCCTAAACTCTAACAGAAGATGCTGGGTGGGCCAACCTGAACCCTGAAAGAATATGTTGGGTGGGCAAAACTTTACCCTAAACCCTAAAGGAAAAGAGGGGGCGGGCAAACCCTAAACTCGGAAAGAAGATGTTGGGTGTGCAAGCCCTAAACCCAAAAAGAAGATGTTGGCTGGTTTCTCACTCACTCACTCACTCACGCACTCACTGATACACAGCTCCGAATCGGGCTGAGCGTTGCTCAACCTGTGAGAAAAGTGCAGCCATCGCTCTGATTACAGAGACTGAAAAGGCTGACACAGAAACTGAAAGCAGAAATTTCGGAGGCTAGGCTACACCGCTGCCCCTTGAGGTAGTGTCTTCGTGTCCCACGGGCGCTGTTTACAAGAAGTTCAAGGAAAAGGTAAGCTGTGGTTGGCAACTGGGGCTAATCGTAGGTCAGATGTCAGCGACGTATCTGCGTCACATTCGGTGATCTATTCGGTGAGATTGTCGCTGAGCGAAAACCTGGGAGGCCTTAAATCCTGAGCAAACCCTAGACCCTAAAAGAAGATGTTGGGTGGTGGGCAAGCCCTAAATCCCAAAAGAGGATGTTGGGCGCGAAGCCCTAAACCCTAAAAGAAGATGTTGGGTGGGCAAGCTCTAAACCCTAAAAGAGGATGTTGGTCGGGCAAGCCCGGGACAAACCCTATACCCGAAAAGACGAAGGGGGGTGGGCAAACCCTAAACTCGAAAGGAAGATGCTGGGTGGGAAAACCCTGAACCCTGAAAGCTATGTTGGGTGGGCAAAACCCTAAACCCTAAAGAAACAAAAGGGGCGGGCAAACCCTAAACCCTAAAGGAAGATGTTGAGTGTTGGGCAAGCCCTAATAAAGCCCACGAGAAGATGTTGGATGCGTAAGCCCTAAACCCGAAAAGAAGATGTTGGGCGGGCAAGCCCTAAACCCTAAAAGAAGGTGTTGGGTTGGCAAGCCCTAAACCCTGAGAGAAGATGTTGGGTGGGCAAACCCTATACCCGAAAAGACAAAAGGGCTGGGCAAACCCTAAACTCTGAAAGAAGATGTCGGATGCGCAAGCCCTAAACCGCAAAAGAAGACGTTGGCTGGTTTCTCACTCACTCACTGACACGCAGCTCCGAATCGGGCTGAGCGTTGCTCAACCTGTGAGAAAAGTGCAGCCATCGCTCTGATTACAGAGACTGAAAAGGCTGACACAGAAACTGAAAGAAGAAATTTCGGAGGCGAGGCTACACCGCTGCCGCTTGAGGCACGCACCCCTGGGATCTTCGTCAGCAGCTCTGTCGACAGACCTGGATCGCTCCTCTCGTCTTTGTTGCTTTAGTGCCATCCTCTTGGCTCTGTGTGCCTCCTTGAATTACGCCAACGCGAGGGCCCGTGCTCATAAGCTTGCTTGCATGGTGCCAATTTGGAGATGCCGCGAAATGTACACACGTGAATAACAAACTGATGCCTTTGTTTGCGCCGAGGCGCAGTGCAAGGCTATGGGTGGCGGAGGTACTGGAAGGAACTAAAGAACACGTGCAACGTTGCTCGAGAGTAAGTTCCAGGTACAGCAACATGATGACATCACTGAAGAGCTGGAGTCCAGACTTCGCAGCTTGATCAGCAGCCCCTCGGTTAGCCACGATGCCGCCTCAAGTGATGTGTCTAGAAGCCAGAAGCCGGCATACTTCCAACCTGGAGGAGTCACCTCAGACTGATCATCTTGTCCAATCTCAACACCGAGATTCTTCTCAGGACTGCGTCGCAACTTCCTAGGGCTTCCTTCTGGTGTAGAGAAACATGGGGCAGCGAAAA